AGCACGCCCTCCGCTCCCGTCACGCTCAGCTCCTCCAGCGCATCCATCCCTCCCGGCAGCTCCTCGCACATGCAGTTAGTCATAGTCAGCTTCCGCAACGTTGACGATGACTCCTCGCTCACCCATGCGTCTCCCTCCAGGTCGCAGTGCTCCAGCGTCAGCTCCTCCAGCGCGCACATCCCCGCCGTCGAGTCCAGATCCATTCCCCGCGCGTCCAGCACCCGCACGCGCCCTGCCACCTCCGCGCACACCCACCCCCAGCAATCGTTCAGCTTCAGCCGCTCCAGCGACGTCAGGCTCGCCGGCAGCCACGACAGCTCCCCCGTGTACGACAGCTCCTTGATGAGCCGCGCAGAGCTGTCGTCCAGAAAGCCCTGAATCAGATTGTCGCAGTAGTCTACGGCGAGCTTCGTCAGCGCGCTCATCCCCGGCGGGACGCGCGTTATGCTGCAGGCACGCGCATGCAGCGTGCGGACGTTGCCGCGCGACCCCTCGTCCAGGAAGTCGTCCTGCAGCCCATGGCAACCGCTGACGTTGACGTATTCCAGCAATGGTACACGTGGCAGGCGCCGCACATTGGTTGCGAAGAGGTCGAGCTTCCGCAGGTTGCCCACGACGCGCGCGTCCAGCCAGGCGTCCGACTCCGGCAGCGAGCAGTGCCACAAGGTGAGCTCCGTCAGCTGCTTGAACCTTGCCGGGATGAGGTCGATGCTCCTCCTCCAAGGAGGACACCGGATGTTGAGGACCCTCAGGCGATCGCCGGTCAGCGGCGCGAAGTACACCTCGCTCAGGTCCACGTCGTCGTCGTCCACGTGGGACTTCATCATCGGGCTTTGTGACGTGCAGTTCCTCCAGCGCGTCCAGGCCCCGCGGCAGCTTGTTGCGGCTGTCCATCCGCAGCACCCTGATGCTCCCCGCCGAGCTCTCCGGCAGCCACTCGTCGCCGCTCATGTGTCCTACATGCAGCTCCTCGAGGCGATCCATATTCGCGGGGAAGCGCGTGACGTTCGTCTGCGAGGTGTTGAGCTTCTTGAGCGTGGCCGCGGAGCTGGCCGGCAGCCAGAGGTCTCCTCCCGCCTCCATGCTGCTCTTCGCCACGTCGAGCTCCTCGAGCGACGTCAGCCCCGGCGGGATGCGCTGCAAGTGGTGGTTGTGAACGTCCAGTCGCCGCAGCCCTGGTCGAGCACTCTCTGGCAGCCAAGCGTCAGAGGCGAGGTGCTTGAAGTTTGGATCATCACGCGCGAGCGTCACGCGCTCCAGCCGCGTCATGTCCGCAGCGATGATATCCGTCGTCTCATTGCTCTGCCAGAATCGCTTGAAGTGCACCGCCACAACCGCCGACGCGTCGTCCAGCGCAGCGCCCGCCCGCGTCCACTTCGTCACCGCCCCGTCCTTCCACTCCACCGTCGACCGCGTCGCCCCGTCGATGCCATGCATGCGCAGCCGCTCCGCCACGCTGCTGGCGACAGCGACACTCCGTGGCTTCCACGTGCACCCGTCCGCCGCCTCCATCACCCGCGCCATCCACGCCGACGACGTCGCCGCCAGGGCCGCGCGCCCCGCGCCGTCCAGGTACGTCGTCACGATCGTCGACAGCACATCGCAGTCCAACAGCGACAGGGTGGTCTTCGTTGACCTGCGGAGCGTTTTAGATCAGTCCGGTGCGGCAGTCATGCGTTGGCGACGTCCCCATGCCCGTCCCCGCTGTATCAGCCTGCGCGTTCGTGCCTGCGGGGGCGGTGCCCTACCTGGTCTTGCCGTACGGACCGCGATGTGTGTCTGAAGTACCCATCTTGAAGGTGACGATCCCGCCTCGTTGCCTGCACCATGAAGCGGGTGCAACCAGCTCACTTGCGTCTGGGCAGCCTGCTAGCAGCGCGGACGCGTGTGTGAGAAACGCGTCGTTGGGCGCGTCGCGCGAGTGGGCGCAACTACTGCGTGCCCGTCCGCTGCGTCGCGGAGGCCCACCGAGCCCTAAGCATGCATTGCAGGTAAATCTCGATCGCTTAGTGGGACACTATGATCATTCGCTGTGCAGTTGGGACCCAAGGACGCAGCGAGCGGCAACGACGCGCCCCTCTCAGGTTGCCCTGGAAGCAGGCGCAAGCGCGTCGTGCGCGTGACGCGCTCAAGCGCCTCGCTGCTTCGACAGCACAGCTGCTCTAAGCAAGGTGTTTCGGCGCGTCAGATGTCTGCATAGTTCTCAACACGCCCAGGAATCCACCGACGACTGTTTCCTTTTTGCCAGCGCAGTGCAGCGCCCACGAGGCGCCTCGGACAGGGCGAACGCCACTTTCCGTCCGCGCGCCGCCCCGCACACACCCACCGCACCCAAGTCAGAGCGCGGCATCACCTGTCACGCCCCGTCGCGCGTCCTTCCCGACCACCACAAGTCCAGCTCTCAAGCGTCGAACCGCAACGCGAGTGCGTCGTCGCACCGGCCTGCACCGCGACGCCCTCGATGTGCGCACCCCTCGTCTCCGCGCCGCCCAACGTCCACGCGGCGCGCCACCCTGACAGCATGTTGTACTGTGCAGCGTCAGACCCACACCTGACTCAGCCGCGACGCCCCAACTGACGGCCTGCGCGCGCCCGCGCCACCCAACGTCCCCCACGCCGCTCGTGGCGAGCTCATACCGGTGTCAGACACGGTCAGTCAGGCAGCACCGTCACTGACGGTGCTCGTCGCTGGGAGGTGTGGCACACCGTCGTGACGACGGCCGTCCTGTCGCGCCTAGGGGGCACGAGACGCAGCACGGCTGCGACGGCTCGCGGCGCGACGCAGCGCGATGTACAGCACAGCATCAGTCACACCACCAGCACACATCAACAGTCCCCCCGAAGCCGACCCAGGGCAGGCCCAGACGCTGACGGCGTGTGCGGCAGCCCGACACATTTGAACGTCGCCCACGTCGGCACGCTCACGGTGCTGCAGTCAGGAAGCACTCGTTGAGATTCTCGCACTCCGACACGTCGAGGTGTTCAAGGCTGCTCATACCAGGCGGAAGTCTGCGTATGTCGTCACCCGTGGTCACACCGCTGGTTTCTGCCCCTACTGCGACCCGGCGACCTTCGCGCGCGCGATGATGTCGAAGGAGAAGCTGGCGGCTGGCTGCTGTTCCAACATCCACCAGCCTGCCGCCAGCTTCTCCTTCGACCTCATCGCGCGCGCGAAGGTCGCCGGGTCGCAGTAGGGGCAGTAACCCTCCTTGTTGATGGCCAACTTCGAGGTCGAGGGCGGGGCAGCCACCCGCTGCGCGAAGCACAAGTCGGACGACATGACCAACGTCGTCTGCAAGCGCAGCAGCCCCGGGCGTCGCATCTCCTGCGAGGAGAGAGAGCTGCTGCGCTTGCAGACGACGTTGGTCATGTCGTCCGACTCGTGTTTCGCGCAGTGGGTGGCAGCCCCGCGCTTGACCCCGAGTCCGCCACGCGACCTGCACAGCCGTGACGGACTGATGACTGAGCATGCTCGCGCATCGTACCGGCCGCAGGCGGATGCGCCGCAGCGCGCGCGGGCAGCTGGTGCGCACCTGGTCGTGCTTCGTGTGGCTCTGGTCGTCATTCCGGTTGGCTCAAGAGATCTGCGAGCGTCACCCCTGATGTCAAGCATGCGCAGCTCCAGCAGCGCATACAGCTCGTCGACATCGTTCTGCAGCGGCGTGCCGGACTGCAAGATCCGCCGCCACTGCAGAACAATCTGGCGGCGGATCTTGCAGTCCGGCACGCCGGTCCAGAACGATCTCGACGAGCTACAAGTGCTGCTGGAGCTGCGCATGCCCGACATCAGGGCGGTGTCACTCGCAGATCTCCTGTGCAAGCACCGCCACCTGCCGTCCGCTCCTGCGGCGCAGGTCAGCCGCCGCACGCCCGCGACACCGAGCTTGTCGCGGGCGTGCGGCGGCTGATCGCCGCTCATGCTGTCCGCCCCTGCGGCGCAGACCACGAACGCCGCGCCAGTTGAGACGCACGCAGTCAGGAATCGCGATTCGTCGCGCTCGAACGACAAAGACGAACCTGGGCCGGCATGGTGTGGCCCTGGTCGTCTACGCTTGATTGCTGGCCTCGCACACTCGCGGGACCTGCGTCGCACGCCACGTCATGCACGATGATCTCGCCTCGCTTCCTGCCGCGCCGCCGAGGCGGCAGCAACGACGTGTGCAAAGCGCACGTGGAGGACGTGTCTTGCTCACGCGCGTGCTTTGCGCCGCACAGGCCCTTCGAGCGTCTCAGTGGATGCAACCAGTTCACTTGCGTCTGGACAGCCTGCTAGCAGCGCGGACGCGTCTGTGAGAAACGCGTCGGGAGTGGGCGCAACTACTGCGTGCCCGTCCGCTGCATCGTAGAGGCCCCTCGAGCCCTAAGCATGCATTGCAGATACATCTCGGACGCTAAGTGGGATAGCACGGCCATTCGCTGTTCCTGTGGGACGCAAGGATGCAGCGATCGGCAACGATGCGCCCCTCCCAGGGTGCCAGGAAGCAGGCGCAATCGACCGCGTCTTGCGCGCGCCGCGCTCGAGCGCCTCGCTGCGCCGACGGTGGACTAGCTTCGAAGAAACCGTTTGGCTGGCCAGATGTCTGCATAGTGCTCAACACGCCCAGGAATCCACCGACGACTGTTGCCTCGCCAGCGCATTGCAGCGCCCACGAGGCGCCTCGGGCAGGGCGAACGGGGGCTCCCCGTCCGCGCGCCGCCCCGCACACACCCACCGCACCCAAGTCAGACCGCGGCATCACCTGTCACGCCCCGTCGCGCGTCCTTCCCGACCACCACAAGTCCAGCTCTCAAGCGTCGAGTCCCAACGCGAGTGCGGCGTCGCACCGGCCCGCACCGCGACGCCCTCGATGTGCGCACCCCTCGTCTCCGCGCCGCCCAACGTCCACCCGCCGCGCGCCACCCTGACAGCATGTACCGTGCAGCGTCAGACCCACACCTGACTCAGCCGCGACTCCCTCGCCGAGCGCAGCGCAGTCCGTCGCTCGCGCCACCTCACACACCTAGAGGTACTGCTTCTTGATGTCCTCCTGTATCTCCCGCAACCGCGCAATCACCACGGGGTCCATCATCGCCGCCGCGTCCCCCAACATCCCCGCCGGCCCCTGCTGCGTCACCCCGGCCCCCGCCATCACCTGGCCCATCTCGCTCTGCCTCTGCGCTCCCAGCCCGCGCTCGTACGCGCCCAGCACCGCGTCCACCGTCGTCAGCAGCCGCTGCGGCGTCGTCGACAGCTGGTCCGTCGCGCCCGGCATCGCCGGCAGCGCGAGGTCCGGCCCGGCGCCCTCCCCGCCCTCGGCCGGCGTGAACGCCTCGTCCAGCCCGTTCAGCCGGTCGCGCCTGTCCTCCATCGAGAGGAGGTGTTTCAGAATACGCACCTCGGGGGGTTGCTGGCGCGCCGCAGCCTCCTTCGCCTTGAAGTACAGATGCGCCATGATCTCCTGCGCACGCAAACGGAACGCACAGCATGTCAGCGCTCTCGCCGCCGGGGCCGCACAGTCTCCGTTGGTGCACGTGTGCTCGTACGCATGTGCGCGACGTGGTGGGCACCTTGGCGTCGTCGCTGGTGAGGTCCGAGTCCCGCGAGCTCGAGTACGCCTTCGCCATGGTCATGAGCAGCGCGGGGTCCAGCCGCCCCTCCGCGGCCAGCGCGTCGATCTTCGCGTCGGCCTCGCCCAGCGTCTGCGCCTCGAGCAGGCCCTGCAGGTCCTCCGCGGCGCGCGTCAGCGCGCCCTCCTCCTCCGCGACGGCGTCCGCGGCCTCACAGATCGCCAGGAGACGCGTGGCCATGTGGATGATCCTGCGGAGGAGCGGCGTGCGTTGCGCGTCCGACCGGCACAGGTCGCGTCTCAGCGGCAACGACGCGGCGGTCCTAGCGCGACGCAGCGCAGGGTCTGGACCGGGACAGGCAGGCACTGGAGAGCGCGAGAGCGTCGCAACAACTTGTTATTGTGTTCGAATGTTTAATATACATATGTGTGTTGTCTTGCCTGTCTCTCTGCGCCTCGTCGTCGCGGCAGGTGCCCACGAGGCCGCGCATGTACTCGAAGAAGTCCGCCGTCAGCTCCCTGCGGAACCGCGCCACCAGCCCCTCCCACTGCTCCTCGCCCTCGTCGAAGAAGATGCTGACCATGCCTTTATACTTCCGGACCGCCTCGTGCGTCATCCGCAGCTTCCGCTCGCACCGCAGCAGCGCGATCGCCGCGTCGTGGTCGCTGTTCTCGTCCTCCTCCTGCCGCGCGCGCTCCTTCAGCCGCGCGAACACGCCCTCCGCGAGCGTGGGCCACTGCTTGGAGTAGGCAATCAGCTTCTGGTACTCCCTCGGGTCGCGCTCGACGAACACCTCGATCAGGCGGTCGTACGTCTCGCGGTTGCTCTCCTCCGCCTCGCCCTTCAGCGTCCTCGGGCGGGGGTCCGGGCCGCCTGCGCAGGGCATGAGGGGCGGGTGAAATAAGGCGCCGAGGGGCGCTTCTGCGACGCGAAAACGCAGCTGTGGACGCCGCGCTACGTTCCCGCGGCGATCTTCGTGTGCAACGCGCAAGTGTTTCCGCCAAATTGCGCGGGAACGCGGAGTTATCAGCACGAGAGCTCGTGCGGTTTGGTGTGGCATTGCGGCGTCCAGACGGCGCGCTCCCGCGCGAGGCGCCCATGCTGGCGGCCGAGCGGTCTGCGCCAGAATGCTCACGGGCCCGGCCGCGCCGCGACACGAGCGCCTCGCGCGTCAAACGAGGCACAGGAGCATCCGGAGACGCAGAGCAACAGGCCGCGGACCAACGCCCGTGATTGAAGCATGTACGGCGAATAGCGGCGCACCAAGCAGTTCAGAGTCTAAAGAACCCACACTGCGTCGATGTGACGCGGGAGGGGGACCTGGGCGTTCGGGAGCGCACCACCGTTGCCGGCGCGCACCACGGCTGCGCTCGCCCGCCCGTGCTGCCATGGGCCCCTGCCGCCACAAGCCGCCTCGGAGACACGGGAGTAGCTGAAGGCGGGCTGCGCGCGGGGGCGGGTCGCCGCGCTCGCCACCCGAGCCCTCGCGCCCCGCGCCAGTCTGGCACACCCAGACGTGATGGGCACGGCGCAGTCGCAGGACATGGCGCCGACCGACGGACCCGAGACGCGCACGACGGGGGTGCAGCGAGTGGACGGCGGGTCGCACACCGCGGCTGTTCGGCGGCCGGCCACGGCCACGGGGTTGTGGTGGGTCGGGACCGACTGTCAGGGAGGGGGGTGTTCGTGAGGCGGCGCTCGGCCGCGGGATTCTGGACGCGGCTCGTCGGCCCGGGAGCGTTCCGGCAACTCCACCGCAGCGGGTTGCCGCCGCGTGGCAACCAGGATGCAGCGTGTGGACAAAGATCCACGTAAAAGAGTCTTTGATTGACACAGAGTAGTAATTGACCACCCGCGCACGAAACGACATGCGGGTGTGCTATCGCCCTGATCACAAACGCGGGCCTATCCCGGAGCATCGCCCGAGCTACTCCGGCCCGCCGCCCGTCCCTTCTGCACAACCTCCTACTCCGATGCCCAGTCGACGTCGACGACGACGACGTCGTCGTCGTCGTCGTCGTCGTCGTCGTCGTCGTCGTCGTCGTCGTCTGAATCCGACGTGTCTACAGTTCTCTCCAGTGACACGACGCACAGGTCCGGTGCTCTCAGCCCCTCAGGCAGCTCCGGGGCCCCGCCGATGCAGAGACGCGTCAGCCTCCCCAGCGTCTCGCCGTCGATCCAGTCCTCCGCCAGCTCCCTGCAGTCCTCGACGGTGAGCACGCGGATGTGCGGCCCCAAAGGTGGGACGCGCCGCACGCCGGTGCGCGCAACACCCAGCACCCGCAGGCTCCTCGCGGAGCTCGCGGGCAGCCAGTCGTCTTCGAGCGGACACCGTGTCAGCGACAGGTGCTCCAGCGCCGCGAGCCCTGCAGCAACGCGGGGTGAGACAGCATCGTCAGCACACTGTTAGGGGAGCCCGTTGCAACGCAGCGTGGTTGCGCGACCTCGTGGAGTACCTGGCTGAACGCGCTTCAGGCTGCTGTTGTCAGCGCAAAGCTCTCGCAGCACGTGCGCTGTGTCCGCATGCAGGAGGGGCTCGTCGGCGAGCCGCTGGCAGCCGATCACGTGGAGCACCGCGAGCGCCGGAAGCCTCGGGAGGCGCTGCACGGCTGTATGATCCATGTGAAGGTGCACGAGGGACCCGCACGCCCCTTCCGGCAGCCAGTCACCATCAAAGTCGATGCGGCGACACCCAACTAGGCTGAGCTCTGTAAGGGAGGGCAGATTGGGCGGTACCCTGCGCAGCGAGCTCCACGCTGCAACGATGTTCGACAAGTGCGCGCGATCGGCGTCCTCGAAGCCGCAGTCGTCGAGTTTGCGGCAACCTGTGAGGTCTGCGTCCTCAATGGCCGTCATGTGCGCAGGCACGCGCCGCAGCGAGCTGCTGGACGCGCTGAGATTCCTGACCGCTGCTCCGGAGCTGCGCGGGCACCAGTCGTCGACGATCTTGCATTCTTCGATGTTCAGATCGACGAGAGAAGACATTTGTGGGGGCAAGCGGGTGAGGTTGCTTCCCTCAGCCGTGAGGGTCTGGACCCGCTGTGCTGCGTCCTCAGGCAGCCAGCCATCGCTGTCTGCGAGCTCGCGGCAATGTGCGACCGAGAGGTGCTCCAGGCTGCAGAGGCCCGCTGGCAGCCTGCGTGCGTTCGTACGTTCGAGCGTCAGCGAGCGCAGGTTCGCGAACGCGTTTGGGCCCAGAAAGTCGTCCGCCAGCTTCTGGCAGCAAGAAAGGTCCAGGGCTTCGAGGTACGGAGCGCAGCCGGGAGGAAGACGCTCGAGGCTGTAGCAGTGGCGGAGCGTCAACCGCCTGAGCTTCGCAGACGTCGCGACGGAGAGGACGTCCGGCGTCGTCGCGAGTGCGGATCCGTCGAACTCCTCCAGCGCGGGCATGGGCGTGAGCAAGCCGTCCACGTTGCTTGCCTCGGCTTTCAGGACCCGCAGCTTGCTTGCTACTCCATCCATGCAGCCCGGCTCCAGCTTCCGGCACCCTGTGACGTTCAAGTCGACCAGCACATCCATCCCAGGTGGGATCCGGCGGACGTTGCTGTGAGCCACGCTCAGCTTTGCGATCGCACCCCGCGACGTTACGGGCAGCCACTCTCTGTCGACGTCCAGGTTGATCATCTCCAGCCCGAGCTCCGTGAGCGCCGTCATACCCGGTGGCACGCGGGGCAGCTCCGTACGGTAAACGTCAAGGACGCGAACCGCCGGTCGCACTGGCGCTGGCAGCCAGTCATAGCTCCACAAGTGCCCCGCGCCGTAATTAATATGGATTTCCTCGAGCCCTGTCATCTCTCGCGTGATCGCCCCCCGCGGGTATGCAAATGACACACCCAGTTTATAGACGGAGGCACTGCTGTCGGGGTCGGACCCGCACCGACACCGCAGCAGTGCCCTGGCCCGGCCCTCGGACTGATACCCGACGGACGACTGCGACGACCCCGTCGGCGCGTGCGCGTGCAGGCGTCGCGCCACCTGCCGCCCTGCGCTGTCGGACGTCCAGCTACAAGGGAGGCACTCCATTACTCTCGCCATGAGGGCGGACGAGGTCGCGGCGAGGTTCGCGCGGTCCCGACGGCTCAAGTAGTGCGACAGAATGAGGGCGAGCGGCCCATCGCGACCCAGGTGGAGGTCGTGGAGCGTCAGGAGCGAGCTGTTGCCCTGAGTGGCTGTAGCAGCTGAGTTGCCTGCGAGCACGCACGGGCCGAGGAGGCGTGTGGGTCGAACGAGATCTCTACACCTAGCGCAGAGGTTCAACACGACTCGCGTTCGCGCGCTGAGCGGTTGACCAGAAGGACGAGCAGGTGTTCGTTTCCCCCCCGCGTTCCAACGCCACGCGGCTCCCTTCGCTATCGCTACCACGCGACAACATCAGCACCGTGGTGCCGCGTACCTCCTCCACCCTGCCGCACGGCGCCCAGTCGCCGTCGAACGCGCCCCCTGGTCTCCATTCCCACAGCACCCGTTTCCTCGCAGTGGGGGCCAAGCCTCGACTCGCAGCTCTCCGGAAACACGTCCGTGCTACACTGACCGCTGTCCGCGCTCTGCTGCCCCGAAAGAGCGGCGGCGGGGCCCTCGCTGGCCCGCGCGCAACGACCCGCCCGACACATGGACGCGCGTCAGACGGGTCGCCGGAGACGGACCCGCCGACTCGAGCGGCCGCGCCCTACGTCTGCACCGCGTCCTTGCCACCCCGCAAGTCTCGCTCCTTGTCGCACCTCGACGCAGAGGTAAAACAATCACAACCCCAGACGCAGCAAAAACAAGAGCACAAAAGGCCCCCCGCGCGCCACAACCGACTCACGAACCGCCCCCCCCCGGCGCACAACGCACGTCACCGAACCGCCAGCATGTCGTACCGCGTCGCGACCTCCTCAACCCTCAGCAGCACCTCCTCCAGATCCTGTTTGCCGACGCCGCAACCCTCGTACTGGTGCAGATACGCCCGCGAGTCCATCATCATGTACGCGCGGTCCACCATGCGTCGCGCCGTCCCCGCCACCATCGAGCAGTTCGACAGCAGCGTCGCCGACATGCCGTACCCGCAGAACCGGCTCGGGTGCCACGCCGCGCACACGGGCCGCGGGTTCGCTGTGCTGTGCGGCATCATCTCGCCGACCGCCTCGGCGCTGACCTCCCCCGCGCCGTCGCCGCGCAGCACCGCCAGCGACGCGAGCGCGCGAAGCTGCGACGCCGGCGCGGGGTCGAACGGGCTCGCGTCGCCCGCCTCGGCCGCCGCAGCCGACTTCACGGCGGCGTGCAGGCCGCGCATCGTCGCCGTCCACCGGTACTGCTCGAATTCCGCCGTCGACGGCGGCATCATCGGGTGCGAAACGAGCGACAGCAGCGGCAGCCCCGGGTGGCAGCAGACGTGCTCAACGACGTCGCCGAGGAGCCGCAGGCGCGCGCCGCGGCCGTCGGACCGCGCGTGGCGCGCCGGGAGGAGCAGGCCGGCCATGTCCCGCGCGGCGACGGCGTTCATGTCCTGGAGGGTCGGGCGCTTGACGTCGAACAGGCGCACGCACGCGCGGTGCAACCGCTCGTTGCCTGTCACGATGACGCTGCGGGGAGGGGGCGGGCGCGCGGGCTTCAGACGGCGGTGGCGCGCGCTGGGGCGCAGTGCGGGCGCGTTGCATGCTCTGGGGCGCAGTGCGGGCGCGTGGCGTGTGTGGGGCGCGGTGGCGCACCCGTCGCAGGCCTCGACGAGATGGCCGAGCGTGAGCGTCGTGTTGTACGCCTGGACCGTGACGTCGCCCCCCACGTGCGGCCAGACCGACTGACTCAGCAGAAACACCGAGGGGTGTCTGTCGCGGATCTCCTCCGCGAGGCGCGCGCCCAGACCCGCGCCCGTCCCGCCCGCCATCGACTGCGCGCAGAGAGCCAGCGGGGCGTCATGCAAGCGAGCCCGGCGACCCCCAACCAGGTACTGGACTGGAGCGCACATCCCACCATGTCGGGGGCGGTGGGCGGTGCGTTCGACGCGTCGACCGGCATGGCCTGCGGCGGACTGTTGCTGCAAGCGCTGGTGGAGCCGCAGCGTGGCGCGGGCGCCGCGCAGCTGAGCTGCGTCGCACCTGCAGCAATAACACCCCCCCCACGTGATCCATCGCCTCGAGCTCGCGGCGGATCGGTCCGTCGCACGCCGCCTCGCAGGCCGCGGGGCCGTGCCGCGCGTACCCCATGGCCCAGTTGTTCCCCGAGCCCCCCTCCCCACACAGCCCGCACGCGCTGTCATACCTCCACCACGCCGGACCCCCCCCCAGGGACCCCGGGCCGTTCGGGGAGCCGGACAGGGACGCGCGCGGGTGCGCCACGCACGCCTGGACGACCTTGGGCTCCATGTCGACGAGAACTGCGTCGCACAGCGGCGCCGGTTGTTGTCGGCGTTTGCTTCCATGCGTCTGGAGGCGGCTCGCGCGTCTCGAAGGCACTGAGCGCAGCCCCGCCGCACTGACCATGCAGTCGGGCGTGCCAAGGAGCGCTGTGTCGCTGGGACGAGCGACCCGGGCGGGGTGACGCTCACCTGCGCGGGCATGGTGCGTTGCGCCCGTGGAGTTGCTCCGTGCGCCGCGCTCGCGGAAAAACGTCCACTGCGTGGTCGTTAGGAGATCCGCGTTGCCCGCCTGCGCTTCCCTGGCGAGCGTCGTGAACAGCGCCGCGCCCAGCTGGTTGCCGCACTGCCCTACCTGAACGGTGAGCACCGACATCGGACGGGCCTCTTGCCGCACCTACCGCCGCTGCCGACCCCTACGATATGCTATGCGCCGGAGGCGACATTCTAGATCGCCGTTCGATGCCGGAGTGACGCGCCAGCTCGAGCTCGTTCCCCTTGTGTGCTGCTCCACGTCGCGGTTGGGCGCCAGACGCGCGCGGCGCCGCAGGTTCGACGTGACGGCGGGCCAAGGTGACGGCCGGATGTTCTCCGGGCCGCTCGTTGGATCTCAGTCAAGTACTCGGGCGCTGTGCTTGTGCAAGTGGAATGTCCAGCGCGGGACGCACACGCAGTTCAATCCAGGACCAATCTACGACGCCAGCCCCTTCAGCGGCCTCCGGAGAGCTCTGTCCGACCGTGAAATCCCCGGCAGCCCTCAAGCGCAGCACCTGTGCCGCCCCGTTCATTACACAGCTTATACCGCAACCACGACGCGCCTGGCCCCCCCCGCGCGCTCCCGGCGCCATGTCCGCGCAGTTCGCCCCCCCAGCCCACTCGCCCAGCCCCGCAGCGCGTCCGTCGGACCTCGCTCCGTCCGCAGCGGTCCCTGACCTGTGTCGAGAGTAGGGTATCCGCGCCGCGATGCAGCGGTGCCCGCGCGCGGCGCCGCCGGCATGCGCCGCTCCGGTGCGACGGTGCCGAAGCGGCGCTGCGCCCCGCGTGGCGTCAGCGCGCCGCCGCACGGTCCCAGCCGCCTCCGCTGCAGACGCGGTGCTTGCGATGCCCACGGAGGCCCTCGCGCGGACCGCTCAGGCCTTTTCGGGGGCCGCGGACGCCAAGGCGCGCCTCAAGATGCTCGTGGAGCTCGCCCAGGGCGCCGAACACCTCCCTGAGTCAGCCAGGACGGACGAGAACCGCGTCCTAGGCTGCACGGCCCAGGTGTGGCCCCTTGCGCCCGCCCGACTGCTGCTCCGCGCCGCTCCGGGGGTCTCGCCGGGCGCACCGCTCGGCCCAGAGACGAGCCACCCAGAGCGATGAAGCTCGCGGCGAATGGCCTCTTGCACGCGGCGGGCCAGCATCGCACTGGCCTCCTGGTGCTGGCGCGCAGCCCAGGGTGCGTCGGCGGCGGCGCAGACCGGGTCGCTGGCGCCTCGAGTCCGCGCCGCCCGGCACCGCTACCTCTTCCAGAGCATCGCACGCACGCCGATTGGCCGCGTCTTGGCCTTCCGGCGCGCACGCGCACCACGCACCTGCGCGGCAAAGCAGTCCACGGCGCGTCCCGCCGTCTCCAGCGCGGCTCGCGATCGCGGGACGCCGCGCCCGCAAGATATTCTTCGTATCATCGCATAGACGGCGGCGCACGCGCCGCCGCAGCCCTCCATCCACGCCACGGCGCACATACCTCGCCCACGTGCCCACCGAGACAACGTCGCGCTGCGTGCGGCGCTGCGCAGGTGTGGGTCACGGCCGAGCTCGACGACGCCGGCCGCGTGCAGTTCCGCGGCGACAGCGACTCGGAGCTGCAGCGCGGCATCGCCACGGTCGTCTGCCAAGGCCTCTCAGGTGCGCGCCCGGCGCCGACTGCTGTGAGCGCCTGAGCGCCGCTGGAGGCGCGGGGGGGCGCGAGAGCGCTGGCGGCACGGAGCGGCGGCCGTCGCTGTCGCAGCCGCGGTGCCCGTGCCCGGGCAAACGTGGACGAGCGCGCATGATCGCGCAGTCGAGAAACCTCGACTGGCTTTTGTTTGGTTGATTGGTTTCCTGTTTGCGGACACAGCGGGTGATGGCGACGTCTCACCGGTCTGCGCCCGCGCCGCCCGTGCGATCGTGCGCAGGCCTGACCCCCGAGGAGGCGGCCGCGGTGGACCCTTCCTTCGTTGGCGCGCTGGGACTCGGCGAATCAGTTCTGACCAAGTCGCGGACCAACGGGACCCTCAACATGGTCGAATCGCTGCGGAAACGCGCCCTGGCGCTCTCCCGCGGCGCGCCGCCGCCGACGTTCCCGTCGCTCCTCGTGACGGCCACCTCCCTGGAGCCGCAGGGGTCTTTCGCGGAGAGTCAGGCGCAGTTCCTGGACCCCAACAGCGCGCAGGTGGACCGCCTGGCGTCGCTGCTCGCGGAGAAGAAGATCGGCGTGGTCGCGCACTTCTACATGGACCCGCAGGTGCAGGGCGTGCTCACGTCCGCGCGCGACCAGTGGCCGCACATCCACATCTCGGACTCGCTCGTCATGGCCGACACCGCGGTGGCGATGGCCGAAGCCGGCTGCGAGTCGGTCGTGGTGCTCGGCGTGGACTTCATGAGCGAGAACGTCCAGGCGATCCTCGAGGACGCCGGGTACGCCGACGTCCCGGTGTACCGCATGGCGTCGGAGGACATTGGGTGCTCGCTGGCGGAGGCCGCCGAGGCGCCGGCGTACGGCCGGTACCTCCAGGGCGCCGCGGAAGTCGACGGGCCGTCCGTGCACGTCGTGTACATCAACACGTCGCTCAAGACGAAGGCGCTCGCGGACGCCCAGGTCCCGACGATCACCTGCACGAGCAGCAACGTCGTGCAAACGGTCCTGCAGGCCTTCGCGCAGGTCCCGGGCGCGCACGTGTGGTACGGCCCGGACACGTACATGGGCCGGAACGTGCGCCAGCTGTTCGAGTCGCTCGCGGAGATGCCGGACGAGGCCGTGCAGGAGCTGCACCCCGCGCACACGGCGGCGTCGGTGCGCGCGCTGCTGCCGAGGTTCCACCACTTCGACGAGGGCACGTGCGTGGTGCACCACATGTTCGGCGGGGACGTGTGCCGGACGGTGCGCGAGGGCTACGGCGACGCGTACCTCACGGCGCACTTCGAGGTGCCTGGCGAGATGTTCACCCTCGCCATGGAGGCGAGGACGCGCGGGATGGGCGTGGTGGGGTCCACGTCGAACATCCTGGCCTTCATCGCGGACAAGGTGGACGAGGCGATCGCGCGGGGGTTCCCCGAGCGGCTGCGGGTGGTGCTCGGCACGGAGACGGGGATGCTGACGTCGATTGTGCGCAAGGTGCAGGCGGCGCTCCGGAAGGAGGGGAACCCGGGCGTGGAGGTGGAGATCGTGTTCCCGGTGTCGCAGGACGCGCTGACGACGGAGCAGACGGGCGGGGGCGCGCTCCCGGGGGGGTTGACGATGGTGCCGGGGCCTGCGTCAGGGGAGGGGTGTTCGTCCGAGGGCGGGTGCGCGAGCTGCCCGTACATGAAGATGAACGACCTCGCGGCGCTCATGTCGGTGTGCGAGCGCATCGGGACGCCCGGGGAGGCGCTCCTGGAGGCCCACAAGCCGCGACCCTACCTCGAGAAGGTGGGCGGCAAGACGATGGCGCAGGCGGGGTGCGTGCCGATCCTGCACATGCGGCACTTCAGCCGGAACAAGACGCTGTCGGATGAGCTGGTCGCGGACATGCAGGCCCGGGCAGGGCCGCGGTAGCCGCGACGGGCGCGGCGGAGTGACTGTGGGTAGCGGTGGCCGGCGGTGGTGGACAACGGGGGCGGGGCGCGCACACCGATCGCCCGCTGGTGTGAGGGATGCGTGCTGTGCATCACAAGGGCGATCGAACGGGCTGGTCCGTTCGCGCCGCTGCGACTGGGAAGTTCTTTTACGCGCATTGTTATCAACACGCCTGGCATGCGTCGACGAGCGCTTCCGTTTACCCAAGAGGACGGCCCCCGTGCCGTTGCTCGCTCGACGCAGCGAGCACCGCGGCCACTTCCCCCGCCAGGTCTCAGTCGTCATCATCGTCGGTGCTGAGTGCTGTTGCCATCTAGAAGCACTTCCGGTGCACAATGCCCGGGCCGTACTCGTCGTACTCTTCCTTGGAGATCCACATGGGGGCGAAGTTCTCGTTCGCCGTGATCCGCGCCGCGCCTCGGAACGCCAGATCCCCCGGGGCGTCCTCGAGCACAACCTTGGGCGCGAGCCTCGGGCCCAGCCTGCTCTCGAGCTCGCTCTGTACGCGCTGCGCGAACCCTGGCACCTGCACCGCGGCCCCGCCGAGCACGACGCAGTCCACGATTTCCTGACGGCAGTCTTGGTCGATCGCCATGACCGACTTGACCGCCATGTCAACAATACCCCCCCCGGTGGAAGGGAACTGGGCGCCCGCGCGCGAGGGATCGAAGAGGCACTCCATGCACTCGTATCGCTCGGGTCCCACGGTCACCGCCCCCCCGTGCGCGTCATGCAGCTCGCCCTGGGGTCCCGCGCACACGCACGACTCGGCCAGCTCGCGCAGCTGTTCGCCCTTGACGTCGACGTCGCGGCGCCCGAGGGCGTCGCCGAGCAGCCTCGTGACGTCCTTGAAGCCCAGGGGCAGGCGCTGAAACGCGTGCGGCAGCAGGTAGCCTCCGTACACGGGGCATGTAAAGGTCGACTCCCCCCCGACGTGCACCGCAAGGCCCGTGTCGCCTTGCGCGCCGTAAACGGTGAGCTCCGCGCGGCTTGACATGTAGGCCGCGGGCACGTCGAGAGACTCCATGAGGATGTGTAGGGCCTTCTCCCTGGCAGCCTTCGACGTGAGCGGTGCGTCGGTCACCAGGATGGGGTGCTCCAAGGGGCTGACTTTGAGCTCCTCCTCGAGAACGTGCCTCCTGCGCGTGCACGGTGGGTTGCTGTGGACTCGGGAGAGGACGAAAGCGCAGTGAAAAAGATGCGGCCCCTGCGCGCCCCGCGCTCCCCGCGACGTTGAAATGTGATGCTTCGTGAAGGTCAGACACTGAACGATGCGTGAGTCGTGCTGAGGAGGGCGGAAGTGGTGGGTGTCGTTGCGCGCGGCCAGTGGAAGTTGCAGCCTGCGCGTCTAGTTGGTTTGCTCGGCAAGCGCACCAGACGGCCTCCATGGCGTCCCAGTCCGTCACCTCGCCCCTACTCATCGGATACTTGACCTCGAAGCCGTCCATCTCGAGCGCAGCGCCGCCCGCCAGCTGCTCCGCGCCCCTGGCGTGCAGCTGCGTGCGCACGCACACCTCCGGCGCGCGGTAGCCGGCGAATCCGGCGCGGACGTGCGTGGACCCATTGTCGATCACGACGGGCACGATGTCGTCGGAGCTCGCGGAGGACATCTGTTCGCGGCAGACGCCCCTCCAGCGCTGCCGCCGCCAATGCACGTGCGCGTCTCGGGACCCTCTCGCCCAAAACGGCGAGCTACGCGCGCTCCAAGTATCAGCCACACGCCAGCGGGCGCGCCGGTGTGCCGCGCGGCGCACGCGCGACCCAGCGTGGGCTGCGATGGCGGTCTGATGCCACGTTCAACCACCTCCTACCGAGTTGGGGGGCCTGAGAAGCAGGAGGGGACAAGATCCCGTCTTCGGACAGCGGCGTGCAACAGCCGAGCGCGAAGAGCGAGCGCACGGGAGAACAAGTCGCCATCATGCCCGGTATCGCGGCACAAGCCGACGTTGATGAGCTCAAGGGCCTCTTCTGGCACGGCTCCGTCGCTCTCCCGGGCGAAAAGGAGTACGTGGCCGCGTGCCACACGTTCAGCGTGCCGTATGGGAAGGGGAAGCCGGCTCCTGAGGTCGCCGTCCGCCCCAGGTACGGCGGCGTGCGACCAACCGACAGAACACATTACGTCCGCCGCGCGCAGCGTCTCCGGCGCGTCGTTGCTTATCTTGGCCGCTCCTGCGCCGCACGGTGACGGGATGAAGGCGATGACGTGCCCTAGAAGCGGTCTACGATCGTGTCGGCCTCGCCGCATGGTGCCTGGCGGTTGATTCCTGCCTCGGCCCAGGCTCTGGCGCTGCGCTTCGCAGGGACATCAAGGAGGTCTGCGACACGGTCACTTGGTCGAGGAAGCACGGCAAGACCGTGAGCGTCAAGGGCGCGGGCCACGGCATCCACATGCAGGCCCTGCGCGGCGACGTGTTGATCGACTTGAGCCACTTCAAGTACTGCAGTGTCGACCCCAAGGCGCAGACGGCCGTCGTCGGCGGCGGCTGCGACCTCGGAGACATCGACCGCGCCACCGGCGCCTTCGGCCTCTCGGTGCGCGCCCACCCGACCCTCCCGACGGCCCCTCAACACGCGTATGACGCGTAAACATAATATGTCTGAGAGACTGAGACTTGCAAACCGGAGGCGTGCCCCGTGCGGCCTGCGGAGGCAGGGGCGGCCGAGGCTCCCCCCGCCATCCCGAACGGCCCGTGAAGAGTGCCACCGGTCGCTGCGCTACCGTTGGACACGAAAGCCTCGGGCGAGGCACCCTCATCCTCGCCGCAGTCAGCGCCAACGTCTCCCCGCACGTCTCCCCACGCGACGCAGCTCCCGCTCGGGACGGCGCCGGTGACGGGCATGGGTCTCGCGCTGCACGGCGGCGTGGGGTTCCTCTCGAACAAGTTCGGCCCCACGTGCGAGCACATCGTTGGCGCTACGATCGTGGACGCGGACGGGCGCGTGATCCACGTCGATGAGGACGACGACGCGCACGCGGACCTCCTGTGGGCCCTGCGAGGCACGGGGTCGTTTTACGGCGTGGTCTGCGAGGTCAAGTTCCAGCTGCACCGCGTGCGCCCGTGGGGCGGTCTGATTGTCGTACCTGACGTGGACGGCAACCTGGACCGCCTGAAGCCCGTGGTGAAGATGATGCTCGAGATGCGCGAGCGCGAGGACGACGTGACGTTGATGCTGTTCGTCGGCGTCGACCCCGAGAAGGGGCGCGCGATTCAGGTCTGTCTTGCTGACGTCAGCGACCGGTCCGACGCCGAGAACAAGGAGAGGTGCGCGGAGCTTGCGGCAGCCCCGCAGTGCTGCACCTGAAGTGGAGGAAAAATCGCAGTGAGGAAGCACGTCTCATTTGCCTGGCTCTGCTGACCATGTGCAGGTATGAAGCGCTGACGGCGATGGCCGTCGACGGCGGGTTCAAGAGGCAGCCGATGGCCGACATCCAGAACGTCCTCATGCCCGTTCTCTCGAAGCTGCCGCCGCTTCACCAGTACTGGGGGTGCACGTCGCTGCCGCACCACAAGATGGCGGCGCTGGCTGAGACAGGCGTGGACCACTTCGTGGAGACCGTGGACGCGGAGCTGAAGGCCATCGACTTCGCGCAGGCGCCGGTCACGCTCTTCATCATCGAGGTCCACGTCGACTACGCGGCAACCGGCAAACGCGTCACCGGCCCGCACAACTTGGGCGCGCAGGTGCGAACGCCGAAGTGCACGTGCTTGCTCCCGCTTCGTTTGTATCTCGCGCGTCGATCCGCGCGTGCGATGTGCGACATGGATGGATGTCGTTGCGAGGGTCGTCTTGAGCATTGCTGTGCAGGGCCTCGCGACAGTGTCGCTCCTGGGCTCGCCCGTGGAGGAGCACGGCCAGTACTGCCAGGCCCAGGCGCGCAAGTTCAAGAAGGCTCTCGAGGACAAGTGTGCGTTCGGCAACTCTGACTACGCGAACTATGCGGAGATCGATGGCCTGGCTGGCAGGGCGCGCGCTGAGGCGCGGGTCGGGGGCCACGCGAACGCGGAGCGCGTGCGGGCGGTGAAGAAGAAGTATGACCCGGACAACGTGTTCCGCTTCACGCCGCACAGCGCGCTGCTGGAGTGAAGACGGCCGAAGTGTGTTGCGCCCCGCGAACGATGTGCTGCGCAAGTGGGTGGCCGCTGAGCAGCCTGGCGCAGCCGTGCGCCGTTGCCGCGAGGGGCCTCTCAGACTCTGCATGCAGAGACGGAAAAACTAACCCAACAACATGCGACTTTGATCATGATCCTGTGATGGACAACCAGTGACGTCAAACCGGAGGTCACATTCCTAGTCGAATGATCTTACTAGGTCCCAAAGCCTTATGGCTGACGACGCGAAGAACGTGACACCTCATTGACCGAGGAAAGGGGTGCGACGTCAGTCAACTCACCGACAAGGCCATACATCGAAGTACAAATACAAATGCGCGGTACCTCGGTCGCTCAAGCATCCTCGCGGTGCGGGTCCCTGTAGGTGAGCGACCACAAGCGAACAGCGAACAAATACATGCGCGGCTTGTCCATACGCAAGCTGCCGGTGGCCACAGACGTCCAGGCAGGTCGCCCGCGTCCGCGTCAATCAGGGGCGAGTTCACATATGACCCAGTTTTGCAATTCCTCACTTGCGTTGCATGGACCGTCGTGGGGGTTGACTGCGCAGGACGGACGGGCCGGAGTCGTGCCCTGACATTCCCCCGCCTCCGCCGTTCGCGAACGCCGCGGACTGCGACCTGCCGTCCGGGATTTGCACCGAGTTCGCCCGTTGGTCCACCGACAGCAACGACGACTGCCTCATCCAACTCTTGCTCCGTTGCGACGCGTGGCCGAACGAGAGCGCGCGGTTCGTCGATGCTGCGCGCAGCAGACCGCTCGGCTGCTTCTTGCGGCTCGGCATCTTCGCCAGCAGACGTGCGTTGGGCAACCGCACACCCTGCAGAGGCTCCTGGAGGTGCTCCACGAACATACGCAGCCGCAACCCCGAATTGACCTTCAAATATTTGCCCTCGGCCGCCTCGACGATGCCCAGTCCGCCGCCCTCCCACACCTCGTCAGCTGGCTTGCGGTCGCCCGCCCAGACGTACTGCGGAGGCGGCACTGCTCCTGGCGATGCCGCGTCAGCCCCCGTGCCCGACCTGTTCGCGCGAGACCCCTGGCCCGAACTTTTGCTGCGCTGGCCCGACCCTGACGACAGCAGGTGGCGAATGCCCGTCCACACCGCGCTCAGCCGCGATGCCCGCGCGGAGCCATCAAATGACATCTTGCCTTCCAGGATGGCGTTCGACAGGGGGTCGTCGTAGGCCAGGACGACGTCGTCGATGGTGACGGCTCGGCTGCGCAGCGCCGCGTCCTTGTCCGTCTCCACGATGCGCAGCCAGTTGCGGAAGTTGCTGAGGAGGGCGGAGGCGAGCTGCGGGGCCGCGGAGGGGAGCCAGAGGCACATCGCCGACACGAACGGCCGCACCAAAAACTCGAAAAACTCCACCTGCGACCCCGGCACGTACGTCTCCCCCTCCTGCATCAGCGGCAGCGACGGCAGCCCCAGCGTCTTCTCCATCTTCCCCTGCGCGAAAAACTCCGCAATCACCCGCCGCGTCCACTCCAGATTCGTCGCGTTGTCCTTCAGCATGTGCGACAGGTCCGCCAAGTGCAGCAAGCTCTGCAGCAGCAGCTTCCGGTCCTTGTCCGACAGCCGCACGTCGCCCGCCTCCGACTCCAGCACCGCGTCGCGCTCCCGCACCAGCCGCGCCGCCTCCGCCCGCGCCTCCAGCCCCGCAATGATGTCAAAGTGCCGCGCCATGTCCGTCCCCATGATCGCCTCCACCACCAGCGACCGCACCCGCGACCACTCGTCCAGCTCCAACCCCTCCAGCACGTCCGCCTCCTTGTGCTCGATCATCGTCGTAAACAGCCGCGCCGCGTGCATGTTCTCCTGCACCGACTGGTCGTTGTACCGGATCGCCAGCGGGTCCCTCGTCGACACCAGAAACGCGTTGTTCGTCCCCTTGTGCCCCATGTCGTGCCCCAGCGCCGCCAGCATCAGCGCCAGCCGGTCCCGCCGCGTCAGCAGCCGGTCCAGCTCCGTCGACTGCAGCAGCAGCATGAAGCACCCGTGCGTCACGTCCACCGCGTGCCGCCAGTTGTGGTACGGGTTCTCCGGGTAGTCCCGCTCCACCAGCGGCAGCAGCGCCACCAGCTTCTTCCGCGGAATGCGCCCCACCGACGCCTCCGCCTCCTCCGTCAGCAGCCCGAGCTTGTCGAACATCCCCACCACGTGCGCGTGCAGCTTGTCCGCGTCCTCGTGCAGCGCCGACCAGCTCATGCTCATAAGCTCCTCCGGCAACTCCGTCGCACCGCCGTGCGCCTCGACCGAGTGGCGGCTCTCGCCGTTCGCGCGCGAATTCGCCACGTGCTCGCGGACGACCGTCAGCCGCGTGCTCGCGCGCCCGTTGCGCTTGTCCCGCTCCAGTGCGCCCTCCACCCTGCTCGCACCGCCCATGCCCTGCGCGGCGCCGTCGTCGATCGGAACCGCGAACATCTTCGTCCAGTTCCGCGCGCCCTGCACGCCGTGGTCGTCCCCGAGCGCGCCGTCCGCCTCCGCTGCCGCGGACGCCTGGTCGATCAGCCTTTGCAGGACGACGCCCCCCCCCTGCACAAGCACGGGAACGAGCGCCCCGGGCACCTCTGGGCCGTGCTGCCACGCGCGGCACACGCGCACAACGGGCGCAGCTGGCGGCGGCGCCGCCGGCCCGCTGCCAGCAAGCAGAGCGGAGCCACAATGCTGGAGCTGTGCTGCGGGACAGGCGTCCGCGTTCGCTCCGGCCAAGCCACTGCACTGCGCTGGACCGGGCGAGCGGTGCGCGGAGCGGGAGCCTCACCCGGAACGCTTTGGCCATCAGTCTCAGGAACTGGTTGATGCGTTCGATAGCGTCCTCGACGGATATGCCCAGCGTGACGACGTGGCGGTGCTGGTGCGCGCGGACGAGCTTGCCGGAGTCGTCCAGGAGCGTCGACGACGCCTGCAGCGCGCCGAGCAGCTCCTGCAGCGGCCGCAGCATCAGGTGCGTGGCCAGGAAGAAGTTCCCCCCTAGGAGGAAGCAGCAGACGACCAGGAGCACGGCCTTCTGGATGGCCTCCTCGTCGTTGTCGGTGATCAGGACGTCGCGGAAGTCCACGCGCGCCCGCGGCAGGGACGGCACGGAGGGCTCCCACAGCCACAGCCCCTGGGGGAGGTTCGGGAAGCGGTCCTGCGGCGGGAGCGTTGCGCGCTCGAACACCAGCTTGTCGTCGGCCACGAGGTGCGTGACCAGCCGCAGCGGCGCGCGGCCGGACGCGGCCTCGAGTTCACCTGCGCGGGCGAGTACGGCGTGGCGCCGCAATGGTGGGCGAAGCATCGCGCGCGTGCTGCGTCTCCGCGTGCCGATCTAGCCCCGCGAGTGAGCCGCGGGTCCGGCGCGCAAGGCGTTCGAGTTCCTGCGCCGCGCGTGCCGGCTTCGGCGGAGACAGGGGGGGTGTTGCGTACTTAGTAGGAACTGTATGGGGGGGGACTCCACGGGGAGGGTGCCGAAATTGGCCACGCGCCGCAGCACGTCGCCCTCCGCGGTGTATCGCGCTCCGACGATGACGAAGATCGCCGTCACCAGCTGGAGGCCGGCGCAGCTGACTGCTGTGATGATCATCAGCCACTGCGAACCGGGGGGAGGGGGGGGTTGATCTTTCGGGCCAGCCGCTGGACCGTAGTTCGAGTGGGCGTGGCGTGGGAGCATCGTCCGTCCGCTCGAGCGTTCGCGGGCGCACCTGGGACCAGCGCCGCGCGTGCGAGTGGTGGTGGTCAGGCTGGAAGCCTGCGCGGATGGGCTGCAGGACGGAGCGCCGCCAGGAGGCCACGATGATCTTGAGGAAGGCGAGCGGGGCGAGGAAGAGGCCGACGAGCGCGCGGACGTCGAGAACGTGGTCGACATAGCCCAGGAAGTCATCGCCGGCAACCGGGTCCTCGTAGGTGTTCTGCCGGTAGACAGAGGTGTACAGGGCGGGCCAAATGATGAAGGACGCGACCGGGAGGAGGTCGATGACGTACGGGAGGTAGTTCGCGAGGTCCGGGACGCCCACGAAGACTCCAACGATCAAGTGGACGGTGCTGTCGAACAGCATGAGCGCTGCCGCGCCGAGGGCGACGCCGAAGAGCGCGCCTGGCCCCGGCGCCGGCTCGATCGTCGCGTCGAGGATGTAGTCCAGGAAGCAGGCCGCCAACGACAGCACGGCGACCGCGAGCGGCCAGGCGGGGTGCGCAACTGCCTGCAGGGCGAGTCTCGGCCGCACAGTTCGACTGAGCCAGTCTGACGCGACGCGCGGAGAGCCGGAGCATGTCCCTTGCGCGACAGCCATCGGACGCGCAAGCTGCGTCGCCAGCGTGCGCGGGAAGCGTGCTTGCCTCGGTCAGGGTCTCCAGCGCCCGATTCCGCCGCTCAGGCAGCTCCCTGAGCGACCCGAACTCCGCGTCCTCGTCAACCCTCTCGGGCCCTTCCCAGGAAGCATTTTTCATCGGCGCTGACGGCGTCCGCTCCGCGCACCCAGCCTGCTCCTGGGAGTTCATGGCGGGCGCCCCGCGGCTCTTCCCGTGCTTCGGGCGCTGGGCTGACCAGCGTTGCGGCGAAATTCCGGGCAAGCTACGTACGACAGATCGGCTCCTGCGAGAGCAGAGCGAGCTCCGGCCTGCGCACCGACGGCGCACAGGCACTGCCCTAGACGGCACTGCCGTGCCAGGTATCAGTGTTGCATGGCGGAGATACGCGAGGGCTGGTGGAGACCGCAGAGTTGTGTTCGTGGAGACAGCGCCGCGGCGCCGCTAAGGCTTGGAGCGCTCGCGGCTCGGAGCGGAACCACCCGGGGGGCTCAATGCTAATGAATAGGTCGTGCGCGAGGGAGTCATCATCTCACGAACTGTACGCTTTCGAAGAAAGGGACTCGCTCGGCTGCTGTCACGCGCTGCTCCGGCTGCCGAGCAACGGCGCTCGCGCTCCGCTGCGGTCCACGCGAGTCCGGCCGCGTCGAAGAGCGCACACGGAGCGACCACGCATGTTGTGCGACCCGCTTCACCTGCCCGCGTACGACTCGCAGCTTCACTGCCCTCGAACCGCCCTTCTGTCGTCCGAGCCCCCACCGACCCGCGCACCCTCCCGACACGAGAGCGTCCGCGACGCAAGCAGCCGCGTGCACGGGCCCGAAAGCGTACCGTCGAGCGGGATCGATTGCCCGCCGAAAAACGAAAGAACACTGATGCACTGATGATCGGTCCGGGCAGCATGCAGCGCAGCGGTGTGGCGCGCACGCTTTCACGAGACGGCCGGGCTCGCGTCGGTCGCGGGGCCGCGGCCGTTGAACAGTCCGCTCCGTGACGTGAGGGTTACCGCAAGGTCTCACACATGGAGTCCTGCCGCGCACCCACGAAGGTGTCGAGGCACTAGCAGCTCGTGCCGCTAGCAGAGGCGGCGAAGGATTCCGTGGCCAGTGGCGGCCGCAACTGGCGTCGCGGGGTTGCGAGAGGGTGGCAGGGGGGGGGTCGGAGCCACCTGCGCCCCACCGTGGCGAAATCTGCCTGGCATGGGTAGAGAGCTCGTTGTATTCGGCTGGCGTAGACCCCATGTGGCTTTAGTGTGTGGCACAGAACAAGTGCGCTGCGCGCCGGGCCGGCGAGGTCTTTCTTTCGGGTCGAGGAGTGGAGCAAGCGGGGGGTTGTAGAAGGAAGGATGGCATGGCTTCGGAACGGGAGGAGGGCATGGCTGCCGTGCGTCCGCCAGTGTGTATCAACTTGGTCTGCTGCCCCGCGGCCGCGACCCGCCTTTGTTGGTGCTGTCTCGCCCCGTCGTCAGGGCCGTCCGGAGGTGGTCCCGGAACGCCGCGAACCGCGCGCTGGCGTTCAGCTTCAGGTACTTCGGGGCATCTTGAATGGGCACGCCGCCGTCCTTCCACCGCATGGTGCTCCTGAGCAGCGCACTGGAGAACTCGTTGCGGTTCTGCGACGCTATGCGGGCGTCGACGTCCCCAGTCGGCCCAGAGGCCGCGCTCCGGAGGCCCGTGTTCGTGCGCCGCAAGGGGTTCCGGACCGAGCCTCGCACGAGCGCCATGGACGCGCGCGGCCGCCGATCGCCGTGCTCGTTGCCGCTGTTAAACTCCTTGGCGTCGGGCATGGTGCCTCGGTTGCTGCTGGTGTGTACGTCGGCTGGCGAGACCGCGCCCGCGAGGATGGCGGCCTCCTTGTCCGCTTCGAGCATCCGCAGCCAGTTGCGGAAGTTGCTGAGGAGGGCCCGGCTCATGGGCGGGGCCGCGGAGGGGAGCCAGAGGCACATCGCCGACACGAACGGCCGCACCAAAAACTCAAAAAACTCCACCTGCGACCCCGGCACGTACGTCTCCCCCTCCTGCATCAGCGGCAGCGACGGCAGCCCCAGCGTCTTCTCCATCTTCCCCTGCGCGAAAAACTCCGCAATCACCCGCCGCGTCCACTCCAGATTCGTCGCGTTGTCCTTCAGCATGTGCGACAGGTCCGCCAAGTGCAGCAAGCTCTGCAGCAGCAGCTTCCGGTCCTTGTCCGACAGCCGCACGTCGCCCGCCTCCGACTCCAGCACCGCGTCGCGCTCCCGCACCAGCCGCGCCGCCTCCGCCCGCGCCTCCAGCCCCGCAATGATGTCAAAGTGCCGCGCCATGTCCGTCCCCATGATCGCCTCCACCACCAGCGACCGCACCCGCGACCACTCGTCCAGCTCCAACCCCTCCAGCACGTCCGCCTCCTTGTGCTCGATCATCGTCGTAAACAGCCGCGCCGCGTGCATGTTCTCCTGCACCGACTGGTCGTTGTACCGGATCGCCAGCGGGTCCCTCGTCGACACCAGAAACGCGTTGTTCGTCCCCTTGTGCCCCATGTCGTGCCCCAGCGCCGCCAGCATCAGCGCCAGCCGGTCCCGCCGCGTCAGCAGCCGGTCCAGCTCCGTCGACTGCAGCAGCAGCATGAAGCACCCGTGCGTCACGTCCACCGCGTGCCGCCAGTTGTGGTACGGGTTCTCCGGGTAGTCCCGCTCCACCAGCGGCAGCAGCGCCACCAGCTTCTTCCGCGGAATGCGCCCCACCGACGCCTCCGCCTCCTCCGTCAGCAGCCCGAGCTTGTCGAACATCCCCACCACGTGCGCGTGCAGCTTGTCCGCGCTCACGTGCAGCGCCGACCACTTCCACTCCAGCGCAGCCAACGGCAGCGAGTGGCTGTCCGACAACGCCCCCGACGACCTCTGCGAATGCGCCACGCCGCTCGTCGCCGTCGACCCGCGGCGCAGCCACCGCTTGCCCCGCGCAGCAGCGCCGGGCTTGGACGACGCGGTCTTGAGCTGTGTGTCCCTGGAGCCGTACGCCGTGCTCGAAAACATGGCCGCCCAGTTCTTGCCGCCCGCCGCGACGTCCACGTCGTCTCCGGCCTCCATCGCTTGGTCCATCAGCCGCTGGAACACCATCCTCCCGCCCTGCACACCGGGCGCGCTGGCCGTTGGTGTTGGGAGGTGCGTTGCGGAGATGGGCGTGCGGGGTGCCTGTGGCGGGCGGGCCTCTGCGTACCTCGAAGGCTTTCGCCATGATTGTGATGAACTCGAGGATGTAGGACAGGGCGCTCTCGATCGTCGTGCCGATGCCCAGGCTCGGCTTGCCCTGCGCGTCACTCCTGGGCGGGCCAACGGGCACGGCCGCCGAGTCCGTGAGCAGCTGCGCGGTGCTCAGCAGCTCGCTGAGGAGGTCCTGCATCGGCCCGATCATCATCCGCGACGCCAGGTAGAAGTTGCACGCCAGCAGGCCGCTGCACAGCGCCAGCAGCAGAATCTTGCGCACGGTCGTTTCTGCGCGGTGCGGCTCGTGCAGGCTGTTGAAGTCCGCGCGCCCGACGACGGAGGGGAGGCCGGGCTCCGGGTCGTTCGTGATCCACACCCCCGGGCCGTAGTCAGGCGACAGCGGGTCCCCCGGGGCTGCGCGGGACCGCGTCAGGACCAGCACGCCCTCGATGTACACGTGCGTGAACCGGCCCGTCGCGCCGCCGTCCGCCTCGCTGATGTCCGCTTGTCCTGCGTGCAGCGCGGGGCGTCGGGGCCAGTTGCAGCGCCGAGGACGTTTCGGGGGGCAAGGGGAAGGGGTGTGTTCTTTGGTTGGTCGAGTGGGTCAGGCGGGAGGGGGGTCGCACCGAAGACTGCCTGCAGGGCCGAGCCGCGCACGGGCCCGTCGGGGCTCCTCGCTGCCGCGCGCGCCACGAGGGTCGGCCACTGCCCAGCGACGACGCCAACGCTTGTGCCTTGGGAGGAAATCACGCCCACGATCGTGACGACCGCCAGCACGCCGAGGACGCTGAGCGCGGTGACGGCCATGAGGATCTGCGGCGCGGAGCGGCGCGGACGGCGTGTGGGCGGGTTCAGGAGAGCTGCACACAAGGGCCTCCGGACCTGGGTCGCTGCGGTCCGGCCCGCGGCGGGCCGCACGGGAGCGGGCAGCGGGCGAGAAGGCGTGGGCGCGGTTGGCGGGAGCTCACCTGCGACCACCGGCTCGAGTTGGGGGCGTGCTTGTCGTCGCGAGCTTGAGCGACTCGGCTCGCGAGGACACGGTGCCGCCAGGCGGCCACGACGACCCGCAGGAACGCGGACGGTAGCAGCAGGTACCGCACGACGGCCCTGACCCGGTCGATGTCGTCGAAGTGCCCGGCGGCCTCCTCGCGGCCCAGCGGTGCCGCGAACGAGGAGCCCGTTTCGAAGCGCTCGTTGTACACGGCGGGCCACGTGAAAAAGCAGATGACGGGGATGAGGTCGACGAGGTTCGGGAGCAGCTGGCGCAGCTCCGGAACATCGCACAGGAGCCCTGCGGCGACGTGGGTCGCGGTGAGGGCAAGCATGAGCGTGATGGCGCCCGCAGCCGCGCCCCACTCGTCGCCGACGCCCGGCATCGGCTGCACAGCCTCCCCGAGCACCACGTCCAGGAAACACATGAACACAGCCAGCGCCGCGACCGCCGCGTACGTCGCGGGGTGTGCCAGGACCTGCACACCAGTGGGTGAGGTCGCGCGGTGTCGCAGCGGTCCTCGGGCCGCCGTAGCGCCGCCTTCAGTGCGGTACGACACGCCAGGCGTCCCGCGTGGGCCCGCAGGGCACCTGGGAGAGCCGCACCTGCACCAGCCAGGGGCACCTCGAGCCCTCGCGGTTCCGGGCGTGCGCGTCCCGCGCAGCCTGGACGTATATCTCGATCTCGGACATCTGGTGGCGGTGGTCCTTGTCCAGCTGGGGCAGGGTCGACGTGAAGGTCGAGCGGCTGACCATGGTGGTGGTTTTCCCTCAGAGCCACGCGCGCGGTCCAGCCCCGGGGCGCCTACCCAGCCTTGTCACGGGCCTCCAGCAGTCAGTCGCGATCCCGCTACCTCGTCATGGCCCGGGGGGCGCAAAGGCGCGCTCGAGCGCGGCAGCGTGGCCGCAGGCGTATCCCCACACTTCTCGTGTGCTGGCGGCGGCGTGCGCGCGTGGATTCCCCTGTCACGAGCACGCCGGAGCTTCTATGGGGGTGCCCCTGGTCTTGCGCGCAATGGAACGCCGGCCTGTGCACCTGCCCGAAAGTATCCGGTGCCCCACTTGTGGTTGAACCATAAGTCCGAACCAACGACGTGACGTATATTCTCAGTCGACGAAACAAGACTGGCAACCGCGTACGCGCATGCTGCCACGGAGCCGCGCTCCCGTCCGCACCGCTTGCTGCGGGCCGCCGCGGGCGCGATCGCGCGCGCGCACGTCGCTCGAGCGCGCTCCCCACCGATCGACCGAGCCGCCCGACCAGCGCTCAACAACAAACACACATAATGTCAGGATGCGCGATCCGACAGGTCCCCGCCCGCCGCACGTGCTGCCACGGCAGTGACGCCTTGGGCACGGCGGGGCACAGCGCGCGGCACTTGCGCAGCTTTGCGTCGCGCGGCACTGGACCGCGGTTGACGGGGGTGCAGTGGCTGGTGGTTAGGGGGTGCAGCGATGGCGATGCGTCGTGCCGCGAAGGCGGCCGAGCAGGCCGTGCCTCAGGTGCTGCGATGCGTGACGTCGTCGGGCGCGCGCGCGGCGGGCGGCGCGGTGCCGATGGTGGACGAGATGATCGCGATGGTCCGCAGCGCAGAAATGCGGGGGCAGCCTGCGGCGGGAATGGACATCCTGCGGAGCGGTTTGTCGATGCCGCAGGTGAAACAGAGCGTCATTGACGCGGGAAGGTGCGCAACAGCGGGCCCACCCGCAGCAAGCGGCGCCCAGGGGGCTGAGAGCGTGCAACGAGCGGGCGGGCCCAGCATGGGGCTTGCGCGGCGTTTCCGCCCTCCTGAGCGTGCAGAGCCCCGGAGATGGCTTGGGAGAACTGAACGGCGCTGTGCAGGGCGTCGTGTACACGCCACCTCGCGCCGCGCCAGGACGTTGCCTGGTGGCTTGAGGTCGCTGCAGGCCGCATGTCGTCGTGATCCGACCCCACCGCGCGCCCCACCGTCCCGTACACCTTTACAGAATCACAGTCGCGATGGCGGAGGTCGCGAGCGACTCCGGCGACGACGGCGCTGCGGCCACGCTTGCTGAGGACGCACTGGCGCAGCTGGCCAAGGGCGGCGGCTGGTCCTTCGAACTCGCCCTCCAGGCCACGCACGTCGGCACTCTGTCCCTGCTGCGGCAAGGCAAGGTGCGCCGCACAACCCACGAACTCTGCCCCCCGTGGTGTTTCTGCTGCATCTGCTGCGTCCATGTGCTCACGCGCCCCGCACCCGCGCGGCCCCGCCGCCGCAGGACGAAGCGGCGCAGCAGCTCGCGCAGGCCGCGTGTGAGCGGGCGCCGACGCCCAAGTCGGGTTCGGACCTGGACGCAGTGCGCCGCACTGGGCTGTCCGCGGCGAAGCGATTCCTCGCGCACACGCGGCTGTGCTGCGGAGACTTCGACGGTGCTGGGAAGGCCGCGGACGAGGCGGAGGAGATGGTGCGCCGCCTACGCGAGCCGCGCGCAGATGATTATTGATTGTTGGTTCCCGGCTGCGCGGGAGTGGGGTTGGTGGGGGCGGTTGGTCGAGGGGGGATGCTGATGGCGAAGCGCGCGCTTGTGCTGGCGATGCAGGATCGCGGGCTTGGATCGATCAGCGGGGCGGACGCGGACACGCGCCTGCTGTGTCCCGCCGCGCTGCTGCGGGCCGGCACGGTGCTGGGCGTCCTGGAGCGCGGGGACGACGCGAAGCGCATGCTGCAGTGCGCGGGGGATCTGGTGAGTTCGCGCGGCCGAGAACCGCAGTCCTGCGCCCGGCGTCTGTTGTCGGACCGCGCCCGCTCCTGCCACTGTCATTTGAGATGTCGTGAAGGGCTGACTGAGTCAGGAAGGACCACATCGCGATGCAGGCAACGGTCGGGGCGCGCGGAGCGGACTCCCCCGGGGGTGTCAACGACGCGAGGGCCGCGGTGCTGAACCACCCTGTGGCGCTGCAGCTGGTGTCCGCGGATGCGCACGCGCAGCTCGCGCAGGCGCAGCTGCGCGCGCGCGCGTGGAGCGACGCCGAGAAGAGCCTCGAGAGCGCGCTGTCGGCTGCGGAGGCGCTTCCAAAGGGCACAGTGCATGACGTTGCTGTCGGCACCGTCCTGATGCTCACGGCGTCGGCGTACGTCAACACGGCGCGGTTCGCCATGGCAGAAGGCCTCTTCGTCGAGGCGGGCAAGGTGCAGTTCGAGACCGGGCAGTGAGCCTTGCCCTGCGCGACCGCAGCAACATTTCGCATGCAGATTCCTGCAGGATGCTCCCTCCCTCTCTGGCCTAGCGCTGCAACCTGCGCACGCAGCTTGCCTCTGCGGACAGGAACCGATCCCGGCGCTCTTCGGCCGTGGATGCAGATGATCGGGGTGCCTCTGCTGGACTTCATGTCCCTGGATGCCAACACGGCGACGGCGCGCGCCAAGTGCCACGGAACGACCGTCGCGCACCTTCTGTGGAGGTTCGGGGAGATGGTCAACATGGTGGAGAATCGGCGCCACCAGGGAAAGAAGCTGCAGGGCGTGGCTGCCGATGTCTGGAAGAAGCACGCGGCGACCCACAACGACCCAGGCGCGGTGCTCGGGAACCTCAAGGACGGCACGGGCGCAGCGCACGTCATCAACCTCTCGATCGGCCGCGTCCTGTTCCGGCCGCGGCGCAGCGAGTGACTGCGGCGTGTGACCTGCGTGGCACTGCAGTGACGTGGCGGGGGTGCGTCGCTCCCGCACGTGAAGGGCGGCAACGGAACGCACGCGCCGGCAGAATTGTTGCCTGGCGGGAGACCTGTGCTTTCGGTTCGTCGTCCTGAGACATCCAACCATGAGGTCGTTGGTGGCCCTCCTCCTCCTTCTTGCTGGCGTCGCCGTAGCGCAGGCGCGCTCAGACAAGGGGACGGGCGTGTACGTAGAGGCGGATGGCTACGGTGGGCGCACACGGGTGGACGTGCCGCGGTTCGCTGCGGTGTCTGGTGCGTGATTTACTCTTCGCAAGATTGTTGGCCTAGCAGGACTGACTGTGCGTGGTACGGAACGCTTTGAAGGTGTCTGTTCGTCAGCTCGGGACACGAAAAGCGCCGTTCGCACAACCAGAGCCCCAACGCACACGCCGCGTCCTCGGGCGATCGTTTCTTCCATTCACGTTTCGCTCCGCCCCGACACGACCGATGCGGACAGCCCGACGTCCTCGCGTCCACTGACCTGCGAATTAATCGTCGCCGCGAGGGCGTTCGCTAGCGACATACATCATGGCAGACCACGCACGCAAGCCCCCGGTCGAACATGCGTGCCGTGCAGTCGCCTGGCAGCGCGCAGCCTTCCCGGACCCCCCTTCGGTGGTCGACGTCGACCTCGGCTCCTACATGGGCCGGTGGTACGAGGTCGCGCGGACACGCGTCTCGACGCCGTTCCAGGCGCTGTGTGGATGCGTCACGGCGGACTACGAGCTCCTCGACTCGGGCAACGTGCGCGTCGTCAACACGTGCGTCAAGATGCCGCACCCGCTCATCCAGGGCGCTACGACGCAAGCCATCGGCGAGGCCGTCCCGAAAGCGCCCGGGAAGCTGCTGGTCACCTTTGACGGCCAGCCTGCGTCCTTCATGGCCGACGAGGGAAACTACTGGATCGTCGACAGCGCCGACGACGGCTCCTGGGCCGTTGTGTCCAGCATGATGCGGGCGCCGATCTGGGTCCTCTCGCGGACCCCGGCGCTCCCCGGGGGGACTCTCAAGGACATCATGCAGCGTCTGACTGACCGCGGGTTCGACGCGTGGAAGCTGCGGCCCACTACGCAGGGCGACAGCTGCGCCTACACGTAGTTCCGCCGCGCCCGCGCGCCTTCGCTGGGCGCCGCGTCGGCCCCTCGGTTGCTATGCCGTGTAGGTTCCCGGGCCTCGGTCTGCATAGTACTTTGCTGACCTACAAGCACCCTCGCCGCGAGGACGCTTGAGCGACCGAAATGCATGTCCGCCCGCTCGCTTGTCTACTCCGCTTCGCTGTGAGGAACGTTCAGCGCTGCGAGCGCGCCCACCGAGGGTCGCTGAGGCGCGGCGCGCAGAGTTTGCAGGTCAGGTGCCGCACCACTCCTTGCGCGGCAAGCGCAGGCTCACACGCCGCCGTCAGCTCCCCGGGACCGCGGAGCCGGAGTGCAGGGCGACGCCAGACACGTCGTGCCCGGCTCATCCCCGCTATGTGGCGGCATGCGGGTCTGCGCGCGCGGGTGTTGTTCTGCGGCTCCCGCTGTGGTGATGAGAGGGGTGCGACTTTACGCCTTCAGCGCCTTCTTCGCGATCCTGCCCCGCTTGATCTTCTTGATCATCGCCACGTGCCGCTCGAAGTCGGTCGTCGCCGCCTTCGCCTGCACGCACCGCGCAACAACAGCGGGGCTGTTCGCCTGGCCTGCACGCGCGCAGCGGGGCAGCCCCGCGCCCACGAACGATGGCACGCCCTGCGTGTGCCGCGAGACGGGCCGTGCGGCGGCGCACCTTGCGCGCAGCCATCTTCTTCCCCCAGCCGGTGGCGGCAAACATCTTGGGCACGTCCGCGGCCTGCCAGGCCTTGACGATCGCGCTCTTCTTCGCGCCGCGCTCCACGTCGATCTTGATGTCCGTCACGGCCAGCCGCTTGAGCGAGTGAACCCTCCGCTCCTCGCCCGGACCGTCCACCAGCACCTGCACACATCGTCGCCGCACAGCAGCTCGTGAGCCCCCCCGACTGTGGCAACGTCGCCCGGAGCGCCTGTGCCGATGCTGCTGCGCGGGAGTGTGCGCCCGGGAAGAGCTGCGGGGAACGCCGCGAGCGGGATGGGGGGCGGAGGGGAGCGGCGGCCGGAGCAGCGGGTGGGCAGCTGGGCGTGGCGCGCGGCCGTTTGCCGGCGCGGGCGGCATCGGGATGTCCGTGAGTGTGGAGGGGTCAGCCTCCGCGAGGGGAGGCCCGTCGCAAGCCGTGGCCTGGGCGCAGGGAGGCGCTGAACTGCAACTTCGTGCTGTGCTCCTCGGCAGCGGTCGCGGCGGGCCGTCCGGGAGTGAACGGCGCCGCGGGCCGAAAGTGTGGAAATGAAATTGGGGCGAGGCTGCGGGGAGACGCGCTACAGTGCTGTGTGCGTGCGCCCACGCGGCTGGAAGATGGCTTTCGCCCCGAAGGTGAGCACTGGGTGCCCGCAGTCGCGCGAATGTGCGGCCGCACTCGATGTAGCATTCGTCTCCCGGCGCTGGGGCGGACGGCCGGCGAGCGGGGCAGGCAGGACCGACCCAACTCGAGCTCTGCTGCTTCGGAGAGCGCAACGTCGCGCCCTAGCGGCCAAAAACGGCGGCCGCGTCCGTCTAGAGCTCAACACGATAATATAGCCGCGATCAGGGGTGCGTTCGAGTGTCCGCGGCATCGCAAACGCGCATGCCAGCCGTGCCGAGACGGACGTCCGCAGTTAACGCACCCGGTTCTGGTCGAGGATGTCCGCGATCACCAGCAGCTTGCCGTACTCGGGGCCGTAGTTGACCAGGGCCACGCGGCCGGCCTCGACCCGCCTCTCGAACGGCATCCTGGACTCGAGCTAGCCTACTAACGTGAGTCCCGCTGGAATCCGGGGGAGGCTGCACTCGGGACTGTCCCTGTGCGGTCGACAGAAAAAGGGCGAGCCGAGGCCGGGCGCACAGCCCTCGTAGCCGCGCCGAGGCGGAGGCGCAGGGTCGGGGGTAGGACTGCCGAGAGGGGATGTCCCGGACGTGCAGCTGGGGCGGGCTCAATGCCTCCCCCAGCGCGTCGCAGCCCGCCACCCTCCCGCACCGCAGCGCGCTCACAGGCGCCGCGCGTGAACCACCACACAGCGGCCCCGGCAACCACCACTCCCAAGCGTGCTTGGCCCGCGCGCGCGCTGCGCCCGAGTCGTTTCGCCGGCTTCGAGCATTCCACGGCGGCGTCTCCCGATAGCCGCCCCCCCGCGGCCGCCTCCTGCAGGGCTTGCACTCCAGCAGCGCCGCGCAAGTCGTTCCCCGCCACTCCTGGCGCGACTTGCATCGCTCTCCCGGCCCAGTGCGGGGCCGTCCGGCCCCCTCAGGTCGATACGCGTGCATCCAGACATGCCTGCAACTACCACGAGGAAGCGGGCGCGCAGCTCGCTGTCTGAGCCCCCGCACCGGCCGGCGCCCGGCGCCCCGGACCTCGCCGGGCATTATGTGCCGTTGCACCCGTCCACGTGCGCGCCGCTCCACGACCCCCCGCCCCGCGGGGACGCAGACATCGTCGATGCCCTGCGCGCGAAGCTCGCGGGGCCGTATGCCATCGCCGGCAACGCGAGGTGCGCCCGAAAGCCCAGCGCGGCGCTAACCCGCCCCAACGCGCCCAGCGTCCGCAAACACGCCATCTGACGGCGACTCTCCGCCTGGAGCGCCTGCAGGTACCCTCCGAGGATCCTGTCGTGGTTGCAGCCCGTCGCCGATGCCCTGGAGGCTCACCTGTCCCCGCTTGTTGCGGAAGCGACCGACGCGCCCGCCGTGCACTGCTCCGCGATCCTCGTCGGCAAGCGCGGTTCCGGCCTGTCGACCGTCGCGTGCGCCGCTCTCTCGCAGCTCGCGCGCCGCTGCAACACCCCCCCCGCGGGCCGTGAAACCCCCCTCCCGCACAACCCCGCCGACGACGCCGAGGCGGTCGCCGCCATGGCCGACGCGGTGTCCGACAGCGACAGCGACCCCGCCGAGGGCGCCGACGCCGACGCGGAGCGCGCGCAGCGCCAGACCCGCGCACTGGACGTGCTGTCACGCCGCCTGGCGCAGGGCCCGCGGCTCGGCGTGGTGCGCCTGAGCGGGCACGTGCACAGCGGCGACGACCGCGTGGTCTACCGGGAGCTCTGCCGGCAGATCTGCAGGCAGTGGCGCCTGCCGTACGCCCGCACCAGCTCGATCGGGCGTAACTGGACCCTTTTGGAGACACTCCTGGGGTCGTTACGGGCCGCGGGGCGCGCGCTGGTGCTGGTGCTTGAGGACATGCAGGAGTTCACGACGTTCCGGCAGCGCCTGCTGTACAACGTGCTCGACCTGATGCACACGAAGGAGGTGCGTGCGGCGGTGGTGGGGCTGGCGGCGCCGGCGACGATCCGGGAGATGCTGGAGCGGCGCGTGCGGTCGCGGCTGATCCACCGCGCGATCGTGCTGCGTGTGCCGGCGCCGTCGGCGCCGCTGGGGGGCGACACGCCGGCGTCTGAGCGGCCGCGCGGGGGGGCGGCGGCGGCGGCGGTATCGGCGCGGAACGAGGACGTCAATGCGGAGATGATGGCGATGATGGACGACGTGGGCGCGCCGCAGCATCTCGACGCGCACGTCATGCTCCAGGTGAGCTGTCTCGCCGGCTGTGCAGCGGGTGGGAACAACCAGGACGAATCGTTGATTGCACGTCGTGGTTTCGTATCTGTGGCGAGACGGCGGCCCGCTGGACGTGCGCGTGCTCTTGCAGGAGATGCTGAGCGTGTCGGAGTCTCCGCGTGCGTTCCCGGACACGGCGGCAGCGCGGGCGCACAACAATGCCGTGGCGAAGGCCCTGTCCGACGCCGCACTGCGCGAGGACCTCGCGTGGCGCGTGCGGCTGGAGGAGTTCGGCCCGGGCCTGCACGCGCTCGCGTCGATCGCGCGCGCGGTCGTCTCCGGCGTCGTCGCGGCTCAGCAACGCACGGGGGGGCCTGCGCCGCCGGTGACGACAGCGCAAGTCGCGGCGGCGATTCGGGGCCTCGAGGCGACGACGGAGAGGGAGCTGCGCATCCGGTCGCTCGCGGACGCGAGCATGTGCCAGCTGTACATGCTGGCGGCGCTGATCCGCCTGGACGGCCGCGGGGGGGAGTCCCTGCCCAACTTTGGGAGGTGTTATGCCGAGTACCTCGGCATGAACCCGGGGCGGAACGCGGCGTTCTCGCGGTCGGCGTGCCTCGCCGCCTTCGAGGATCTGATCGAGGACGGCCACGTGGAGATCGCGGCGGGAGGCGCGCGGTGGGAGGACCTGGGGGTGAACAGGGCGTACGTGGCAGCCGCGCCGCGCACGGCGGCCGCGGAGGCGCTCGAGGCGCTGCAGCGCGTGCGGACCGAGCGCGGGGACCCCGCTGCGGAGATGCTCGACAAGTGGATCCGGCTCCAGGGCGTCGCCAACGTCGACGTTTAACCACAGACATGAATCCACCTTGACGCACCTGTACATACACAAGCTCGCGAAAAGAACCCCGGCTGCCGACAGGACTGACGCAGCCCGCGCCAACGCGGTGAGGTGAGGTGTCACATTCTTCGCGTCGTCAGCCATAAGGCTTTGGGACCTGAAAAGATCATTCGACTAGGTGGCGAGTCATGCTAACCCCCCACCGTTATGGTAGCAACAGGTTCGGCAACTGTGACAGAGTCAGCCTGGAGCAGATCCTCGATGCCACGAGCAAAGATCGCCATGCCTCGCTGATTCGGCAGGTTCAGAAGATAACGCACTGCAGCGTTGGCAGCGGCTTCCGAGTCGAGTGTTGCAGCGCCGTACAGGTCCTCGAGGTGCTGGCGTAGCCGGCGGTTGAGGGCGAAGCGGCGGCGCTGTCCAACAGTTGCCGTGGAAGACAGGGGCGCATCGGCAGCTGGCGGAAGTGGCAGCGTGAGCTGCCCAGACGAGTCCATGGCCAGGCCCGCTCGTTCCCGGAGAGAGCGTACCGCCGGGGCGCGGCAGTCCAGCAGTTGGTGACGGAGGTCCTCCGGGGCGGGCGATGCCGCCACGTCCACGCAGAAGCGGCAGACTTTCGATGGGTGCGACAGCGGTGTGTGTTGCCACTGCTGTTCCTGGTCCGCCATGGCCATCGTGGAGGTGCGCAGCCTCGTAGCTCCCACACGCAGGCGGGACAGGGCACGGCGGTCCGCGTGGTAGATCGCGGTGTCGAGCAGATGTGGACCGGCCCCGGCGTCGCGGTTAGATCCTCTCACATGGTCGCGAACGCACGCAAGCACGCACGTGCAGGCAGGGCATCTCCAGACACGCCCGCCGCCCCGTCCGCGGCTCACTTGGTCTTCGCGGCGCGCGCGACCGACGACACGCCGTCCGCGAACCTCGTCCGGAAGAGCACGTTGGCGTTGTTGAACATGCCCTCCTTGAGCGACACTACGATGAACTGACTGTACGGGAAGTGCGTCTGGATCATGCGCCCGATGTTCTCCGTGTGCGACAGGTCCAGCGCCGCGTCGACCTCGTCCAGGATGTAGATCGGCGCCGGCTTGAACAGCAGCAGCGCCAGGATGAGGGACAGCGCCAGCAGCGAGCGCTGCCCGCCCGACAGCTCCGTCAGGCTCTCCTTCCACGCGCCGTTGAACCCGACGCGCACCTCGAGCCCGTTCTCCACGTTGCCCTCGAACGGGTCCAGCCGCGCGGACGCCCCGGGCAGCAGCGTCGAGAAGATGGAGGCAAAGTCGCGCGTGACCTTCTCCCACGTGGCGTGCAGGCTCTCGAGCTTCTTCTGGTCCAGCTGCGCGATCACGCGGCTGATGTTCTCGCGGTCCCGCACCACCGCCGCCTTCTTCTCCGCCAGCGCCCGGTACTCCTGCTCGGCCCGGTCGAACATGGCCAGCACCTTCTTGTTCATGTGCCGCGCCAGCGTCTTCAGCCGCGCCTCCGCCTCGCCCAGCTCCTTCTGCGCCGCCTCCAGCTCGCGCTCCCCGAGCCCCTCGTAGCCCGACCCGGGCTGCCCGAACATGTGCTTCTCCGTGCTGATCCACGGGTGCTGCTTCAGCAGCCTGTCCAGCTCCTTCGCGCCGCGCTCGCGCGCCTGCTGCGCGCGCTGCACGCGCCCGCGGGCCTCCCCGAGCGCCACGTCGGCCTCCTCGAGCGCCGCGCGCCGCTGACGCAGGCCCTTCGTCAGCCCGGACTCCTCCGCCTCGAAGCCCGCCACGCGCGCCTCCTGGGCCTTGAGCTCCCGCGTCGCGGCGACGTGCGCCTCGCGCGCCGCCGCGACCTCGCCCTCGAGCGCCGCCACGCGCGCCGCCGCCGCGGCCACCGCCCCGCGGGCCTCCTCGAGCGCCGCGCGCGCCTCCGCCGCCTCCGCCGCCGCGCCCTCCGCCTGCGTCTGCAGCGCGACGCTCGCCTCCTCCGCCGCGCGCGCCGCCTTCTCCGCGCCCGCCAGCGCCTTCTTCGTCTCCTTCGCCTCCTTCTCGACCGCCTTCGCGAGGCCCCCCGTCCGCGCGGCCTGCAGCTGCGCCGCCAGCGCTGCGAGCTGCTCGTCCAGCGCGGCCGCCTCCTCCGCCGCGGCGCGCGTGTCGCCCTCGAGCGCGGCGAGCTCGGCCTCGAGCTCCGCGGCCTCCGCGGCCGCCGCGCCGCCCGCGGTGTGCGCGTCGAGCTTGTTCCGCGCCAACGTCAGCGCGTGCTCGGCCCTGGCGAGCTCCTGGGCGAGGGCGTCGGCCTCGCGCGCGGTGGACTCGAGCGCGGCGATGTCGCGCGCGATCGCGTCCGCGCGGGCCGTGCGCCCCGCGAGCTCGTCGGAGGCCTCCCGGAGCTGACTCAGCTGCGTCAGGACGTTGCGCGAGTTGCTGCGGGAGCCGCCCGTGAGGAGGCCCGAGGGGGAGAACTCGTCGCCCTCGAGCGTGACGCAGCGCAGACGGACCTGCGACGCGCACAGGAGAGGGGGGGGGGGAAGCTTCCGGTTCGGTCAACATTCAACCTGTCGGTGGTGGCAGCGCAAGATATCCGGGAAAGGAAGGAGCACGAAGCCTCAGAAACCCTCAGGCCTGGATCGCCGGATGGAACGCAGGGCGTGACAGGAGCAGGGACGCGACCGCAGCGTCCTGCCGTCGCGCACAGCGGCCCCCGGGTGCAACGTCTGGAGGGCGTCGGCGCCAGTCGGGTTTCCCCGACTGCGGCCCCCTCGCTCACCTTGGGGTCGAACGCGCACTTCTTCGCCGTCTCGGCGTCCTTCGCGACGAGCACGCCGCCGAACCCGTACGCCATCGCGGCCTCGAACGCCCCGTCGTACTCGATCATGGCCACCGCCGGCCGCGCGAACCCCCCCGAGACCCCCTCCACCGCCTCCAACACCTCCGGGGGGATGTTCGAGCCGCGGATCTTGCTCAGCGGCACCACCGTCAGCCGCTGCCGCAGCCCCGCGAGCACCCCCTTGGCCGTGCCCTCGTCCGCGACCACGAGCTGGTACAGCTTCGAGCCCGCCGCCACCTCGAGCGCCAGCGCCGCGCTCGGGTCCTTCACCCTGAGCAGCTCCGCCATCATGCCGTGCACCTTGTCGCGGGCGACCTTCTTCGCCGCGGCAGGGCTCGTGTACTGCACCTGCGCGGCAGTGCGGAGCGGGGAGCGGGCGCGGGGCCGTGGGAGCAGAGTTCAGCGAGCAGGAGGGGGGGGAGTGATCCGTTGGGGGGTCGGCGTGCCTCGAGGAACTTGAGCGAGCACTTGAGCTTGTCGACGACGTCCTGGATGTCGCGCGCGCGCCGCATCTCGGCCTCCCGCGCGCCGCGGAGCTCCTCGAGCGCCCCCGCGGCGCCGCCGTCGCCCGCCGCGGCCGCGCCGCGCGCGCGGAGGTCCGCGACGGCGCGCTCGCCCTCCTCGACCGCGCTCCGCAGCTCCGCAACGCCCGCCGCCTCCTTCTCGCGCCGCTTCGCCGCCGCCGCCAGCCGCTTCCGGAGCTGCGCTGCGCGCGACGCCCCCTGCTTTTCACGGGCCGCCGCCGCGCTGCGGGCCGCCTTCGCGCGCCCGATCTCCTCCTGCATCACCGTCTCCGCGCTGCCCGAGTCCTCCTGCACCGACCGGGCCTTCTCCTCCGCCACCTTCGCCCGCGAACGCGCCATCTCCAGCTCGGCACGCGCCTTGCGCAGAGCGAGCTCGGCGGCGCGCGCGCCCTCGGGGTCCTGCTGCGCCTCCAGCGCCGCGATCTGCGCCTCGACGTCCGCCACGTTCTTCCGCTCCGCCTCCAGCGTCTGCAACGGGGCGGAAACGCATGAGCGGGATCGCATCAGCGCTTGAGAGAGGGGGGTGGGGGGGGGTAAGGGGGGCGCGGCGTGCGGGCGCGCGGGCGGGGCCGCGGGGGGCTCGCCTTCCCGGCGTTGGTCAGCTCGGAGGTCTTCTTGATGAGTTCGTTGCTCGTCTTCTGCACGGCGTCCTGCGCGGCCTCCATGGCGCGCCCCGCGACGGCGCGCTTGCGCTCCGCGACGCCCTCGAGGTCGCGCTCGATCGCGGCGCACTCGGACCGCAGGCGCGCCATCGTCGCCTCGATCTCGTTGGCCTGCGCCTGCAGCAGGCTGGCCTCCGACCCCCCGCCGTGCACCGCCTCGTGCAGCCCGACGTACTGCTGCGCCACGACCTGCCGCTGCGTGCGCGCCATCGTCTGCTCCAGCCGCGTGAACTCCGCGAACGTCGCCTTCTCCTGCGCGCAGCACACACGCACACGCACACCCCGGCCGTCAGCACAACGCACAACAACCCAACGCACGCGCCGCGCCGCCCCGCCCCGCCCCGCCCCGCCGCGCCCGCACCTTGCGGAGCTTCTCGAGCGCCGGCACGACCTCCTCGGCCAGCAGCTGGTCGATCTCGTCCACCTTGAGTTGCTTCTTCGCCAGCGTCTTGAGCGCCGCCTCCTTCTTCGACTCGAACATCCGCGTCCCCGCGGCCTCCTCGAGCATGTTGAGGATCTCCGGGGGCTTCATGTTGAGGACCTTGGTGATGCGCCCTTGCATGATGAGGAAGTGGGGGTTGTTGACGTTGAGCTGCACGCTGTGGAAGAGGTTCTGCACGCGCGCCGGCTGCGCGACGTGGCCGTTGATGAGGAACTTCGAGCGCCCGCCGATCGCGATCTGGCGCGTCACGACGATCTTCTCGCAGTGCTCGTATCCCAGCGGGCTCGTGGCCTTGTCCGCGTTGTCAAACGTGATGCTGACCGAAGCCTTGGTGACGCCCGCCTGGCCCTGCTTGTAGATGAGGTCCTGGAGGGAGCCGGCGCGGACCTGGCGCGGGACGGGCGGGGGGCGCGCGCGGTGGGCGGAGCGCGAGGGACGTGTGGGGGCGCGGCAGTTGAGTGTGCTCTGCACGAGCTGGGTTCGTGCCGTGCGGGCGTGTTGCGGGGGAGCCGGGGACGCGTTGCGGCGTGGGAGGTGGCGCTTGCCTGGGAGAGGTTCGTGATGCCGAGAACGAAGCATATTGAGTCGAGGATGTTCGACTTTCCGGACCCATTGAGGCCAGTGATGGCGTTGAAGTGCGGGTCGAAGTCGGAGACGACCACCTTCTGCGCGTACGACTTGAAGCCGTCGATGACGATCTCCTCCACGAACATGGCGCCCAGACACGCTCACGCGGCGGGGTCTCCGGTCCCGGAACAGCCCGCTCGCGCGGTGTTGAGGCCTGCTGGCTGGTGCCCGCGCCTGCACGGACAGCACGGGGGCGTAGTGCCGTGCTTCTGCGGGCGCGGTGGTCCGCTGTGACGGGTTCTCGCGGGTGAGAGACAGAAGCTGGCGCGAGACGGCACCCGCGGGCGCCTGGAGCCGCGATGAGGCTGGGCAGCGGCGCCGCGGCCGTGCGCTGTCCCGCGCGGCCGAAACGTGCGTTGGCGTCGTGTTCCTGATTCTCTGTGTGCTGGAGCGTGCGGAACGCCGGGCTTGACGCGCCGTGGGGGGCGGGGGAGTCCGGGAGGGCGTTGCCGGGCTCACCTGGTTCAAAGCAACAACGAGCAGGAGGGTCCGGCGCGGCCTCGACCTTGCGCGCAGCCCGTGTCTGCTCGAGTCAACCTGCAGGACTTGCGGCAAAACGCCGATATTGCCCCCGCCCCCGACAGCGCGCGGGCCATCGAAGCCGGTAGCGCGCTTCCGTCGGGACGGACAGCCCAGCTCAGACCCCTGCCTCAGACGCGCCGCCAGCGACCCCGCAAAACCCCGCGCGAGCGGCAAAAACGATTCTCCGTCTCACACTCGACCTTGCAAGCACGCACGAACGCGATTGACTGCCCGCATGCCGCCGGAATCGACTCGGGTGCTTGCGGCGTCTCACCAGCCGCGCTTGTACGCCCGGAGCGCCACCCGCTCGGCGCTCGCATCGCTCCGCGACGGGCTCGCTCGGCGTCCGCGACGCGTTTCATGCGCGTCCTCCGCGACCGCCCGCGTCCTGCGCGTCGCCGTCGTCGCGACGCACTTCCGGCCTCGGGGGCGCTCGGACCGCTCAGAAGACGGGCTGCATGGACTTGACCTTCTTGTGGACCTCCTTATACGACTCGTCGAACTCCTCGTCCTTCTCCGCGGACCCCTGCAAAGCAGCACCCCTCAGTGCACCGTCAGCGACGCTCACACGCCACCAACACACCTGACCCGCGCGCGCAGCGCCTGCGCGTCGGTCCCCACGCTGCCAGCATCGTCGGGAAGGCGCAGGTGCCGCAGCGCCGGCCTGCGCGTTGCCGGCGCGCGTGCGCGGCGCGAACGTGCGCAGGAGTGCAGAGCGGTCCTCAAGGCGGTATGAGCGCACCTTGGCGGGCTTGGGCATGACGAGCATGCAGGACGTGGGGCGCTTGGTCAGGCCCGCGGCGCCGAGCTCCTCCTTGCTCGTGACGTAGAGGTACGGCACCGCGTTGTCCTCGCAGAGAACTGGAATGTGCGTAATGACGTCCAGGGGGCTGATGTCCGCCGCGAGGATGCAGATTCTGCAAGGTGTAGGGTGAATGGATCGGGATGGGGCGGGCGGCGCCGGCGGGGCGGCGGGAGCGCGCCGTGGTCGCGCTGTAAAGGGCTACAGAGAGGAGCTGACGCCGCGTGGCAGGTCCCTGGGCGTCGTGGGCGCGTGACGGTGGCGTCATGCGACGGTTGCAGAGGATTTCATGCGATGGAGGTGATTGTGAATGGTAGTGAGGCGCGCAGGGGGCCTGGGGAGGGGGTGGCAGCCTGCAGGAGTGCTGGGTGCGCAGAGGCGCGCTGCGACCACGGTTGCGCGACATCTCGCGCTGTGCGCGTCTATTCATGGACGAAGACTGTGCGGACCGTCGGAGCGTGCGCGTGATCGCCGTGGGCGAGCGCCCCGAGCGCGGCACGCTTCGGCGGCCCTCTCACGCCCAAGGACGCGGCGCGCAGGGACGCAGGCGCACCCTTTCAAGTTCTTGCGGATGGCCTTGACGACCTCCTTCACTCCGCGCTTGATCTGCTTCTTCTTCGCGGCCTTCTTCGCGAGTTTCAGCACCTTTTTGCCGAGCTTGTCGTCCGCGAGAGGCTTCGCGATGGGGATGAGTGTCCGAACGGGCGCGACGGCGTCCTCCTCCATCGCCTCAACCTCCTTCTCCTTCTTCTCCTTCTTCTCCTTCTTCGGAGTCTTCCCCATCGTCCCCCTCCCGCTGCCCTCTGCCGCGCCGGCTGCTACCTCTCCGCACGCCCGCTCCCTTGCTCGTTTCTACTACACCGACGAACCGCCCCCGATCTCTCCTCGATGACACGCAAACAACGACGCCCCGCACCGTCGCGGCCCCTTCACCGCGACGCAACGCCCCACAACGACCACACCCCTCCTGACGTGGCACCGCCCCGCCCCCCGCGCCTCACTCCCCGCCGCGCGCCACGCCACGCACCCCGCGCACACACCGCGCTCTATTCACCCCCTCCCACCCCACCAACCCCCCGCGCCCACGCGCCACCACCTGTGCCTCCGTCACAGCACCACAGCGCTCCGTCACACGCCCGCCGCCTCAGTCCGTGTCCATCGCACCGCCCCCGTTCGCCTCCCCCTCCTTCGCCCCCTCCTTCGCCCCCTCCCCCTCCCCCTTGCCCTCCTTCTCCCCCTTCTTCCTCACAGCGTCTTCGCGCGCCTTGCTGTCCCGCTTCTCCGCCTCCGCGCGCTCCCGGCGGTTCGTCTCCTTGTTGTCGATGAGGTTATGCAGCGCGAGGACCGACCGGATCAGCGACGAGAGGTACACCGCCATCGACATGTCGTTCGTGGTGTGCGCCAGGGCGCGTGCGAGCTCGTCGACTGCCAGGTTCGGCAGGAGGTTGAAGACGTCCTGGAGCTGCCCGGAGATCTCGTGGTTGACGGGGAGCTTGCCCTCGGCGACGAGGCCGAGGTACGAGTGCACGTCGCGCAGCCGCGTCACCAGCCCGCGCAACGACGAGATCTTCGCCGAGATGTCCTCTGTGAGGGTGGAGACCGACGCGTCCTTGACGTCGCGCAGGAGGTGCTCCACGCCGATCTCCTCGGCCTCCGTGGCCCCGACCTGCGCGCGGGACCGCCCGGCGCCGCACCATTGCACCGCAGCGGTGCACACGCGGCGAGGGGCGCGGCCGTGGCGGCGGACGGGCGCAGCTGCGGTCGCGCGGGTGCTGCGCGCGCGGGGCACGCGTGGCTGCGGCGCACCTCGGTGGGGACGTTGGCAAAGATGGTGCGGTCGTGTCCGGAGCTGACGTCCTCGCGGATGTCCTCCTCGGCGACGTAGGCGCTGACGGGGAGGCCGAGTTCCTTCGGCTGGACCTCGCAGACGACGAGGACGGCCTTCTGGTCCGGCACGAAGCGCTGCACGAGCCGGTGGACCTCCATGTCGCAGTGGCACAGGCGCGGGCCCGACGAGTACCACCCAATCACGACCTCGCGCGCGTTGACCTTCTTGAACATCCGGAACATGGACTCGAGGTACGAGTGGTCGAGGTACCAGATCGACGGGTCCTTCTCGTCCTCCTCGAACGGCACTGCGCGCGAACGGCAGAGCGGGCCGGACCTGGGCTGAGCCGGGGCTCGGCAGGGCGCTGATCGCCGGCTGGTCCGGGGCGGCCGCTGGGGCGGGCGCTGGGTCAGGAGAGCGGGCGCGGGCGCGGGAAACTGGGAAACGGTCTGCCACGTCCGGTTTGCGCTGGTATAGTTGGAGTGAGGGAGGAAGCAAGGCGCTGTGGGGCGCGGGGCGCGAAAGCGAGGGGTTCGACGTCGCGGCTGGGACGCAGACGGTCTGGTCTCGCAGGGGGGCGCGAGGATCTCGCTTCGCGCGCGCCGGGATGGCAGGAGGGCGCTTCGCGGCAGTGCTGGGCCCGGGAAGGGACGGCACGCGGCGTGGGTGCGTGGCAGGGGGCGAGCGCGGGCGGAGGAGCCGCGTCGGGGACGTGTGTGCGTCGAGGGTCGTGGCGCGGGGGGGAGTGTCGCGGCTGAGGCTCACCAGCGAAGGAGTTGGTGACATCTACGACTCCCTTGGAAACGGAGCCGAGGAGGATGCCGACGACGCGCTTCTTGGTATCCTTCGCGACTCTGTTGTAATGGTCGACGACGGAGAGGAGTACCAGCGGGTGAACGACCACCTTGTCGTGCTTGGGCCCGAGAGCCATCGTTTCCCGCTCCGGCACGGCCCCGTGGCGAGGCTCCGCAATCAAACGCGCGGCTGCTGTGATACAAAAGTCGATACAGTCGAATTCGCCGGACCAGCCTACTCGACGTCGCGCCGCTGCTCTCTGTTCGGCACCGATCTAAAGGGACGCCAAGACCAGGGCAACAAAAACGCCGCGCCTGGCTCCTAGTGGACGCGACGGTCCGATGCAATACGTTCCGCACGTGCTAACTGTTGCAACGCGCGCGCCACGGCGGACCCTTCTCGCAACCGGCGGCACAGAGGGGGAGTGCACCGCACCCCGCTCGCCACCCTGTCCGGCGCGACGCGGTCCGGCAGGTGCAGCCCGGCGCGGCCTCGCACCACGGCCACGCCTCCCCCGCACGGCCCACACGCAGCAGCGCCGACGCGTCAATCACCGCATCGCGCGTGGCCCAGTCGACGTGTATGCGGAGCAACTAGGCAACGTTGCGTGCACGTCATTCGTCACGAGGCATCACAAACCACATCTCGCCGTCCTACGGGCGAGCCCCTCGCGGCAGCAAGCTGCGCGCGAGCTCCTAGTCGAAAGATAGCGAACGTGAGGAATTCAACTCGAGGAAACCTAATTGCTGGCGCGCCCTTCCGAGCGCGACTGCGGGCGAAATACCGACCGTCTCCTGGCAGCTCGCGTGCGTTGTGGGGGGGCGTAGGCCGGCGCTTCCTGCCCGCGCCGGCCCCAATGATAGCTCAAATGTTGTACCCAGGTCCCCGCCACGCCCCACAACGCCGCCTGAACCCCCGCCGAAGAGACCCCCTGCCGGTCCGTCGCCCGCGCCGCGCTCCTCCGCCGAACACGCTCGTCTTGTGCGTCGATCCCGCGCCAGCCGCCGCGCCCTGCTGCGGTCCAAGCGAGCCCCCGCGTCGCGGTGTCTGACCGGAGTCAGCCCGCCGGGGTGGCCCGCCCCCTTATCCGGACCAAGCTGGGGCGCGGCGACGCTGGTTCCGTCGTCCTCCCCCGTTCTGCCGATGCCTGCCGTAGACGAAAGGTGATATTACTGACACACCAGTGATGACACACCTTCTGGTGCTCACGGTGATTCTGTTTCGTGGTAGTGCCGGGCCGGCGCCGCGCGCAGCCCGAAGAAAGGCCCGCGCGCCGCCGCGACGCGCCTCCCGCCCGCGCGCCGTTGCCATGACCCCCCCTCGATCATGACCGTCACTTCTTGCCCGGGAGCTTCTTCAGCAGCCTCGCCTTGACGAACCCGAGGACCGCGACCTTGATCGGGTCCTGGATGAACAGCTCGAGGAACACCGAGAACAGGCTGCTGAAGATCCATGCCCGGGACACTGCCGGCGGGAAGGCCACGCCGTAGAGGATGATGAAGTACGAGCACGCGGCGATCCACACCGCGCACAGCGTGTAGCCGATCCACATGACCCAGCGCGGGAACCCCTTGGCGCGCAGCCGCTCCTGCATCACCTTGCGGCGGTGTGCGCGGCGGGCCTCGCGCAGCTTGCGACGGTATTCCTGCTGCCGCGCGGCGCGCGAGACGGGCCCGGCCTCCGCGCCGCCGCTCCTGGAGCCGCCGCCCGAGTGCGCGCCAGCGCGCTGGTTCGCGGCCGCGCCGAGCCAGTCGCGGACGGAGGCGCCGGCGTAGGGCGCAGGTACGTCGGCGCTGGCGCGTGCCGACGGCCCTGCGCGCGCGCGCTCGCGCTGGTCCTCGATGATCTTGATGCCGCGCGCCTCGTCGCGGATGATTCTGCGCGTCATCTCGCCGCGCCACGCCGCCTGGATCTTTGTCGCCGCCTCGGACCGCTTGAGGTGCTGCATGGCCATGTGGTGCCGCCAGCGGCGCTGGATGGTGACCGTCGCGTGCAGGATGTGGTACGGCACATTCTGGACCGTCCCGCTGCCGTCGACGCCCTGCAGCAGCCGCCGCACGCTCGCCGCGCCCGTCGGCGAGCGCGCGTAGTTCACCGAGCTTTGCACGGGCAGCAGGCCGCGCTGGGCCGACTGCAGCCGCGCCAGGCGGCCGCGGAACGGCCGCGGCGTCCCGGAGGACGGCGCCGGCACGTTGCCGCGCACCATCATGCTCGTCGCCTGCATCGCGCCCTGCAGCGCGTTGACGCGATTGCGCAGCGTGCGCGGGCGCGGGACCCCGGAAGTCGGGGGCGGCGGGATGGGCACGTCGGGGACGTTCGCGAGGAGCGCCGCCGTCCGCGGGCCCCCGAGCGCGCGCCCGCGCATCGGCGACCCCTGCGGCGACGCAAATTGTCCCCCGGGGGGACTCAGCGGAACCGGGATGCCCTGGCTCGCGGTCAGCGGGCGCACGCCGGTGCCCGGCGTGCCATCGTCCGACATCGGCACGATCGAGCTCCTGCGGGCCTTCCCGCGCCCGGGCTTCCGCGGCTCGTCGCGCGCAGCGAACTGAACACTCCCCCGGGGGCGCATCTGGGCCTCCTCCTCGGCGCCCGCGCGCGACGCGCGCTGCACGCGCCCCTCGCGCTTCCGCAGCAGCGGCAGCACGCGCGACACGAACCCGCCGTCGGCGTCCTGATTCGTGTCCAGCCAGTGCCCGCACTTGAACTCGTACTCGTCGCCAGTGTCCTGGCGGACCAGCTCGACGCGGTCGAGGTGCCACCCGGCGCCGAGGCCGCGCCCGTCGTGCGAGACCTCGACCTTCTGGATCTCGCCGACGTCCGGGAACTGCACGGCGAACTCATCCATCTGCCCGCGCTCAAAGAGGCCCTTGCCGTTGCTGATGTTGATGGGGCCGAACTGCTGCTTCGCGCCGTGGACGGTGATCGAGACGTTCGCGCCCGTGCCGGCCATCGCGATGTCGGACGTGTAGAACCGGAGGCTCCACTGCACGGGGCGGCCCTGTGCGCGCGCGAGATGCCAGCGGCGCAGCTTGAGGTCGCGCTGCACGGGTTTGACGTACGACGACCGCTGGAAGACCCACTTGAACATGAACCGCGCGGGCGCGACGGCCAGCGACGTCACCACGCCGATCACCGCCTTGGCGGCGATGTTGGAGGGGTCGATGCCGAAGAACACCGCCACGATCGCGATCTGGCCGAGGATGATCGAGAGGAGCACGAGGAGGCGCTGCGGGCGCGTGTAGTGGTCCGTAGGCCGCGTGTAGATGATCGACGCGACCTCGTTGTCCACCAGCACCGCCGTGCGCACGTCCTTCCACACGTCCACCTCCACGCGCTCGTCGGGGGCGTTCTCCGGGACCGTCGGCCGCGCGTGCTTCGCGGGGTTCGGCTTCTCCTCGCCGCCCTGCAGCAGCGTCATCTTCAGCTGCAGGTGCAACTTGTGCCTGTCCTTCAGGTCCTTGCGGTAGCCGTAAATCATCATGGCCGAGAAGCCGGCCAGGAGCATGCCGACGACGATGAGCGCGAGGGCGTTCGAGAGGTCGAGCTTCGTGAGCAGGTCCGCGTCGCCGATGGGGTTGACCAGGTTGAGCTCCGGAACTATGTCGTCCGCGGCGACACCGAACGCCGTCAGGTGGATGGTCTCGCAGGTGACGAAGCCGTCGCCGGCGTCCTTCTTGAACAGGCCCTTCTCCGACCACGTCTGCGTGGCCTCGTCGAAGAAGCGGCACGCCCCCTCCGTGCGTCGGCAGGAGCTCCCGCTCAGCGCCGTGGGCACGCGGATGCTGATCGGCTTCTGCTGGTCGCTGATCGCGATGTCCACCACGTCGCGGTTCGCGCCCGTGCCGGCCCGCACGGACATCGACACCACGCTGGACTGCACCGGCGTCGCGCCCTTGTCCAGCGAGTCGTAGGGATTCTTGACGTTGTTCGTCGTGGTGATGCCGACGGACCGCGTCCCGAAGTCCAGCGTGCCGCCGGGGACGGAGATCTTCGGCGTCGGACCGCCGGTCGCCGCGGGCTCGAAGTCGCCGGCGGGGTTGCTCAGCTCCTGCACTTGGAAGCCGACGTTCTTTGAAGCGACGCTCACGGCGTCCTCGCCGTCGACGAGGCCGTTGGACGAGGCCTGCGTGAGCTGGTCGGTCAGGAAGAGCGACGCCGCGGCCTTCTCGGCCTCGAGCTGCTCGCCCTCCGTCGCCGTGGACTGCTGCAGCAGCGACCGCCGCCCGCGGCGGCCGCCGAGCAGAGAGCGCCCGCCGGAGCGCCGCAGGGCGCCCGCCGTGAGCAGCGTGCGGCGCGTGAAGAGCAGCCGGCCGCCGCCCGCGGTGCCGTTCCCGGCGGTCGCGTTCGCCGCCGCCGCCGCACCAGCCGTGGCATTGGTCGTGGCGTTTGCGGCCGTCAGGTTCGCCGCAGCCGCCGGCGTGATGGCCTGGTTCAGGTTGACGTCGTCGAAGGACGAAATCGAGCTCAGCAGGCCCGTGGCGGCCTCCTGCCGGATGCCCGTCGCCACGGCATCGGACAAGGCCAGAGCCAGCAGGGACTCGACCGTGCTTTGGATGGCCGGGATCAGCAGCAGCTGGGGGTCCCGCGAAATGGTCCCCAGGAGGTCTGCGTACATGTCGAGCTCCTCGCGCGTGAACTTGAGGCGGAGCGACACCGCGCGGACACTGATGATCAGACGGTCCACAATCAGCGCCTTGGCCGCCGCGTCGACGGGGTCCGCGACGTTCGCCTCGAGCAGCGCGAACACGGCCGTCTTCACGGTCGTGACCAGCGCGCCCACGTTGCCTGCGCCCGCGGCCTGGTCGAGCGGGAGCCCGGAGAGGATTGCGGCAAACGCAATGCGGCCCGTGGCGGGGAACGTGCACGACGCCACGCCGCCCCCCGGCGGCGCCACGAGCGTGCAGGGGCACGCGACGACGCTGGAGTTCGTGCACAGCACGTCCGCGGTGAGCGTGGCGTACGGCGGCGGCGCAAGCTCCTGGATGGTCACTGTTGTGAGCGTTTTGGCGCCGAGGTTGTCTCGGACGAACGTCTCGATCGTGATGGACTGCGGCGCGTCGACGATCGGCGGGATGATCGTGGCGAAGGTCGAGTCCGCGGTGGCGGACACGAGCGGCACCGACGTGCCGTTGGTGTCCATGTACCGATGCTCGTAGAGGACGGCCTGCTTGCTGTCGTCCTCCCAGCCGACGCAGTCGAGGCGGAAGTTGGTCAGCCCGACGACGCCGCGCGTCGGGAGCACCTGGCACGTGCCGGAGCTGGGCGCGCCGTTGACCGTGAAGGTCACGTCGTCAAACGACGACAAACCGGTCGCCGGGGACGTCGCGACGACGCGCATCACGTACACCTCGCCCGGGAACAGCGCGAACGGCCGCAGCACGAGCTTCGGCGCCGTGCGCGGCGTCGCGAGCGTCCCGGGGTAGTCCGTGATGTTGAGAATGCCCTGCAAGACGTCCCAACGGTAATTGATGCCCGTGGGGCATCCGGTCGGCGGCCTGGCCTCGGCGATGAGCGCGAGCTTCTCGTTCGAGTTGATGATCGCGCGGCTGAGCGCCTCGATCTTGAGGTCCGGGTAGCACTCGACGACGCCGTCGGCGGTGGGGAACACCTCCACGACCTTACGGATCTGCACGACGCGGTTGAGGTTGTTGCCGTTGGCGTCCGTGAGCGGCTCCTTCGTGACCACGACGGAGAACTGGTACCGCCCCGGGCTGAGCGTGCCCCCCGGGATCGAGACGAACTTTTGCGTCTGGTCGGGAACCAGGATTCCTCGATCGTCGACGAAACACTCCTGTCCCGTCAGCACCGTGTCGCCGTCCATCGGGTTGCAGCTCCACGCGAACAAAAACGGCCCGAACGGCAGCTGCGGGTTGTCCGGGGTGGGATCGTTCGGATCCACGGCCTGGGAGGCGTCCAGCCTGAAGGTCTGCGACACCGCGACGCTCGACGGCGACACGAGGTTGATCTGCAGCGGCGCGTAGTCGACCTGGATGGCCGTCTTCGCCTCGGTGCGCAGCTGCGGCTGCCCCTGGACGTTGCCGACGACCTTGAGGTAGTAGGTGGCGCCGGGGAGGAGGGTGTTGGCCGGAATGAACAGCTGGCGCGAGTTGCGCGTGCGCGTGTCCATGGGGAACGTGAAGAGCCCGCGGTCGACCGAGGTGTCGAACATCCACGTGAAGTCGATGTCGAAGTCGGGGACCTGACAGCGGGGCTCGTTGTTGTCCGGGAACGCGACGGACGCGCGCACGAAGAGGTCGAGGTCGCGGCGCGCGCGGATGAGCGGATCGCCCTCGGCGACCACGCGCGGGATCGGGATCGAGAGCCGCCGGACCTCGAAGCTCGTGATCGTAGACTGCTTCAAGAAGTTGTGCACAGACACAAAGAACGAGTACGTCGTGTCGGCCGCGAGCAGCTCGCCGGGGATCGTCACGCGCGGGTTCGTCCCGACCGCGGTCGCCGCGTCCAGGATCCGCGAGATCGCCAGCTCGTTCGGGCGGTTGGGCAGCATGCCATAGCGGAAGGTCAGCGGACGCCCCGCGCTGCCGTAGGAGCCGGACGCGTCCAGGACGAGGTCGTCGCAGACAGACAGGCGCGCGGGCGCGCGCACGATCGCCACGGGCGACGGCGCCGCGGGCGGCAGCGTCACCACGGTGGTGCCCGCCGTGGCGATGGAGTTGAGCTCCTTTGTGAAGATGACGTTGGCCAGGAACCTGAGCTCTTCGTTCAGCGCGAACGTCGCGGAGTAGCCCACGTAGATCTTGAGCTGCGAGGGCGTCTCGAAGGAGCAGCGCGGGCCGATGCCGAGAATGGCGACGGATGCGTCGTCAAAGATGCGCGAGCACGAGACGAGGCCCGTGATGCCGCCGCGGTTCGTCTCGACGGGCCGGCCGCCGAGGCCGGTGAACGGCACGGTCATCGTGGAGCCCACGGGCGACAGCGACGCGCGGCCCTGCGTCGGCGGGAGCGCGGGGGAGATCTCGATGGTGTACGGCGACCCCTTGATGTGTTCCCCGTTGATCTTGACGTCGAGCGTGTACGTCCCGAAGTTGACGATGGTGTAGAACACGATGTACGATCCCGGGTTGAACGCCCCCGACACGTCCGGCAGCAGCGAGTTGTCGATCACCGTGGCTGCGCCAGCCGTGAGCGGGACGCGGTTGGCGTTCACGTCGGTCGTCGGCGTGTACGTCACGTTCACTGCCTCGCCGCCGCGCAGCGTCGGGTTGCCGAAGATGTTCCGGCTCGTAATGATGAACGTCGAGCGCGTGCCCGCCAGGCTCCCAATAAGGCCCGGTCCCACCGCCGTCGTGCGCGTGGGCTCCGTCCGGATCCGCGTAATGATACCCTCGGCCGTCGGCAGCCCCGGACCGGCGGACTTGAGCTGCCCGCCCACGAACAGGCGCAGCTCATACACGCCAATGTCGGGCGGCGTGAACGCAGCGGAGAACACGCCGTTCCCGAGGGACGCGAGCGTCGCCGACGTGTCGTAGCTGGTGCCGACGCCGACGATCCGGAGCAGCAGGCGCTCGATCGCCGCCGCGTTCGTGACCAGGTTGCCAAATGCGTCGCGGGTGACAATCTCGAGCACGAGCTCCGTGCCCGCGAGCGCGCCCGCCAGCACCTCCGACACGGAGGCTCCGCCGCGGCCGCGCAGGACCGTCTCCGCCGCACTCGCCGCCGCCGCATTCACGTCAATCGCGATGGGGCTGCCGGGGATCTCCACGAGGGTCGACCGCCCGGACGCGTCGGCCGTTGACGGGCCCGTGAGGAACACTGCGGCGTCGTACCGCCCCGCGACGTTCGCCGCGAACGTCAGCGTGATCGTGCCGTTCGCGTTCGTCCTGGACGCGAGCGTCGAAGAGAGGCTCTCCATCTGGGGGACGGTGAGGCGCGACGGGCCCGAGGGGTGCGCGGGGCGCCGGAACGTCAGCGACAGCGACGCGCGGTCCTGCGATGGATCGAACGGCCGGTCGACGGCCACGTTGCCGAAGCGGTCGCGCAGAATGACCTGCACGGACGTCTGCGCGCCCGCAGTGCCCCTGCCGACGGGCACCGCCATCGAGTTGGCCGCGGACACGCCCGCGGGGTAGATGACGGTGTTGATGATGCTGGACGTGCCGAAGACGAGGGCCTCCGTGCCCATGATGGCCTGCAGCCGGAAGTTGCCAGAGCGCTCGGTGCGGAAGTTCAGGCGGTACAGGCCCGTGTTCGTGGCCGCGTCGGGCACGACGCTGGCGGTCGGGGCCGAGAACGTCGTCGCCAGCGCCGCCGCGAGCGTCGCGTTCGTCGGCGCCAGCGCCTGTGACAGCAGCGGCGACGCAAACGCAATGAGGCCGGTCAGGTCCTGTCCGGAGGGATTCGTGGCCGTCGGGACGAGCACCTCGACCCCCGAGCACGCGGGCGTGAGCGGTGTGAGGTTGCTGCCGCTGCGGCAAGCCTTGGCGGCCGTCTGGAGCTCGACGAACTTGTCAGCGCCTGCCTGGGCGTTCAGCACTGCCGCGGGCTTCAGCAAGAAAGAGTCCAGTCCCGACGTCGTCGGCGCACCGGACGGCGTGGCCAGGGCCTCGGTCACGGTCCCCGAAGTGATGTTGACCGTCAGGCCCGTCGTAGCCACCGCCGAGAAGCTGGAGTCCGAAGCCGACGTGAACGCAAGCGACACCGTGTACGTCCCAGCGGCCGTCAACGGGACGAGCACGTCGTACAGCCCCGAGACGCCCTCGACGATGCGGATGCTGGAGCTCAGCGCCCCGCCGCGGTACCCAGCCACGTTCGACACCTGCGACCCGTCCGGCAGCTGCGCAAGCAGCTTGAACGGGCAGCCGTCCTGCGTGCCCGTGGCGGCGCACGCGCTGGACGCGCCCAGCCCGACGGCGCAGCCGTGCGCGTCGGTGATGTCGTTGCCGAAGACGTCGCGGGTTCGAATGCGCCACCGCGCTGTGATCCCAACTGGGAACACCGAGAACGGCGTGGACGCCTCGGTGCAGCGGGCCCCGGGGCGGCACGCGTGCGGGTGCGACGCGGCGGCGCCCGTCGCGAGCGCGCCGAGCAGCGCCGGTGCGACGACGAAGGCAAACGGCGAGCCCTGGACGGGCTGCGCCCCGTACGCCACGGTGATCGCGTAGCGTCCGGGCCGCGGGGGCGTGAACGTGACGGCGAGCCGGGCCGACTGCGGGAGCCCCGTGGGGTTGAATGCGCGGTACTCGGCTTCCTCGGCGGGGCTGGCGGGGTACAGGATGTCAGTATACGCCACCGAAGGTGCCACGGACGTGGTGGCGGCGTCCTGCGTGACGGCCCCGCGGACCGCGATGGCGTTGCCGCGCTTGAGCGACGCCGGGACGGCGGTGAGGTTGTTGCCCACGGCGTCGCGCGGGAACACCACGAGGCGCTGCTGCGCCCCCGCTGGCGGACACGTGCCCGGCTGCAGCACGCCGCCGCTCACGAGCGTCGTGCTCGGCGCGGGGCTGCTCGGCTGGACCGTCACCGTCTGCGTGCCGCTGTTCGGCGGAAAGACCTGCCGCCCCGTGTCCACATCCTGTAGCGTCATGTTGTACAGTCCACTGACGGCGAGCCGGTAGCCGAGCTGCACCACGCCGTTCCGATCGTCGGACGACAGCACGCGGAGCGTGCTGGTGCTGTTGCGGCGCGTGACGTGCACGTCGGCGGCCAGGTGCACTGGCCTGCGCGCGAAGCTGCCCTGGCGAATGCATGCGGTCTGATCGAACGCAGTCGGGAAGTTCTTCTCGTCGCCGAGGCCGTCCGGCCGCGTGTACGCGACCTGGTCTGCGCACCGCCAGAGCCCGAGCGACCGCACGATGCTGTTGGCGAACCCATCGGTCGGGCGCACGATGACGTCAAGGGGGGACTCCGCTGTGCCGCCGAGGACGCCGGCGCCGACGACCGCCGAGGGCAGCACGGTCGCGTTGCCAGGGAGGACCTCCAGCTCGAATCCGGAGCGTGCAGCGTTGAACGCGCGGCTCGGGAGACGCACAACCTCTTGGTTGGAAGAGATCGTGAGGTCGTAAGTCCCTGCGGTGACGACGCGGTACCGCACGGTGTACGTGCCGTCCCCGTTGTCCGTCACGGCGCCGTCGAACACGGAGCCGATCTGAACCACGACGGGCTCGCCCCCGGAGGTGATGCGGTTCGAAAACGCATCAAACGCGCTGATGTTGAACGTCGTGGTCTGGCCCGCGATGGTCGCGAAGACGAGGTGCGGCTTGCGCTCGCGCGCATTCACGACGACCGCCCACGGGTGCGTGACCGTGGAGGCGACGGACGAGAGGCGACCTGGGGCCACGACATGCGCAAACGGGCCCTGGACCAGCGCGCCGTCGACGCGGCCGAGAATGTCCTGGGCCTGGCGCTTGATCGAGAGGTCGTACGTGCCGGCGACCTGCGGCCGGAAGCGCACGACGTACCCCGCGGCCTGCGTGAAGATCACGGCGCCGAGAAGCTTCACGTCCCGCGTGCGATGCTGCATCGACGCCGTGAACACGAACCCGCCCTGCGTCTGCCGGTTGCGGTACTGGTCGAGCGCCGCAATCGGCAGGAGCACCTCGGTGCCGCCCGTGCTCGCCGTGAGCAGGCCCGCGTCGGACTGCACGAAGGACCGCGTGGGCGACGGCGGGAGCGCTGTGAAGTTGAGCGCGAAGCCCTGCCCGTCGAGGGTGCCGAGGAGCTGGCACGCCGCGCGCGCCGTGAGCGTCGAGCAGATGCGCGACGTGAGGATCGTCCCGGTGGCGTCCTCCTGCTCGGTGAACACCTCGAGCACGTACGAACCCGCGACCTGACTGACGTACTGCACGGCGTACGTGCCGTCGTTGGTGTCGTCGATCGTGACCTGCGAGCTCACCTCGAGCACCACGTCCCCGAGGTACGTGAAGGCCCCGACGGACTGGAACGCGTCCACCAGCGTCCCCGTGCCGTCGTCGACGAGGTTCTTGACGACCTTGCTCTGCGCGGTGAGCGTGGTGTCGCCGACGCCCGGCGCGGTGATCGGCGCGCGGATCGCCATGCGCACGCGCCAGTCCGTGCCCCCGAGCAGCACCCGGTTCGAGAACTGGTCCTGGCTGACGACGGAGAAGAACTGCGTCTCGCCAGCACTGCCGCCCTGGAGGTTGCCGCGGATGACCGAGTTGGCCACGTCCACGGGCCCCGCGTTGACCGTCAGCACCGTCGGCTCCTGGAGCGTGAACGACAGCAGCGTCGCCGAGATGCGCAGCCGCTGGGCAAGGTTGCTGAGGAACTGGATGATGATCAGGCCGTCGAACGCCGCGAACACACGGTACTCGCCGTCCCCGAGCGCCTCGGAGTTGCCGGCGATGCGGCGGAACCTCACGCCGTTCGCCAGCCCCAGGATGGTCACGTCGAGCGCCGCGGCCACCTCGGGCGACGTCAGGGGGTCGTATGGCACCACGTTCCCGAAGTTGTCCTTTCCTTGGACCATCATGGTGACGACCGTGCCGGCCTGCGTGCTGCCGGCCTGCAGCAGCGCCTGGTTGCGCAGCTCGATGATGTAGGACTGCGTCGGGTCCACGGCGCGGCCCGTCACGATCAGCTCGTACGGAGCACCGCCGATGCGCTGCAGGGACGTGCCGGGCGCGCACGAGCGCTCGCTCATCGGCAGCGCCTGGGAGCCTTCGGCGCCGGGGCACATTTGGATGTCGAGCAGGTAGCGCCCCGCGACCTGCAGCAGCCGCGAGCCATCAATGGCCAAGCCGTAACGGCCCGACATCTTGTATGGCGGCTGCGGCGCCGCGGAGAAGTCCGTGAGGAAGACCGTGGTGTTGATGCCCGTGTCGGTGGCGATCATGTAGAGCACCGCCACGTCGCCGCCCAGCTTCTTCGCCCCGGCTCCGAGCCCCTTCTGAGGCGCCGCGGACGCTTGCAGCAGCAGGTCGAGTGTGTCGCCGGCCTTGACGGGCTCGAGCGCGGTGAGCCGCTTGCCCGTGAAGGAAACGAGGTGGGAGTCGGGCGGAGACAGGTCGCCGTCGACTTGCCGGTAGAAGGCCAAGAAGGTCTTGCTGTTGGCGATGAAGCCCGTGGCGACGGCGTTCTGCCCGGGCGCGGGCGACACGAGCCGGATCAAAATGGTGTACTGCCCGGCGTCGAGCGGCACGAACGTCGCGTTGTACAGCCCGGGGAACTGCGCGCCCAGGTCCACGGCAACGAAAGGGAACTGGCGACGAGGCGTGTACACCACGACCTCGAACGTCGCGCCCCCGGACAGCTGCCGGTTTCCGAACGTGTCCCTCGCCTCGATGATGAACACCGCGACCGTCTGGATGCCCTTGTCGGGCTGATTCACCAGCCCCCCCTGCAGGAGGTCTGGCCCGTACGCGATGCACTGCCGGGCGTCGATGTCGCCGGGGGCCACGAAGAGCGGCAGCGGGTTGAACGCCTGCGTCTCGCTGTTGAACCCGCCGGCCGCCGGGTTGAAGAAGTTGTTCGCCGACGAGCACGAGGCCGTCGGGCAGAAGCGCAACGCCAGGCGGTAGTCCTCCCGGGACGGCGTGGACGAGGAGGCCGACGCGACGTCGCCGAGGGACGACACGATGACCTGCGAGGACGTGCGGACCTCGAACGACGCGCGGTACCGGCCGTCCGCGCCGTTGCTGAGCGCCTGCACCGTGATGGGCAAACAGCTCTGCGAGCCCGTGTTCTGCGTGCAGCCGAACACGACGTTCGTCGCGCCGTCGCTCGCGCGCGCGCTGAGCGTCAGCAAGACGACGAAGAGCGCGGACTGGTCGCCCGCGGCCGTCTGCACGTTGCCGTACTTGTCGCGGGCCACAAAGTCAATCGTCTTGGGGACGCCGACCTCCGCCGTGAGCGCGCTGAACGCCTCGCTGCTCGGGCCGGACGTGGGGCCGGGGATGACGACCAGCGAGATCGGCGACCCGGACAGCGCCTGCTCGTTCAGGGAGATCTCCATGATGTATCCGGCTCCGACAACGGCCGGGAATTGGCCGTCGATGGTGAACGAGATGTCGACCGTGCCGGACGAGATGATGCTCGTGACCCGGAGGTCGATGCCGCTCGCGGAGTAGTCCGGCAGGCAGAGCCCCGAGCAGTTGGACACCGCGGAGACGTTGGCGTTGATGTGCACGAGCTGGCAGCCCGAGGGCGGAACTGTCGTCACGGGCGGGAGCCGCGTGGCGTTGAGGGGGTTCGGGCTCCACGGGCACACGCTCGCGCCGGACAGCGGCGCCTCGCCGACGCGGACGAGGACGTTGTCGAGCCGCCGGAAGGAGTCGAAGGACTGCGCGTTGCCAAAGCGGTCGCGGAGGGAGAGCGTGATGCTCTCGCGGACGCCCGCGGCGACGATGCGCGTGGAGGCCGCGGCCTGCTTGAGCGACCGCGCGAGCCGGCGCGCGGACCGCCGCCCCGGGGCCGCGCTGCTGGTCTGACCGTCCGACAGCCCGGTGTTGACCTTGAAGATGTACGGCGACGCGACGTCGCCGAACCCGAGCGGCGTGATGTTGCCCAGGCCGTCGTCGAAGAACGCGTGCAGCTCGTAGAACCCCGCCGCGACCAGCGGCAGCGACGGAACGGAGTGGTGGAACTCGGTCCCGGCCTCCTGCTGCACCGGGACGACCCGGAACCAGTACGACGTGCCCGTGGCGTTGTCGCTGCGCAGCGTGTAGAACGTGGCCTCCGTTGCGTCGATCCCCGCGAACGGATTCGTCGCCGACGGGTTCCCGTTGAGGTCCCGCACCCACCGCAGCTCTGTGTAGAACGACGTGCCCTGCCCGACGTCCGTCTTGCGTTTCCCGAAGATGTCGATCGCCTTGATGGAGAAACGCAGGTTGTCGTCCGTGTACGTCTCGGCCACGCGCGCCCCGCCGCGGATCGTCGGGAACGGCTTCGTGGCGTCGCGGTCCACCGCGTACGTCTCCGTGGGGCTGAGCGGCCCGGGCGACACGTTGATCACCACGCCCTCCGTCAGCGTCGCGACGCCCGTCGGGACCGGGAACTGCGTGCGGATCTTGTCCTGGGAGTACCCCCCCGCCGGCCGCGGCTCGATCACGCCCTGCTTGTTCTGGTACAAAAAGCGCTCCGTCGCGAGCGGGATGCCGCCGTGCTTGATGTTGAGCGAGAACGTGTCGTTCGACAGCGCGGTATACGTCATCTTGTACAGCTTCAGCGCGTCGTCGAACGTCGATTCCGCTGCCGCCACCAGCCCCCCAGAGATGGGGTCGAGCTGCAGCGACAGGCTCTGGCCGGAGACGAGGATCTTGTTGCCGTACTTGTCGCGCGGCTGCAGGAAGACGCTCGTCGAGATGCCCGCGGCCGTCGTCACGCCCGGCAGCAGGTTGTCGATGTTGACGCCCGGGCCGTACGCGTCGCACTGCGTAAACGTAAACGGCCCCGCGGTGAACACCATCGCGAACGGCGAGCCGCGGATGTCCACGCCGCCGAGCGTGACGCGCAGCGTCGCGGGCCCGGACAGGAACGGCGGCGACGTGCCGCCCACGAGGAAGCGCAAGATGTGCTGCGGCGACGTCGCCGTCACCGAGTACACCGGCTGCGACACCGTCGCGCCGTCCGCGGTGACCTGCCCGGACGGATTCAGGCCGTACAGCGGCTTCCCCGGCACGTTCACCTCGACCACGAACCGCACGGGGAGGCCCTGCGCGTCCAGCGTGGCCTCGGTGCGGTCGTTGCCGAAGACGTCCCGCTCGATGACCGTGATCGAGAAGACCGTGCCGACCTCCGGCTGCGTCGTGTTGAGCGCGCGCTGCCCGAGCGTCGTCACCGCGCGCGTGCTCGGCACGTGAAGCGGGCCCGGGCGCACGAAGACGGGCACGTACTTCAGCCCCTGGGCATCCGCGAACGTCGCGCTGCCGCCGGGCGACCCGTCCGAGCCGGAGAGCACCTGCCCGCGCAGGCTGAGGACGAGGCGGAACCGCGCCGAGAGGGCGGTGTTGAACCGGAAGAGGTACGTGCCGGTGCGGAAGTCCGTCAGGTTGCCCTGCAGGGCGCCGAAGCTTGCGCCGAGGGGCGTCATCGCGGCCTCGAACGGGTCGCCGCCCTGGAGCTCGTCCCAGAACGCGAGGTTGTTGAACGAGTCGCGCGCCCGCACGACCACCTCGACCACCTCCCCCGCCGACACCGTGAAGTGAGGGATGCTGTCCAGGACCGTGTACAGGTCCGGGTTCGAGGTGGGGGTGTTTTCGAGGACGCGCAGCTGCGCCCCGGAGGACGCGATCTGGTGGAGGACCTCGCAGCGGGCGACGTCCGTGGGCCCAGGGGCGAACCGCAGGCCGGTGAACGGCATGCTTGCGATCGGCGCCGCGGGGAGGAGGGACGTGGTCGCCTGGATGCGCACGATGAGCGCGTACCACCCGGAACGCACGATCCCCGTGGACGCCTGGCCCGTGGAGGTGTCGTAGTCCAAGACCGGGCCGGAGTCGAAGCCGTACGTGCCGTTGGCGTTCACCAGGAAGAGACTGGAGTCCGCGATGAGCGTCGCGGAGTAGTCCGGCGTCTGCGGGAGGGTCGCGGTGGCCGGGCGGCCGTCCTGGAGCGACGCCAGGTAGTACAGCTCCACGTCGAGCACGCGGAGCGTGCCTGGTTCGTTCACGGGGATCCCGTCCTGGTCAAAGGGCTGCAGAAGCAGGCTTTGGCGCGTGCCAACCTCGGTGCGGATGACCGGCCTGGGCATCAGGATCTTGTTGAGGAGGAAGAGCTTGGACTGCGCGGGGTTCGGCGTGCCCACGCCCGACGCGAAGCGGATCATGACGCGGCTGGGCTCAAACCCCCCCTGGGGGACCATCTTCAAAAAGGCCCCCGCGGGCGAGATCGCGGGGACGTCCGTGTCGCCGGTGACCGGCACGCCGTCCAGGCGGACCTCGACGGCCACGAACGCGTCCCCGCCCGTCGGCTGGTACCTCGCGACCAGCAGACCGTTTTCGACGACGACGTCTTTGATGATGACGAACGACGGGTCCTGCGAGCCGGTGACCCACAGGCCCGGGCAGTTCGCGTCCGAGAAGACGACCGACGTGCAGCGGCGGAGGTACAGCTGGAACCGCGCCGCCAGCGCGAGGGAGTCGGCGTCGCCGTCGACGAGGTTGATGCGGTTGCCGAATTGGTCGCGGGGCTCGATGAAGATCGTCGTCTCGCCCTTGTCGACGCGCGCGCCGATGAGGCCCGGGCCGTACGCGCCCGTGTTGGCCACCGAGGCCGGGCCGGGCTCCACGGTGAGCTGGAAGCGCCCGCCCGACGGCACAAGCTCGACGGGGAACGCCGTGGCGTCCGGGACGAAGGTCTCGAGGCCGTCCGCGAAGATCCCGACGGAGAAGTCCGCGGAGACGGTCGTGGAGTACTTGATCTCGTAGAGCCCGCGGCCCAGGTGCGTGACCACCGGCGCGTTGGGCGACGACGGGGGGAACCCGAGCCGCACGATGTTGCCGCTCGAGGTGCCGATGATGGAGACCTCGATGGACGCGAACGGCTGCGGCACGGCGTTGCCGAACTTGTCGCGGCGCTGCAGGTATACCGTCGCGGCTTCGCCGACCGACCCCCGGATGGTTGTGCTGCTCTCCACGGCGAGCGTCGGCGTCGGACGGATGGCGTGCGTGACGCCCTCGTTCGTGCTGAAGAGCGTCAGCGGCAAGTCCGTGCGGTTGCGCAGAGACAGCAGCTCCACGAACACCGGCGGCACGGTCAGAGGCGCGAGGACCAGAATGTGCGGCGAACGCACGGGCGCCGTCGCGGCGAAGGTCCCGGTGCCCGGGGCGCCGTCCGCGCCCGTGATGAAGCCCGAGGCGCCGAGCAGGCCGCTGTCCAGCGCCGCGCGCAGCGAGAACTGCATCTGGAACCTCCCCGCCAGGTTCGTCTCAAACGTGAGCGTGAACCGGCCGTTGCCGGGCGACCCGACGCTGTACACGAACGCGACCTCGCCGGTGATGTCGTCGTACGTCCCGAGGGACCCCGAGCTGCGCTGCGCGGGCACTTCGTTGAGCAGCACGCCGGAGAGCACCCGCGCCGGGACGCCCTCGCAGGGCGCGGAGCCCAGCGCGCCCACGCACGTCTCCTGGTAGAGCACCTCGAGCAGCGGAGGGAACTGCTGCGTCAGGCTGAGGTATGCCGGCTCGAGCTGGTCCTTGGCGTTGCCGAAGCGGTCACGCGCCTGCAACACGTACTCGATCTGCTGCAGCACGCCCGCGCGGCGCACGCCGGGCGTCTCGAGCGTGCAGTGCGCGGGGCTCGTCGGGCCCGCGACGATCGTGAGCTCCAGCGGGTAGCTCACCCCGGCAGGCGCGCCGTCCGGCAGCTTGAGCTGCAATGCGCCGAGAACAACGTTCAGGCGCGTAGGGCCGGCACGGAACACCGTGTACGTGACGACGTAGCGTCCGTCGCCGGCGAAGGTGACGTTGACCGACGGGACGAGCGTCGCGGCCGGCTGCTGCGTGCACGTGGGGTGCAGCGCTGCCGTCTCCGCCGCCGTCGAGTTGCTGAGCACCGCCGCGCAGTTCTGGAACGAGTCCGTGATGACGGCGCCGAACTTGTCGCCGACGTCGTCGCTCTGCCTGTTCCCGAACCGGTCCACGGCCTGGATCGTGAACGAGAAGGACCGCCCCGCGATCAACGCCGCCGCCGACAGCCCCAGCCCCACGTCGTTGCCCGACTCCAGCGGAAACGACGTGACCGCCGACGTCACGCCCTGCGCGAGCGGCACCGTGTACGGCGTCGGCAGCGCCGCGCCCTGCACCTCCAGGTTCACCACGAGAGTAGGATCCAGCCTGTTGCGGCGCGTTGGGAAGTAGCGGACAGTCCACCTGCGGTCCACGCGCGGGTCCGCCGGCGGCAGGAACTCCGCCCACGACGTGAGGCCCGCCGGGTCGCTCGTGGACGTGGGGTTGGAGCCAGGGACGGCGCGGCACACGAGCCCCGTGCCCTGCGCTGCGCTGAGGGTGCACTCGGCGTCGGCGACGATGGTGGCGCCGCCGCCGACGAGCCGCGTGCGCAGGACGTACGGGAAGATGTTGAGCGCGAAGCTCGGCGGGAGGAGCTCGTTGCCGTAGCGGTCGCGGAGCGTGGCGGTGAAGGACGTCGTAACGCCCACCGTCGCCGCCGTCACGCCCGTGCCGTGCAGACGCGACTGCCGCGAGTCCACGCGGCCGGGGAGGACCGTGAGCCGGAACGGGCTCCCGCGGATCGGCACGCCCACGTTCGGCGTCCCGTCCTCGTTATACTCCTCCGGGGAGCCCCGAAACGTCACGTCGAGGGTATAATTCCCGATCAGGTCGACCCCCAGGGCCAGCCGGTACACGCCCCCCGTGGACCCGATCGACCGCGGCCGCACGATGAACCGGTTGCACCGCCCGGTCGGGTACAGGCTCGTCGGTGCGCACTCCGGAGCGGTGCTCACGCCGTCCGGCAGGACCGCGCCCGTCGGGCGCGGGAACGTGGACGCGTCCCAGATGTTCGGGTACCCCCACCCCGCGGACAGCAGCGCGGCCGTGTCGGTCGGCGCGGGGATCGTTCCGCCAACAACGGGGTTGCCGTTGACGTCCTGGCTGGTGCGGAAGACGGGGCCCGCGGTGAAGGGCTGCGCGGGGAGCGCGGCGGGGTTGTCGACGTTGGTGAAGTTGGACGCGGAGAACGATCCGACGAAGACGTCGGTCTTCGTGCGCGACTGGGACCCGAAGAGCGTAATGGCGGTGATCTTCAAACTCGATTCCTCGCCTGCGAAGACGTAGGCCTTGCACTCGAGCCCGAAGAGCGCGACGCACTGGTCGCAGCTGTACCGGTCGCACGTCTCCGGGCAGTTGAACGAGAACGACGTCGGGAGCGGCGCGCCCGAGCGGTCGAACTGCTGCGGGTCTTGCGTGAAGAGGCTGGGATACTTGGTCAGGAACTGACTCGAGCCCTGCCAGAAGAGCCGCAGCGCGGTGTCCGACTGGAACGCCTGGAGGCCGTCCGGGAACGCCACGGCCTCGAGCTCGTTCTGGATGTTGGTACGGCACTGGGCGCACGTGATGGGCTTGAAGGGGCACGTGAGCTCGGAGCGCTCGAGGCCGTACGGCGAGTCGAGGTAGGACTTCGGGCCCGACGTCGTGACGAAGAAGAACGTCGCGAGCTGGTCCCGGATCGCCAGCGAGTACTTGTCGTCCGAGAACAAAAACACGGGCAGGTGCGGGAGCTGCCGGCGCTGCGTCACGCGGTTCGTGCGGATCACGTCCGTCCCGATCGTGAAGTCCGTGAGCCGGTACCCGTTCGCGCCGGACACCACGGGCGACGCCGTTTGGTACGGCTTTCCATACGAGTCCAAGGGCACGTCGACCTGGTACGACCGCGCCTGCTGCTCGCCGGTCACCTGGTTGCCCCCCGCGCTCGGGTCGATCGGCGCCATCGCGAAGAAGGTCGACACGAACGGCGCGAGGTACGGCGTCGGCTGGTTGGGCGTAAACGCGTCCTGCGACGCCTTGCGCCCACCCTGCGGCGTCACCTCCGCGGGGTACTTGGCGTCCAGGTACTCGAGGACGGTGTACGGCGCGGCGCTCGGGTCCAGGAAGACGTTGCCGAGCACCTGGAGCTGCGTGCCGGTGTTGCCTTGGTTGTCCGTCTGCTCCCCGGCGACGAGGAGCTCGTCTGCGACGTCGATGTTGATGCGGACCGCCGCGGCGGGGCACAGGCACACGTGCGGGTTCGTGGGCTCGAGGAACCCCATGTACGACTTGGCCGTGTCCACCCAGATGTTGTGCTGCGCCACCTCGTCGGCGGTGAGCCGGTGGCCGCACTTGAGGCCGCGGCCGCCCGGGTTGATCGCGGGCGCGCACGGCCCGGACGGTTCCTTCAGGTTCACGACCGCGGTGAGGTACTTCTGGTTCTGCGCCGAGGCGATGGGCCCGAACGACGCCTCGCCGCCGGCGACGGTCGGCAGCTGCTCGGTCATGCGCGGGGAGAACTCGAGCGACGTCGCGATCTGCAGCTCGTCGGGCCACTTGTAGTACTTGAACGCCGGCCACTCGACCTTGATCGAAAATACGTTCTGTGTGGGGTCGGAGAGCGTGAAGTCCGTCTTGCGGCGGATCGCGAAGAGCGTGCGCGAGGCGTCGCCCACGACGGGGTCCCAGAGCACCGTGTAGAACGTCTGGTCGAGCTGGTCCCACGTGTACGCCGACCCAACGGTGTCGGTGTAGTCGTAAAGCAGCTGCGGGCCGCCAAAGTCCTGTGGGCGGTACCGGCAGGCCTTGCAGAACGTCACCGTCCAGGGGCCGATTCCCGAGAGGCGCGGGCCCGTCTGGTCGATGGCCGCGCCCGTCGTCTCGTTCACGGCGAGGAAGGAGAGGACGCGTTGTCCGCGGTCGCCCAGTGCCGGGTCCGCTACGGGGTACCCGTGGGCCAGAATGAGGAGGGAGCTCGAGAAGAGGTCGTACTCCATCTGAATGGGCGCGTACTGCATCCCGCCCGCGAAGATCCCGGAGCCAGCTGCGGAACGCGGGCCGGAGAGGCGGGGAGAGTCGGTGCGCGGGCGCGTGCGCGTCGAGGTGGGGCTGCGGGGGCGAGCGGGTGCGCGCAGGGGGCGGAGGGCGCGGAGGCGGGGCTGCAGGGGCGGAGTTTCGGGCGCGTGAGGCCGCGGACGGCGCGGGAAGGGCAGGAGTTGGGCACAGAGCTTCACGGACGCAACGGGCCAGCGTCGCGCTGCGGGGCCCTGAGGGCGGTGCTGCGCCTGTGGGGCCGCCGAGAGGCGTGCGCTCGAGGAAGTGGGCGCCCGGGCCGCGGGACGAGGGCGCTGCGGGCGCCCACGGTGCAACGCGCGGCACACGGAGCTCCTGTAGGCTGCGCCAGACACTGTGCGCGGCTCTGCGCAGCCGTGGGCGGCTCACCGACTGTCTCCGTGGGTCGCGGGGGCGGGAGATGCTGTCCTGTGCGCAGGTCGATGCGCCGGAGCCCCCAGGGGTTGGGGTCGCCCGGTCTGTAGCCACACCCGCTTCCTCTATTGAGCCTGAAGCACTGCCAGTCCGGCATACGTCCGCGACCTGGGACGTACGTGTAGAGGATCTCGCGCAGGAAGTTGATCGTCATGAGCGAGTAGGGGGTCGAATCGAACAGCCCCTGCCCGTAGAGCGTGTCCGGCGCGATTTCCTGTTGAAAGGAGGTGCCCCGGTCCAGCTGCGAGAGCACGGTCCGGTTGTACGCGCACGAGCGCTGGCACGCCTGCGTTGCGCGCGGGGGCGTGCGTGGGCGGTCGGGGCTACGCGGCGGCGGGCGGCTCGCGCGGGCGGGAGCGCCGTGCGAGCGGGAACGTACCGTGATAACGTTGGGCGGGGTGGCTCCGCCCGGCAGGAGGTTCTGCTGACAGGTGGACACGCATGACTGCCCGTCCGGACGGTGGATAGGGTTACCGTCGGCGTCCGGGAAGTACCCGCGGATGTCAGCTACGTAGATTCGCTCCGGGAGAGCCGGGCATATGGCTGCGAACAGCAGGAGGAGCAAGAAAAGGGCCCGCATGGCGCACACATGGGTATGCCGGGCCTTTTCACGGGCGCACCACAACGGTAGTACGGCCGTTTGTTGCGCGCCAGCCGCACCAGGCCCGCCTACTAGCCCGCGAGAGCCACCGCGCCTGGCACTCCCCCTCACGCCCGCTGCTGCGCGTCCGTCCTCGCACAAACCCTCCCGGGGCGCACACGGCCTCGAAATCCCCGAAACTACACCCGCGTCGCCGTCCCACCCCCCCAATCCGCAGCGGCAGCGTCACATTCGACACACACGCACACACACAAACACACGCTGCGCGCCGCAACGCCTCCGCCTCGCGCCCACCCCGCCACGGCACCCCCACGGCCCGCCCCGGCCCGCACGCCCGGCCCCGGCCCCGGCGATCACGGCCCACGCAACCACAACCACCCGCGCAAGCGCACCACTCGCCCCACCGCGGCTCCGCACGGCGCCTCGCAGGCCGCGTCACAGGCCTCGCGGCCTACGCCGCCGAGTGCTTGCACAGCGGGCACGTCGTTTGCCCCGCCAGCCACTGGTCGATGCATCCCCTGTGAAACCTATGCATGCAGGGAAGCATTCGTATCTCGGAGCCCACTGTGAAGCCCTCGAGACATATGGCGCAGTCCGGGTCGTCCTTTGCGCCCTGCGGAGGCGTTCCGGGCGCGGCGGGCGTGGGCGCGGCGCGCCAGCGCCAGCAGAGAGCGCGGGGGCGCATTCGGGAGCAGCGCGGGCGCGGGAGACGAGGAATCGGGTCTGCTGCGACGCACCTTGTCTTTGGATGCCCTTCGGCTGTTTGCGGACCCCGCGCCCGCGCCCCCGCTCCCCGCCGCCGCCTCCTTCGCCGTCACGTGCCACGTCGGCAGCGCCGCGAGCTGCTCGTCGGACAGCCCTCGCCGCACAGCCCCCCCCAGGCTCTCCTGCAGCTCCAACAGCTCCTCATACCCCATCTCACTCCCCTCCCCAGCCGCCCCCACACCCGCGCGAGCGCGCTCCTCCGCTCATGCTCGAACGCGGCCCCCCCCTGCGCCATCTCCGCGGACAAGCGGTCGAACGCCGTCGAGACATGCTCCATCTCCGACAACAGGCGGTGCGCGAGGGCGCGGTCGTGCTGCGGCACGTTCGCGCGGGCGAAGTACGCCTCGAGCTCGCGGCGCTGCTGCACGACGTCGTCGCGCCGCGCGGCGCCGCCCATGAGCTGCGCCAGTGCGGCGGGGCCGGGCCAGGCGGTCCCCGCGGGGCTTTGCAGGTCCGCGATCGAGAGCGCAGCCGTGTCGCCGCGCCGGGACGACACCGGCGACAGCGCCTCGGGCTCGCGCGCGCGCACCGCCGCCGCGAGCGCGGCGCGCTGTTGCTGCTCGGCCTCCGAGTCGGCCTGCCGCTGCAAGCGCAGAGCTAGCTCGCGGTCGGCCGCCAGCTGCCGCGCGCGGCGCTCGTCCGGCGTGAGGCTCTGGACCTCGCGCTCCTCGCCGACCGCGTGCGCGGCCGCGGCGGCCGCGGGCTGCTCCGCTGCGCGCCGCGTGCGCCCCGCGTCGGGAGGCGCCGCGAAATCGGGGCGGCGCTGCTCCCGGCGCGCACGCTCGCGGCGCGGCGGAGCCGCGTCTTGCGACGCCCTGCTGCCGGCGACTGGCAGGAAGGACAGGCCCCGTCGCCCCGCCTCGACTATGCGTCGCCAGTTGCTCCAATTGCCGGTGGCATTGGCGCCGCGCGGGGCGTCGGCGGCGGCGGCGGCGTTGCCGGGGCGCGCGGGGGCAGCCACGACGGGCTCGTCGTCGTCGGAGATGACGATCGGCGCGGGCGGGGCGTCCAGCGCGGCGGCGGCGCGGCGGGTGTGCGGCGGCGGGCGGCGCGCCGCGGCGCTGCTCCCGGCGATGATGATCGGCGAGGTTCCGTCGTCCGACGGCTGCGGCTCGTTCCGCGACGCCCCGCTGCGCCTCCGTTGCGGCCGGTGGCCCCCGCGGCCCGCCGCTTCGTCCGGCGACTGCCCACGCCCCGCCGCGACCCGCGCAGCCTCCCGCGGCGCCGCGGGCTGCCCGGCGTGCTGGAACACGATCTCCGGGATCCCGGGGTACCCGCTCGCCGCGGCCGGGCCCGCGGAGGCGTTGCCAGCGCGCGGCGCGGGGGCGGCGGTGGTCGCCCCGACAACCACCATGCCTCCCGAGTCCGACGCGTCGCAGGAGTCCTCCCCCCGCAGCGCAGCGCGCGAGGCGGCCTGCGGGAGCGACGCGCTGCGTGCGGCGCCCTGGTGGCTGGACGCCGCGGCCGTTGGCCCGCCGTGCGGGCTGTCGAGTGCAGCTGGCGGGGGGGGTGTTGACTCGCGGGCCGGCGGGGCCGGCCGCGCGGGGCCCTCGGCAGTCTGGACGTGCGCGCGGGCCGCGGGCGGGCCCATCGCGGAGAGCACGGACGTCGGCGCGATGGCGGGTGTCGCCGCGGCGGTGGTGCGGGGCTGCGGCTGCGGCGACACGCCACGGCCGCCCGCGGTGATGAGCGACGCGGAGTCGCCGAGCCCAGCTGCGAGCGGTCCCACTGCGCGAAGGCGGGGCGATTCCGCGGAGTTCGGGCTCGCGAGGCGATGCACGGAAGAGGCAGTGGGTGGTAGCGAGGGGCGGGCTGAGCGTGGTGCGTGCGGGGGCGGCAGAACGGGGCCGGGGCGCGCGAGGGAGACGACGAGATAGGTTGGGGCGGCGCGGGGGGTGCGGGCGTGCAGGAGCGGGCGCGGCGTCGCGGGCACGCACCGGCCTCGTAGCTCGCGGCAGGTGCGGCGTTGCTGGCGGCGCGCACGGGCGCGGCGCCGCGCGGGGAGCACTCGTCCGGGCCGAGGATGTCGTCCATCCACGCCGTGCCGTGCGCCCCGGCGCCCGTCCGCGTCCGGTGCATCGCCTGGCCGGTGTTTTCTGGCGCGGCCCTCGAGGGCGCTTGGACGCGCCAGGCGCGCGCACTACGCCTCTGCGGGCCGGAGGAGCGCTCTCCCTATCAGCGTGGCTGCTCTCGAGCGTGATGTGCGCTGGAAGGGTTATACCAGGCCCGTTTGGGCCGGGAGTTGCGAGCGGTTGACTACGGTGCGGAGGGCGCGCACTGCGCTGAGGATATTGGCCCGCTGGCGGTCGCGTCAGAGAGTCCTCGGGCCGCGCTCCGCGCTGCGGCGATGGCGACGCCGGCCAACCGCGACAAGCGGCCCCTGACGCCCGGTCCAGTCTTATACTTGTGTTGCAGCGGCGCGACGTGGCCGCTGGCCAGAATAATGCCACGTGTGTGGCCGCAGAGGAGGCACACGAGGCGCTGCTCTCAGCAGACGCGCCGTTCGTTGGCAGAAAGGGACTGTTCCGCAGCAGCGGGGCCGCCGGGTGAAAGAGTGTGCGCAGTGGCTGAGTTGCCTTCGCGTGTGGCCTGCGGGCGGAACGGCCGACGATGGTCGCGCCAGTTGCGGGGCAGCTGCGCTGCTGCGTGCTCGCGCGGCCGGCGAGGGCCGCCTCGCGCGCCCCACGGGCGGCTGCGCGCGTGGCTGGGCTGGGGCTGGTGCGCGCGAGCGTGCGTCACGTAGCGCGCGCGGGACACGGGGACCGCGCGCAAGAGGAGGGAACACGAGAGGAGGAGGACGTCGAGGAGTGGGAGGAGGAGTACGAAGACGAGGAGGAGAGGTGCGCCCGCATCGCTACCGGAAGCACGCACCGGCAGCCTCCACGCCACGAAAGGGCCTAGATCCTCCGCGCGCGCGACAACCGGGATGAAGGACTGCGTTCCAGGGCCGCAACGGCACGACAAGCCTCGGCAGCGACCACCAGCAGCGGGAGCGGTGCCCAGTTCCATGTCCCGCCCCTCCCGCCCCTGCAATGCGCCGCGACACCGGCGATACGTTGCTCATTTCCTGCGCCCAGACGCCAAAGACGCCCAAAACTCGCGACAAGGCCGGCCGCAACCGCCGACCGGGCCCTGGAGACTGCGCAGTCGGACTGGTCCACCTCTCACCAACCAACACGCGCCGTTCCCGGCGCCTCCCGGCGCCATCTCGCACGTCCACGCCCTGGCTTGGTCTCCCTGTCGCGGACATACCGTTCCGTCCGCAACGAGCTGCTCTGAGCCTCGCCCCACGCGCCAGTCTGACCGCCCCCGTTCCCGCACGCCATCCCCGCGCAGCCTCGATGACGACGACGAGGAGCTCCTGTCGGAGATCGCGCGCGTCCGCGAGAAGAACCGCCAGCTCAAGGCCGCCCTCGAGGAGCTCAACATGATGAGCCCGCAGCTGTGCGTGACACAACCCACCAGCAACCCTCACGCCGGCGCCTCCCGCCCGCCTCCGGGTCCGCGAACCGCCCGCGACCGCATCCCTGCGCTGCAGGCTACGCGAGATGCGCTCGGAGCGCCTCGCCGAGGACGGCGTCATCGCTCCGTCGCAGGCAGACCTGCAATTAGCAGGCATTGATCCGCAGACAGGGTTCGCCCTGTATGACGAGTCCCGCGTGACGCCCGAGGCGGTCTCGGCGGTTCCGGACAGCGGCACGATGGCGCCTCCGATCAGCGACCTCGAGGCGAGGGCGGCCGAGGCCGCGGCGCTGATTGAGGGCTCCGTCTTTGACGCGACGGCGGCCGTGGCCGCCGCGGCGCAGGACGCGACGTCGTCCGCGGTGCGCGCGAAGACCGCGCTGTCGCTCGTGTTCGTGTCCGCGGAGGTCGCGCCGTGGAGCAAGACGGGCGGCCTCGGGGACGTCGTCGGCGCCCTGCCGCGGGCGCTGGCGAAGAAGGGCCACCGCACGATGGTCGTGTCGCCGCTGTACCAGAACGGTGCGTCCGTGGGCGCGTGCGCGAATGCTGCCTGCTGCGCCGTGCGATGCGGGCGGTGCCCTGGGCGGGTCGGTCAGGAGACACCCCCTTCTTTCTTGTTGATGAGGGGTGTGTTTCGGGGTGTTTGCGCGCAGGGTCGAGTTCGGACAAGCTGTTCGAGGCCGCGAAGGACCTGGGCGTGGAGAAGTCGCTCGACCTCGGCACGGGCGGCGCGCAGGTGGTATCATATAAGCTCATCCGCAAGGAGGACACCGATTTCGTATTTGTCGACCACCCGGTCTTCCGGCGCGAAGGCTCGCTCTACGGCACGCCGCAGGGCGCCTACCCGGACAACCACCTCCGCTTCGCGATCCTCTCCATGGCCGCCCTCGAGGCCCCCCTCGTCCTCGACCTCCCCGAGTCAGGCCCCGGGGGGGACTCCCGCACGTCCCGCTACGGCCAGAACTGCGTCTTCGTCGCCAACGACTGGCACGCGGGCCTCATCCCCGTGTACATCCACAGCCGCTTCCGCCCCTACGGCGTCTACGAGAACGCGCGCACCGTGTTCGCCATACACAATCTCGCGTACCAAGGCGTGGCGCCACCCGCGTCCTTCGGGCAGCTCGGCGTGCCGTCGGACTGGTACCGCACGCTGGAGTGGATCTACCCGGGCGGGAAGGCCGCGATCAACGTCATGAAGGCGGCGCTGGTGACGTGCGACCGCGTGGTGACGGTGTCGCAGGGGTACGCGGCGGAGATCGTGGAGCCGACGCTCGGGTGCGGGATGGACGGCATCATGCGGAACCGGTCGCGGGACCTGAACGGGATCCTGAACGGCGTGGACACCGCGGACTGGAACCCGGAGACGGACAAGTTCATCACCACGCAGTACTTCCTCCCAGGCAAGTCTCTTGCTTCTATTGTGTACATCTATTATATATTATACATTCTATCATATATTCTTCTGGTATGTTTCTGGTATAAGAAGTCATTTGTATGATGAAAGCGCGACGTCAGTCTCTGTAGCCCAGCTCCCGACGCGCCGCCGCTCCACCTGTCGCACAGGCACGCAGCGTGCTCGTTCCGTCCTCCCCTGCCCCGCGCACCATCTGCGTTCCTCGCCCCCTAGCACCCCACGGCTCCTCCGACCCACCCCGCCCCCACGCGCTGCTCCCCCGCAGAGGAGCGGCGGCGCGCGCTGCTCGCCGCGACCGCCTCCGCGGACCCCCTGGACGAGCCCGACACCATAAAGGCAATGCGCGGCGCGTGGAAGCCCGGCAAAGCGGCGTGCAAGGACGCTCTCCAGCGCGAGCTCGGGCTCGAGCGGGACCCCGACGCGCCGCTCATCGGCTTCATCGGCCGCCTCGACACGCAGAAGGGCCCGGACCTGGTGCTGGAGGCGGTACCAGACCTCCTCGGCCGCGGATGCCAGGTCGTGATGCTCGGCAGCGGCGACAGCACGTACGAGCTGTGGATGCGGAACATGGAGGCGCAGTTCCACGACGCGGGCTTCCGCGGCTGGGTCGGGTTCTCGGTTCCGGTGGCGCACCGCATGTTTGCGGGGTGCGACATCCTGCTGATGCCGAGCCGGTTCGAGCCGTGCGGGCTGAACCAGATGTACGCGATGAAGTACGGCACGGTGCCGGTCGTGGCGTCGACGGGGGGGCTCAGGGACACGGTGGAGGACTTCAGCTACTTCTCGCGGGCAGGGACCGGGTTCACGTTCGCGCCGTGCACGCGCACGGAGATGATGCGGGCGGTGGACGCGGCGCTGAACGCGTACCGGAACTGGCCGGAGGACTGGCTCGACCTGGTGGTGCGTTCCTGCCCGACCTGCGCGCGATTTCCGCGGAACTCTCTCTCCCTCGTCGCGTGCGCGCACGCGTCGCCGTCGCGCACGGCGGTGCGTCCGCGAGCCCGTGCTATTGCACCGCGTACCCTCGCGGCGCGCAAACTGCCCTGCTCTGCGTTGCGCCTTGTCGCAGGAGCGCGCAATGGCGCAGGACTATTCGTGGGAACGAAGCGCGGAGAGCTGGGAGCTGGCGCTGCGCTGGGCCGCGGAGGGGCCGTCGCACATCGGGTCGGACGGGCCGCCGTGATGTACATACCACGGTGCCGCAGCGCGCGCGAGTTTGCGGTAGTTGAGGAGCGTGCTACGGCGGCGGGCGCGGGAACGCGGCGCCGTCGAGCGGCGCAGTGTGACATTGCGAGCAGAGGCGCTTGCGGAGCGCTGCGTCGCCGGCGACGCAGCGTGTCAGACGGAGCTGTTTCGCGCCCCCAGGGGACAGAGAGGGCGGACACCGGCGGAGCGTTGCGCGACGTAGGGCCGGGTCGGTCCGCAGGGCTGCTACGTCTCGCAGCGACGCCTCGTGTACCGGAAGTGGGCCGGAAAGGGCTCTCGGCTGGCGTGCCTGGTGACTTGGTGAGCTAGCTATGTTGCCCCTGCGCGTGTACATGTACGGCGCCGCCGGCACGTGCGCCGGCTGGTGGGTGGCGCACCAGGTGTTCAACATAGCAAAGGCAAGCGCACGGGGCCGGTTCGCGACGCGGCGCGTCGAACGCGACGCAAACCTTCCGCACGCCTAGCGTGGAGTTTCTCTGCTCCTGATTGACGTTGACGCTTGCCTGTTGTCCGCGATCGGATGGTACAAGGAGCAGAATAGTCAAAAGTCACACTTCCGGCCCGGAAAACGCAGAGGTGGCAGAGCACGGAGCCTGCTCAGGGCACTTCGACTCAGTGAGTAGGCCGCTGCGCGCGACCTGCGCGTAATTCCGCCGCGCCATCGACGCTGGTGGACGTGGTGTGCACAAGCGGGCATCATGGGCCGGAACCGGCGAGCGAACGCCCCAGGTCCTGCGCGCGACGCGCCGCCAGAAGCGTCAGAAGCGCCCGCGGCCAAGGGACCGTCCATGGCACGCTACCTCGAGACGATATTCAAGGACTATCAGGTGCGCAATGATCATACACGCTCCAGCAAGCCGTCCAAGCCAATGAAGGGACTGCCAGGGCAGCGGAGACCGCGAGCGGCTGGCCCATGAGTGCAGGAGAAGCACGACGGAACATCCACGGCCGGCAATGACTCGGACCGCGAATTCGACGTTCAGAAGTACGAGGTGCGGGCCGCGCCAAGCAGACCTGACACCACGCCGCCCCCGCCCGCGCATCGCGCGTTGCACCACTTCTCTTGCGACGTCACGGCGCCCCCGTCACGCGAACGCGCAGGACACGCTCGACGAGGTCGTGGGCGAGGGCGCGGGCTGCATGATCTGCCTCGAGGATGTCGAGCGCGACGACGCGGTGTGGTCGTGCCGGGAGGGGTGCTACTGCGTAATGCACCTGCAGTGTGCGCAGGGCTGGGCGCGGCAGCAGATCGATCTGGCCGCGAAGCACATCAGGCGAGACGCGCTCCTCGCGCCTGCTCGTTCGGACCCGGGGTGAAAAGATACCCAAGTTGAAACACTGCCGGACATATCAATTCAAGTCTCGTCTTGCGTTTCTGCCCTCGTGTTGACGCGCGAGGCGAGGCGGTGCCGTGCAGGGAACGGCTGGACGCGTCGCGGTTCCCGACGGCGCAGCGGGCGGCCCACGACGCGGGGTGGGGGTGTCCCAAGTGTCGCACCGTGTACAAGGAAGTCCCCCAGGAGTACTATTGCTTCTGCGGGGGTGTCAGGGACCCGGAGCCGGACCCGTGGAACCTGCCGCACTCCTGCGGAGAGCGATGCTCGCGCGTCCTGCCCGGATGCGGGCACGAGTGTTTGTTGCTGTGCCACCCAGGGCCCTGCCCGCGCTGCCCGCGCACAGTCAAGGTGCGCCCGTTCGTCAGGCCGCATGACGATTGCGAGACGATCGACGCAGAGCACCTCCCAGTCGCTTCCTTCGCCGCCTCCGATCATCGCATCGGCACGCCCGGAGCGCAACGCGCGACGCACCGCATGCTGCGTACATGCAGGCTACGTGCTACTGCGGCCGCGTCGCCACGCAGCGGCGCTGCGGCGCCGCCGCGTTCTCCTGCGGCGACGTGTGCGGGAAAACCCTCCCGTGCGGCCACGCGTGCGCCACGGCGTGCCACGATGGCCCTTGCCCGCCATGTCGACGACTCGGGGAGCACACGTGCCGCTGCGGGCGGCAGCGGCGGCGCGTGCCGTGCTGCGAGCTCCCCTGGAGCTGCGAGCGCCCGTGCGGGCGGCCGCTCGGCTGCGGCAAGCACACCTGCGAGCAGGTGTGCCACGAGGGCGCGTGCGAGGGGTGCGCGATGGAGGGCCCGCGGAAGTGCCATTGCGGGTCGTCAACGACCGCGGGACTGTCGTGCACGGACCCCACGCCGAGCTGCGGCGGCACGTGCGACAAGGAGCTGCCGTGCGGGCACCGGTGTCAGCAGCGGTGCCATGCCGGGGGGTGTCAGACCTGCCTGGTGATGGTGACCAAGGCGTGCGGGTGCGGGTCGACGCGCGCGGAGCTGCCGTGCTACAAGGAGGTGGCGTGCAAGAGCAAGTGCTCGCGCATGCGGTCCTGCGGACGGCACCAGGTCAGGAATGGAATTGCAGAGCTTGTTTCAGTTGTACTGCCACCTTGTCAATTCAATATCTTTCTTTGGTTGATTCGCGCCGTCAAACAGCGAAGCTTTCTGAGCGCCCGGCGCCCGAGAGCGTCGCGTGTCGATTGAGCGCTGTCGGCTCACTGGGAGACTCCGTACCCTATCTGCTCTTCCCTCGCAGTGCAAGAAGCGGTGCTGTTCGGGCGACTGTCCGCCCTGCACCCAAGTCTGCGGCCGCAAGCTCCGCTGCGGCAACCACAAGTGCCAGGCCGACTGCCACGACGGCCCCTGCACCCCCTGCACCCTCCGATCACGCGTCACGTGCGCCTGCGGCAGATGCACTCGCAGCATCGCGTGCGGTCGCGAAGCCGCCGCGACGCCCCCGTCCTGCCGGCGCCCGTGCGCGGTACCGCGTCTCTGTCGCCACGCAGCCGCCGCTCCGTCGCACCAGTGCCACTTCGGCCCGTGCCCCTCGTGCGAGGCAACCTGCGGCGAAGCGATGCCGTGTGGACACACGTGCGGGCACCCTTGCCACGACGCGACGCCGCCGGCCGTCGCGGACTTCCAGCAGCCGTCGCCACCGGCGGCGCCGACCGAGGCCGGCAGCGCGGCGGCGCCGAGCGCGCGGGCGGAGCCGGCAGCGGCGCTGGCCGTGCGTGCTGCGCGCGCCATGCCGCACACGGCCACCCCGTGCCCGCCGTGCCGCGTTCCAGTGCCGGTGGAGTGCATGGGGGAGCACGGCACCGAGGATGTGCCGTGCTGCGACGCCGCGCAGGCTCGTGCGCGCGGCCGCTCGTGTGGGGGGGTGTGTGGCGCAACTTTGGCTTGTACCCGGCACACGTGCGCCAAGCCGTGCCACGTGCGCGATCCCAGCGCGCCGGGGGGCTCTTGCGAGGAGTGCGCGCGTCCCTGCGGCCGCGCCCTCGCGTGCGGGCACCCCTGCAAGGCCACGTGTCACCCGGGGGGGTGTCCGCTGTGTACGACCGACGTGGCGCTGCCGTGCCACTGCGGGCGCGGCGAGGTCTCGGTGCGGTGCGTGGACGTCCCTGGCGGCGACACCACCGCGCCGTCGCTCGCGCCGCTGCTGCGCTGCAAGCAGACGTGCGGCAGGCGGCTGCCGGGGTGTCCGCACTTCTGCACGCAGCGGTGCCACCCGGGGCTGGTTGACACGTGCTGTGAATGTTCCCAGGGACACGCTGAGATCGCCTGCGGCCCGGTTTGTGCCGAGCCTGTGCATGTCTGTGCCCGTCTTCCGCACATTGCTTGCTCGTTTCGCGTTCCTGACGTTGGCCGCGCGAAGCTGTCACCGAGTCGGCGCCGCGAACGCTCGGCCAGCGCCAGGAGGCTCCGCCCACGAGATCAAGGATGTCGCGATGGTCCAACACAGTCGGTCACGCCTGTGCGCGCAGCGTGAGGACGTCCTCGATGTCAGCGTCGAGCCCCGCGGCGCGCGATCCTCGCCACGCGTCCCGATCGCCCCGTCGGCCGGCGACCCCGCCCGACGTGCGGGTGAGACGTTTGCAAGGATTGCGTCCAGAACAACACATGCTGACGACGAGGATGCCTGAAAAACTTTCCGCGGACGAACGAGCGCACTGACGATCGTAGGAAACGATCGAGAGAGGGTGGTCGAGGGAAGGCGACAGCGCCTGCTGCTTCTGTCGCACGCCGGCCACCTTCGTTCGCCGCTGATGGTTCGCCGAGGCCTGCTGCAGCGCTCGCGCTTGTTCCGCGGCTCTACCAGCACAGGTGCGATGCTCATCGTCCATGCGACTGCTGCACGTCACGTTCTTGCACCGCAGCAACATGGGGCCGTGAACGTCTCACAACAACAACGACAACGGCAACGGCAACGGCGACCGCCGCACGCGCTCTCAAACGCATCGTGGGTCGCACGGCAGCACCGCCCAGCCGCACTCCCCGAAGCTGACGCCCAGGGCGCGCGCGAGCGGCACGGGGACCGCGTTGCCGACCTGGCGGTGCCGCTCTGTGAGGGTGCCGCGGAAGCGGAACGTGTCCGGGAAGCCCTGCAGCCGCGCGCACTCCCGAACGGTCACGTAGCGGTCCTCCTCGTAATGCAGCGCCCGGCAGACGGTCGCCGACACCCGCGGGTCCGTGGTGATGGTCTGCGCGGGCTGGTCGGGCAGCAGCCGCTTGGACCGCGCGCCCCCGTCGTCGGCCAGCGCGACGTCCGCGAGCTCCGCGAGGGGGAGCTTCCTCCTCTTCCTGCTGCGGGCCTGGCATGATGCGTCTCCGAACAGCTCGGCGTGCTGGCGGTCCGGCAGCGGCCGCGACGCGTGGTCGTGGACCCGCTCGCCGCACCCTCGCCGCACGCCCTTCTGGAACGCGTTCTGCGGCGGCCCCGCGTACGGCGCGGCCTCCCCCCCCGGGTCGCTGCATCCACACAGGTCTCCCATCGCGTCGCGCACCGTGACGGCCGCGTCGAGCCCCGCGGCAGCGGGGGGCAGGGCGCGGCACGCGACGGCGGGCCTGGTCGGGAACAGCGTCAGCTCGGCGTCGGCGTACGCGTGCGTCGGCGCGGGCCAAGCCGGGAGGCGCGCGCGGCCGCTCAGGGCGCCGATGACGACCAGCCTCTTGCGGCTCTGCGGCGTGCCGTAGGCGCACGCGTCGAGCACGCCGAAGCGGACCTGGTAGCCGAGCTCGAGGAGGCAGCGGAGCACCCTGCCCAGCGTGGAGCCGCCGTCCAAGCCCTCGTGCGTCGCCAGGTTGCGCACGTTCTCCAGCAGGACGAACGGCGGCAGGTACGCCTCGCACAGCGACAGGAACGTGGGCGTCACCGCGTTGTTGCCCATCGCCTGCGCGGCCCCGCGGTGGCGGTTCAGCCCCGAGAACCCCTGGCAGGGGGGTCCACCGCAGATCAGGGCGACCTCGCCCCGCGCGGGGAGGACGTCCTGCGGCGCAACGCCGCCGCCGCCGCCGCCGCTGGCACCGTCGCCGTGGCCGCCGGCGCCGCCGGCCGCGACGCGCCGCAGGACGTCCTCGCAGCGCTCCTCAAACACCACCGCGGCGCGGTGGTTGGTGCGGAACGCGGCGGCCGCGGCCGCGTCGCTCTCGACCGCCCACCGCACCGAGACCGCCCCCGACGCTTCGAGGCCCGTCGAAAGCCCCCCGGCGCCGGAGCAGACGTCCATCGCCCGCAGCCGATCTCCCGTCGCCCTGCGGTTGCCGGCGTCGTCCGAGGCGGCGATCGCGGCGTCGCGGGCCGCGGCGTCGCCGAACGCTGCGCCCGAGGGGAGCAGTTCGCCGAAGCGCATGGCTTCCCGCGCCGGGAGGTCGCGAAAGACCCCCTGCGCGGCGACGTATGAGAAGCGCAGCCTCGAGGTCAGCCGGCTGCGCTCCTGGGCGTGCACGGGCTTGCTCCGTCGCCCGGAGGCCGGCATCCAGTCCGGAAACTCGTCGAAGTTCAGCACGGTCGCGCCGTCGTCCTGCAGGCGTGGCGAGGATCGTGCGCGCGCGGTGTGAGTGTTTCTGTCACGCAGGCGCACGTGCCTGGCGCGATCCGCGCGGCGCGAGGACATCGGGCACTGCTACCATGCGGGCACACGCCGCGGCGGCCGCGGCGTGCGGCGAGGGACGGACGCACCAGGCAGACGGTGACGACGTCCTGGACGAGGAACAGCTCGTTCCGCGCTGCCTCGCGGCCGAGCACGGTCGTCCTGCCCTCCACGAGACGCCGCAGCTGCGCCATCCTCCTGGGCCGCGGATCGCCGCCGGGATGGCGGCTCGCCGCGCCTCCCCCGGGCCCGGGCGGCGGCGACGCAACCCACACGCACTGGACGATGCCGCGGACGAACCCGGCGCTGCCCTCGACGCGGCATCGGACGGCGGAGCCGCACTGCACGCCCGCGCTGCCCGCGGGCCCGGGAGCAGCCGTTGGCTGCTGCAGCCAGGGGCGGTCCGCGCCGCCGTCGTGCGCCTGGGCCGCGGTCGAGGAGCCGGGCGCCGACGAGACGCACGGCGCAGGATCGTCCTCGCGCGGCGCGAGGTCCAGCCGCTCCAGCGGTCCGCAGTGTCCGTCGAAGACGCGGTAGACGACCGGGGTGGCCGGTTGTGCCACCACCGGTGGACGGTGGTCGCCGCCGCTCGCCGCCGCGGCGGGCGCGCTGGCGCGCGGGGGCTCGCCCGCCGCCCGCATTTGCTTGGCGAGTTCGCCGAGCTGCCGCAGCAGGGCGCAGCCGCCGCTCAGGTCGGGGTGCGTGTCTGGCTGGAAGACATGTCGCACGTCGTCCTCGTGGAGCGCCAGGTAGCGCGACACCGCAGCTTCGTCGCCGCGCACGTGGAGCAGCGTGCCCGGGTCCTGCGCGCGCACGAAGCGCGCGGCGTCGCGCAGCGAGAACGAGCCCACGCGGTCCTGGCTCAGCACGCGCCCCAGGAGGGCCCGCGCGATGACGATGGGACGCGCGACTTCGACGCTCGACGGCGCGAACACGACGGTCGGATCCGCCTTGCCCTTGAACGCGCCGAGCATGCGCGCCTTCGTGGCCGCCCGCACGCCCAGGCGCTGGACCGCGGCGCTCGGCCCCTTGCCGTCCGCCCTCCCGTCGCGCCTCGCGCGCACGAAGGGCTGCTTGCACTTCTCGCAGACGGGGCTGGAGATGAGGTTCTCGGCCGTGCAGCCATCGTGCACGCAACGCCGGGTCGGGGCCTGCGGCGACGTGCGGGGTCGTGCGGCCTCTGTCAGAGGCAGTAGCAAACAGGGCCCGTAGCATTTGCTGCCGCAGGGGCTCCGATGACCGTCATTGACGGGCCCGCTCGACGTGCACGGCGCGGCGGCGCGGGCGCGCGACGCACCGCACCGCACGAGACGCTCGGCGCCGAACGACCGAGACTCGGCCGATCATCCGCTGGCGTCATGCGGACCCCGGCGACTCGCGCGTGGCGGCAGCAGTTGCACGCAACGACCGGGCGCTGCGGGGCGATCGCGGCCCCGTCCGGCCGGGTCCGGCGCCCGCGCGGCCAGACCACACGAGAAAAGGTGCAGCACGGCGTCGGCGGGTCGCGGGAGCGCGGCACAGGCGCGGTGCGATGGTGGTGCAGGCGGACAGCACGGGCGCGGCTCGCCGGGGCCGGCTGCGGTGCGCACGCACCTTCTTCGGTGCAGCATTCTTGACCGGTGTCGACGCGCCGTCAGGCGGCGGCGGGATTTCGCGGCCCCGCAGCCGCCTCGGCGACAACTTCATGCGCTCGTCGTCGAGGCCGCCCATCTGCAGCGGCGCGCGCGCGGGACGAACGCCACCGTCGAGGGTGGTTCGCGAGTGCGGCGCCACGAGCACGGCGACGCCCGTTCGCTCGTGGCGCGGCGAAGAGGGGGGTGCAACCGTGATGGCGGCGCCATGCCTCCGGGGTGCTGGTGGTTGGGGAGACTCGTGGCCAGTCTCGCGCGGCCGCACCGCGTCGTGGTTGCGCGGCCGCGGGGCCCGTCGTGCTGCACTCGGGACAGACCAAGCACAACAGCTCGGGGCCGGGCTCGTCGAGCGCGCCCCGGACGCCTGCGGGGTTTCCTGTGCCAGCTCGCCCGAGGCCAGCTGGGGGCCGTTCGCCGCACTTTTCCGGGAGGCGAGGCATGTCGTTCGTCACGTTCGGTGCGCCCGGCGTCCTCGCTGGCCTCGCTCGCGGCCGCCAGACTGTGCGCGCGGACCCGCTCGTCTTTTGGTGCAGCGCTGTAAGCGCGGAGCGCGCCCGCGCGGGGCAGGCCGCCTGCACCCCTGGCCGCCTGTCCAGGGGTCGCACGAGACGTCCTCGCCGCCGTGTGCGAGAAGCCTCGCTTGTGCGTCGACGCGGCGGCGGGGCAGTCCGTTCGGCCTGTGGCCTGTAGCTTGCTTGGTTGATTGGCGAAGCGCTTGGTCGCTTCAGCTGCGCCTGCGCGGCCCCCGCACGCGCAGGGGACGTCCGTGGGCCCGCGACGGCTGTGTCGTCGAGTGCGTTCAGTGCAACAGAAGTCTGCACGTGAGGTCGCTCGCATCAGGACATCGTGGTGTGGTGGGTGTGGCAAGTCACAACGCGATGTGCAGTTCCAGCATCGGACGCTTCGGGACGCACGAAACGAATCATCCATGCAGCCGGGTTGCGTCCGAGGCGGCGCCCAGGTCTCGCGGCACCACCACGCTGCACGCGCGCTGCGACAAGGCACTCGCTGGGACGCGACCGCCTTCGCCTCCCCTCGTCGTCGAAGACTTGTCGCGGCGCCCGGAGCGGCAGTGCGGCACTGCGGCAGGTGGTCTGCGCTCCGTCGGTCGGGGCTCCATCATGCCTCTGGAGGGCTGGTCCCGAACGGTCCGGCCGCACCGTGCGGCGTCATTGCGCGGCCGCAGTTGCGAGCGGACCAACAGAAGCTCGGGTCCGGAGCCTTTGAGCGCGTGTCGATGCTAGTGGGGTCGCCGCTGAGGCAGGGCCTCCGCCAGCCCCAGGCCTGCAAGGCCCGATGCCTGCCGGAGCGGTCATTGCGCGGTTCCGGTTCCGCGCAGCGCAGCATGACCTCGATCTTCTACGGTGAGTCTGGCGTCCCCCGCTGCCTCGCTCGTGGCCGCCAGCGAGCCTGCCGAAGTAGATGCGCACGGATCGTGCAGATCGAGTGAGCGAGGCGAGCCTCAGACACCGCCCCGACGCGCGTCCGCTCGCCGCGTGCACGTGCAGGAAACGCAGAGGAGGGCGCGCACCTGGGAGGGGCAGATCGCGTGCAGCCAGCCCGAGTTGGAGCAGCATGCACCCGGGAGCAACGGGGAGGAGCGGGGCGAGTCGCGGCAGATCGGTGAGTCAGGCGTCCTCGCTGGCCTCGCTCGTGGTCGCCAGAGAATGTGCGCGCGAACCTCCCGCTCTCGCTGGCGCACCCGCATTGACGCATGGAGCAGGCCACCTCTCCGCGCGCGCTGGCCGCCGTTCGCGGCGCCGTTCGCGCGCGCACGACCCGCTCTGTCGGCGAAACATGCGGCTGGCGATGCGACCTCGCACGCTCGCACCCCCGACGGCGCTCCTCCGCCTGCTCCCTCTTTCACGCCCACGTGCCCCCCCCCCGCGCGCGCGCTGGCCGCCGTTCGCGGCGCCGTTCGCGCACGACCCGCTGTGTCGCCGAAACATGCGGCTGGCGATGCGATCTCGCACGCTCGCACCCCCGACGGCGCTCCTCCGCCTGCTCCCTCTTTCGCGCCCACGTGCCCCCCCGCGCGCGCGCTGGCCGCCGCTCGCGGCGCCGTTCGCTGCCGCGCACGACCTCTGTCGGCGAAACATGCGGCTGGCGATGCGATCTCGCACGCTCGCACCCCGACGCGCTCTCCGCCTGCTCCCTCTTTCGGCCCGTGCCCCCCGCGCGCGCGCTGGCCGCCGCTCGCGGCGCCGTTCGCGCACGACCCTCTCTGTCGGCGAAACATGCGGCTGGCGATGCGATCTCGCACGCTCGCACCCCCGACGGCGCTCCTCCGCCTGCTCCCTCTTTCGCGCCCACGTGCCGCCCCCCCCGCGCGCGCGCTGGCCGCCGCTCGCGGCGCCGTTCGCGCACGACCCTCTCTGTCGGCGAAACATGCGGCTGGCGATGCGATCTCGCACGCTCGCACCCCCGACGGCGCTCCTCCGCCTGCTCCCTCTTTCGCGCCCGTGCCCCCCCGCGCGCGCGCTGGCCGCCGTTCGCGGCGCCGTTCGCGCACGACCCGCTGTGTCGCCGAAACATGCGGCTGGCGATGCGATCTCGCACGCTCGCACCCCCGACGGCGCTCCTCCGCCTGCTCCCTCTTTCGCGCCCACGTGCCCCCCCCCCCGCGCGCGCGCTGGCCGCCGTTCGCGGCGCCGTTCGCGCGCGCACGACCCGCTCTGTCGGCGAAACATGCGGCTGGCGATGCGACCTCGCACGCTCGCACCCCCGACGGCGCGCCTCCGCCTGCTCCCTCTTTCGCGCCCACGTGCCCCCCCCCGCGCGCGCGCTGGCCGCCGCTCGCGGCGCCGTTCGCGCACGACCCTCTCTGTCGCCGAAACATTCCGTGCGGCGCCCTGGACCGCGATCACGGGTCTGTCGAGCGGGTGCCCCCGCCTTGTGCAGCCTATATAGATGTAGTTATCCAATAATTGGACGGAACGGGGCTGGTGTGTGGGCCCAGGACCCCGCACTCGCCCCCCGGCCGGCCTTGCCACAAGCGACGTGTTGTGTGAGGCAGCGCGCAGTGCACGACGGGTCCAAAAGTCGGGCATCGTCGCACAAGAGACTCGGACGTCTCGCGAGGTGGGCGAGCACTGACGGGTGCGTGTGCGGGCGAGGCGCGGCGCAGCGACTGTCGGTCCCTCTCCTGTCACACGTGGGCTGGTTCTGTGCATGCAGTGTCTAAGAAGCGGTCATGATAGTTCACGCCGTCGCTATGCTTGGCTATTCCACGTGCTGATCTCCACAGGGGGGCTGGTTCTTGATTCGTTTCCCCGCGTGCTCCCCACGCGTTCGTCTCGTCCTCACGGCGACATGTCCATACTCCCCGGCCCGGTCGCCTCATGCGGCACCTGCTCCACCGCGGCCGCGCTGTTCCCCGGGAGGCGCCCGTGCAGGGACGGCAGACGGGCCGCGAGCCCGTCCGCGGGATCGGGCTCGCCGGACCCCCTCGGCAGCCTGCGGCGCAGTCAGACACCGCATGGGTGTGTTGGAGACGTGGCTGGGGGTGTGTTGCACGAACGCGCGGCAGGGAACCAGGAACCACTCTTGGTGGGCTGGAAGGACGAGCCGCACGCGGTCACCAGCCCTAGTGCCAGCCGCGACGAGTGAGAGGGTGTGATGCTCGAGCTGCTTTGGCAGGATGGGGTTCACCTGGTTGGCCCGTCGAGCACGGACCTCTTCAGCAAGGCCACCGGGACCCCGTCCCGGGACTCATCTGGCTCTACGACGCGCCCCTTGAGGCCACGACGCTCCTTGCCAGTCAGCCTCGCGAACCCGAACCGCTTGGTCCACATGTCGTACACCTCAGGCGTGGCGAGAACGACGAGCTTCTGCACGTAGAGCTCGATCATCAGCGCCTCGATCTGCGACACGAGCAGCCGCGCGTTGCCCTTCCCGCGGTGAGCCTCCCTGCGAGCAGCACCGACACGTCATGTGTGCTCGTTCGTGTGGCGCAGTGTTGCACGGAAGCGGGCACCGGTGACGGCTGCGGGCGCGTTGTTGTTCAGCGCGTGTTTCGTGCAGTCGCCCAACAGCCGGCGAGACAGCGCGGCGCCGGGCAGCACCTCGTGGCGATGAACGGCATCTCCGCGAACGCGTTGCTGAAGAACCGGACCGCCGCGACGCACACGATGACGCCGCCGCGGCGCAGGACGAACAAGCGGAACTCCGAGAAGTCGAGCGGGATGTCGTCCCAAGGAATCCCGGGCATCGACGTCGCGACGAGCTCGACGAGGTTGTACCCGTTCACGTCAATGGGCTGGAAGGCGTCCTGCAGCCGTCAGATGACGATCGTGGCCCGCGTGAGGGCGCCTCTGCCGCGACAGCGCGGCCGCACTGCTCATGCATACACAGCGGCGGCGGTAGCTCTGCCGCAGTTCGGTGCCTGCCGCGATGAGGATGAGGAACGTACCAGGAGGAGCGCAGCCGCGGATTTGTTCGAAGCCTGGGTGCTGTCGGCCGAAAGCATCTCGAAGAACACGTCGTTCAGCTCGGAGCCGTCGTCGGCGGTCACGGCCTGCTGGATGTCGCACATGTTCTCGACGTAGTGCGCGATGATGGTGCAGCCCTGCGGGGGAGACATCTCGGAAACAGAGCCGCGTGACAGCTCGAAAGGATCGATTGTCGTGCAAGGCTGGGAGGCCTTGCTGCGACGTGCCCCTCGCGACGCCGCAGTTGGCGAGAAATCGCGGCGCACCTCGGTGCAGAACCAGTCGTCGTCCAGGCTGTCGATCTTCTTCCCCGTGGCCGACTCGTGGCAGGACACGTGCGCCTGGCCCTCGTGGCACAGCTCGCAGCAGAGCATCGTGTCCGGGTGGATACCCTCTGCGGAACCGGTGAGGTCCAGCTCGTGAGGGCCGCCGGACGTGAAAGGGCATGCGGCCAACACGTGATGGTAGAAACACGATTCAACGCGACAGTAGCGTCAGACATGCGGACAGGCGCGTGCTCGGGGACAGAGCACGCGAGTCGCTCGGGGGCGCACCCTCCTCGCTGAAGTGATCCTTGCCGCACCACCTGCACGCGTCCACCGCCTCTGCCCACCCGCTGTCGGCCCTGGAGGTCGCGCCAGCGGCGCGCCTGCCGCCACGCTGCACGGGCTCGTAGTCGCCTGCGCCGCGGCATCGCACGTGCGCACCAGATCGGGCACGGCGGCGGCGCGCAGCGGTGGGCGTTTGACGCACCCTCCGTGCGTCAAAAGGCAACGATGACAAGAGAGGGGTCGAAAGAGGTGTAACTTTCAAGGGGGCGTTTCTGTGGGTCAGATCGGAACTCACTTGCGCCATCCGAGCCCTCATCGTCGGAGCTCGCGGTCTCGCTCCCCTGTGCACGCCTGCGCGGCTTCCTCGTCCCGCGCGCCTTGCGCTCCGTGGCAGGTGCGCCTCCGGCAGCGTACTCCTCCAGGAAGGCGTTGGTGATCACCCTGCCCGTCGCGAGTTCCAGGTCCTGCGGATGAGGATCGGGGAGCCAGCAGCGTTGCGCGGCGTCGTCAGGCATGGGGAATGCATGGTCCAGCGCCGTGCCCCGCCCCCGACCAGACAGCGATCATGCGCAATAGTCCAGGAGGCACGCGCGCGGGCGTGACTCGCACCTCGGACTGCAGCTTGCCGAGATCGACGCGCCGGAGCGTCGTCGTCGCGTCAGCCTCGTCCGGCGCCCCACCTTCCAAGAGCGCTCGCGGGGCCGTGGCATTGAATTTTCCCTGCAGCGTCATTTCCGGCACGATGTCCGCGACGCCGTCGCCCGTAGAATCATATGCGAAGTTGACGTCCGCCTTCCTGCGCTCGGGAAAGATGGCGGACGACGCGCGCGGGCCGTCGGAGCTGGTGGCGGCGTTTCTGGGGGGGATGTATGCAACAGAGCTACGCAATCGGGGCCCACCTGCCGTGTATCTTCATCGCAACGAGGTCGTACGCCTCGGCGGCTTCGATCTCGCTGTCGAGAGAGCAGACGTTGAGCTCGCGCGCCTTCTTTCCCTCGGCTGCGGGAACCGTAAATCGTACTTTCCATTTCCCGTTCGCCTTGTCCCACGACACGCCCTTGAAGCGCGACGAACTCGCCTTCCGCCCGCGTGCCTGTGCCGCATCCTTGTGCAGCATCTCCTTGACCTGCGCGGGTGCGTCGGCGCGCAGGGGCGTTTGCGATGCCGTGCAGCTGGTTTCCAAAGACAAGGAAGCGAGCGCACGCCGCGCAGATCCGCCCGGGCACGACGCCGACCGCGACAGCAGCATCGACGAGGCACGCACCTGTTCCAGGCTCGGACCGTCGAGCATCGCCGCCAGCGCCGCGGTCATGTCGAAATTGTACCTTGCGTCAAGGGCGATGCCGGCGTGAACGAGCAGCTTGTGGCGCAGCTTGTACCGCAGCCTGCGGCGCAGAGGAGCTCGAAGGCAGCTCGCGCGGGCGCTGCGTCCGACGAGGGGGGCACACGCCACCGACGACGACGGGCAAGTTCGCAACGCCATCAGTCAGGTGGGGGGGTTTCCGCACTTGTCGGCGTCCTCGGCCGCCTCCGACACGGTCTTTCGGACGGGTCCGTAAACTTGGATCTTTTTCCCGGCCACATGGTAGATTATATGAGCCGCAAAGCCCTTCCGCTGTGTCGCAACGTACCAGCACTCGTCCTTCCGGAGGTCGGTGGTGCCGGCAGCGTGTCGGCCCCCGAACAGCACGTCCCTCGCCGCCTCGTCCGCCGTTCCTGCAGGACTCAGACCTCACGGTCCCGATCGCGACGCCTGGCACGCCACGGAGCACGAGCAAGCGCGGCGCGCGCCTCTGAAGAGCGCACAGGCAGGGCAAGCCACGTACCCGACGGCCCGGCGCCAGGGTCGCCGCTCGCGGCCATTTCCGTCGATCAAACGCCAGGCCAGATTTCGGCAGCCTCGGGAACAAGGTCGAAACGGTCACGAACGCGCTCGAGCCGCGACGAGACGCCTGCGAAGTTTTTCAGTCGAAGGTTGCCCTCTCCGGGCCCGCCAGGGCACGCTCCGGGCTGGTCGTACGCTGTGAGCACCCGGAACCGCTTGGTCTGCTTTTGTTCTGCGCGCGCCGAGTCCGCAGCGTTCCAAATATGCCCGGAAGGGAGCGGAATCGCCGGAACCAGACTCCCTGGGTACCTGTTCAAGCAGTCTGCCTCGGATCACGGCCCGGTCTCCGCGCTACTTGCCCCGAGCGCCAGTCTCGTCGCACGAGCACGAAGCTGCCATGCCTGCGCTGCACTTTTCTGGCACGATCCCCGCCCGTGGACTCCGTCACACGGCGCCAAGCCGCGCGTGAGCGGGGGCGGCCCGGCCAGCGTCCACGCGGCCGGAACGCACACAGGGGCCGCAGAGGGGCCTCGTCCGCTCAAGATACCAGTCGTTCAAGCGCGCCTTAGCGGCGCTCCCCCACAGGACCGACCAACCTGGCAAAACGCTGTCCCATCATTGACAAGCTCCTCGAAAGGAGCGTCCTGACGGCGTAGCTCAGCACCCCGGGATGATCCGGATGATCTCGCCCGTCCTGGGGTCGCGGATGATGAGCCGCACGGGCTCCGGCCGCAGGCCCAGTAAGGCATCCGGTACGCCGACGGGACGGTCTCCACGGGCTTGTTGCGCTGGATGAAGTCGTAGCGGGGGTCCACGTCCACCGTCTGCACCGCACCGACACCGCACGCGCGTCGCGAGCGCAGCAGACGCGCCGACCACGCGCCCCGCACATGACATGCTGCGGCAACATGTTGCGGCAGGACAACCGCCGCGAGCCGCAGCGTGCCGCGTTCGTGCTGCGAGCGCACCTAGATCCGGTCGAGGCACGGCAGAACGAAGCCCGGGAGCGGGTTGTACCCGCCGTCGCCGTCGCAGTTCCCCGAAACTCCAGCCCAGGCGCCGCGGCGCAACCTGCGTCCGCGATCGGGTCCTCCGTCGCGTCCGCGAACGTGCGAGCCCTGCGCGGACCACCCACGCGCCGCGAGGTCAGCGACGCGGGCGGCGACGGAGGGGCGGACGCCGCAACTCGCCTCGCAGTGCGGCAACGAAGCAGCAGCTGTGCTGCCGCGGCTGCGTGCGCGCGGCCGCTCTCGCGGCCTGGCGCTGCGCGAGGGCGATCCGGTGCGCGCACCTGCTGCGTCCGGGACGAGGTCGTTCAGCCCCGCGGCCCCAGGAGACGGGCGAGCGGCCCGCCCCGCGCCGACCGGTCGGGGAGCCGTCCGCGTGGCCGGCGCTCGCGAACGGCGCGGCCCGCGCCGCGGGGTGCGTCGTCATGCTCTGCGACGCGCGGGCGGCGGGCGATGGGGGAGTGTCGTGGTCGGTGTCGTCGTGCGCACGCACCAGAGAGACGGGGGGGCTGTCGGAGCGCCCCATGCGCGACGAGCGCGGCGCCGACACCGCAGCGCGGCCGACCCCGAGCGAGCGGCGAGCGCGATCCGACAGCGCAGCGAGACGGAGCGCGCAGCGCGTGCGTCCGCGGGACGACGGGGCTTGCACTCGTGGACATGAGCGGGCGTCGCACCTGTCTGACGGCACCTCGGACGGCGCGGCTCCGCCCCCGCGCCTCGCCCCCCACGGCCGGCTCGCTGCCCTTCGCCCCCCACGGCCGGCTCGCTGCCCTTCGCCCCCCACGGGCTCCCGGTGCGTGCTCGGCGCCCTGCGGCCCCCGTTCGCGGGCCCCCGTCGCGTGCTCGCCGTCGCTCGAGGCGGGCAGGCCGCTGCGGTGGGGGCCGAAGAACGGATCGCGTGTGCGAGCGGAAGCGCGCGTCGCGGGGGCGCGGCTGCGGCGGACGCAGCTGGGCAGCAGCGCAGGCGACGCGCTCCGCACGGCCCGTGCGCGCCCCCTTCCGGGACCGGGACCGAGCCGCGAGCATGCAAACCCCGTCGGTGCGGCGAAGCGTGCGAGCGAGGGCCTCACGGCGTCCCGGGCGCCCCCCGGCGACCGGGACCTTGGCAGCATGGGCGGAGAAACGGGGCCGCACGGGGCGCCTGGAGCGCGGGGCGCCCGGGCGCGGACGCGGCAGCGCCCGCGGCGACGGCGACGTCCCGGCTCGACGCGCGAGGGCGGGGCGCACGCACCGTCCGCGGGCAGGTCCCCGCCCTTGGCCCACGCCGCAGCTGCGCCCTCACGCCCGCGCCGCTCCTGGCGCGGAGGGCGGCCCGCAGCGACCTCCGACGATCGCACGGAACGACACACCTCGAACAGCTCCGCGGTCCGCCCTCCACTCCCGCGGATGCGGCCCCAGCGGCCCGTCGGGGCGTGCCATGCCCATGAAGACCGCGCCCCGGCGCCGCACCGGCGGCATGCGGGCGCGCTGTCGCACCCGGACGCGCCAATGGGCCCCGCTCTACGTCGCGGCCCCCTCGCGCGGCGCCCGGACTCCCGGGGCGGCCGCGGGGTGCCGTTTGCAGCCCGCTGGAGTTCGACGGGGCGGCTCCAGACCGGATCCCCGACAGCAGCGCCCACAAAGCGGCCCCATCGAGCAGCCTGCGGGCTGAGCCGGCCGTCCCGCCGCGCGCGCGCCGCTGGCGCGCGACGGACGCGGAGGGCTCCGCGCTGGGAGGAGAGGAGGGAGCCGGACTGGCCCGCCGCGCACGTGGGCGACGGCTCGTGTGCCCCCGGCCGTCGCGCACGTGGGCGACGGCCTGCGCGGGACGTCGGCCAGCCCGTCGCGGCCGCGGCCCGGTCACGCCGCGGCGCGCCCCGCCGTCGGGCCCACCAGGCACCGCGGGGCCACCCACTCATACGCCCGGAGGGGCCCGCGGCGACGGACCTCGACGACCCCGCCCGCGCACGCCGCTCCCTTGAGGTCGCGAGGCCGGGGCGTCGTGCACTTCGCGCCGCGAGAAGCACCGTGGGGGCCGGGCAGCGCCTCCGCCCAGCTCCTCCCTCCACGTCGCGGGCCGCTGCGTCCCCCCCGCGGACGTCTGTGCGCGAGCGGCCGCGCGACACCACCGCGCGCAGATCCGTCGCCGTTCGCGCAGCGCGAGGGCCCGCGCGGCGCACGCACGCGCACCTGCAGCGCCTCGGTGGCCGGGGGCGCATGACGACGCACATTCGCGCCGAGGGGGACGCCGCAGAGCTCGCGCGGGCGTCGCACCGTGGCGCAGAGTGGCACCGGCGATGGCCTCGCCGCCGCCCGCGAGGCTCCTCGCGGCTCCTCGCGGCGGTGCAAGCAGCGGCCCCCCTGCGGCGCTGTAGCAGGCGCGGCCGCCGAAGAATCGGTCGTTGCGGATGGCAGGAAGCCGTGCGAGCGTGCGGACTCCGTACGTCGCCGCAGGAGCGCTGCACGAGCCGCAGCGAGGTGCGCGCGAGGAGGGGCAGCCCAGCGCAGGCCGGAGGGCGTTTCCGCGCGCAGCGCCCCTGTCGGGCGTCCGGCGCGCCCTGGCTCCGCGCGCGCGCTGCTCCCGCCACGAACATGCCGCGCAGGTCGAGGCCTGCGGCGCTCCGGGCCGTGGGACGAGCGGGACTCGGACACCCGCCCGGCGGGGGCGCCCCCGCGCTCTCGCGGCCCCAGCGCAGCGCACGGCGCGGGGGCGGGAGAGCCCGGCGGCCTCGCGGAGGTCCGCAGCGCCGGCGGGGCGGGCAGGGCGCGGCCTGTGCATATATCTATCAGGCACACAAGGAGGCCTTTGGGCGTTGTGTTCGAAGAGGCCGCGCGGCCGCGCGGCGCGGCATCGGTGCTCGACGCGGCGCGCGACGCGCCGCGGGCGGTGTGGAGGGGCGGCGGCGCTGTCGGCCGGCCCCTGACTCGCGTCCTGGGTCGCGTTGCTGCGCGCATCGACATCGTGCACCGCAGCGGCGACAGTCGCAGCAGGCGCGGGGCGAGCGCGGGACAGCGACGTCGCGGGCGCCCCTGGATGTGACTCCGCGCCGCTTCCGAGCGATGCCGTCGCGGTGCCGCGTGCACGCGGCCGCATGGCCGATCTCGATGCATCGACACGCCCGCGCGGGTGTGCACGGCACGAAGAGTGCAGGCGCCGGTGCGCAGCGGGACACCTGCGCGTCGAGCACGTGCGGCCGGTGCGCGGAGGTCTGCGCGCGCGTTGAACCCCCCCGCATCGGCGCGACCCCCCGCATGGCACAGTTGCACACATGCCGCTCACATGCGCCGGCCCCTGCCCCTGCGCCGCCGCACCGCCGCGCACGCCGCCCCGCGCGCGCTGGTCGCCGCCCCCCGCACGCCTCCACGCCCCCGTCGCGCCCCCCCTCACTCGCCGTCGTTGGCGGCCCCTCCACGGCCCGCGGGGTGCGAGCCGGCGTCCACGCGCCGTCCACGCGCCGGCCTGGTGCCGCGAGGACCGAGGTTCTGCGGCCGTTGCGAGGAAATGAGCGGGGGGAGTGTCTGCACCCACGAGTGGGTGCAGTGTGTTTTGAAATTTGTTGCAGCCAGAGGTCGGCAGCAGTCGCGGGAGCCACCCAGCGAGCCCCTCCGTCGCGTCGTGCGAGGTGCGGCGGTGCGGGTTTCAGGGCGTCCCGCCGCGGCGCGCACCTCGAACGAGAGGGAGCGCTGCCGGCCTCGCACGCGTGCCGTACGGCTAGGTGGCCGCGACCTCGGCGATCTCGAGCTCGCACAGCCGCCAGGGAAGCTCCTCGCGCAGGCCGAGGTTGTTGCGGAGGGCGATCTCCCACTGCGCGATCAGCTCGTCCCCGCAGGCGGGTGCCGTCGTGCTGTCGTTCCCCAGCTGCGTGCACCACCCCTGCAGCAGGTGGGCGAGCTCCCGGGCCGGCATGTTGGCGAAGGCGAGCGGCCGTTCGTCCACGACGCCGCTGATCACGTCGTCCCCGCCGATGGGATCGTCGACGACGTGCATGGGGGCCCAACACCGCGTGCGCGATGTCCTCCGCCGCATCCGCGGCCTTGACCATCGCGACCCCGAGCGTCTCGACCCTGCTGCCGGCCGCGGTGTACCGCACGAGCACGGGACGCTGGAGGAAACCTTGCTGGGTCAGCGGGGCGCACACTGGTGTCACACCGGTGACTGGCCACGAGTGTGGCATGTCATGGGCGCACACACGCTGCTCGTCCGCCCTGCGGTCGGGCGAGGTCCGCCCAGCTCCCGCTTCGCAAGGTCCGTTGGGATCAGCTCCCGCTGCCCTGCAGCCGTGCGATCTCATCCGCGAAGTATGCCCGGAACTGCAGCGCGCGATCCTGCGCATCACCTCGCATCGGCAGCTTCCGCCACCTTGCGGGCGACGTCTGCTTTAGCGCGCAGCGCAGCGCCTCTTCGATTCCATCGCACAGCGCCTCGCGGATCTCCAGACACTTGGCCTCCATCGCATCCGAATCCGATCGCATCCGTGCCGTCTCTGCGTGCAGGCGGAGGGCGACGTCCTGGAACAGCAGGGCGCGCAGGCCCGCCACGAGCTCATTCTGCGGCGGGCAAGTTGGAAGTGGTGAGCGCTAGGCGGCATATATATATATTCGGCGGGGGGGGGAGGGGAGGCGGAGACTCACCGGATACCATCGCTCCGTGAGGAACGCCGGGTACGGCGGCGACAAGTCGTCCGGGCAGGTCATGCCGAACATGGCCATGTTAGCCAGCATGTAGAGGCCGCAGTCGACGCCGTTCGGCTGCGCCGGGCATCGACGTCTCTCCATGTCGTACAGCGATCCGTGCGTGAAGATCGGAGAATTTGCGGCGGGGCCCTGCCCGCGCTGCTGCTCTGTCCACTCGCACGCGTAGCTGCCTTGTGTCTTCGCTGATTCATCCCACGCGAATCGCAGGTATCCCTGGACCCAGCGCCCAATGTGTTGTGGCACATCCCGTCCCGCCAGCGAGTCGATGTAGAGGAGTGTTAGCTCCTTGCCCCCTGCGTCAGGCGGCTGTGTCGGCTCCGCGCCCTGCAGGCAGCGGCCGCAGAGAGACGCCGTCTGGCCAGGAAGTTGGGCGGCGGCTCGACGCGTCGACGACGTCAAAGGGCTGGCGGCCCGCGCGTGCGGCCTGTGCGTGTGACGCTGCCCCGAGGAGCAGTGACAAGCAGAGTGGGTGCCGCGGTGCAAGCAACCGCCGTTGTCCTTCTTGACACGGGATACACACCTGATCTTGGGCCGGGCGGACCGCGAAGTGCGCCGGAAAGCACACCACGATCAGCGCGAAGTGCGAGTCCTTGAACCACGGCATCAACAAGTACCGCTTGCGGAAGATGTCCACGCCCCCCGTCCACTTCTTCACGCCTCCGTACGCCTGTTCGAAATATGCAGCCCATTCGCCCCCCCCAAACGGCACCGCTCCCTTCTCCCCGGAGTGGCTCCGGCCCAGCTGTTCGGCCACATCACGTTCGGGAGCCTGCTCGCGAATCTCCCGCAGCGACAGCTTCGGCAGGAACCAGGAGTTGTAGATGTAGACTGCACGCTGTTGCTCCGGCGACAACAGCTCACGCTGCAGAAGCAACGCGAAGAAGTTGACGACCGTGTCGCCCACCCAGCTTCCCGGCCCCAGACGGTCCAGCGCGCGCCCATCCAGCCGCTCCGAACACTTTTCGGAGCGGTATTCGACCTGCTCAGCGGACGGAGGAGCATCGCCGATAGCGCGGGCCCCTGTCGCCGGACGCACGGCGAGCAACAGCGCGGCCCTTTGGGCAGCAGCAGCACGAACCCGCACGGACGGCGAACACCGCGCAACGTCTAGACACGCGCTCTCACGTGTGCTCTCTCACCTTGACGTCAGGAAGGAGGTGTTCGTATTTCGTCCCCATCACGCTGAGAAGCAAGAAGGGGCACAGGCGTCGTGTGAGCGCATCCGCAGTGGCGTGCGGGCGAAGAACGCGCGCCCATGTCACCATCACCGCAAGATCAGTCACGACGCGCACATCGCGGCATCTGATGACGTACCGTTGCCGCGCAATTCCGTTTTCCCGAGTTGGCCAAAATCCCCTCCGCGCTCCGTGGTGCCGTGCGCATACCGCAGGGAGGTGCGGGTCGGATTGCCGCCTCACGATGCCGAGGGTGTCCGTGTCCGTGGGCCGCTTGTGCCGGGAGTGCAGGGAACGGAACGTGCAAGAGTCCTCTCGCGAGAGCGATCGCGCCACACACCCCCCCAACCCCCCTCCAGCGGCCACGACGCGGGGAGGGGGATCCGTGCCGGCCCGATACCTGCTCTGGTGCATGACGCGCCCGACAGCATGGCCGCGCGGCCCCGTGAAGCACGCTCGGACCGCTCTGGTGGTGCGCATTCAGTGTCACGTATTCAGCGGGCGCTGTGTTGCGGCTCGCTGCGCCGCGCTCGCGACGGACATCGTCTCGTGACACGGCTCCCGCCCCCCGCGCTCGGCGACGGCGCGCGGAAGACGCCGTGCGTCTCGCACGGTCGCGGACGTCGGGCACATGGCCGACATCAGCCAGCTGACCGCCGCGGGCCGCCCGGTCGTCTCCGGCCACGAGAGCGCCGCGCAACGCGGCGTGGGGGCATGTGGCTCGGCGCCAGCGGGGCAGTTGAAGGCCAGTTCCGTGTCCTCGGTGGGCTGCGGAGGGGGTGGACCTTGGAGCCTCGGTTTCAGAGCTGCGGACGGTGGCGCCAGGCCCTGATGGCGCGCCACGTGCGTCGCGCTGCAAGATTTGGCAGTGCAACGCAGGGAGAGGGCCGGAGGTCAAGTTCACCTCGCGCGCGAACTGTTCCGCCGCCTCGCCCACTTCCTCCCTGGAGGGCGGCCCGGGCGCCGTCCCGCGGCCAGAGTCGACGACGCGGGCGTGAGGTCTCTCCGGAGACGATGAGCTGCGTGCACGTCGCAGGCGCATACCTGGACCCGCCGGGGTGGGCGCGCCAGGAGCGTGCAGGAGGAGAAGGGAGAGCTCCACGTTCGTCCCGGTGCGCAGACAGGTCCTCTCGGACCACCGGCGCCCCGTCCTCCCTGTGCAGGACAGCGCAATGCCCTAGCGCGCGCTTTCATCCGAGGACCAGCGCTCATGGCGTCACGCCCGCGCGCATCCTGTTGGAACGCTTTCCTCCGCACCCCGTGCGCCAAGCTCCGCTCCCGGCGGTGCCTGAACGTGAGCAGTACGTCGTGTGGTGCTCTGAGACCCTGCGATTCGCGGTGGGGCTGAAGCATACCGCCCCCCCCTCCCTCCAGCGCGCAGGTGTGCCGGCCGCGGCTGCTGCTGTCCGCCCCACCGGTGCGGCCATCACGCCGGGCGCCGGCGGTGATGATCGGGCGGATCGGACTCGCATCCGTGCCCACGCATAGGCGCTCCCGTGTCGGCCGGGGGCGTCGCGGGCACCAGGTCTAGCAGGTGAGCTCGAAACCACGCTGCCCACACCCCTCTCGCAGCGAAGTGCCCGTCCCTGGGCGTCGCCCTGGCGCAGACGCCTCCTCTTTCGACGCATTCGCGCTTCTCCCGCCCCCGCGTCCTCTGCCACGACGACCACACTGCCCGCGCCGTCCTCGTCGGCACACAGGGGGCGCGCCCGGCGCAGGCCCGCGCGTGTCGAACCGAGGCGCTCCTTGTGCGGGCCCCTCGCGGTGCCGCGCGGAGGCGCGCGCGTCGCGGACCGCGCCGTGGTGGCGGTCGCCGCTGCATTGCGCGGTGGTGGGTGTCGCTGGACGTTTCATGTCGACGCGACGCGTGCCTCCCGCGTCGCCATCAGGCGACACAACGATCGACATCGTGCCGCAGGCGCACCTCGCCGCTGGTGAGTGCCGCTCCCCCGCGTTCCCCGGCGTCGTTCCCTTTCTACGCCTGTGTGGTCTGCCCGGAATCTGCGTCGTGCTCGCGTGCACACCCCGCTCCTGCAGTGCCGCTGGTATGTCGCGCGTCTGCCTGGCCCTGAGAAGATTCTCCTGCTGGACCGTCATCATGCCAACAGCATACATGACGACGAATGACGGCTCCTGTGCTTGCTCCTGTTGTCGTGTTGGCTGACGTCGAACCTCACGTGCCTAGTATTCCTGCAGCGGCGATTTACGCGGCTCGTGGACGTCGACAATCAGCGCGCTCCCGACGAGCGGGTGCGCGTGAGTCCTCCGCGAGAGCATGTCGGGCATGACCCTCGCTCATGTCGAGTTCCGCGACAGCCAAGGCTCTCGCGGACCTCAGCGGCGCACTGTCGGACATGCCCGTCATCTGGGCGGACCCGGACGCCCCGCGTCGCCGTCAGGCCACGGCGCCACGGAGCTGCCTGGTGGGCACGTGCAGGCAGCTCTCCTGGCGCGACGGCGACCGCGCGGCGCGTGACGACGCGGCGCGTGTTCGTGACGGCCGTCCGCCGCCGCGCCACGCCATCAGCTGCCGACGACTGTCAGGTCTGCTTCACGTCGGGCACGGCCGGCCCACAAGGCAGCGCGGCGACGGCCGACATGCCCTTCTCTCTGCTCGACGTGCGCGTGGTCGACGAGCGCGGGCGCGACATCGACCCGAATGTGCCCGACGTGGCCGGCGAGGTCACCATTCGTGGCCAGACCGTGATCGACAGCTACGGCGGCGCTGCGGGGCGATTCCGACACGCGTCCCAGAGGACGACGGAAGCAACCGACGCATTCGGGCTCCTCGGGACGGGGGATCTGGCGCATTTCGCGGGGTGCGGGGACCGCGGGCCGCTGCTTGCGATCGCTGGTCGCAGGCGAAGAAGGACGTGATCCTGGTGAGCTCGAGCACGCACACAGCTCGGAGGTCGAACGCGTGCTCGGCGAACATCCGGGCGTGCTCGAGGCCGCTGTCGTGGCCGATCCGTGCCCGGTCATGGGCGAGAGGGTCGTCGCGGCCGTCGTGCTGCGTGCAGACGGCACGGCACCTGTGGTGAACGCGGGCCGGGGGGCCTTCGCGCGTGGTGTGCGGAGCGGCTGGCGGCGTTCAAGGTTCCGGGCGGAAGGCGCATGTCGTTGCTTCACTGCCCACGACCGGCAGCGGCAAGGTCGCGACGCGAAGCGCGACGTGCACGCGCTCAACAACGACATCGACAGCGCACGGGGAGATCTCAGAGGTGCAGTGCCGCGTCAGGGGGGAGCGGCGTCTCCTCGCAGCGCTGCTTCTCGAGACGACGACGACGCTGTCTGTCCGGCTGGGCTGCGAACGCGCCCCAAGGCAGGATATCGACGGCGCAGCGGCGGGCGCGGAGTCGCATCTCGTTGCAGAGATCGACGACGTGGACGCAAGCGCGCGCGGCATGCTCGCAGCCGCCGTGCCGCACGGCCGGCAGAGCTGCACGGTCGTCTTCAGCGGTCTGCAGCGGGCGCAGCGGTCTGACCTGGACACAATCGGCGTTGTTTGTGGGGGTCTTCGATCGACAAGACGACATCGACGTGAACCAGCTCCGCGCGAACTCCGTCGGGTCATCGGCGCGCTTCGTCGTTCTTCGCCGGCGTTCGTCGCCACGGACCCACGAGCTGCCATTTCGGCACAGCTGACGCAGCGTCGAGGGCTGTTGCGGTCGCAACGGTCGGTCTGGTGACGGCAGCTGCCGCGGACGACCTGGGCTCGAGCACGGCCTGGACCCCGAAGCTGGGATCCTCGGACCAACGACTGGCGCAAGGACTGACGTCAGCCGGGCTTGTGTCCGACCCGGAGGAGCGCACGAGCTCGCAGCAGCCGCCCACGGCCGCGCTCGACTCCCCGACGGCGCAGCGGCTCGCGGACGCGCTCGCCCCGCCCCGTCCGCCCAGCGCGCGGCGCGAGGGGCCACACGACATCACAGCGGTCTGCAAACCACCCAACGGCCGAGGAGCCGTGTCGGTTCCTTTCGGTCTCTGTCGGACGTCGTCGGCGAGGTCGAGCCACGGGCTGCGCGGGTGTCGACCGGGCGCAACGCTGGCCACGCCTTGCAGGACGGCGTGGTTTCCGTGTTGTCCATCGCAACGCGGCTGCGCGGGGCACCGGGCGGGGGTGACGGGCGGGCGGCGGGCGCGGCCGGGCGGCGCGGGCGCGGTTGGTCGGTTGTGCGCGCAGCGGTGGTGCGTGCTGGCGTCCACCGTGGCGGGGATACTGGGCGCGGCGGAGGTGCGGGCGGTGATGGGTGCGAAGGCGGGCGCGGCGGGAGCGGCGCACGTGCGGCAGGCTGTGGCGGACACGGTGACGGACATCATCGGCGGCGAGGTGGCGGACAACGAGCCGCTCCTGGCGGCTGGGCTGGACTCGGTGGGCGCGGCGGAGCTGCGGGGTGCGCTGGAGACGCGGCTGGGCGTGGAGCTGTCTGGGACGTCGCTCAACTATCCGACAGTGCAGACGCTGTCGGACCGCATAGCAGGGGCGCTGGGCGTCGCCGGCGAGGAGCACGTGGCGCTGGCGAGCAGAGTGGCAGGATCCGAGGCGGGCCAGGGCGGCGATGCGGTGGTGGTCGTGGAGGTGTCGCAGCGCAGCTCGGCGGCGTGCTGTGGGACGCGCCGAGCGGGTGCGACGCGATCATGGCGGCGCCATGGACGCGGTGCAACTTGGGAGCACTGCGGCAGAGTCCGGGGGGCCGGAAGGCGGGGAAGATGTTCGATGCGGCGGCGTACGGGATGTCGACGGCGGAGGCGGCGCTGATGGACCCGCAGCACCGGCTGCTGCTGATGGGCGCCACGGAAGCTGGTGTGCTGTCAGCGCCGCGACGACACGCGTCGAGCACGGGCGTCTACGCGCGTCCTTCGAACGTGGACGACCGCCTGCTGGCGGATCACTGGGGCCGGCGTGTTGCGCCGCACGCGGCGACAGGGAACGCGCTGTCGGCGGCGGCGGGGCACGCGGCGCATGCGCTGGGACGCAAGGGGCCGGCGCTGGTGGCGGACGCGGCGTGCTCGTCGTCGCTGGGGGCGCTGCACGTGGCGGTCTGCATGTCGTCCGTCGGGGACGCGTTCCGCAACCGCCTGCGTGAGTCCCCGTCGCTGGTGGAGTGCCGCACGATCAACTGGTTCTCAGCGTGGCCCGCGGACGCGCTCAAGTCGGTGGCGCGGCGGTTCCTGCGCGAGGTGGACCTCGACGCCGACACGGTGCGCGCGAGCGTGGAGGACCTCGTGATGACGGCGCGCGGCCCTGCCGCGCGCATCCTTCGCTGCGAGGGGGCGGCACCACTACGCGACGCCGACGCGGCACCTGGAGCTCATCGGCACGACGAGGCAGGACGCTTCTGGGCAAGAAGCACAGCCGAGCGGGCAGTTGCCATCATGCAAGACGCAGCGGCGGCACGTTGTTGGAGGTTGGACAAGCTGCTGCCCCACCTGCAGCCGTGGTGGAGGCGGCGTCGAAGGAGGTGGCGGAGACGCTGGTGATCGTGGAGCGCGTGACGGTGGAGGCGGAGGCCAAGCGCACGGTCGAGAAGGAGGAGGCGATTGCGTCGGAGAAGGCCGCGTCGGCCGAGACGCGAGGGCGACCTGGCCAAGGCCATGCCGGCGCTCGAGGCGGCGCTGGCCGCGCTGCGGAAGCTCACGAAGGGCGACGTCACCGAGGTACAAGGCGACGAAGAACCCGCCGCTGCCGATGGAGCTGGTGACGGAGGCGGTGTGTCTGCTGATGGACGTCAAGCCGAAGAAGATCCAGGACCCGAACGACCCGGCGGAGAAGATCGACGACTCCTGGTCGCCGTCGGTGCAGCTGCCGTTGGGGCGCAGCTTCTCGACAATGACCTGCGGGAGTACGACAAGGTGGGCTCGCTCGAGGGGCCCACCATCATCATGACGATCCGCCTCTACCTCGAGATGCCCCAGGCGCTCCAGCCCGAGGCGGCGAACACGTCGTCGACGGCCGCGTTCGGGCTGGCGTGCTGGGTGCGCGCCATGGAGACGCACTTCAACGTGAGCCGCGAGGCGGCGCCGAAGCGCGCGAAGCCCGCGGAGGCCAAGTACAACGAGGTGATGGAGGGCCTGAACGCGAAGAAGGCGGAGCTCACGGCGCTGATGGAGAAGCTCGAGGCGCTCAACGCCAAGCTGCACGAGATGCAGACGAAGCAGGCGCACCTCGAGGCGGAGAAGGACCTGTGCGAGAAGAAGCTGGAGCGCGCCACGAAGCTCATTCAGGGCCTCGGCGGCGAGAAGGCGCGGTGGACGGAGGTGACGCAGGCGCTCGAGGGCGACTACAACCACCTTGCGGGCGACGTCGACGTGCTGCCGTCGTCGGGCTTCGTGGCGTACCGGGTCGGCGTGGGACGGCGGGGTTCTCCGGAACGACTCGTCATCGATCGGCAGCTGCATCATCGCGACGAACGCGCGGCCGATGCCGTTCGGCCCTCGGGGGGCAGGCCAACAAGTGCATCAGGACCATGGAGCGGTCCAACCACCAGACGGTGCTGAGGCAGTCGGACGAGGACCACCTGCGCATGCTCGAGGACTGCAGGATCGAGCACAAGGTCGTCGAGGTGCTCTCGAGCTCGGAGTTGTGGCGGGGAGCTTGGTGGCGGAGGGTTGGTTGTGGATGTGTTCGGGGGGGGTCGAGACCGGGAAGCCCGCCGTGTGGAGCGCGGGGCTCGTGACGCAGGGGCGGGCGGACGCGCTGTTCTCATTCGTATTCATCACGCGACGCTGTCCTCGCGCCCTTGTTTTGTAACGCTGCCCTCGACGAAGTTCACGGTCTGGGAGTGCGCCGCGGGCAGCAAGGACGCGTGATGTGCGCTCAATTCGAGCTCGGCCACCTCCCGCGACCCATCACAGCCGCCCGCGCGCGAGGGCGGCGTGCGACTGACGATGGCGCCAGCGCAGCCTGTGCGCCAGGCGGGCTGAGTCCCCCAGCCCCCCGCTCAGAGAGCTGCGACTGTCGTCATCGCTCGGGCGCGAACCTGAGCTGCACTGCTTTCGCCGCCCATCGGGTAACACTCGTCCGGAACGCCTGCTGCGCCCCTGTCGAACGAGGACCTGCTCACCACGTGGCATACCTCGAGGCGCCACAGGCGCGCGTCTCTGAGCTCGATGGTGCGCTCGCACAGAGCAGTGACGCGACGGGCCGCGCGTAGCAAACCCGTGCGACCAAGTGTGCGCACCGCCGGCATGATCGAGACTGCGGCAAGACGCCTACGCCGATATGACGATCACGGAGGCGCTCTTGCAGGCGACACGTCGCGCTCGGGCGGCGAGACGAAGGGCGCTGCGCGACCGCGGGGCTCCTCTGCGGCGAGTTTCGGCGGCGGGCGCGAGCGGCTCCTGCTGAGGGTTGTCATTTGTGTCGGCAACTTCGAGATCTGGACGGCGCAGACAGCCGCTGTGCGGATGTGCTAGCGCGCGGGAGATCCCACGACGTCGGTATCTGACGCTGTTCGCGTCTGAAGCGGCCCTCGGTCTGTTCCGGCTCTCTGTCACGCGCATCGACACGTGTCACACCGAACGTTCGTTGAACCCAGGCCGCGCTCGTCGCGCGCTGCGTCGAGCACACAGCGACACGTGCAGCGGTGGAAGCAGGCTAGCGAGCTTCATGCGCGTGCAGTTGCGCGCGAATCACCTGATATGGTGACTCCTTTGCGGTTCGACGTTCTTGGACGGGGTCGGGCGGGCGGGCACAGACGGATGGAGGGCAGGCTAGGCTAGGGGGGGGGGGTGAAGGGCAGACGACGATGTGCGAGGGGAGCAGCAGCGAGGGACATGTGCATATGTTTGTTTGCGTGTGTTTGTTGAGGGGAGGAGCGGAAAGACACGCCGATCGTCCCGCGTGAACGACCTGCACAGCCTTCCGGCAGTCAGGCGCTGCGCGCTCCGCCGAGGATCAGCTCCGTCAACCGCCGACGCAGGTCTGCAGGTTCTACACGAGCGGTGGACGGCATTGCGAGCGGGCCCTTCGAGGCCATGTCCTGCAGGTTCTGCAGGGCAAACACCCCGCAGTCGGAGGTGCCCCAGCCCTGCTGCGTGCAGGGGAGCTCCGGGATGGAGCGCTGCACGTCGAGCCCCAGCTGGTCCGGCAGCTGCTGCGCAGCGGTGCTCCCAGGCTCATCCGTGGGGTCGCTGTGCTCCGGAGCGTCGGCCTGCAGGACGGCGCTCACGACGTGCATTAGGACCTGTTGCGCCTGATCGAGCCCTGTTGGGCTCGTCAGCGAGTCGACGACGAATTTCCTGTCCTCGCGGTCATGCTCCTGGCTCGGACGCCACCACCCCGCGACCTGCCAGTGCGTGATCACGGCCCGGTCCGAATGCAGCGCGCCCGCGCTGAAGATGCAGACGACGGCGTCCACGTCCGCGAGGTCAGTCCCGAAGCACTCCCGCGCAAGTGTTTGGAGGTACTTGCAGGCCTCGCGTTTGTGCTTGACGCATTGCGAGACGTCCTGTTGCCCGAGCAGCAGCACCCGTGGCGGCGCGGCGGCCCCCGCGGCTCCCCCGCCCTCGTGCGCGCGCTGAGATTCCAAGCGCGTCCGCATGGCGCGCACGGCCAGCTCCACCATCGCGGCCGAGACCGCGGTGCCGGGCCACGCGATGCCATCTGCGAGATCCGACGCGGACAGCCGCGCTTCTCCGAACGTGCCCCACAGCACGAGGTTCCCGACGGCTCCCGCGTGCTGCTGCTGGCCCGCTGCGGCATTGCTGCATGACACGAATTGGCCGCCCAGGCCGTGCGGCAGCGCGGTTAGGACGCGCTCAGCAGACTCGCGGTCCCAGCCCGGGAGGGTGACGATCTCCGCTTCGAGCGCTCCCTGGGCGGCCGCGGGGTGCGCTTCGACCAGCGGGGACTGCAGCGCCGCGGGCGGGGTCTGCGGCTGCGGCTCCGGAGCAGCGCCTGGATGCAGGCGCTGCTTTTTGCGCCGTCGCTGCTCCGCGGCGGCATTGTTGTCCACCGCACCCCCGCGCCCGCCTGGCCCGTGCCCTCCTTGCGCCGTCGCCGCGGCGGCTGCCACGTCGGGGACCTCGTGCGGCCCAGGGGCGACGACGCCGAATTCGTTGTACGTCTGCGCCAGCCAATCGGCGTCCTCCACGGGCGGACACCCACGGCACCGCCTCCACACCTCCTTGTCCATCTCGACCACGATGCACAGGTCGCAGATCTTCGCGTCCTCCACGATCGTCCCGCCCAGACCTCGGACGTGGTTCCTGTGCTGCTCCAGAGCGGCCTTTGCCTTCGCGCCGCGATTCCCGCGAGTCGCGAGGTACACCTTTTTCCCGGCCACGTGGTTGCGACCGCCCTGGGGCCCGCCGGTCGAGGTGTTCCGCCGCGCGCGGCCCACGTCGTCCTCGCCGTCGCCGCCGAGACCCGGGAACGCCTGCGGCGAGATCCCCCCCCGCCGCTTGCGCCTCTTCGCCTCGTGAGTGTCATCACGCGCCGCGGTAGGCAGGGTGCCGGCGAAGGGGGCCGCGAACGCGGGCCGAGTCGCGGGCGTCGCCGCAGCGCCTCCCCCGCGCGCCACCGGAGCCGCCGCCGCGTCGCCCTGCGGTCCCGCGAGGCTGGTCTGCTGCTGCCTGATGCGGCGGCGGGCGACCACCCACCGCTCGTAGCGCAAATCGCGGCGGACCTCCTTCATGGCCTTCTGCTTCTCGATGCCCGTGACGGGGTAGTCGCTCAAGTGGACAAGGCGCGCGAGCACCTCGAGCCTGGAGCCGAACTCTGTCCGTGCGATGGGGATGCCGAGGTCCCTGAGCTTCTGCAAAAGGGCCGTAACTGACATACGGAACCCATTCGTGCTCTTTTCCACGTAGCGAGAGCTTTCCAGCGGCGGAAACACGAGGTCCTCGACTTCGAACGATCGGCCCGGGTCGTTCGTTGTGACCTTCGGCATGCCAATCGTCAGAAGGGTCCTGCCGCAGTCAGGCCCCATCTGCGCGAAGATCTCGCGCAGCTCGGCCAGCTCGCCGGGGCTGCTGAAGATCGCCATGCCCTCGTGGATGTAGCGGGCCCACCTCCACCGTGTCTCGGCGTCCCCGAACCCCCAGGCAAGCAACCCGCTGGCCCTGATGGCGTCAACGGGGCTGCGGAACCCGTGCGAGGTGGCCTGCCAGTCAGTCCGTCCGTTTGCCAGCGGCGTTTCGAAGGAGAAACGTTTCCGCGGCATGAGGTACTCCCCAGCTGCATTCGTCCCGACGCTGGGAAGGCCCGGCTCCAACAGCGTCGCGAAGGTCACGCCCGAGCATCCCTTCTCCGCAGAAACGAGGTCGCAGAGGACCCGCAGCGCGATCGCCGGTCCTCCCACCAACGTCGCATCCCGCGCGGCGCGCAACTGGCCGCGCGTGATGTGCAGCAATCTGGTGCACAAGTCGATGTGCATGTCGAGGTCGCGCTGCTCCTCGTCGTTCCCGCACAGCGCCGCCACCACGCCCCCGAAGCAGGCAGCGTCCTCCCACGTGTTGAAACAGCGGTGCAGCGGTCGCCCCATCCCCATGAAGCTGAATAATCTCCGGAACCGGTATCTTGTGGCACCCTGCCGACGCAGCGCCAAGACACAAGAGTACGCGCCGAGCGGGGCGTCCTCTTCGCCCAGCACCATCCTCAGATGAGCACCGGGGTCGCCCAACTTGTCCGGCTTCCCCGAATCGGGATCGGCGTCTCTCTCCCGGTAGGCAAGCCTCCAGATCCGAGCCGAGCCCCTGAGCCGCGCCACCAGCAGGTCCCTTGGCAGGGCGCGCAGCGTCGTGACGTCCTTTTCGGCGAGCTCCCGGCCATACGCCCGCTCGAAGGCGTCGAAGTAGGCTGCACGCCCCTGGACATCCTCGACGGTGCCCAGCCCCGCCAGCGCCAGCGCGGTGGCCGCGACGGCAAGCTCCTGAGTCGGATAAGAACCGAGAAACACTCGAACGCCGCCGATCATGACGCGAGCATGCCACATGCCGGAACTCTGATCCTGTGTCACGCCGGGGAACTCATTGCGGGACAAGGGGCGCTTCGCCTTGCGCTGCTGCTTGCCGGCGCCGAGGACGCGGCCGCGAACGTCCTCCCCGAGCGCGAAGAGGCGCGCGAGGTCCCCGTGCGTCGCCTCGGTCGCGGCGAGGCACTGCAGGAGCGCCTCCGACATGGAGGGCTCGACGAAGGCTGCGGGGGTGCGCCGGATCATGCGGTCCAGCAAGCCGCGCAAGATCCTGCGCTCGTGCGCCGCGTCGTGGGCGCCGCAGCCGTCCCGAGGAGCCTGCAGGTCCCGCCACTCCGCCGTGTTCTGCAGGCTATGCAGGGCCAGGTACCGACGCAGGCGCTCGGGGCCCTGCGTGGCCAGGTCGCAGCACGTCCACTTCGAGAGGCTGCGCCGGACGTCGTCGGCCGGGAGCAGCTGGAGCAGCTCCCGCAGGTCGCGGCCCACCAGCACGAACAGCTGCTGCGGCGCTGTCATGATCTGTGCCTGATCCGCCAGAGCCTGGAGGGCGCCCAGCAGCAGGTCCTTCAGGGACCTCGGATCCAGCTTGGCGGCCTCGGTGCACGCCGCTCGGAGATCCAACGGGAATCTGGCGCGGAGGGTCTCCGCCGACGACACGTCCGTGTCTATTAAATCCTGGTGCCAGGTCGCATCGTCCCGGGCCTGTGCATCGCCCCCCCCGGACAGGCCGACCCCGACGACCTCCACGCCGCCCCCGTCGCCAAGAATGGCGAGCGCAGACCCCGGCACGTCCACCAAACGTTGCTGGTGCACCGCCTTGAGACTGTTGGGGAGCGTCAGGCGGGCGGGCGCGGCCCTCAGCGCCAGGCACGCGCATATCACCGGCGGCAAGGCGCTCGCCGCGCCGGGCGGCGGCCTCACGCACCGAACGTCGCGCTGCATTTTCTCCCAGAAGGTTGCGCGCAGGCGCTTCGTGGTGACGGGGTCGAACACCCTGGCGGCGCGCGCGGGCGGCTCCAGCTCGCGCATCTTGCGGGCGATGATGCGCCGAACTTCGTCGAGGGAAGGCTGCGACGGGTCGAAGTCCCGGGCGGCGTCCTTCAGGTTGCCGTCCGTGCCAAAGGTGTAGAGCTGCGCGAAGGGCAGCTTGCCTCGACCTTCGGCACCCTCCCGCTCGTTCGGGTACCCGAGGAGGCACCCCACTCTCCACGCAGCCCCAGCCGGCAAGCAGTCTCGGTGGTAGTCTTGGAGCGACAGCGCCACCACCAAGGCGGCAAACACGCGCTCGACGGCCGTGCCCGCCAGACCCCACCGCCGGTGCTCCTCCTCGATGTTGACCGACGTCACGTCCCCGCCCGACCGCGGCACCGGCAGCTCCACCTCGCCGACGAGAGGGATGAGGTCCGGGTTCAAGCGCAGCATGCCGTGCCGCAGCCCGCACAGACCGCTCATGGCCGCGATGGCGGCGGTGCGGTGAATGTCCGACACCGAGCGTCTGCTGCTGACGCCCCCACCGAGATGGAAGTATTCGTCTACTTCCATGGGCTGGATGATCTCCTCCCCCGACGGCAGCGTCCTCACCAGCACCAGATCCACGCGTCGCCTGGCTCGCAGTCCCACCCCCGCCATCGCCACCTCGATCTCGACGCGCAGCACGCCGTGCTCTGCGACCAGCCGCTTCTGGCGGTTCCACCACTCGCAGAGAAAGCTGAGGATGACGTAGACCGCGACGAGCTTGGCGTGTCGCTCGTCGCACGTCGCCTTATCCACGGGGTGAGCGTGGAGCGGGGCATCTATGGCGCAGAACGGCGCCGCCGGAACGTCGTCACGCGTATCGCCCTTGGTGACGAACGGCGTGCAGGGTTCCCCCACCGGGGGGGAGTCCCGGCACGAGCACGCCGCCCCAGCGCACACCTCGCTGTTCCCCGTGACCATGACGCGGTCGTGCCTGAGGTCGTCGAGCTCACGCACCGTCTCCCGCGGCCACCACGGGAATTTCCCCGACTGGAGTTTGACGAAACCCTGAACGGCTGCGGCGCGCACCACGCGCTCGAGCGACGCGCCAGGTACTGCGTCCACCTCATCCTCCTCGCCCGCCTCGCCCTCCTCCTCGTCCTCCTCGCCCCCCTCCTCGTCGACGCCGCCGCCCTCGTCCTCGCCTTCGTCGCCGTCCTCCAGTGCATCCAGCGTGAAGTCCGGGTCGTCCGAATCGACCCACTCCGAGTCGTCGCCCTCCGAGGGCGCGTACTCGATGTCGTGCATCCGTTCACGACGGAGGCGCTCGACGCAGGAGACCGGCCGCACCCGTCGCGTCGACGCCGTGCTGGGCCGAGCCTCAGGCGGAAGCCGAGCCCGCAGGCGACCGCGGCTCCACGGGCGACTTGGCGGGGATACGTCCTCCTGCGGACAACGTCGGCGGCGGGCGGAGGATCGGCGGGCGGCGCACGGGACACCGACGATGGAAAACAGAGTGGTTCGAACGCGGCGCCCGAGTGACGGGGGCTCCGCGGCGCAATGGAGGGGCAGGGGCGGACGACTGGAATCTCTCGTGGACGAGCAGCGGCAGGCCGGGGGGCGACTGATGGAGGTGGGTGCCCGCGATCGGCTGTGGCTCGAAAAACAACGCTCGAGGGCCGTCGCGGCGCGGGGGGCGCGGCATCGCCGCAGGTGATCGGCGGAGGCGCAAGATGCATTCAGAAAACGGCCCGCACGCGCAACGGGACGCCCCACCGCGGCGCGGCGAGGGGGGTACGTGCGCCTCGAGCAACGAGCTCGCCCCAGGCCCGGAACGCGGCGAATACGAACGTGCCAGGTGTCGGGGCGGGCGGAACGACGGGGAGAAAAGGTCGATCACCTGAAATCAGCAGCCGGAAGCACGGCCGCGCCACGCGCGCAGCGTGGCGACCGCCCCGCGCCCGAGCTCCTGTTCAAACACACGCGGCCGGCAAGCACCGTCCGGGCCGCGCAGACCGTCTTGCCATGCGACGTGGGTCTCCAGATCTGCCCTCGTAAGTTGCGTCACACACCGCGGGCCGCGATCTTCGACCTGCAGAGGCGGAAATGCGGGTGGGGGTGTCACTTGCGACAGAGGTTTGCGACGACGTCCCGGAGCGCGAGCCGCCGCGCTTTTCCGGGCCCTCCGTCGGCCACAAAGTGGCCGACGTCGGGGCTGTCGCGCGAGGCTCGCTCGATGCCGTCAGCGACCCCCCGATCGGCCGAGAAACGCGGCCCCTGGTTCGTTCGCACCTCGGCGCTGTGTGTTGCGAGCTCGCGCGCGCCCGACGGGTTCGTCCGCGGCGGAGCAGGCGCACGCCGCGGGGTCGGTGCTGGCAACATTCGTCCCCCCGCCATCTCTCACGACGGAAGCCGCCCATCCTCGGGCGCGCGCGCGCACGCCCCCATCCTCCTGCCGAGCAACGACCCCGGGCCGTCCCCGCATTGCCACTCCTGAGAAGGGGCGTCCGCGCAGGAGGTCCACGGGCATCTTCGATTGCTCGTAGTGCGCGCTGCGCCGGAGATACTCTCCAGGGCAGGCGGAACCGTGCGCCCCCCCCGCGCAGGTCCAGACGCGGCAACCTGAGACCAGACGCCCCAGACCCAGCGACCACGGGCCGCCTAGCACAAGCCCTCTCTCCTGCGTGCCTGGACGAGCCGAGCCATCGAGAACGTGGTATCTGAACTCGGAAACGCGCCCAGTCTGATGGGGGGGAAGGAGGTCGCGACTGGGGGGAGGATGACGCACCAGACAAGGACGCTCCGGCTGCTCAACGTCCTCTCTTGTCCGAACTGCACGAGCCCCGCGACGTCCTCGAGCCGCGACACCAGGGGAAGCATCGCGGCGAAGCTGTGTGCACTGCGGTTTTAAGGCGCAGCGCCGCGACAACGCAGCAGTCTTGTCCCGCACGCGCTGCCGCGCCGTCTCCATGCGACCCAGCTGCGCTCGGGACCGAGCGCAGGGGACCATCCCGCCCTTCGAGAGGCGCTCATCGCACGCATGCTGCACGACGACTGACGACTCCTCCCGCGGGCAGTCGCGCGTGCTGGAGCGCTCCTCGGGCTACCCCTGCTGTCTGGGGTCGGGCATGCCGCGGGGCTGAAGCGCCCGAGGGTGAGCAAGCTGCGGCACCACAGATGTCGGGGCCCCAGCACCTGGCGCGCGCAGCTCGAGTGGAGCCTTCGAGCAGTGACGAGCCCCGCGGGCGTGCGGGTACTCGTCGGCAAGCCCCACCACGCGTCCCGATGTCGTCGGTCGGGGGCCCTTCCCGGTGAGACACGCGCAAGACATCACGCATGTCAGGTGACACTGTGAACATCCCTGGTATTCGCCGGGAACCCGCGTGCACCAACGGTTCGACGGGGCGCCCTCGATCACGCCGGCTGCCCCCCCACCACGTCCGGGCCCCACCGCCCGGACGTGGTGCGCACCGCAGTCCCACGCCGGGCGCAACCCTTCTCCCACGTCCCACCGGCCCCCGAGCCTCCTCCCCCGAGGTCGCCGTGCGCTCTGTACAGGGCCCCAGAAGCCGCGCAGGATGCCGCTCCCGCTTCAAGGATCGCCGCCGTGACGTCGCGAATTCGACCGCATGGTCCCCGCATGCGACGCCAGGGTGCAGGGGACTACCCTGTGTGACATACCCCCTCCAGCGAACGTACAGGCAACAGATGCATGCCGTCACCATGCGGTCCTCTATTATTTGTGCCGTCCGTGCCCTGAGCACGCGGAGGAGACGATTGGACCTACGGGTGTGACGTGGCTTGCGGTAGGCAGTGGGCCGCACCGCAGGTGTGCAGCGCCCACGATTCCGCACCCGATAACGGCTACTCAGAGGCGGGATCCGGCACCTTGCGGCCTCGAGCTTCAACGGTGGGCCTTAGATAGGACAGATCCCCGGAAAGCAGCGTTCGGGGCCGCTTCCGCGTGCATCTCTGCTGCGCTCCACATGCTGGCCAGGGCAGGGCTGGGGCGTTTCCCGCCGCTGTCGTGCGTGAGTCATGTTGTTTGTTCCATAATCTATCACTTTCCGTGACCAGTAGCACGTTTCAGTTCCCCCTGCCTCAACTGAGCAGCCCAGGGCTGGCTGCTGCTCTGGCCCACAGGGCGCAGCCTGGTCGACTGAGCCGCATCCGGAGGCGGCTGACTGCGGTATGACTTGTTGTCGGCGCGTTGATGAAATCCCACGGCCCGTCGGCGATCGCACCCCAGCGTTTGCGGGTGACTTGTCCCTGGACGGATGCATCGGCGTTGGCCCTGCACGGCAAAAGTCGCTGCCTGACCTCAAGCCGCTGCCTGACATTGTTCACGTCCTTTCATGTCACAACAGCCCCGAGCGTGACGTTGAGCAGCACGCTTCTATCGGGCCTCCAGCCTGCTGGCAGGCCGTCCGCTTTTGCGGCAACGATTCCGCGCTCCTGGCGGCGACCTCATGTTGTCCAGGGTGACGTTACGGCATGTGTCGTGTACATGCAAAGACGGCACCTCTGCGCCGTTTGTGTGGCGCACAGTGGCAGACCAAAGTGCATCGTTCCCCCGGGCGAGCTGCAGCGCTGTGGGCTGAAGCGACGCTCCATACCGGCAATGACGGATCGCTTGTACGATGTGCTGTGCGCAGGCGACGGTGAAATTAGCGCGGCGAGCAAAACAGAGCCTGGAACCGCCGAGCCTGCACACGTCGACGGTGAGCGCCCGCCCCCCGAATGCGGGCTTCGACGCGCGCCGGAGGCCGCGGCTGTCGCAGTGCGGCGGCGCGGCGGCGCGGCACCGTGCGTGGGCCACGACGGCCGCCACGGCCGCGCAGCCGCGACGCTCTGTGGGGGCGGCGGCGGGTGCAGGCGGGGCGCGCGTTCGCGGGGCTGGGGGCCGCGGCCGCGGCGCGACGCGGCGGTGCCGGCTGCGGCGTGCAGGGGCCGGCGCGGGGCGTGCGTTTGTCGTATCGGCATGCGCGCACGCCGCGAGCGCGCGACCCTGCAGGCTTGGTTGCCTCCTGTGGGCGGCGCGGTGCGTGAGCGAGGTGCGGCGCTCGTCGCGAGGCGGCGCTGACGGATCGCGGTGGTGATGCACTGCGTGCAGGGAGCGCTGGAATGGACGCGGTGGCCGATCTGGGAGCCGGGGGTGCGGGAGCTGCACGCGAACGCCGCAGTTCGCGCCGTCGACGGGTCACGGCAGCGTCCGAGGCGGGCGTCGCTGCGACGGCCCCGGTCTCCGATGTTGCGTTGCGCCAACGAGCCAAGAGATTCCTCGATACCCACGTCCAAGCCAAGGTTGATGAGATCTTCAGGAACTTGCAACAAGAGCAGGCCGGGAATGCACACCTTGCGGGCAACCTTGTCTGCGCCTGGGTGCGGCCTTCTAGAAAAGCCGCCGGTTCTTGGTGCCTTGCCCAAGAACCGGCGGCTTTGGGTCGGGCGAGTCAGGTGCCTCTGCCCCCCCAACTGCACGCGCGCCCGCACCCGTTGCTCGCCCCGCGCGCCCCCCAGCGCGACTGCACATGCACTGGACGCGACGCTTGCGGCTGGCCACGCGCATTCACACGCTGCCCCCCCTCACGGCGCCCGCCGCCCCCCTCCCCATTTCGCGCCCGCGCACCCCCCGCGAACGCGCGCTGACTGCCATCCGGGCCGCTGAGTGCGCGAGCTGCTGCGCCCGGCGCTCCTCTCCCACCCGCGGCGGCAGCGCCGACTCTCCGGTCCGCGTCCACGGGTCGGGCGAGTCAGGTGCCTCTGCCCCCCCAACTGCACGCGCGCCCGCACCCGTTGCTCGCCCCGCGCGCCCCCCAGCGCGACTGCACATGCACTGGACGCGACATGGTGCCGCTGTGCCCCTCCCGGCCACCGCAGTCCAGGACAGTCGATCAACACCTGATGAGGCGGTGACAGCCCTTCACGTCGACGCTGCTCGGGCCGCTCCCGGAAGCACACGTCGAGCAGCGGATCCGCGTGATGGTTGGCAGGGGTGGGGGTGCAGTGCCCAGGAAGCTCGTGCGTGTGACCACGACATGCCGTTGTGATTGCATTCTGGCCTCGTCATTCGCGTCATGCTGCGCGTGTGGCTGATGGCGACGTCGGAGCAGGCTGTCAAGTGCCAGCTGTCTCACATTCGAGGCGGAATATGCGTCTTCGTCCCCGGTGACAGTGCGCCCCCATCGATTGAAAGCCGACCTTTCCCCGCCATGCGGGCCCCCCTGATGCCTATCCCGGCTCTCCCTCACGGACATGAATCCTCCCCCCCCCCTCCTCCTCCTCCTCCTCCCCCCCCACCTCCGGTCCTACGTTGATGGCCGATCTGGATTGACGCACCGCGCTGTTCACCAGCCCTAGGTCGTCCGAGTCCCATCGCCGCTTTCCGCGAGGATCTGGCGACCCTTGCAGACCGGCCCGAACGGGTCGTCGCCCAGCAGCTCGTCGAAGGTCGCGAAGAGCATGCCGCGGTCGTCAGCGTCGCTGCACGCCTCCCGCACCACCTGCAGGTTGTGCTGGAGCTTGCCCAGGGCCGGACCAAACAAAAGGTCGCCGTTATGCCCGACGATCGCCTTTGTCGCGACCCTGGCGCACGCCTCATCCTGCCCAGTAGCCGTCAGGCGATGCAAGGTGCCTTGGTCCCACTTGCGGAGGACGTCTGGGCGCATAGCATCCCAGCCGTGGACGCCGAAAAGCCAGAGGAGACGGCGCTCCATGTGCGGGGTCCAGCCCGCCGGCTCGAGCAGGAGGTGCAGCTTGCGCTGTTTCCCCAGCTCCTCACGCACCTCCGCCAGGGAGACCTGCGACCAGTAGTCCAGGTGCTCGGCGACGCTCCCCATCCGAGCGTCGTAGTCGCTCCCTCCTGCCACACCCTGCTGGTCGAGGAGCTGCTGTGCGAACTCCTCTTGCGCGGCGGTGAATGTGGAGTCCATCTTCCCGAGCACCGCCGCCAGCAGCCTGTTGTTCTTCAGGAGCGTAGTCACCGCTGAGTTGTCGAGGTCTGCGAGGGAAGGCAGATCTTCGCTCGCGTCGAGATCCAGAAGCGACTTCGCCGTGACGCGCTTACCCGTTTCGCGCAGCGTGAACATCAGCGCGGCGACACGGGCCACACGGTAGTCGTCCCATTCCGACATGCGCCCCCTCCTGCCCAGGCTGGGCCGCTCGCTCCGAACGTCGGCGAGTGCGCGATCGGCGAGGCCCAGGACCTCGGTCGACACGGCGGACTTGGGTGACGGTCCACCCTTTTCAAACGTCCCGGGAAGTGACGTGTCGCGTCCGCTGGGCGCCGTCCGGGCCGCCCCATCGTGCCGCGGTGCCCGCTCGTCGCTCCCGGCCGCCGCGGGCACCGCCTCCGCCGCCGGTGCCTCGACCCCAGCCCCGTCGCCGTCGTCTTGACCGTCCATGGCGACGTCTCCGCCCCCCGTGCTCTTCGCAGAAGCCTCGCCCCCCGACGCCGCAACGCCGGAGCCGTCCCCGAAGCCCCCCAGCGACCCCGCGCCAGCATCAGCCCAATCAGCATCGGGCACAGCCTTCATGTCACGCTCCTGCTGCGCCGGCTCCTGCTGCGCCGGCTCCTGCTGCGCCGGCTCCTCTGCAGGCGCTGCTCCCACCCGTCCGCCTGCTGCGCTGTCGCCGTCTCTCCGAAAGCGGCCATGCATCTGCTCGACACATGCCCGGACGAAGTCAGCTCCTGCCTTGCGCGCGATCTGCGCCGCGTGTAGGCCTGAGAGCGATTCGCCTGGCAAGCCACGAAGGTTTCCAGCCTCGGTGGATATGGTGGCCCACCTGTTGTGGGTTCCCTTCGGAAACAGCGCTAGCATGACAAGGAGGCTCAGGAGACGCTCCTCGCTCCACATCCTCTCCCCTCCCGGCGCTGCGTACCCCTCGCGGCGTTTCGTGAGGGAGAGTTTGCGCACCGCGTCTATTCCCTCCCGAGCGAGAGTCAGCAGCTGCGGGACGGGCAGACCCCGCAGGCCTTGGTCGGACTGCGCCGCCGCCGAAGGCACCGCAGCCGTGGCCCCGGGCTCCGCCGCGGCAGCCACCACCGTGGCCCCGGGCTCCGCCGCAGCAGCCACCACCGCGGCCCCGGGCTCCGCCGCGGCAGCCACCACCGTGGCCCCGGGCTCCGCCGCGGCAGCCACCACCGTGGCCCCGGGCTCCGCCGCAGCAGCAGCCGCCGCCCCGGGCTCCGCCGCGGCCACCACCGTGGCCCCGAGGATGTCGGTCGTCCTTTCCAAGACGTCGCGCCACTGCTGATGGAGGTTCACGTTGAGCCTGTGGTCATCCGCGCTGCCGGACTCCCCCCCTCCAGGCGCGCTGCGTGCTCCTTGCTCCAAGCCGCGCTTGTCTCCGACTTCGGAGCCATGCGGCTCGCTCCACGTCGCCTCCATGTGCAGCGAGTAGTCCGAACCGACTTTGACCGTCAGCACGAACTCCACCATGCCCCTGGCGCGAGCCGGCAGCCCGCCGATCTCCAATGTGCCCATAGGACGACCGTCCTTCGCGTTGCCGCACGTGCCGCCCTGGTAGGCCAGCAGGTTGAAGGCGACCGTCTCCTGGTTGTCCTCGAACGTCGCGAAGGGCTCCAGCGTGGTGGTCGCCGGCAGCGTCGTGTTCCTCGCGAACACCGTTTGCACGGCGTGTGCCCCGCGCTGAAGGCGGTACTCTATCCCGAAGGAGAAGGCGAGGACGTCCTGGAAGACGTCCTCGTGCGGATTGTCCAGCAAGCGCCGAGCGCACTTCGCCGCGCCGTTGGCGACGCAGCGCATCGGGTCCGCGCACCAGGCGTTCGACGCGGTGGTCTTCGCGGCAGCCCTGCAGGGAGTCACGCGGGCGCGTGTGCGAGTTCAGGATCGCTGGGGCGTGGCGTGCGGGCTGACGTCGCACTGCGGGCGCGGTGCTGGGAGCACGCGACTGCATGCGTGCGCCGGCAGGGGAGGGCGGCGGGATCTGCGGAACCCACCGGTCACGGCGGCGGCCGCGCTCCTGCGGCAGCTGCTCGAGGGCGACCTCGACGGCGTCCTTGACGAGGGGGAACTCCGACGACCCCCCCACCATGAGGACCGATAACTCGGCGTCCTTCAATCCTGGTCGCTTGTCGCACGCTCCCGTCCATGCATCTCTGAGCGTCGCGGCGATCCGGCGCTCGAGGTTGCGCCACTCCTGTGACGTCTTGACGCCATCGCGCGAGATATTGACGTCGATGGGCTGCTTCCCTACGCCGGGGATCCACATGACCCCCGCAGACGCTTGAAGCGCGAGGGCGAGCTTCGCCGTCTCGGCGGCGAGGCGCTGCTCCTGGTACGTCGCGGCGTCGAGCTCCGGGCTGGACTCGTGCGGCTGGTCCGCCGGGGCCGCGGCGGCGTATGCGAGCTCGAGCTGGCGCCGCACCGCGTCGTCGATGTCCCGCCCCCCGCAGCGCGAGGAGCCCGCGGTGGACACCACGTCCAGGTACGAAAACTCATCCTCGTCCGCGCCCGCGTCGCCCGGCTCGTCAAGCCGCGCGCGCTTGGACTGCGGCTGCTCCGCGCCGAGCTGCTCCCGTGTCCCGGCGGCGCTGCGGCGCACCATCACGGTGACGTCGAGCGTGCCGGCGCCCATGTCGAAGACCATCCACGCCTCCTCCTGCGCAGGCCGGTCCCCGACGCCGCTCGGCAGCTCGTGGCCGTACGCCGCTGCGACGGGCTCCGGTAGCAACCGGACGTTGCCGAAGCCCGCTCGCTCGGCGGCCACCAGCACCGCAGTGCGCTGCGCCTCGTCGAAGCTGTGTGGCACCGTAACGACGACGAGACCGATTTTCTCGTTACTCGTCAGCTTGCTAACCGCCAGACCCTTCCAATACCGCATGACGCCGGCCAAGACGTCGTGCGGGGCGAGCGACGTGCCCCCCCCACAGCTCATGACGAGGAATCCCGCAGGCGTGTAGCCCACCGTCACCCCGGGCTGCGCCTCGATCGCCCTGACGACGTCCTCCGATACTGCCTGCGTGTCGTCGTGGCCGCGGCCCCGACGACGCCCGTCGTCGCGGACGCGCATGACGGCGCGCTTCGCATCCGTAATGTACACCACGCACTTCTGAGAGCTGGGGTGCGCGGTGTGGATGCGCAACCGCGCGACCGCGTCGTTGCCGTAGTGCCGCTCGAAGGCGTCCGCGTCGCCGCTGCGGACCAGCAGCACGCCGGAGGGCTCGGGGCTCGGCGAGATTGGAATGACTACCGTGGACCCCGGCTTCACCATTCCCGCGAAGCTGCGAGACGCGGGCGGAAAGGCAGGGTTGGTAAGTGGTGCGATATCAGGGTGGAGGAGTAGCCGGCGTCGAGTCGCAGACGCGCGGGGAGAGCGGCACACTTGGTGGTGCAAGGAAACCGGCCGCACACGCACAGCACGGCGAGCGAGGACCGCTCCATGCGGCGTCAGAGTCCGAGGACTGCATGACGGGCGCCGCAAGCATCACGCGGAGTCTGGCGTGGAGGTCGGCGCGCGAGGCGCGCGTTCGAATGCAGGAGAGTGCTACGCGCACGCGCGTCGGATGCGCCCCGCGACTTCAGACTCGCGAGCAGATCATCCTCGACGGACGCGGTGGTGCGTGAGATGCATCGGGGACACTATTCGCGTCCCTGCGCGGCCCTGTGGGCGAACAGCAGCACTCAGGTCCCTCGCGTCGCTGCTCCCCGCTAGCTGGTCGTCTCGGACCCGCGAGGGGTGCCCGGGGCAAGCGAGAGGTGTACGGAAGCAAGCAAGACGGAGAATTCACCTATTGGTGGTGCCGAGGTCGAGGCCCAGCGCCACCTGCTTTGGCTCGGACGCGGGCAGCCGGCGGGACGGGTCCTCTGGCCCCGTCGCCATCCTGAGGAGTATGCCTTTCAAAGCTCTCTCCGGTACTTGCGCAGTGCACCGGCGGTGCTTCCCGTTGCCGCGCCGGGCGGCCCCGCGGCGGGCCGCGCTCGCGTCAGTGCTGGGATGGTCACCAGCAAACGCCTCCGACTGTCACCCCTGTCATTTCTGTCATTCTGACAAGGTCGCGCCAGTGTGTAGAGGAACATGCGGCATATCGTCAGCGGCGGCGGTAGAGGAGCGCGGGGCCCTGGATAGGCCGCGAGGCGGACCCTGCCCGCCTCCTACTGTTAAGCCCCGGTCGGTGATGCCGGGCGCTGCGAGCACGTTACGTGCGCCACAGTAACACTTGCGGCCAGTTGATGGGACGAAGGCGTAGAGGAGCCGTCTTGTCCTGAGGGCCAGGTCGTGCCGTCGCTACGGCCTCGACTGCGTCTCTGAAGTGGCCGGCCCGCCCCACATGAATGGGCCCATGAGTGAAACAGGTGACGGAGACATCGATCACGGCACGAATGCTGTGAGTGTGTTCGTTTCTGACGTCAGAGTCGCGCGTGCACCGCGGCAGGCGGACATCGTGCTGGGGTGCTGGCGTCTTGGGGCGCCATCGCGCACGGGCCATCCGCGCCGTTCAAAGGGAAGAGCGCGGCGTCTACGTGATGCCAGATATGCCGGCAGCCGTGACACGCACGCCATTTGGGCGCACAGATGCGCTGGGCCCCGCGTGGCCGACGATGAGCTTCTGCGGTCGATTGCCACATCGGCCTGAACCCCGGAGCTGCCTTGGCATGCTGATCCGACCTGTTGCGCGAAGTACATCGGTCGTCGTGGTATCTTGCCACCTCCGCGTGCATCTTCGACATTGACCTCGTCTCAGCCAGGGAGCGTGCCAGCTTGCTTGTACGGCGGTGAAGCAGGAGCGCGCGAAGCCCGCACAATCACATCGTCACAGGCGCTCATGAATGAGCTCCAGGCGTGCCGAGCATCCGCAGGACGCGCAGCGTGCCGCGCGCGTCGTCGGGGATCCAGGAGTCCGGGTCCTCGGCGCAGCACGACACGTACGACACGTCCAGCTCCTCCAGCGCCGGCGCCGACGTCGCGACCTTGGTGACGCGGTTGCTCATGGCCTCGAGGGAGCGCAGCCGCCGCGTGCTCGACTCCGGAAGCGGGAAGCGGAGGTCGATGCACGTGGAGATCTCGAGGCGCTCCAGGGAGACGAGGCCCTCCGGAAGCGCGGTGATCAATGTTCGATTCAGTTTCAACACGCGGAGACTGGCGAGGCTGCTCGGCGGGAGGAAGCCGACCGGACGCAGGTGGCACTGCGTCAGATCGAGCCACTGGAGGCGCGAGAGCCCCTCCGGCACGACGCCGACGTTGTGACACGCGAGCTTGAGGCGCCGAACAGCGTGCTGATGTCCTTCGTTAACGAGCAGCTGCAGCATCGCCCCGGCGTCGCGCGGCCGCTCGGCCGCCGCGCGGTACAGCGCGTCGAGGTGCTCGATACCGACGCCGACGTCCTGCACGCTGACGACCGCGCCCTCGCATGCCGCCCAGTCCTCCCGGAGTCTCTCGAGCTGCTGCCGGTGTGCCTCGTCCAGGAGGGCGGTGCACGAGTGCGGGATACGTAGACACGCAAGCGGCGTCCCGAGGACGTGCGCCATGCACTGACGGGAGCAGCTCGCGAAGGCAATGCGCTCTGGGCGCCCCAGACGGTCAGCGATGTCCTGGAGGACGCCCTGAGGGAGGTCCAGCAGCATGCACGGGTCCGGCGCCCCGTCCATCCACATGTCTGCGGGACGTGCTATCGTGGGAGTCTGCAGCGGGCCGGGTCCCTGGCCAGGTGCTAGTCTTGCAGAGTGCCTGGGTGGGGAATCCCGGCCTTCCGCATGTCTGCGTGTCCAGAGAGGCAACGAACGTGCTCCTTGGTATGTGAAGTTGCGGGACGGCTGAAGTTCGTGGGCCTCGAACGTAAGAGCGCACCGGGGACGGCAGCAACTGATTGTGGATGGATGGCACCGAGGAGACGTACCTGGTGCCTATACGCCGATAATACTCGCCGCGACCGACTCAACGCGCCTGATTCGAAGCGTTGGGCACGCTTTGTATCGTCGTGACCCTCTCCTCAGTGCCCAGAGGGCAGGTGAAGTTGCAACTGGAGGTGGACGACGCAATTCCACACCCCTCCGATCTTCTCCGCGCACCACACCCACACACAAGACGAGTACAGTCCATGACCTGTCATGTCGCCCAAAAATCAGCGCAGCATACCGCCCCGCCCGGCGGCGCCGAGACGGACGGCCCAGACTGACCAGCACAACTCGGACGCGACGGGGGCTGGCACCGCCCAGATCGGAGCGCCGCGCCCCCACAACATCCTCCGGCAGCACAGCCGCGACCTTCATCGACGGCCGAGCCTCGGGGGCACGTCTCGGGCAGTCCAGTAGCCCCGCACGGCCCTGGCCGGTACTGGCTGTGTCTGGACGCGGCGGCGTGCGGCGAGAAGCAGACGGTGCGGTGCCAGTGCCGGCACCGGAAGGAGAAATGGGACTGCGCGCGGGTCGTGGAGGCACTCAAGGGGGAAGGAGTGCACGGAGGATATGATTCGAAGACTCAGCTTCGGCTCCTGCCGTGCACTGCGGAATGCAGGGCGGCCGCGTCGCGGCCGCAGGCTGCTTCGAGCGCCGGGCACGCGCCGGAGACCGATGCGGGGCCCCTCGAGCCGGAAGCGGCGCATCGTCAGTCAACAACTCATATCTTCCAACTCATGCCTTCGTTCGGGATGCCGGTGGCCGCAGCGGCGCAGACGCTGCGGCGGTACGCGGCCGCGATCGCGGACAAGCAGCGGCGCTGGAGGGGGGCCGGCGGGGCGACGGCACCGGCGACGAAAGCACGCCAAGCGAAACAAACCACTGTTGGTGTGCGCATGCGCAAAGCGTGGCGCAGGTGGGGCCCCACGGTGGTGGTGGGGATCGTCGGGGTCGTTCTGGCGATGCTCGTGCTCTCGAGCATCTCGGACGCGCCCCCGCAGCGCGCCAGGTCAGACCTGTGATGTGATGCCGTGCCGAAGCAGGTGGTACTTGCGCGCAGCAGCGAAGGCCTGACCGAGCACATCCGCGTGGGGCGTGTTGCGGACCGCGGCGTGGTCGTGCTGACGTGACGCGGCGTTGCTAATGTCTGACCGTGCTGCTGTCAGCTACGTCAGGCGCAGAATGGCCTTTGGGGGCATTGAATGCGTGTCGGGCGGGCGTGCCGTGGCCAGTAGGGGGTGCGGGCCGTCCTTGGCTGGTCCATGGATCCAGACGGGCGCGATCTGCGCTAGAGGACGGCCTGTGCTCGATTCGAGGTGGCAGGTGTCGTCCGTTTCACGCACGCGCGTGGAGCCGCACGCCGCCCGACGGCGCCGGCGCGCATGGGACGAGTCCTGCAGAGCCGAGCCCGAGCAGACCACCACGGGCAGCGCGCACTGGGAGTGCGGGGCGCCTCCAACACAGCCAGCACGCGAAGCGTGGCCCGTGCGATCGCGCGCGGCGCCGTTGCCGCAGGCCGCGTGCTCGGCAGAGCGGCCCTGGCAGCAGTTCTAGTACTCTTCTCTCTGTTGGCTACGTTCTCGCGGAGGTTGGCGCGCGCTGTGCGCGGAAAACGCTCCCGCGGGCCCACAGACCAACGCACGCCGCTTCGGTCGACTTTCCGCCTCCCTCCAGGCGTGGATCCGCCCGGACCTCCCCCGCCGCAGCTCCTCGCAGCCGTCAGGGCGCGCCAGAGGAGCCCGGACGTCCGCTTCCGTCCGTCCACTGGCCGTTACAAGCACCTAACGGTCGACGCGTCTCTTTCTCCGTCACCGTCGCCGCCGCGGTCGTCCTCGCACCGCCGCCGGTGGGAACTGGACGCGAACGTCACGGAGCAGATCCGCGCCGTCTCCCCCGTGCGCCACCGCGTCGTCAGCGCCCACGCGCGCTCAGACAGTCTGCCCGGCACTGCGCACGCGCGCGGCAGCCGCGCAGCGACGTCCTCGGGCCCGTCGCCCAGCGCGGCGCTCGCGCGGTCGAAGACCGACGCCTTCGCCCTGGGCGCCGCGAGGGCAGGAGCGGGCGCGATGGCGGCAGGCGTCCTGAAGCGCCTGAAGAGCAGGAAAGCGGAGGGCCGCGTGGAGGCGTTGGAGGAGCACTGGAACCTCGCGCGGGACTACCTGGACCGCGCGGTGCACTACGACGAGCGGGAGGACCACGCGCGGGCCATACCGCACTACAAAGACGCAGGTAATTAATTATTATTATTATTAATTGTCAATGATCACAAACACAAGAACAGCAACACAGCCTGTACGCAGTTCCTGCCAGCAGCTACAGAAACAGCGCGGGCCGGCGGCCCCGTCGGGCCCTCTTTACGAATCCCTGGTGCCCTCCACGCACGTGGCGAACAGCGGCAGCAAATTAACACCCCCCCCACCGCCCCGCCGCCCGGTCGCCCGCAGTCGAAGTGTGCGACCTCGGCCTCAAGATCGACGTACCGACCTCTGGACCGAGCACCGAACAGAACACGCAGCGCCGCAGGGAGCTGCACGAGTGGATGTCTCTCGCCGCCAAGCGACTTGCTGCGCTGCGAGGGCCGCGCGCCGCCGCCGCCGCCGCCGCCGCGCAAGCCGCTCCGGTCCGCAAGGACCGTCCGCGGCAGGCTGTGGGCCGCACCACGCCGTCGAGCCTCAAAAAACCCGCCGCAGCGCCGCTGCCGCGGCCACGCGCGCGGCCGGCGGGGGCGGCCGAGGGCGGCTCAGGGAACCCGCTGATGGACCGCATCCTGTCCGAGGTGGTCCAGAGCGACCCCGGCGCGCGCTGGCAGGACATCGCGGGCCTGACGTCAGCCAAGGAGGCGCTGAAAGAGTCGGTCATACTCCCCTGTCTCAGACCCGACCTGTTCAGCGGGCTGCGGTCGCCCGCGCGCGGGCTGCTGCTGTACGGCCCGCCGGGCAACGGGAAGACGATGCTGGCGCGCGCGCTGGCCGGGGAGGCGAACGCGACCTTCTTTTGCATCTCGGCGTCGTCGCTGGCGTCCAAGTGGCACGGGGAGGGCGAGCAGCTGGTGCGCGCGCTGTTCCAGGCCGCGCAGGACCGGAGCCCGAGCGTCGTGTTCATCGGTGCGTGACCCTGGTCCTCGAGACGGAGCGCCGCGACGGTTGGCGTTGATGCGCATCCGCACGCGTCGCCGCGCTGGCTCCGTGACGGCGGCAGCGGCTGCGATTTTTTGGGTGCGTGCAGATGAGATCGACTCGCTGCTGTCGGCGCGGTCGTCGAACGAGCACGAGGCGAATCGGAAACTGAAGACTGAGTTTTTGGTGCAAATGGATGGGCTGCTGGGGGAGGGCGACGCGCGGGTGTTCGTGCTGGGCGCGACGAACCGCCCATGGGACCTCGACGAGGCCGTGCGGCGGCGCATGCCCAAAAAGTGCGCCCCCTGCCACCGCACGCAACCGCCACCAAGCAAGACTAGCCGTCTCCTGCGCGCGTGTGTTTGTTCGCTCGCGTGGATTCCGTGTGCTGCGCAGCTCGCGCGACCTGGCGATGCGGCTGCTGCGTGCGCAGGATCTACATCCCGCTGCCCAGCGCGGAGGGCCGGCGCGCGGTGTTTGCGCGACTCTTCCACGGCCAGCTGTCGGACAAGGATTTGAAACGGCTCGTCAAGGCCACGGACGGATACAGCGGCTCGGACGTCAACGCCCTGTGCAAGTGCGCCCCGCCCACTCCCCGCCTGACAGCGGCACCTCGCAACACACCCCCTTGCTCTCACGGCAGCTGGACTGACTGGCCCGCGTGCGCTCGGTGCGACGGCGGTGCTCGCAGGGAGGCGGCGATGGGCCCGCTGCGGGAGATGGGCCCGTCGGAGCTGCTCACGGCGGACGCGAGGCGAATCCGGCCCGTTCGGTTGGCGGACTTCGAGCCGGCGCTACAGGCGATTCGACCCAGCACGGACGCGCAGCAGCTGAAGCAGTACGAGGAGTTCACGCGCGTGCACGGGGTCCAGGCGTAGCGGCGCCGGACGCGCGTGGCGTGGCGTGGGCTGCGATTTGATACTGGCTGCGGATCACGTGGTGAATATGTATTGATATGTAGGTGTGATTCGCTTGAGACTGCCGCGCGCGCTACCGCTGGCTCGGCGGCGTTGCGTGGGGGTTGCTCGCGGGACGGTGAGACGGGTGTGGGCCGTACGACTGTGCGGGCGGTGGGGCAGCGCCATTGCCAGGGCACGGCTCTACCCGTGAATTCGCGGCACTGGCTCGGCTCGGACGCGACCTGTGCGGACTGGGCTCGACGCGGTGATGATACACGCGTCGCGGCGCCGCGAGGCCAAGGCGGGTGTGTGCGCTGCCAGCAGTGCTGATGCAGGCGGGGGGGCCTCTCGGCCCGCGTTGCCCGAGGGGGGCGACGGGGTCGATGGGTCGCGATGCGGCCGTCGTCGTCACGACTTTCTCGTCCGCGGACGCTCGTGGGGCTCGACGCGTGGTCCGTTGCGAACGGCCAGGGCATTACTGCTGCGCTCTTCGCTCTTGGAAGGCCTCAGGCGGGAGTCGATTCGGTCTCGAGGGGCCGATCGAGTCGGTTCCGTGAGCTGTAGAGCGTACAGCGAAGGGAAGCCGGCTCCCGACGGGCGCGGGGTCTCTCACGCAGGCGCACGGGCGTGCTGGCTAGGCTGATTTCGCCGCGAGGCGCTCTCGACGGCGTTTGGCTGGGTGAGGAGCTGCGCTCGCTTGCGCACGACAACGAGAAGGATGCCGGCGTTGCGTGCAGCGTGCGCGGGGCCCGGCTGCCCGCGGCTGACGGTCCGACGGGTGCCAAGTGCAAGGCAACATAGTTTCGCCTCCCAGGTGCGCATACATGGACTTTCGCTCGCTACCGTTGCCAGATATGATAACTTCAGTGCCATGTGTGGCCGCAGTGCATTTTTTGGCTGCGCTCGACCGCGGATACTCGAGAGGGCTGTCCTTGATGCTCAGCGTCGTCTTCATCTCTCGTTCACGCGCTCCACCGCCACTGAAACCGCACGTCTTCCACGTCACGCACACAACATTACATACAACGTCTCCCCCGGCGCAGATTAACGCGCAACACGCCGCCAGGCTGCGGGGCCCGCCCACGGTGGCCACACTCGCCCACTCCAACGGCGACCAGCGCCCGAGCGCGTCCGCCATCCAGCAGCTCGAGCCCGCCGTGGCATCTACGTCGCCGCCAGACGTCGCCATCGAGCCCGTCGAGGCCGCAGCGGCCCAGATAGACGAGCAGGACTCGATCCTTGTTTCTGAAGACCAGGACCAGGTGGCCGCGGGGCCGTTCGGCGGCGGCGAACGCCAGCCGCTGCTGGTGGTGTTCTCCGGCGGCACGGCCTTCAACGGGGTGGCGGGCCCGCTGCGAGACCTGAGCACGCGCGTCGCGCACGTGCTGCCGGTGAGCGACGACGGCGGGTCGACCGCGGAGATCGTGCGCGTGCTCGGCGGGCCCGCGGTCGGCGACATCCGCTCGCGCTGCCTGCGCCTCGCCGACGAGAGCGACGAGGAGAGCCGCGCCGTCAAGGCACTCCTCGCACACCGGTGCGCAACACCACCAACTCTCCCCCCCCCCCTCCTCCACACCCTCGCCGACCAACCCCCCCCCGCCTACCTCACGACCCGACACTCACATGCTCTGGCACCGTCCGCAGGCTGCCGTCGTCGTCCCCTGCGGCTGCGAAGGAGGAGTGGTACCAGATTGTCGAAGGCGACCACGCGCTGTGGGAGGGTGTGTCGGAGCCGTACAAGCACACGATCCGCGCGTTCCTGGTCCACTTCCACGTCAACATTCTCCGCCACTCGTCCGAGCGGTTCAACTTCCGCAACGGCAGCGTCGGCAACTTTTTCTTCGCGGGCGCGCGCACGTTCTTCCGGTCGCTCGAGGCGGCAATATTTCTGTTCTCGCGGGTCTCGCGGATCCCCGAGGGGTCCGAGGTGATGCCGTCGATCCTCACGGAGGACCGCATCACGCTCGGCGCCGAGCTGGAGGATCCGAGCGCGTCCGGACCGACCACGATCCTGCGCGGACAGAATCAGATCTCGCACCCGTCGGCGACGGTCGGGCCCGACGGGCCGGAGGCAGTCTCGAAGACGGCGACGGACGGGCCGCTCCCGGGCAAGGTGAGCTCCTGCGCGATCACTCGCGAGTCCAGCACGAGCACGTGTGTTATACCTTGCGAGTGCACGCGTATGCAAGGCGAGCTGGAGCGTCGACGCGTGGTTGCGTGTGCAGATTCGGCGGATCCTGTACCTGTCGTCCGAGGGCACGGACCGCGAGCACGAGGTCTTTCCGAAGGCCAACCCTCGCGTGCTGCAGCGTATCAAAGAAGCGGACGCCATCATTTATGGAATGGGATCTCTCCACACGTCCATCTGTCCGTCGCTGATCCTGCGGGGCGTCGGCGAGGAGATCGCGGCGCGCGAGGGCGTGCCGAAGATCATGGTCCTCAACGGCGGCCCGGACCGAGAGAGCACCTACTCTGGGACGCTCGGCGCGCCCGTCGAAATGACCGCGGCCGACATCGTCGACGTAAGCCACGCCCCCGCACGCAGCGACGACGCGCCTCACAGTGCCCCCGGCGCTCCAGCCAGCCGCCTCGCGCCCCCCTCTGCGTACGACACGACAAGATGACAACGCCCGCCGTTGCCGAGGTGACGGATCGTTGCGGTGCGTGCTGCGACGCAGGCGCTGATCTGTGCGATGAACCGGCGGAACGCGACGAAGGGCGCGACGGACCACGCGCCGTCGAAGTACGTCACGTGCGTGGTGGTGCCGCGCGGCGGTGGGATTCGGGTGGACGTGGACCGGCTCGCTGCCATGGGGGTTCGGCGCGTGCTGGAGGCGGACGCGGAGCCGGTTGGGGAGGGCAAGGTGCACTACGATCCGGACTCGCTGGTCGATGCGATCCGCGTGGCGATCGAGGAGGGAGTCGATGATGAGGCGGCGGGGAGTGGGGATGGGGACGCGCGTGGCGGGAACGGGCAGGCGCGTGGGTCGTGAACGTGGTGCGTGCGGCGAGGTGATTTGTGGCTGGTATTGTGATAGGATTTGCGCCTGGCAGCGGGTGGCATCGCGGTGAGTTCAGTTCAGTTCAGTGGTTCTTGGATTTCACATTTTGATGGTTCATGTTTTCATTGGGTTGAAATTCTGTCGTCGCCCGGGCCGTTCACGCACGACCGGGCCTCCCTGAATAGTGCTTGGTCTACCGCGTGATCGCGCAATCTGTCTCCCGGCGCGGGGCTGATTCCTTCGTCTCGTAAGCTTGTTCATGTCACCTCTGAACAACAGAGGTAATGCACCTCCGTTCCCCTTCAAGCCGCTGTCGAGCTCCCGCTCCGTCAACGCGCGTCAAAGTCTCGCAGGGCCTGGATGATGCTGTCCCTGCCCCCGCACCGAACGCCCAGCTCGTCCGCGAGAGCGTTGAGCCTCGTGTTTGCCATCACCCTTGAGTTCTCGAGCCCCCCCGTCTGGACCAGGGCGCGCAGCAGCGCCCTGTGCACGTCCCGCCGCACGTCGGCGGCGCTCTCGTCCAGCATCGCCTGCACGCCCGCTTGCATGCTGGCATGATTCGTGCCCTTGACATACGCAGACCAGAGACTAGGAGACAGCAGCTCGCGGCACTTGTCCAGGTCCATCTTGCGCATGTGCTTGACGATCGGAGTAGAGCTTGCTGTCCTGGACGGTGGCGTCTGCGACGTCGCAACTGACGAGGACCGCGCCGCAGGCGCAGGTGCTGCCGTGTCGGCGAACCCGCTGTCAGTCAGGAAGGCTTTCAGCGCCATGATGTGGCTGCCTCGCTCCTCCTTGCCGCGCGACGCCAGGCCCAGCTCCTTCTTCAGCACCGGCAGCGTCTTGTCCGGGATGATGCTCTTGTTCTCGAGGCCCCCCGTCTGGACCAGGGCGCGCAGAAGCGCCGTGTACACGCCCCGCCGCACGTCGGCGCTTCCGTTGTCCAGCGTCGCCTGCACGCCCTCCCGCATGCGGTCGGAACTGGCTCCCGATGCCCGGGCCGAGGCCGGCACACGCTCCAGCAGCTTCGGCTCCAGCAGCTGCAGACACGCCTTGAGGTCCTTCTGCCGCACCTTGCGCAGGATGACCTTCGCCGCCGTGTCCAGCTCGGGAACAGTCCCGGTCGCCAGGTACTCGTACATATAGTCGAAGATGGCGGCCTTCGTTTCGACACCGGCCCAGCAGCCCTCGCAGATGACGACACGAGCCATGTGCTCGAGCGCTGCTCTGTCCAGGTCCTGCATCCTCAGGATCGCCTCGCGATCGAGCGCTCCGAGCAGCGCGAGGTACGCCTCGCGCTCCGTGTCCGGCCCGCCCTCATCGACAGCGTCCAGCACCCTGTCCACAAGCGGCCGCTTTTTGCTGCCGCCCGGCTCGCACCCCGTCAGCGCGCAGATGACGGCTTTCAGGCCGTCCATGCTCAGGCGAGGGAACACCTCGTGCCTGCTCAGCTCCTCCGCCTTCATCTCCTTGACCCTGCCCCACGCCTGCCGCAGCGCGTCCGCGACCTCCCTCTCCGGCTTTCCGCAGCTCGCGATCAGGTACCGCCGCATCGTCTTCTGACCCTTGGTCTTGACGGAGGCCACCGCCGCGAAGTCGACGCCCAGCAGCTCCGCGGCCACGTCCAGCACCGCGCTCGTGACCTTCCTGTCGTTCGCCGGCACCAAATGCACGAGAGGTGGCGCCGGCGCCGCCCCGAGCCTGTTCTGCATGCTTGACCCGAGCAGCTCCTCGCGCACCGCCCTCGCCTGGTCCTCGGAGACCACGCTGTTGAGGATGTGCGTACCCGGCGCCAGAACGTTGCATGTCTGGAACATCTGACGATCCACACGGAGCCTCAGCCACTCGGTCCAGCTGCCCGTCGCCAGGTCAGCCTTGGCCTCCTCAAGCACGGTGCGCCAGTGGACCAGCTCGGTGAGGTCCTCGCGGCGGCCCGACGCCGCGGACCCCGGTGCGTTCGCGTCGTACGTGATCGCGTACGTGCGCGAGGCTGCCGCGCCGTCCGTTGCCTCCATGACGTCGACCTGCGTGCTCGCGCGGTCGGAATCCGGCGGCGCGAACACGAACGCGCACCCGTCGACGCCGCGGACCGCCTTGTCAGCGTCCTTGCGCACGCTGCGGCACAGCCGCTGAACCACCTTGCAGACGCTCGCCGCGGAAAACGACTTCGGGTCCGTCGGCCGCGACACGAAGATGCAGTCCGTCGGGGGCAGGTCCACGGCCTCGTTCAAGATCGACACCGACGTCAGCAGCCGCAGCGGCGCGAACCCAGAGTTGTCACGTGCATCCGGCGCCGAGAACGCCTCCATCGCCGCCCTGCGGCCGTCCGCGCTCACGCCGTCCACGATGCGGCCCACCACGCTCTCCCTGCCCGCCGCTGCGCACTCGGCCCTGAACGCAGCCTCCAGATCCTCGCAGTACGCCTTCGAACCGCAGTAGGCAATGCATCGCAAGTAGCATGCGTTCCGGTCGCCCGCGAGCATCCCCGCGACCAGGAAGCGCGCCGCCTTCGTCATGCTGTTGTAGACGTCCTTCCACTCCGACTTCTTCGGCCACGGATTGCCGTCGAAACAGATCTTGTAGTCGGTCACGTACTTTGCGCGGATCGCCTCGTCAAGACGCATCTGGTGGCACGCCTCCCCGCCGCACGCCGCGATCAGCGGACCCGGCGGCGTCCCCGTCACCATCACCGCGCGCTCCGCCGCGCCCACCACGTCCCACAGCCGCACCGCGCTGTTGCTCCAGTTGTGCGCCTCGTCCACGAACAGCAGGCACCGGACCTTGACGCCCCGCGGCACGGCGCCGTCTGCTCCCCTCGGTGCACGCCCCTGCGCCGCCAGGAGCCCGTCGAGGACGCGGAGCGCGCTCGACTTCGCTGAGTAGCGATCGACGGTCGACACGAGCACGCGGCCGCTCCCCGACGCAGCGCACGCCTTCTCGACCGCCTCCTGCAGCTTGTCGCCAGTGAGGTACGGCGATCCGTCGCGGGACGACGCAGCGCGCGCGTTTCCGGCGCTGTCGCTGCTGTCGCTGTCGCTCTCGTCCGTCTCCTCCTCCCCGTCCGCCTTGGGCTCGCCGTACCCGCGGATGAGCGTCGCGTCGGGCATGAACTTGCTCAGCCGCCGCAGGTTCTGCTCCGCGATGATGCTGAGCGGGCTCACCACCACCACGACCTGAAACGGCTTCCCGCCAGCGTCGCACAGCTGATCCTGGCGCGGGCTGTGCGTCCCAGCCAGCCGGCCCATGACCACCGTCTTCCCGGTCCCGCACGGCATCGCGAGCAGCGCCGGGTTCCTGTCGTACCGAGTATAACCCACCAACTTCCTGACAGCGGTCTTCTGGAGCTGCGTCAGGTCGAACTGCGACTCGTCCTTCTCCCCGGGCTGCTGCTTCGCAGGCCGCGACGTCACCTCCTCGCGGTCGAAGCCGGGTCCGAGGCGGCGCCCGCCCGAGGTGTCGAAATGGCGCGGCCCGGCGCCGTAGTGCGTCGATGGCGCGGACGCATCGCCGGTGCTGCCGCCCGGGGCGAAGCGCGGTGTCTGGGGGCTAGTGGCGTCCGCGGCGAGCGCGGAGTGGGCCTTCGTGGCCGCGGAAGCGGTGCTTTGCTGACGACGCTCTGTGATCATTGTACCTTAAATCTAAAAGACTTATCAACAGTCGATTCGATGATCGGGTTGCGGATCGCGAGATTCCTGCAGGAGCGAGAGGCGAGGCGAGAGCGTTGACGCACGAGCGACACGCGTGCTTGCAGAGATGAGCGCGTGTCGGGGCCGCGAAGCAGCACACAGGTGTGTGGCTGGGCCGCGGACAGGGCGGGATGATGGGGCGGCGATTCATCCAGATGAGAATGCATAGTGCGTGGTGAGCAGCGCCACGGGCGCTGGAGAGGCAGCCGGTACGCGTGTTGCGCGCACAATGCCTCTTTGGCTGCGGCGCAAACCGGAACGAATGTGCGCAGCAGAGGACGTGCGCGCGGGTGCTTGCCTGAACTCGAGATGCTCTCTGCTTCCTCGACTGAGTCTACTGCACGACGCGGCCGGTGGCGCCGCCCCTATGTCCCCGCCGCGCCCAGGCGACCTACCGGGTAGCTTGCCCCCTACCAGGTAGCTTTGCTCCTGACGCGAGGGGGGTCTCTGCGCGTTGGCGCGGCCTCTGCGGGCGGCAAAGTTGAGAAAAAACGCAGGATGTGGGTGTGGGGGTATGAGCGAGAACCGAGGACGTGCGAGGGTGGTGAGTGGGAGAGGCGAATGTCGCTGGAACGACGGGACGTGCGCTTGATCTGCCCCAGAATATGAGACCCCACGCGTAGAATTTAGGAGTCAAACACGGATGGGGGTCTAAAAAACGTGGATCGCCGCGCACGCGTGCGTCCCGGGCGTCTGTTGATGGGAAGGAAGGTGCGCGCCTCCCGCCACGAAGATTCGCGTCGCCAACGCGGCCTGATTCGCGGCAAGTGATGCGACGAAACGACGAAGAAGCGAGCAGGTCAGTTGAACCTCACCTTCACGCAACGTCACGTCCGTTCGCGGGACAAATCCTGTGGTGCCGCGTGCAGTGTGTGCACTGCTGTCCAACGACCAGGGGCGAGGTCGAGAGGTGTCCAATACGAACCTCTGATACTTCTGCCGCCTCCAATGCGCGCGCCCTCCCCTCGTAGCGCCTGAGCTGCCCGGGGGCGCTGACTGAGCCTTCCAGCGGAGACCTCCACTCCTAGTATGAGCGGTCTTGCTCGCAGGGGGGTCTGTGAGGATTCAAGGCCACCCCCGCCGGCATGTTGCGAGCACTACGCATCCTGTGCACGCGACATATCGTTGGCGGGCGCCACAGGGTCGCGGTGGGCGCCAGTTTGCTGTCCCCGCGGCAGCAAAGGCTGCTCCTCTGCGCGGGCCCGACGTCTTCGCGCCATGTACGCGCGGCCAGAGGACCCATGCGAGGTACGTGTCCCGAACTCCGGCGTAAGCGGGATCCTTGACCGCAATGACACGAGAGAAACAGCCCTCTAGTTGCCGTTTGAGCCCCTTCTCGGCCGGATCCGACTGCACGCGCGCACGACGCGAGCTCCTACACGACCCGTACCTTCGCGCGGCGAGCACCATGCTTCCAGCCCGTGCCGTTCGCTTCCAGGCCGCCGGTGACGTCGCGCAACCAGCAGCGCTCACTCTCCAGGACGTGGCGTCCACGGTGCCGGGCATCGCCCGGCTGCTCTTCGAGCGAGCGAAGCGCGGAGACGCCAAGGACCTCTGCAACTTCGCGGCCAGCGCGTCCTGTCTGCTGCGCTCCTGCCTCAACCACGCACCTTGCGTGCTCCACGTCGACGCGAACGGCGCTCTCCTGCACGGGTTATCGCGGTTCCCGGGCTGGACGCACTCGCCAGGGTCCCACGCCGTCGGCGCGGGCGGCGCGGGCTGGGCAGGCGGCGCGATATGCGTCTCTGGAGTGGGCGTTGCGCCCGCGTGGGTGACAGACCTGGCAAGCGCGTCGCGTGCCGCGGACGGCGCGGCGGGGCAGCCCCCCGAGGACTTCGATGAGAAGTGGAACGCCCGCGCGGACGCGCTCGAGGCCGCGGAAATCGTCGCGGCGCTCGCGAAACGGGGCGCGATACTCCCGTGGGGGGAGCGGCGCCACGGCGGCACCGACGCGGCGCGAGAGGCGCTCGGCGTCGTGCACCTCGCGCTCGACCTCGGCGCGCCCGCCCCCGACGGCCCGGCGGTCGCGGACTTCGCGTTCCCGGACCTCGTTCGCGTCAGGGTCACCAACAGTGCCCCGGGGGCGTGTCTGCGGCTCGACGCGCCGCGGCTGCAGAGCGTCCGCGCGGCGCCGACGGCGGAGCCGTTCGTGATCGCGCCGGGCCTCGCGTCGCTCGAGGAGCTCTCGCTCCCGATGTCGTACAACCTCACGCGGGATTTTGTCCCCCGGGACGTCGCGGGGACCCTCCGCGCACTCGACGTGACCGCGTGCCCGCTCGGGGCGCTCCCGAGCGGCATGCACGGCCTCCGGAGCCTCGTGGCGCGCTCGTGCATCTTCCTGGCCAGGATTCCTGCGGACCTCGGGAGCCTGGAGTCGCTGGACGTCAGCGGGTGCGAGTCGATGGTGCAACTGCCGGCGCGGAGCTGCCGGCGGCTGGTCCGGCTGAACGCGAGCGACACGGCGATCGACGAGTTTCCGGACGGCATGTCGCGGCTGGAGGTGCTCGTGGCGCGCACGGCGCCGCCGGCGGAGGTGCCGGCGTCGGCGGCGGGAATGCACCCCCCGGAGGAGTGCGACTTCAACGGCCCGCTGCGCACGGGGTTCCTGCCGGCCGGGAGCGTCGCTGCGCTGCGCGTGCTCGACGTCTCGTTCAACACGGGCGTCGAGAGACTCCCCCCCGGTATGACGCTCCTCGAGGAGCTGTCCGTCACGGGCTGCACGGGTCTGACGGACGCGCACGGCGGCGGCGCGGACGGGGAGTCCTTCCTCCCGGACAGCAGCGCGCGGAGCCTCAAGCGCCTCCGGTGCGCGGGGTGTCCCGGCCTATCAAGGGTCCCTGACAGCGCTACGTCGCTGCAAGTCATCGACGCGTCTGGCTGCACCGCGTTCCAGAACCACTTCCTGCCAGACGGCGCCGCGCCGCACGTGCGCGCGCTGACGCTGCGGGGCTGCCGGATGCTCACGAAGCTGCCGGAGGGCCTGACGTCGCTGGCGAAGCTCGACGCCACCGCCTGCGCTGCGCTCCGGGACGGGTTCCTCGCGCCGTGCAGCGCCGCGTCGGTCAAAACGCTGGTCCTCAGCCTGTGCCCTCTCCTCACGCGGGTCCCCGGGGGTCTCCAGTCGCTCGAGGTATTAGACCTCCGGGGGTGTGTTGGGATGCGCGACGGGTTCCTGTCGGACGCCGGGTGCGCGCCGCGGCTGCGAAAGCTCGTGGTGAGCAGGTGCCCGAAGCTCACGACGCTGCCGGAGGGCATGAGCGCGCTGGCGGAGCTGCACGTGGTCGGCGCCACGGGGCTGAGGGAGGGGTGGATGCCTGACAGCAGTGCGGGGGCGTTGCAGGACGTGATGGTCGGGGGAGGGGCGCCGCTGTCGCCGTGCGCGGCGCTGCCGAGCGCGTTCCCGTTCGGCGTCCGCGTGCACATCGGGTGCGCGTGAGAGCGTCCCTTTGATTGAGAGGTCGTATAGGAGCTCTTCTATTGGTTGTTTGGGCTCACAGGCGAGGTTGTGGAGGCGCTGGGGTTGTAGACAGTCTGAGCGCCTCCCGCGGAGGCGTGTGCGCGCTGGTGGCGGCGCGGGTGCACGAACCACGTGCGGGGGGAAACAATTGAGGAAGAATAATAATCAGCGCGTGCGTGCGTCCTCGCGCACTGGTTGATATGTAGAGAAACAGCGCCGCCGGCGCCGTGTGAGCCACTCGAGCGCGCGACCCGCCACCTCCTCGCCCTACGCACTCTCGTGCCCTGTCTGGACCCTAAGTGTTGCGTCAGACATATGCAATCCCGAATGCAGGAGCCCCGTGCGCTCCTCATCCGCCATAGGCGTGCTTTCTTCCTCCTCGTCGTTGTGACGCGTCAGATCCGTCATCTCCACGCCCTTGCCCGCCGGCGACGCCTCGAAGGACCCCCCGGGGGCCTTTTGGATGTCGTCGAAGCCCCGGGGGGGGTCGCAGAGGAACTGGAGCAGCTGGCGACGCCTGGCGTACGCGAGCGCGAAGTACAGCGCCGTCGCGAACGCCGTCGAGCCTCCCAAGAAGCCCAACACGAGCCAGCGCCCTTGCGCGATCGGAATGCCGAGAACCACGACGAGCAGGGTGCACGCCGGCGCGAGCATGAGAGTGCAGCCCCACGTACTCAGCGGTACCTGCACGGGCAGCGAGCGGCGCGGTCTGGGTCGCGCTTCGCAGCACGCCGCACAACACAGCACCACTGTGGTTGCTGTCAGCAAAATATCGTGTCAGACAGGTGCGACGCGTGGCTGGGACTCACCCGGTACGGCCGGTGCAGCTCGGGATGCCGCCAGCGCAGGTGCACGAACGCGGAGAACTCGAGGAGCTCCGCGAGGCAGTACATCGCGTTCAGGAGGGTTACGATGTCGATAAAGTCGAGGCACGTGATTCCGATGACGCCGGCGGACGACAGCAGGATCGCGAGCGTGGGCGTGCCGTAGCGCGACCGCCGCGCGAGCGCCGCGGGCAGGAACCCGCGCTCCGCCATGCCGAGCAGCTGAAACGAGTCGGCGGACATCTCGGCCAGAAACAGCCCGACGTTCGAGACGGCCGCGGCGACGACGACCCACCACTGCAGCACGGGCCCGCCGAGGCGCTTCGCGACGACGGAGTAGTGCCCTTCGTCCCACTTCGAGAAGGTCGAGCCGTCGCGCTCGATGCCGACCCCGACGAGGATCGGAATCAGATACGAGGACACGACGAGCGCCACGGCGCCGGCGAGGGCGCGCGGGAAGGCGCGCTGGGGGTCCTGGACCTCCTCGGCGAGCGTGGACGCGCTGTCGAAGTAGTTCTGCAACCGAGGCCGTCGCGTGCGTCGTCGTTACGGGCCCGCAGTGCTTGCGCGAGGTCAGAGCGTGCGCTGTTGCGCCTGAGGGGCGGTGGGTCGCTCGCACGTACCAGGTTCCAGAAGAGTATGTTGAGGAGCCCCGGCCAGTCGACGCCGCTGACGTCAGCGCGGAACCAGCGCTCGACGTGGACCTTTGGGAGCGAGAGGACGGCCATGAGGACGAAGGGGAGGAGCGTGATCGTCGCGAGGGTGATGGCGGTGGTGCCGACGACGGAGAGGCCGCGGAAGTTGAGGGCCGTGAGGGCGGTGGTGGTGAGGCCCAGGAAAGCGACGCGGGGGAGTCCGGACGCGAGCGCGGGGAAGACCGTCTCGATGTACGCGAGCATGAGGACCGGGTAGATCGCGTTGTCCGTCACGCCGCTCGTCCACTTCCAGAAACCCTGCTCAGAAGAAGAAGAAGAAGTACGACGGATTCGCGATTGACAAAGATGAAACCGATCTTTGTTTCAACAAGGAATACCGGACAACCGAACGCGATGCTGCGGTGACTGCGTGCGATTCCGAGCGGGACCCATCTCGTCCGCACGAGCTCGAGGATCTGTGTTGCATCCTGCATGTTGGTTGTATCAATATGCACGAGTGGTGTGGCGCACCTCGAGGAAGCCCCAGAAGGGTCCGTAGGCCGCGGTGACCCAGGCGACGAATCCGCAGGCCTCCGGGAACGCCGTGGCGAGCTCGGCCGTGACGAGCGCCTCGGGGACGGACCTGTGCGGGCAGGGGGCAGCGCCGCCGCGGCGTCAACACGGTGCGAAGCGGCGGCGGCGCCAGCGCTGCTGGCTCGAGCCAAGAGGAGGAGGAGGCTCGGCCACTGCCGACGCACGTGCAAGCGATCGGTCTGCGGTAGCCTTGGCACAGGAGGCACCGTCCAGGGCTGGTGTGCAGCTGGAGAGGACGATGTGTGGGCAGGATGGCCGCACACGCGCTGAGGCGCCGGCGCTCAGCAGCGGCAGGGACGCGCGCCTCTTCCGCAAGGATGGGCTCGAGAAAGGGCGCGCGTCGCGCCCGATACAGAGCGCCGGCACGTCAGCGCGCCTGCGCAGCTACCTCGAAACAGCACGTGTACAAAAACGCGGCAATGCGACCAATGAAATGCTCTGAGCGGGCAACGGTTGATACGGCAGAGCCCTCAGGACGTCACTGAGCGTGGGCGTATCGCCCCAGCTGTGTCGACGCCGCCGCCACTTCTGCCTCGCGGGGACGTGGGTGCGTTGAAGAACCCGGCAGACAGGTCCAGTGCCGCGAACGTCTGCGCACCGCGGAGGGGTCCAGGCACTCCTGCGTCTTCTCGGGGTGGCAGCGCTCGCGCCGGCGCGTTGACCGCGGTAATCCACCGTCAGACGCCAGTACTTGTCCAGCGGAGTGTCGTGAGCTCCTGGCCCGTCCGCGAGAAGCCGCGAACGGGGTAGAGGAGCCCACGACACTCAGCTCGACAAATACTGGCGCCTAACGGTGGATTACCACAGCAAACACGCCGGCGCGAGCGCTGCCACCCCCAGACGATGGCGACGACGTAGGCGTGCCTGACCCGCCTCCCGGTGGCAAGATATCCACGGCCTGGACCTATCTGCCGGCTTCTTCAACGCTCCCGTGCCCCCCGCGAGGCAGGATCAACGGCGAAGTCGACACCGCGGGGGCAATAGGTCTACGTGGCGACGCCTCAAAGGCTCTGTGTTGCTGTGACGTGCATGTCTGTTGAATGTCCGCGTGGGCTTGCTCCCGCTGCCGTGTGAGGCGGAGCGGAGCAGCGGCGCTCGCGGTGTGCGGAAAGGGGGCGCACCAGACCATAGGAAGCACGATGAACGAGCAGATAGTGATTAGAGGAGTGCCGAGCTTCAGGGACTCCTCGGTTCCGAACGGGCCGCCGGAGACGCTGTAGAAGATCAGCGCCACCAGCGCAAGCGTTCCGAGCGGCCGTGAGCGCCGCGAGTTGCCCTTGACGGACCCGGAGGCGCTCGCTTCGCGGCCGCTGAGCTCGGGGTGGAGCCCTGATGGACCCGCAGGGACCGCAGGGTCCCCCATTTTGCCGTGCGGAACTTCCGAGAACTTCGAGGACTGCACGGAGCGGACATTGAGGTCGATATCGATCGCGGACACGCACAGGAGAAGCGGACGGGCGTCTCTTTCTGCACAGAGTTGCTTCGTGCCGTGCCCTGGGGCGCTACAGGGGGGTGCTGGGCGAGCATATGGTGCGAGTGCAAGATACAGTGCCAGATGGTTTTACCTCTGCGTTCTGTTCGAGCCTGAGTCAAGCCAGTGAGCGCAGCGCAGGCTCCCAAGGAGCCTCACGCCACCCCGCGCCACGCCATCTCCGCGAGCGCACGTCCCGTGACAAATCTGCCGCAAGTCTGCTCTCATTCAACGCACGAGCACGCTCGCGTCCCAAAGACCCCGCGAACGCCCCCGACCCGCCCGCGCGACCCCCCTTGGTACAACGACGCACTACCATCAGCCCCCCCCCCTCCGCCGCAACCCCCAACGCAAAGCGCGCACCACCCACACGGCACGAACCACACCAACGCGAGGAAGCACCGCAGCGCGCCAATCACATCGCACGTCCACCTCGCACGAGCAGCGTCACATCGGGCCCGCGCGTCACGTGGCCTTGGTGCGCGAGTACAGCAGCGTGTCCCGCGTGATCGGCATGTACACCATGTGGTACACCGACGCGTACAGCCCGTACAACACCAGCACGAAGGCCCCGTAGGCGATCGCGCGCTTGACCCACTCGTCCGCCGTCAAGCCCTCCTCCTTCTTGCCCTTCCCGCCGCCCCCGTCGTCATCGTCGTCCGCGTCGCCCTGCGCCGCGCGCCGCCACCGCAGCAGCGCGCCGGTGTCGGCGCCGACGTCGGGTGCGGCGTCGGTCGCGACGAGCACGGCTGCGGCGGGGTCCGCGGCGCGCAGGGCGGCGCCGATCGCGGCGGAGAGGGCCGCCTGCGCGCCCGCTGCCTGCTCGGCGGTGACTTCTGGGTCCGCGCGGATCGCCTGCGAGACGAAGAGTGAAGAGTGGTTTCGTGATTGGGGCTTCTCGACTGCCGGTGACTCGGCAGGGCGTGGCTGTGCTCGGGGGCGGCGGGGCCGCGTGTGCGGTGGGTTTCGCGGCGCGTACGCGCCGCGGAAGGTGGTGGATGCTGTGGTGCGGCGGAAGACATGGTTTCTTGATTGGTGGCGCCGCGGTAGTACCTGGAGGGAGACCAGGGTGCCGCGGAGCACCGCGGGGCGCTCCGGCCGGCGCGCAGCAGCGCGGTCGGCGCCCGCGACGAGCGCAGCGATCTCTGCGAGCAGCAGCTGCGTCGCAGGGCGATCCGTGTCCAGCTGCGCGTCGTTCGGGAGGCCGAGAGTGGCGCTGTCCGCCGCGTAGGCGAGGCCGGGGACGCGGGCGGCGGTCTCGGCAACGAGGTCGGTCAGGCAGCTGCCCGTGCAGCGCTTGAGCAGGCCCATGTCGACCGAGATGCGCGCGGCACCTGCGAAATAGAAACGCACACATTGAAGAGAGCTCGATGGAGCGGCCCGGGGAGGGACTGCGCGGTCTTGCGGCGCAGGGGAAGGCGGCGAGAGGCTGGAGCGATGTGGGAGATGCGAGAAAGGGGGAGATATTGTAGGACGAGGGCGCAGGGGCCGTGCTTGCCTTGGGAGGCTCTGCTGAGGCCCAGCGCAGCCCGCGTGGCGTCGAGACGGTCCATCTCGAGCGCGCGCCCCTCCACGTCGATCCCGTCGAAGACGCCGGGGCCAGCCCCCAGCACCTGCAGCCCGAACACCGCCCGAGGCACCGCCCCACCCACTGCCGCATCCAACGTCACGGCCTTCGCCACCTGCACCGCGCGCAAACCGGTTCAACAACCACGTCGGAACCTCCTCCGACTAGAGAGCGACAAGCACGTAGGAACGTCGCTGCGGAAACGCGCTCAGAGCGCACGCAGGGCCGCCCCGCACCTCGTGTGCTTCCACAGAGAGCGCGTCGAGGCCCGATGCCCGGCCGAGCAGCACCGACAGCACCCCGCCGAGGCCCTCGAACGAGATCCGCTCCATTCCGCGAGCGTCGATCGCCCCCGAGCCCCCGTCCGCGAGCCACGCACCCTGCCACGCCTCAGCGCCCGTCCCCACCACTGCAAGCAACACGGCCGCGGCCGCCAGCACGCGCATCATCGCTGCATCCACGCCCGAAGCTGCAACACCAGGCGCCGAAGCGGCTACTCTGCCGCCGCGCCGCAGCCGCGACGTCCCCTCGAGGCCCGCTGCGCGAATGACTTGTAAACACCCCTGGTGGTGTTGAGGACACCCCCCCCCCCGCACGACGCCCTTGCAGGACGGCGAGGGCGTGGGCGGCGGGCGCGGCCTGCTGCGCGCCGCCGCGCCGTTCTACTGCGAGCGACCTCGCGCGTCACGTATGATTGAAAGAGCACGACGCAAGATATGATTGCAAGACTCGCGGCGCGCCGACGAGAAGCGGAGCCTCACACGCGCCGCGCACGTCACGACGGCATCGACGGTATCCGTATCGACGGCAGCGCCGAGCTCGCCTGCGACGTCATCGTGCCGCCCGGCACACCCCCCGCCGCCGCCGCCGCCCGCTGCTGCCTGCTCAGGTGCTCCTTCGCGTTCACCTTCATGAACAGCAGCCGCAGCACGCGCTCCCGCTCCTCCCACGACAGCTTCGCGATGTCCACGCGCGACGGCGAGCTCTCCAGCGCGCTCCCGGCCCTGCTACCTGGCGCCGACTTCTCGCTGCCCCGCGATGAGCCGCCCCACGGCCCGCCGCCGCCGCCCAGCGCCCCGCTCGACCGCTCCGCGTCCATCTCGCGCCGGATCTGGCTCAGGCTCGACAGCAGGAACGCCTCCACGTCGCCGCGCTGCGCCAGCACCTCCTGCGCCAGCGCACGCACACTGGCAGCGTCCTCCTCCGCGGCGCGCATCCGCATCTGCATCGAGTCCAGCTCGCGCCGCAGAGCCTCCTCGCGCTCCCGCGCCTCGGACTCCAGCCGCGCCTGGCCCCGCGTCGCCGCGTCCGCCAGCTGCGCCAGCCGCGACTCCGCGTCCTTCAGCGCGGCCTCCGCCTCGCGCAGCTCGCGCGCCTGGCTCGAACGCGCCTGCAGCTAGCACCCACGGACCGAGCACCGTCACGCAGGGGGGAATCCGAGGGCTTCCGACCACGGTGCAACAAAACGGTTGGGCACGACAGCGAAGCTGCATTCCACGTCCGCTCGCAACGGGGCGCAGTAGCGCCGCAGCTGGCGCCCCACGGGCGCCGTGAGCCCAGCTGCGGCAGCGGCGCCGCGAGCTGCGCACCTTGGCCTCCTGCGACGCGAGGTCGTTGCGCAGCTGCATGTCGCTAGCGAGCCTGTCGCGCTCGGCCTCGAGGTCCTCGCAGCGGTCCCGGAGGTCGTCCGCCGCGTCCTGGCACGCCTCGAGCTCCTTCCGGAGCATCTCGTTCTGGTTCAGGACGCCCAGGACGCGCGCGGAGAGCCGCTCGTCCAGCTTGCTCTGCAGCTCCCGCACCGTCTCGTCCATCTTCGCCTCGTAGTCCGCCTTCATCGACAGGTTCTGGCGAATGTACTTGCGCTCCAGCTTCATCCCCTGCTGCAGCCGGTTGTTCCGCTCCTGCGTCAGCTCCGCCTCGAGCTCCGCCACGCGTCGCACCAGGCCGTCGCGCTCCGCCCCGAACCCCTCCAGCTCCTGAATCGTCGCCTTCAGCTCCTCCACCTGCCGGATAATCTTCGACATCTCCAGCCCGTGCTTCCGCTCCAGCCGTTCGCGCTCCTTGCGCCCCTCCTCCGCCACGCGGGTCTGGCTCTCGGCGGCCTCGCGCTCCCTCTCGCGCACCACGCGCTCCAACTCCGCTATCCGCTTCTCCTGCGCGTACCTCGCGATCGTCGCCGGCGACGTTCGCGCCGGAACGCGCGCGCGAGGCGGCGCGACCATGCACGCTGCGCGTGGGACGCACAGGGCTGCGCGCGGGGCCTGGGAAGGCCCGTCCGCACCTTTTCCTGGTTGTCGTGGTGGAGGTACTCGAGGACGTCGTACTGCTCGTCCAGGTCCGCCTCGTGGCTCGTCTGCAGCTTGGAGTGCTCCTCCCGCAGCTCAAAGAGCTTCGACTTGGCCTGCTGGAGCGCCTGCCGCTTCCGCTGGTTCTCGATCAGTATTTGGAGCTGCACGCAAGCGACACGCCGCCGTCCAGGGGGTCGGGGACGGAACATCCGGGCCGACGAGCGCTCCACTCGTCGGTGCAGCGCCGCGAGAGCCTCTCGCCGTCGTTTGCTCCGCCGGCGGGCGGCGCAGCGGCGCACGAATCACGTCGGCGACGTCGCGCGTCGACGTGAAGCACGGAAACGTGCGACAGCCGCGGCTGTTCGGCGTCCCGGCGCTGCTACGTGGCACAATCCTCACCTGTGTCGAAGTGAGCGCTCCCGCGTCCGCAACCAGGACGTCGGGGTCGAGCGGGTGGCCCTTCAGGGGAACGTCCGGCATCTCCGACAGCATCACCATGTTTCGCCGATCCAGCACGCGCCCCTTCCCACCGCGCCCGCCCTTGCGCCCCCGCAGCGACGACATGCTGTCCCCGCGCCCGCCTCCTCAGCGCGCCCGCGCAGGCGTGATCGCCCCCAGCCCCTTCCTACTACCCCTCAAGCCCCGTGGAAAAGCGTCTGGGCCGCCGTAGCCCCGCTGCCGGTCGCGGGGGCGCGAAAGAGGCCACGAGGCAGCAGTCGGGCTTCGAACTACGCCGGAGGCCTGCGCGCAGCGCCACCGCCTGTCCTCAGAGACAGCGCCCGCGCACGAACTCCCTCGATACCTCGCCGCGCGCAACATCTGCTGCGACCACGACGCCCCGTCCGCCGAAGAAAATGCGCGGGAGAGCGCGGCCGCGACGCGCTGACGTCAGGCCCGCGTCAGCCGCCACGCACGTGCCGGACGCGGCCGAACGGCAGCGCGGCCCCTCGCCCGGCCTCCCGCCTGCCGTGCGAGCCGCTGCGAGCCCCTGCTGCGCCGCGGACAGACTCTTTACAGTCGGAGCCTCGCAACGCATCATGTTCCTGCACCACAGGGCGAAGACGACGTCCCGCGCGCCATCCCTGGCCGGCACGAACCACGGCGTGGCGGTGGTGGCGGGTGCGCAACAGAGGGAGCTGCAGCGTTTGTACTTCGCTGACCTACAAGCAGCGTGCTGTTTGAGAGACCGCCGACTTGTGAGTGAATCACACGGACCTGCGCTACCACTTCGTCTTCGTGCGTGCATGCTTACGATCTCTGCGTGCCCGAGGGCGTCCCGTTCTACCCAGCCAACCCCCCCTCTTATCGCAGCACTCCCCACGGAGGTTGCTGCGCACCAGGTACAAGCGGCATGAGCCAAACCGACGCCCCGCAATCATGCACCCGCGCCCCTGCGCGCTCTCGCGCGCGGCGACGCGTCAAAACCCCCCTCACGTCAGTACTGGTCGTACTGGTTGTACCCCGCGGCCTCGAGCGCCTCGGCGGCGGCGCTGAGGTGCGGGCGCACGTCGTCGCAGTCCTTGAGCGCCTCGAGGTACGGCACGAGCTCGAGCAGCTCGCAGTCGTCCGGGTCGTCGATAAACGTCGTGATGGGCACCGCGTTCTCCGGCTGGAAGGCGTACGAGTGCGGGGAGTTGTCGATGATGATGACGGACGCCAGGTCGCGCCCGAGCGCGTCCAGGTCCTTGACGTAGTTCCCTGCAACGCACGCGCGGCGCACCGACGGAGCGGTGAGCTTCTCGTCGCAGGGCGTCCTCTTTACTCCCCCCCCCCTTCCCCCGGTGCCAGCAGCCCCTTCTGCGACCCGGGGGGTTCGTGTATCGCCGCGGGCGCGGCGTGCGCACCTTCGTACGGCGCGCAGTCCTCCCGGAAGAGCCGCCAGCGCACGAGCTGCTGGGTGTCGAGGAGGTCGAGGAGGGGGTCCGCGTACTTGGCGAGCGAGGCCGTGAACACGACGATCTCGAAGCACTTGGCCATGCGCTCCATGAACTGGTCGAGGTGCGGCCGTTTCAGGACGTACACGTCGAGCACGTGCCCCTCGATTTCTACTGGAATGATGTAGTCGGGGTTGGGCACGGGCTTGAACGACGAGTGCACGAGCGTCTCGTCCAGGTCGAGCACGAGGCACTTCTTGCCGCGGTCGGCCTCGCACTGCGTCGACCGGGGGGGGGGTCGCGGCGCAGGTGGTGAGGTGCGGCGAGCGTCGCGCGCCGCGGGGGCGCGGGCGCCTCTTCTTGTGAGAGGCGGGGCGCGCGGGGCGAGGGCTGCGGGTCTGGAGCGGTTCGAGGCCGTGGAGCGGACGCGTCGCGCAGATGCGTGGCTGTCGCCGCGACAGCCACGCGGGGGGGTGGGCGTGGGCCTGTTGCCCGGGCCGCGGAGGGGGGCCGCGGGGCTGACTTCGGGCACGCAGGAGGGTCGCGGAGCGCGACGTTCCGGGCGACGCGCACCTGCGGGCCGATGATGAGGCGTTCGGTGGCGGGGCGCAGGTGCGTCATGGGGGCGCGTCCCGGCGCCGGCGACAGCGCAGCGGACGGCGTCGGCGCCTCATACTGGGCGGGGCGGTCCGAGTCCTCGGGACGCAGCACCTGCGGTGCGGACGGAGCGGCCGCGAGGGTGATTCTCAGCGCAGGATCTACAGCAGGGGCGGGGTGTGCGCGGGCCGCTGCGGCGCGGTCCGTGGGCGCGCATCGCGCCAGGCGCAGCTCACGCGAGGCGCGCGCGCGCGGCGGCGGTTTCGCGGCAGCCTGGCGCAAAGGCGCGGGCCCTGGCTTTCGGCAGTTGAAGATAGGCGCGTGCTGGGCCGGGGGGGGCAGCGCACCTGCGCTTCGGTGTCCGTTCCGCCGCTGCGCATCGCGAGCCGCTGGGCGTGCGCGGCGGCGGGATTCAGCGTCGTCAGCGGCGTCGCGGGGGGGTGGTCGGGCGTGAGCGGGTACGCAGGCGATGACCGCGCCGGGCCGCAGCACAGGGCGGCCCGCAGACGCGCAGACCAGCCCCGCGGCTTCGCAGCCTTCTGGCTCGCAGGGGAGTACACCGGGTACCGTCGGCGCGGGGGCTGCTGCGGCGTGACAGGCGCATCCACCTGCAGGGGGGAACCGCAGGGGAACGGGCCGTCAGGGAATGTAGGGGGGCCGAGGGGGGCTGTGATGCGGCGTGCGGCCTGGGAAGGATCTGGGGGAGGCGCTGCGGGCGGCTTTTCGCGCGGAAAGGCGCTGTGCGTGCGCGGGAGCGCGAGATGGACTCCATGCTGCATCGGCCCCGCGAGGGGCCGCGCGCGTGGCTCGCGGCGCGGCCGGGGCGGTTGCGCGCGCGCGGCGGCGTGTTTGAAATATGGGGGGCGGCTCGGGGGCGGAAGCGGGCAGGTTCGCGCCTGTGCGACCGCGCGGCGGAAAGCTTCCTCTCGGAGCCGCTGCTCAGGCGTCATGCCGGCGACCGTGTCCTCCGAGTCGTTGCCGTTCACCACGGTCGGCCGGTCCAGCAGCTTCCCTCCCTGGTCCGCTGGCGCAGCGTACACCTCGGCGTCTAGTTCGGTCATCGTCGAGCCCGCACAGCCTGCGTGCAGACCAGATCAGCTCGCCCCGCGCGTACGCTCCCCGGCTGGACCAGGGGGACCGGGGCCTGCAGAGTCCACGTCGGGAGCCGCAGGCGGGATGCAGGGACCGTTCCGGAACTCGTTGGCAGTGTCAGGAACCCGCTAGTAGCTGCGCGCAGGGATGACCGGCCAAAGCGGGCGCTGTGCGCTGGCCCGGCTACGTGCGCACAGCCGAGGGCGAGGACGGGCTCGGCCTCCGTCGCGGGGCACTGTGAGCGGTATCGGCGGGGCGTTCCACGGGTAGCTGGACGCGCTGGCTCCGCGCCAAAGCCAACTGAGCCCGGGCTCGGGAAATGGGCGCCGTAATGGTGCGCTGCTCGACCAGTTGGTTGCCGCGTAATGTGGCTCGCGAACGCGCGCGGTCGCGCCCGATGTCGCACCCGGACGACGAGCTCGCGGCCCCTCGCGTACAACTGCCCGACTCGGCGGAAACGCGCTCCCTGCTCGCCGGCCCGCGACGACGGAGTGCTCGCGTACCTCGAGCCCGCAATTTCTCACAGATCCCCAACGCGCGACGCGACGGCGACGGCATCCGCGCAACAACCCGACCGCGCCGCGCAGCAACTCCTTCCGGCAAACAGAGCACACGTCGACTCGGGGCCGCCCGCAGCCCGCCCCGATGCGACCGCACCGCGTCCGCCTCAGGAGCGCCCCGCGAACCCGGACTCCCCACCGCCTGCGCATCGCTGCGTTCGATCACAGCCCCTTCATCACACACGCCGCACCGCTCGTGCTCGCGCCGAGCTGTTGGCGGCGCTTCGTCACGCGGCGCCGCCGCGCTGCCTCCGGTGTCGCGCCGCCTGCTGCGGTCGTCGTCGCGGCGGCTGCGCAAGGCCCCGCGGACCGCCGTCGGGCTTGACCGTGTGCGCTATGTCAACGGCGCCGTCGGGGGCGGGCGGCGGTCCCACGCCGACGATCCGCCGCGCCGACACGTGCGGCATCATTGCGGCCTTCGCTCTGCCGCAGAAAATTGCGCGCGCGTGGTGCGGCAGGTGGAAGCAGCCCTGAAGGTGTTCTGTGCACCACCACCTCGGTGCTGCTGCCGCAGCGCCGCCGGTGCAGTGGTATCCGGCGGGGAACCCGCGCCCTTGGACTGGCGCGTCGCGCGACGCGCGCGATCAAGCAGCCACGGCCGCCCCAGCTGTAACAACGCGCAAGTGTCCTCACCTCGTGACACACGAGGCCTGTCCCGCCGCCGCACGGTCACGGGTTCCAGCATACGGCGCCCCACGACCCAGGCACGATCGCCGCGACAGCGAATCCGCCCGCGATCCGTTCGAGCGCCGCCACGGCAGGCGCCGCATCGCCTGCTGCAGCCTGCCGTCACCCATTGCGCCTCGCCCCGGCGCGGCACGCCCGGAAACCATGCGTGGGACTTTCCCGGCCTGCTGTGCGCCGAGCACGGCGTCGACTCATTGCGGCTCTCCCGCGGCGCGCACCCCGTGCGTGCGGCGCGAATTGTCCCCCCGGGCCCCTGCATGGCGCATTGTGCTACTTTGGCCCGCCGCGCGGCGCGGTCGCGGTGTTTGGGAGGTCGGCTGCACCGGCTGGTGTCGCGCGGAACGTGGGTTTGCTGCAGGCGCGGAACGGCGCTGGCGCGCGCACAGGAGAGCCGCGGGGCGCGGGGTGGGAAGAAGAAGTGCGCAAAGGATGGGAAAAGACTATTACGCGGTGCTGGGAGTAGGCAGGGATGCGGACGAGAACGAGCTGAAGAAGGCATACCGCAAGCTCGCGATGAAGTGGCACCCGGTGCGTCCTCGTGCCCGCGCGAGCACGAAACCGACCCCTAGTGGCCAAGAGCTTGAGAAGCGCCTTGGCGGGCAGCGCCGAAGGTCTAGTTCCTTCGACATCGTCCAGCCGGCTGTGCGCGCCGCGTGCGACGCCATCCGCGGCCGCGCTCGGCGCACGCGTCAGCTCGACTTTTCGGCCGCGGAATGCGCGAGCGCCGGGGTCTCGGCGCCGCGTCAGCGCCCCGCGCGGCGCGCCCGAAGCGGCCAGGCGGGGCGCCTGGCCGCTCCCAGCGCCCCCGCCGCCCACGCCGCGCGCCCACGGCCCCACGCGAGCCCCGCGACCCCCACGACCCGGCCCCGCCGCCCGGGCACCCACATCGCGGCCGGCCGCGCGCCGCGGCGCTCTGGCAGCGTCACCAGCGCGCTTCCCGAGACGACCCGCCCCCGCCGCGCCGCGACCGGAATCCGCCGTCCGCGCGCCGCAGGACAAGAACCCAGACCGCAAGGAGGAGGCGGAGAGGAAGTTCAAGGACATATCCGTCGCATACGAGGTGCTTTCTGACCCAGAGAAGAAGCGCATCTACGACCAATTCGGGGAGGAGGGCCTCAACAGCGGGATGGGCGGGGGCGGCGGAGGGGGCGGGATGGGCGGCATGGGCGGGTTCCGGTCGCCGGAGGAGCTCTTCGCGGCCATGTTCGGCGGCGGCGGCTTCGGAGGGTTTGGCGGCATGGATGACGACATGGGGGGCATGGGCGGGATGCCGTTCGGGTTTGGGGGCATGGGGGGCATGGGGGGCGCACGGAGGTACGACGCACGACGGGTCCGCGCGCCGCCCGGGCGCGCGCGGCGCGGCGGGGCTTGCTAGCGTACACAATGCGGGGGGTCCGAAACCTCGCGGCCCGAAACTCCGCGGCGTGCTGTGCAGGGCGCCAAGGAAGCCGCCTCCGGTGGAGCAGCCGCTGCCGTGCACGCTCGAGGAGCTGTACACGGGCGCGAACCGGCGGTTGAAGATTACGCGCAAGGTGAACGGCATGCCCACCTCGGACGTGCTGGAGATCGCGGTGAAGCCCGGGTGGAAGGCCGGGACGCGGATCACGTTCCCGGACAAGGGCGGCGACTCGCACCACGGCCGGCCGGCGGCGGACCTCGTTTTTACCATCCAGGAGAAACCGAACAGCAGCTTCCGGCGGGACGGCAACGACCTGGTTTATACCTCGCGGATCCCGCTCGCGGACGCGCTGACAGGTGCGTGCGGCCGCGGCCGGCCCCGCGTCGCGTTCTTGGCTCTCGGGCCGACGTGGCGGATGGGGATTGGTGGTGGTTTGCGCGGCGTGAGTTGGTTGCGCGTTGACGGGCGTTGTGCGCGCAGGGTTCGTGCTGCGGATCCCGCACATCAGCGGGCAGCTGCTCGAGATCCCCGTGAACGACGTGGTGGCGCCCGGGGCGGTTCGGGTGCTTCCGAAGAAGGGAATGCCTATTTCAAAGTCGCCAGGAGACTTCGGGAATCTCCGCGTGGAGTTCCAGGTCATTTTCCCCACGTACCTCAGCGACGCCCAGAAACAGGCCATCCGAGGAACGCTGTCGTCGAGTTAGCGCCCTGCCGCGGTGCCGCACCGTTGCCACCTAGAGCTTGTGCTGCGCGCCCCGGAGCTCTCTCTTGTTGACCCCCCCCCCTCCACAACCTCCGTTCCGGCACGCTCTTAACGCACCCGCCACCTCCGAGCACGCTCCCCGCCGTCCGCCGTACCCCGTCCGCACCCGCCGTCCCCCCGCTATGCCCGAACGCCTCTGTACGTCAGGGGGGTGTCTTTTGGAAATACACCCCGTGCTTCTACCGCTGGGCGCCGCCCGGGACCTCGGCCCGGCCTGCGGCCTCGTTCCGCCGCGGGCCCCGTCCACAGATAGTAGACAGAGATTGATTAGGGAACATGAATGAAAGAATGAATGTCACCTCTTCCAATCTAGTCGGCCGGACCCCACGACCATCCGGTGGGGCGCGAGCCGCGCGGGGAGTGCGCTGCGCGCTCGCAATTCGCGCAGCGGGACTCCTATGTGACCACGAGCACACATCGTGCGCCGCTGGCGACCGCGAACAGCACGCGGCACCTGCACCGCGCCCGAGCAGCGCTGGGGCACGCGCGCGCCGCGAAAGGAAGAGCGGAACGCCGATCGGACCTGGACCTCGGGCTCGCTGTGGCGCGGCGGCGCCGCCGTCTGCGCCGGACCACGTCGCAAAGCAGGCGGGGGGGGAGTGACGGAAGGTCCCCCCTACTTTGAAGGGGTGTATGAGCGCCGTGGCAGGCGTCATGTGCGGCGGCTCCACCGGGCCGGGGCACGATGAGCGGGCGGCGTCGGCGCGTGTAGCTGCTTGGTGCTGTCAGGAGGATAGAAAGCCTCGTAGGCTGCCGTAGAGCGAGGAGGCGGTTAGCAGGACCCGGCCGCTCAGTCTGTGGCTTGCGTGCTCCTCGCAGGCGGGCTGGATACTGTAGTTGACGTGTTTCTGGACTCCGGCGACGGTGTTTGTGGCGCGGTGTGCGCTGGTTCCGGGTGTCTACAGCGCCTGCAAGCATCAGGAGCGCGGAAGTCGTGAATTCTCGACTCCGAACGGAGCCGTCATGCCTGGTGGCGCGACGCCGCGGAGCCCTCGGCCCGATGCGGCGGCCGAGGGCCCCGAATCGGCCGCGAAGAAGGCCGAGTGGCTCCGCACGCGGCAGGTTCTTGCACAGCGAGAGCGCGCGCTCGAGTCGGCTGCGCGTGTCCGCGCAACAGGCGGGCTGGAAGCCGAGCTCCGCCCCCTCGGACAGGCAAGCACCACCGTGTCCCTCCGCACGCCGCACCTCGGCGCGAAACCGGCGCGCTCGCGGCCAGAATGCGCCCTCGCGCGCCTGCTGTGCACCGCAGCGTTTGAGCACGCGGCCACGCGTCAGACCGCTGCAGCGCCCCTCCAAGCTCTTCCGCGCACCTCGCGGACGCATACCGGCGCAAACAATCGACGTTTCGCGGAAAACGCGCGCAGGAGGCGCTGAGGCTCGAGAACGAGCGGGAATGCCTGTCCACGCAGCTTGTCGCGAGTCTCCACGAGGCCCAGACGCTCCTGGCGCGCATGTGCGGCCTCCTCGACGACGTCCAGCCAGGCGACCGCTACATCGACCAGCTCGCGCGCGTCATGAGCGCCGGAGAGGCCGCCATTGCGGGCACCAAGGCCGAACAGCGGCGCGAGTTCGACCTCCTGATGCGCCAGGAGCGCGCCCTGGACCGCGAGCTCGAGCTCTTCGTGCAGCGAAGCACCGGGCCCGCGTGGGACACCGCGCCGCCCGTGCCCGCGCGCGCTGCGTCGCCGCGGGGACCCCCCCGGCTCGCTGCAGCGCAGCCTGACTCAGCCGAGGCGGGGGGGTTGCACCCTGACGTGGCGGCGTACGAGGCGTTCGAGGAGAAGCACGGGCCGCTCGGCGGGTGGCATCCGGACGACCACGCGCAGTGGTGTGCGATTCTGAAGGCCTGCGGTCAGGAGTATGACACGGCGGTGGAGGTGGCGGTGGGGCGGCTGGCGGGGGTGTCCCGGGACGCCGTCGTGGCGCACGCGCGGTGGCACGCGGAGCACGAGGACCTGTCGTACCGGAAACGCCACGCGCTGCAGCTGTGGCGCATTCGGAGGATCGAGGAGGTGCGGGAGACTCGAATTCGAGACTTGCGAGCCGTGCTTGCGTGCCGACCCCGCGGCGGGCGCCGCCGCGGCGCCGCGGGAGCGATGGCGTGTATTTATTTATCTGATCCGCGGCGCTCGTTGACGCTCGTGTGCGCGCAGAAGGAGGCGCGCGCCGCCGCGGACGAGGCCGCCGCGGCGAAACCGGCCCTCTCCGGCACCGCAGCGGCCAGCGCGCTCGAGGAACAGGAGCGCCGCGCCCTCGAAAAAGCCGCCGTGCGCGAGTGGCGTGCGCAGCAGCGCGCAGAGGCGGTACGAGCCCACCGCACGCAAACACGTGTACCTGCCACACAACCGCCCGACACCCCCGCGTCTGCGCCCCGGCCGACGCGCGCGACTCCGATTCGTCTGCGCAGGAGGAGCGCGCGCGCGCGGCGCGCGAGGCCGAGCGGCGGCGCCGGCGCGAGGAGGCCGAGCGTCTCCGCGAACGTCAGCATTCGAATCAGCGGCTCCTCGAGGCCGCAGCAGCGGAGCGCGCCGCGCGGGCGCGCGCGGAGCGGGCGGCGCGCGTCGCCGCGGGCGACGTCGGCGAGGCGGCGGACTCCCCCCCGCGGCCCGCGACAGCCCCGGAGGTGTTATTGAAACGCCACCGTGAGAACATCAACCGCGCGCTGCGGCGGCGCGAGCAGGTGGAGGGTCTGCGCGGGCCGTCGCTCGGCGAGCGGCTGGAGAAGCAGCGAGCGGAGATGGGGCCGCGGGTGGAGGCGAAGCGGGACAGCGCGCGAGTGCTGCGGCCGACGTCGGCGGCGACGGCGCGCAGGGAGGCCGGACGCGAGGCGGTGACCGTGGGGAACATCCGGCACGTGCAGCACCGGATCGTGCCGGCGTGGCGGCAGAAGGCGTGGTAGGGTCGCGGCGTGATGTGATGGGGAAGTTCGCGCGCAGCGGTGAATAGGATTTGGAGTCTGCTGGACAACGCAACAGATATGACCGTGTGTCGGACTGACGGACAGGGGGCGGCGGAGGGCGGGGGCTGTGTGCGAGCAGGCGCCGTGGCCAGGGGCAGCAGCGGCGGGCGGTGGCGCGTGGTCCGCCTCCCTTGCAAGAAGGGTGCACCTGAAGCCCCGCGAAGCAGCACGCAACGGCATCAATCTTCGCTGCCGTGCTCGCTCCGTCCCCGGCGGCGAATGCCAGCCCGCACGGCCACAGACCCACGCGACCCGGGCCTCGTGCGTCCCGGGGCGTCCTCCACTGCCGTCGCCGCTCTCCGCCGCCGCCGCTCTCAATCCATGCGGCACTGAATCAACGCGACCCGCCGACTGTTGTTGGCAGATCTACAGGCATCGTCCGACCGCGAGGATGCTTGAGCGAGACTCACACAGCAGACAGGGTAGACAAAGTGAACCGTCGCGCATGTCACACACGTACCTGCTCGTCGGTGGGCCGGTTCGGGGAGGCACACAGCGTGCTGCGTGAGTCTCCGAGCAGCCCCAGGTGGCGGCGGTCCTCTGTGCTCATGTCCAGCAGCACGTGGACGTGTGCGGGTGATTTTTTCTTCCCACAAGGGCCTGACCTCTCCACCCGGTAGAACCGGACAGACCCCTGTCAGTCAGTCACGACGCTGCGTGTCGCCGTCAACATGCGCAGGCTGCGCCCAACGTTCTCATCTCGCGCAAGTCATCTCGTGACGGCACTGAGGAGGCTGGTTGCCGCGCTCGCCCTGGTGGGTACTGTGTGCTGCTCAGAGGCGTGCGGGAGGGCGATACCCATCGACGCAGATGGCGCAGGTGCGCGAGGTTGATCAGTTCACATCGTCTGCCACGTCATGAGGGGCAGAGCGAGGGCGCTGCGCTGGTAGGGCGCCTGCTTGTGCTGCAGGCGTGCGCACGGCCCAGCGCGGACCTGACATGCGTCTTCTTCCCGCTCAGTTTGTTATTCAATACTCTTGCACGCGAATCCCGCCACGGCGTATCGCGTTGTGACCGTGCGCGCACACAGGCGCCGTCGCAAGCACGCTCGGTAGCTCCCATCTCGGAGGGACGGTCCGCAGCCCGCGCCCAGCTTAACGCTGCAGAGAGACGGCGCCGCTAGCGTGCAGGGAGCTTGCGACGGTGCGGGGCGCCCCATGGAGGCGTCGGACGCCGAGGGCGCCGCTGCTGGGGGCCAGACAGCAGGTGCGCGCCGCGTCGCTTCCCACGCCTTATCACGGCCTCGCTGTGCGCCGATGTATTCTTCGTTCGTTGATTGATGCAAAGGGCGCCCGGCCCGGTCCTCCTCGCCGCCGCTGGCCGCGTGGCGGCGCATTGTCCGGTGGACTGCACGCGCTGACCCCTGGGCTGCCTACCGGACACTCCGCGTGCGGGAGATTTCTGCCCCAAACGCGGTTTTTTTTCGGCTGCTTGATATATTCTGAGGCCGCTGGGCGGCGCAGATCGTGTCCGACCCGCGACACCCCCCGCCCGAACGCGCGCCAGCACAGGGCGTCGGCGGGGAGCTGGGAGTTGGCCTGTGGGCCCGGACCTCGCGCGGAGGCGTTGCGGCTGACGCGGCGTGGCGTTTGTGTCCTCGGCGATGCGCAGGCGGGGCGAGCGAGGCGGCGGAAGGCGCAGGGCCGAGCCAGGCGCGCCCGGATCCTGCGGCAGGTGCGCAGCCCTCCCGCGTCGCGCTTGGGCGGCGCGGAGCGGTCGCTGACCGGCGAGGCGAACGACAGCTCTTCAAGCGTGTCCTGCAGAATCGGATTCGGCGTCATCCAGCGGCTACAGCACCCCCCGGGAGCTGTTCTACCCGCCAGAGCCTCCCGAAGTGGACGACCTCGGCCCGGCCGCTGCGGCGCTGTGGATTGTTCAGTACGCGAACGAGTGCATGGAACGCCAGGCGAAGTACTACGGCACCTGGAACATGGCCGAGCACATGGGCCCGATGGAGCACGTGCGCGCTCTTGGCCCGAAGTACGAGAGACCCCCCCGGCCCGGGCGGAGCGGGAAGCGGCGGGCCACCCGGGCCGAGGCGATCGCGAGGAAGTTGATGCGGCAGATGGAGGAGGAGGAGCGCGTACGCGACGAAATGCCGACGGGTGCACCACAGGGCTGCAGTGACGGCGGGGAGGGGCGTGACGAGGAGCCGGCGCGCGGGGCCGGGGGGCTGGGCCCAGAGCGCGCGTCAGGGCGAGAGGACACGTCCGGAGCCCGGCCGACGTGAGTCAGTGCGAGTCCCCCCGGGGGTGCTTCCACGCTGCTGCTTTCGCGCCGTCGTATAGGCACGGCCGCAGCGGCCCTTCGCAAACTTTGTGTGTTCGGAGGAGCGGGTGGAATCCGCGTCGGAGCGGTGGCGTCTGTGAGTTGTCGGGGGCGATGCGGCTGCGCGCGTTCACCGCTACGCCGACGCCGTTGTGGCACCGAGCTCTCCTTGGTCGATGCGACCTCCGGTTCGACGCGTTTGCAGATTGATAGTCCGTCACATGAAGTCGAAGTCGTCCCCGGCCCCCGCGTCGTCGTACCGGTCGTCGTCGAGCCCCGCGGTCGACCCCAAGTTGATCTTGTTGGCAAACTTCTTCCCGCCCTTCTTCGTGCCCGCCGCCTTCCGCTCCGCCTCCTCCTTCTCCTTCAGCTTCCGCACCTCCACGAGCTCCTTCTCCATGTCCTTCACCTCCACCAGCGTCATCTTGTCGATCATTTGCCGCATCAGCACCTTGCACAGCGCCTTGTAGTGCGCCCCGGGCTGCCCGTGCCACAGCAGCACGTGCTCCTTCGCGACGATCTCCCCCCACCGCTCGAAATCGCCCTTGCTCTTCGGAACGAACCCGTCCAGCTCGCTCTTGATCCCCGTGCCTGCAACGAAGAACAAGACGCGGGGGGGGGCGCGGACTCAGGGCCGCGGCAGCCGCCGTCTACTTCCGGGCGATACGGCGCGCGCCCGTGGGCGGCGGGGACAGGCGGGCGCGCACGCAACCCGTGCGGGCGCGATAGAAAACGTGCGGGCGGCACCGGCGACGTCGCCAGCGCTGGGTCGTGGCGCAGCTTGCTTTGCGATGAGGCAGGCACCGTCGCGCTGGCGCCCGCTTTCGCGAGGCACCGTGGGCGTCCGCGCGCCTGCCGACCGCTGGGCGAACAAGGGGAGAGCGCGCGCCACCGGGCAAGGGCGGGACGTCGCCGCCGGGGGGACGTGCGGCGGCGCTGCGGCACGGCACGGGTCGTGGTTGCGGCCCCGGAGACGGCGCCCCGAGGCGTGCTGCGCCGCAAGCACGACGACACACTCCAACGTGCAGGCGGAGACAAACGTGTTCCATTACGGCTCTGTGCGCGATGCGGGCGGCTGTTAGCTCGCGCACAGAGCCGTAATGAAAGACGTTGGTCTCCGCCTGCACGTGGCATGCATCGTCGTGCTCCGATCAAGCACGCCGTGGAGCTGAACCCCGCGACCCCAAACCAGTGCCATTTCGTGCCCCAGCGCCGCAGCTCCCGCGGCGGCGACGGACCCGACGCGCCCATCGGCAACCGCTGCCTCCGCTCCGCCCCAACGATCGGCGGCCAGCGCGCGCGTCGGCTCGCGCAGACGACATTCGCACCCGCGTCGCAGACGGTGCGCGCGGCGCCGCGCGGGGGGCCGGCGGCGTGTGCGGACGGCGGGCGCCGCGGCTGCCGATACTGCGTGGCGTAGGCGTGGAGGGGGCGTGCCTGCGAAGAGCTCCTGCGCCGCGCGGAGGTCGGCCTCCTCGACGCGCCGCTGCTGCCGCAGGCGCTCCGCCTCCGGGTCGTCCAGGGGGACGTCGTCCATGCCTATGTGCTCCTTCCCGGCGCCGATCTTCTTCTTGGCCTCGTTCTGCATCGGGACGTCGCGGCCGTGCCCCCGCAGTTCGCCACGCGCGAGATCATGCGCGAGCGTGCTACACAATGCGCGGATTCCGGCTGGTGAAGCCGTGGTGATGCGTGGAAGGCTGGTGGGCAGATGCTGGCGGGATGTGTGGTCCAGGGGCGGCTGGTTTTGGGTGACGGCGCCGCGTGCAGACGCGCCAGCGGGGCGGTACCTTGGGGCGCGAGGCAGGGGCTTGCGTCTGCCTCCCCGTGGGCTCCGCGCCGGACTCGTCCTCGTCCGCGAACTTCGAGGGGTCGTAAACCGCGGCCGCGAGCGCGGCCTGGCCCGCCGTCAAGCCATCGGCGTCTCCGCCGCCGGGCAGCTTCACCTGCAAACACGACGCTCGCGCTCGCGTTTCCGCTCGCGCTTTCGCGCAACGCACCACGCATTCCCTCCGCTGAAGCAAGAAAATCGAAATGCCGCCAGCCCAGCCGCGCGCAGACCCCACACGCGCCCTCGACGCGCCCCCCTCTCCTCGGCCCGCGCACCTGGAAGCTGTCGCTATCCCAGTCATCCTCCCAAGAGTCTCCCATGATCGCAGCCTCCCTCTTCGAACCAGGAGCGATGGAGTGGTTCCGTACACCGGCCTCGATACCCCTCAACGTGGGGATGACCGCCACTGGGTGCCATCAGGGGGGAATGTGCGTCGCGGACTCCGGTTGCTGACGTGGCTGGTGGCGCGCGGGCTCACGGGCCGCGCCCGCCGGGTCATGCCGGCAGTTCCGTCCCTTGCCGCGTGCATTTGTCTCGCGTTCGAGCCCCCCGAGCGACCCCCTGTGTCGCCGTGCCATAGGGGGTCGCAACGGGGCGCCGCGGGGCGATGGCTGACGCCGCGCCGCCGGCTCGGCCGTGCTGCCCGATGGGCATCGCGTGGGTCCGGGCTGGGCCCTGGGGAAGCGCACAGGGGCGATGCCGTGCACTCTTGATGCGGCACTGGTGGTCTTCGTTCCAGCTGGGTTGCGCGCAGCACACGCCGGCTGTGCCGTGCGCGTCCGGCGTGTGACGGTCTTCTGAATCCGTCTGCGTCGCCTCGTCGACGCCCTGGTTGCGTTCGGCGGCGTGGGCGGGGCCATAGCTCCTGCTGGGAGGGAAGGCCGAGGTTGGGCTCCTCGAAGTCTGCGGCGGCGCTGCTCGCGGGCGCGGACGAGGGCTAAGGACGGCGGTATCGTATCGTACGCGGCGGTCCCTTGAGCGCGCCCGGTACAGCCGGGAGAGCGACAGTCTGTTGTTTGTGCAGGTCGAGGGGCTCCGCCGCGGTCCTCGCCGGCACCGCTGTCGACGTTCTCCGCCTCGCCAGCAACTGTTCGTGCATCGCATTGCCTGGCAGCTGGAATACTCGGGGAACGCCGCACCCCGCGGTGCCTGGCGCGCTTCCCCTCTGTTGCGCTGGTTCCTGTTCGCCGAGGGCTTGATGTTCGCGCGCGCCGTCGGGCGTCATGCTCCGCGAGCAGCTCGGCCGTGATGTTTTACGCCTCAGCGAGAACGTCGTCGTCGAGACTGTTACAGATGTCCTCAAGGGCTGCGCTGCATGTTGCCCCTCAGGTGCGGACATCTGTGACCGTCTCCACGGCGACGCTGTCGCTGAGGCGTCAAACACCGCGCCTCACACGGCGTTAAGGCCGAGCTGCTCGCGGAGCATGACGCCCGACGGCGCGCGCAGCAAGGGTGACGCGCCCACGCGCCCTTCCGGTCAACGTCGAGGATGTTCGGGTGCGCGCGATCGCTGACGAGCGTCGGTCGCGTCCGCGCACCCCGCCCCGCGCCGCGCTGCTCAGCGCGGCCACCCCCTCCCCTCAACGACCCCAACCTGACATCCTCCTGCGTTGCAGATATGAGACGCTGCGCAGGCCCGCGCCAGGGCACGGACGCGGCGACTGACGGGCGCGGCTTCGCGAGCAACGAAGCGTTCCTAGACAGCGTCGACACCAGCACTGGCTCGTGCACGTGCGCCGGCGACGATGTTGTCGGCCCCCGAGGGGCGCACGAGCACGAGCCTGTGCCTTGTGTCTACGCTGGCCAGGAACGCTCGTTGCTCGCGGATCCGCGCACATGAGTCGCCACGTACGTGCCCTTGGGCGGGGGCCTGCAGCTGCAGGGCGGGCACTATGTGGACGCGCTCGTGGAGCTCGATCGCCCCTACCTTGTCGATTGCCCCTACCTTTTTGTGGCGCCCGGGGCCCGGGAAGGCCCAGACGGCCCACGGGCGCGGTGCATGCACGCGAGACAGGTCGGTCGGGCAGGGAGCGCGTCCACCGCATGTACAGGAGCGGTGGACAGCATGTCCAGGGCGAGTGGACGCCCTTGGGTGCCGCGTCGCTGTGAGAGACGGCGCACGTGCCGGCGCTACCGTGCGCTTTCATCCCCACATGGACATCGGGCTTTTGATGATAACCCCCCCAGTCGCACTGTCGCTGCTGCCTGGTCTTCCGGTCACACGGATGCGGGCGTGGTCACAGGAGTGGCGCCTCCGCGGAATGCGGACTGTGAGAACTGACCTGACTCCTGACACCCTCCACGTCGAGGCGGAGGGTGGCCTGCAGCGTCCACGCGGCCGTCAGTGTCCTGAAACCAGTCGGCCTTAGCCGGACCGACCAGATGCCGCGGCTGGCGCTTCGACGGCGCCGCCGACGGGCGCCCCCAGCTGGCGGACCTTCTCTGCGTAAAAGCGCTCCGGATCGTTCGGGAGCAAGGCCGGGGGTGTTTGCCCGACAGGCGCAGGCTACCCCTCGGCGCTGAGCCCGCCACGACGGCCGGTGCGCCTCGCTGGGGTGAGCGCGCTTAGCCAACGCCCGGACGGCGGCGCTGCGCACGTCGCTGACCGGCGCGAGCCCGCTTCGGGGCACGTGGAGCCGAGCGGGGGGCGGGAGGTTTCGCGAGGAACGGTCGAGCAGCAGGTGGGCTGCGGGACGGATGCGCGATGGGAGCTCGCAGCGACGTACAGCTGTAGCGAGGGAAGGTCCCAGGGACCTGCAAGCGGTCAGCGCGCAGGAGGAGTGATGCAGGAGATCAGGACATGTGTGACCGCGGGTCCGAGTCCGCTGACAGCGACCTCGTCTCGGCTCGCCGCCCGCCGCCCTGGTGCTGCCGGTGCGCTCGACGACGTACTCCACGGTATTCTCGGCGGTGCAACGGCGCAGTGTGGCGCACTTCTTTTTTAGCTTTGTAGCCGTGTTTCGCACATTGCGCATCATGGCAGAGAGCTCCGCGTAGACGCGTCTGCTCTCGAGTCTCGAACAAACCCAGAATCTGCACCGCACGGCGCTCGAGCACCCGCAATACCCACACCCCCGTTGCAGGGCTCCCGGTCACGTCCAGCTGTCAGTTCGACACTCCGCTTCAGCCCGGCCGCCGCACTCCATGACCTCCAGCGCACTTCTCGCAACCCCCACGCGCACGCCCGCGGACCAGCGACGCGACGAAACACCAACGTCGCTGCGACGACATCGCGCATGCGTCTACACTCCGTGTCAACGTCCCCCCCGCGGACCGTCTCTCGCCAGCGGCCGCCCGAGACCGTGACAGCGCGACAGACGCCGCCTCTGCTCACCCAGCCCGAGCTCGTGAGGCAACCTGCGCTCGCAGCAGAAGCAGTTGACCACACACAACAACCGACGCGCGGGTACGCTATCGTCCTGGTAAAAGACTCGCGCTCGGCGCAGCACCACATGCTCGTCTCACACCGCGCCCCTCTCGCACGCAGCATCACCGCAGGACGGTGTTGTACGAGCTGCAGTGCTGGCACTTGTGGTACACAAAGTGGAACGGCGCCTCGCCGTCGCGCTCGCAGTCCCGGCACCTGATCTTCTGCGTCTGGCCGGCGAACTGCTCCGGGAGTCTCTCGGCGGCCAGGATGGCGTCGATCATGTTGATGTAGAGCGACATGTCCAAGTGGACGCTCTTGCAGCACAGCGGGCACGTGTACGAGTACTGGACGTACGCGCGGAAGCACCCCGAGTGCATGAAGTGCCCGCACGGGAGGGCGCGGACGGGCTGCGACGAGTCGAAGAGGAGCTCGTGGCAGATGGGGCAGTCGGACTCCAGCTGCCCCTCGCGGCACTGGTGCTTGTTCATGAGCGTCATCGACATGCAGCAGTTGCACTGCGAGGCGCGCGGGGGGAGCGGGGGGTGAGCGCGGGCGGTGCGGCTGGCGCGGAGCCGGCGGCGCGGAGCTCCTAGCACGTGCACGTGGCAACGGTCAACACGTCACCGCACGAACCACCCAGGAAAAGCGCCACGACACAACAGATGTGTGCGCGCCGTGATGTATCAAGCGGTACATGCATGTTGTTGTTCGTCGCTGGTGTGCGTTCGGGGGGGGAGCGCACCTTCATGCAATGGAAGAAGTCCACGCCCAGCCCCTTGCCCCTCCGGCACGTATTGCAGAACGGGCAGTGGTAGATGTCCCGGCCCTCCGTTCCGTCGAACAAGTGGCAAATGCCGCAGTAGTAGCTCGCCATCGACTCCCCGCAGGCGCCGCACTTCTGCCCGACGGGCCCGCGCGCGCCGCACCGCATGCACTGCATCGACCGCACCGCGTACCGGTCCATCCGGTGGTCCTCCGCGTCGTCGTGGCACAGCCGACAGGTGTAGGCCTTTCCGCAGCACGGCGCGACGAGCTTGCAGCTCCGCGCGTAGTGCTCGCAGCCCAGCACGCCGCGCGCCTCGTCGTGGTACGTCCGCAGCGCCGCGCCGTCCGCCGGCGACCCCGCGCCGCCGCTCCCGGCCGCGCCGCCCTCCGCCGCAGGCGCCGCGCCCTCCACGCGACTCGCGCGCACCGCCGGCGCCGCCGGCGCGCCCACAGGTTCCGCAGCGGCCGCGGGCTCGCCGTCGCCGACCAGCTCGACGCTCCGCGTCGCGAGCGACCCCGCGGACGGCCCCACGGACCCGTCCCTCATTCTGCGCATCCGGAGCTGCTGCGCGACGATGTACTTCGCGGCCATGAGGTTCTGAATGAGGTACGCGCGCTTGGAGTGGTCCAGCGACGGGTCGCTCGACATCCGCCGCACCGCGCCCTCCAGCTGGTTCTGGTTCATCAGGAAGAGATCCTCCCAGCCGATCTCGAACGAGGACTCGTCCTCGACGGCTCCAGAGGCCTCGGGCACCTCCGCCTTCAGGCGGTCCTTCAGGCCGCCGTGCCGCCGCAAGTACTGCGCGACCTCCTTCAGCGGCGCCAGCTCGTCCTCGGACGGGTACTGCCCGGGGTCGTCGAGTCCGGCGGCGCCGCCGCTGCCGCCGGGGAGCACCAGGTGTCCGCTGCCGCCGGGTGCTGCCGCGCAGCCGCCGCAGCCGTGCTCGGAGCCCTCCTGCGACGACGCGCCCTCGGTGGCCATGATCGCCCCGAGCCACCTGTCGAACCGAGTCTTCCTGGTCACCTGTCGCAGCGAGTCCATCATCTCGCCCGTCTCCTCCTCCGTGAAGCTGCGCGTGACCCACGGCAGCATGGCCTGCAGCACCTCCGCGCCCGTGCGCCCGATGATCGTCCCGACGAGCTGCCGCTGCTCCTCGTCCGTGAAGTGCTCGACGAACAGCGGCCAGAGGCCCTCCTCCTCCGAGCGCACGTGGAGCGTCACCGCGGCGCGGATGGCCGCGCACTGCCGCTGGAGCGACGCGATGAGCGGCCCGAGCTCGGAGCTCGCCAGCGAGGCGTCCTGCACGCGCGCGAGCGTCTCGTCCAGGGCGCAGAAGAGGCTCTCCTCCTGCTGGTGGTCGATGGCGTAGGAATTCGTGACGTTGTGGAGCCGCTCCTTGCTCTCGAGCGCGGGGAACACGACCTCGTCCTCCGCGTGCGAGTGCGCGCGGTAAATGCCCCACAGGAACCGGAACCGCCCCGCCAGCCGCTGCAGGGCGCCCTCCTGTATGGCAGCCCCGCCCAGCCCGAGCGACATCGCGTCGTCCTCGAGCTGCGCGAGCTCGTTCTTGAGCGCCTTGTGGAACCCGAAGATGTGGTCGATCGGCGCAGGGCCCTGCGTGCGCGCCCCGCCGGCCGACGGGGGTGTCGCGGGCGCCTCGGGTAGCACCGAGCCTCCGGCGCCGCCGTGCGTGGCGTCCGCGGCGGCCGAGGGCGCGGCGCGCGCGCGGCGCTGCGCGGGGGCGCGGCGGCCCCGCCGTCGCCGGGCGACCGCGGGCGCTTCGCGCCGGGCACCGCGACACCCGGCGGGGCCCCGGACACCCCCAAGACGACGCCCTTCGCGGCGCCGGCGTCGTCGCCGCGGGCCCACGCGCGCAGCAGCGCGTCGAGCGCGGCGTCCGCCGCGCCGCCCGCGCCGTCCGCGGGCCGCAGCGCGTCGAGCACCGCGTCGGACGCCCCCCGGGGGAGTTGCGACCCGACGCGCGGCAGCACGTGCTCGAGCAGCCGCAGCGGCATCGCGCGCAGCGTCCGGAGCGCGAGCGTGCGCTGCCGGCGCCGCGGCAGGTGCTGCTGCAGCAGCGGCAGAATGTCGCGCTCCTCCTCGGTCATGTGGTCGGCTATGCCGTTGCACGCAGCCTCGCACTTCGTGCAGGCCGTGCGCGCGAGGTCCGCGCCGTGGCGCGTCCCGCGCCGGACGTGCATGACCGCCTGCCGCAGCGTCCGCCCGATTTCGTCCAGCTCCGCGCCGCCGTCGTCCGCGTCGTGCGCGTCGCCCGTGTGCCGCGCGTACACCTCCGCCAGCGCCCTGTCCGCGCCCTTGGCGCGCCGCTGCGCTGCGGCGAGCGCCGGGAGCATCACGCGCTGCTCGGACTCGAGGTGGAAGGAGTACACCTGCTTCAGGAACCGCAGCCGGTCCTGCAAAGCTTCGATGGAGGCAAGGGACATCGACGACGATGTCCGGACGTCCGCAGCCTCGGCGACGGTCGAGGAGAGCGCGGCGCGGATCGCGCCGTGAACGTGCACGACGACGTCCATCGGGGACGCGTCCGCGGAGTCCGTCGCGGCCTCTCCGTCGTCGTCGTCGTCGTCCGCGGGCGTCGGCGCGGTGGTGGCGGTTGCCGCGCCGTCCGGGCCCGCCTCGGGCTCGAGCCACGCGACCATCGCGTCCTTGAGGAGGTCGCCGCCGGGGGCGGCCTGGATGGCGCGTTGCAGCGCGACAAGGTCGGTTCTCGGCACTCCGCGTTTCAACCATCGCAACACGGACGACATCGATTCGAGGGGGATGCAGCAGAGGAACTGGCCGACGAGCGCGGCCTGCTCGTCGCAGGAGAAGTGCTGCGTCAGGAGCGGGAAGAGCTGGCGCTCCTCCTTGAGCAGGTGCTGCCGCAGCGTGAGGTGCACTTGTTCGACCTTGCAAGAAAACACCTGGAGGGCTTCTGCGGGGTCGGGGACGTGCCCCGAGGCGTCGGGCGAGGGGTCCACGGCCGCGAGGGCGTGGCTGAGGTGCCCCGCGAGCTCCCCGAGCAGCCGCTCCTCGTCCTCGTGCTCGACCATGTAGGCAAAAGTGACGTTCTGGACCTTGCTCTCCAGTGCCGGGTACACGACCTCGTCCTCGACTGCGGGCGTGCAGGTACGGCGTGTTGTGAGACGGGGCGCCGCGTGCGCGGCGCGGGCGCGGGCGGAGCGGAGCGTGAAGGCGGGTGGAAGCGGGCAGGAAAAACGCGGCGCCGCGGGGCGCGTGGGGCGGGAACGGCGCGGGAGGCGGGCCGCAGAGGTGGACGGTGATGGTGTGACCGCGGGTGCGTACCTACGGAGTGGTATTTGTACACCTCCTGCACGAAGCGGTACTGGTCTTGTAGGGCCTTGAGCTGGCTCGCCAGGCGGGGTGGCGCCTCCTCGCCGGCGTTGACGGTGTGCAGCGAGATGACCAGCTTCTCCAGCGCGTCGAGCTCTGCGGGCGACGCGGCACGGGCAGAAACGGGTCAGCGCCGCACACACAGACCGCCGCCCCACAGGCCCGCCCGGCCGCGCTGCGCCGGTGCGCGGCATGTCCGCTCCAGCAGCGCGCTCTACCGCACACCACCTCAGCTGCGCTGCGCGCGACCCAGCGCGAGCGCAGCCGCGCCCTGGGCCCGCCACGAGCCCCCCCCAGAGCAAAGCCTCGAACGACGATCACGGGCGAAATACGCGGCGCACAGCGCGCATACTCCACCGCGGCGCCGTTCCCGGCGTGCTTTGCGTCACGACGGACCTCGCAGGCCCGGTGGCGCGCGACGCGGGCCGTCTTAGCGCCGGGAAAAGCGGCGCGGGCACGAGCATCCCGTAGGAGAGCGTGCGCAGCGTGGCACGCGCCGGGGCGCGCCCGCGACGCGCGGGGGCGGGCCCAGCGGCGCCCATCGAGCGTCTGCCGCGCCGAGGACGCCAGTATCGTCGCGCAAGGCGGCCCTGGAGCCCGCGCCTCGAAAAACAGAGGGCGAATCCGCCAGTGATGGCGTCGGGACGGCGGCCCGGGCGGCGGGGGCGGCGCCGGCCGCGGCGGGCGGCACGAGGCGGACGGGCGGCGCACCTGTGCGGATGCTGTTGTGCAGATGGCGGTACACGAACGAGATAGGCTGGAAGGCCTTGTCTTCGGGCACCAGAGCAGTTGCCCCGGGCGCCGCGCCCGCCGCGCAGGGGCTCGCCGCGGCCGCGGCGGCCTCCATCGCGGGTCTCTCAACACGGGAAGCGCCGAAGCGGCGCCTCTCCGGGCCTATATGCGCCGAGCCGGGCCCGCTCAGCTCTCTGTTTACAGTGTAGGTGCTTGTGCCGTGAATGCCCCCGCGGACGGCGCGGATGGACGCGCCTGGACGAGACCGCGCGCTCGCGGTGCGCTCTGCGCGCGCCGGGGCGCCCCGCGGGGCCACGAGCGGGCCCGGGGGGCGGCGCCGTGAGGGGGAGCGTGGAGAGCGAACGCCCCCACGGGCCCGGCGGGCGCTGGCGCGTCGAGGGGGCGCGATGGCGGCGCGCGGGGCAGTCGGGCGCGCGTATTTCGACGAAGATCGCGAGGTAGTCCGCGCTGGCGTGCCGGCAGTGATCGCGGCGCGCGGCAGTCGGGAACATGGCCGGGCGGGGCCCTGGCGGCGCGGGGGACCCGGGGAAGCTGCCGCCGAAGGATCAGAAGCTCTTCAGGTGCGGATATCGACCGCGTGAGGCCGTAGCGGCGCGACGCGGCCGCGAGGCGACGCGAGTCCGCCGCAAAACGCGCCTGGGGGCGCCCGCGGTGCTCTGTGGGGTTTGGGTGCCCGCAGCGGCGCCGTGCGCGTTCTTTCCGTGGGGACGCGGGCTGGCGGGGTCGTTGCCGGTCTGCGGCGGCTGCTCGCGAAACATGAGATTGCCTGCCTGAGTCAGGCGGGCGTGCGGCGCAGCGAAGCAGTGGCGCCACCGGCCACCGGCCTCCCACGCGCAGCCAGGGATCTCCGCCGCGCCCTGAGCGCGGCACAGCGACGACCAACGTTCACGCGAGGCCGGAGCGACGGCGGGGGCGCGCTAGAGCAGCCCTGCGCGTTGTAGTTCGCGCGAGACGCCACCCACGCCCACGCCCGCTGCGCGTCCCAGGCAGCCACGTCGCTTTCGCGGCCGCTTTCCGCCGCCGCGGCACTCTCCGTTGCGCGCAACGCGCCGTACGCCGTCGCAGAGCCGCCCCCGCCTCCCGTGGGCGCCGCAGGGAGGCCACGAAGCTGTATGAGACCAAGCAGTACAGACGGGCGCTGAAGACCGTCGATAAGCTGCTCGAGAAGCACCCGAAGCACGCCGAGAGCATGGCCATCAAGGCCCTCGTCACGGCGCACAGCGACCCGAACAGCAAGGAGCTCAAGGCTGAGGCACGCCCACCCTGGCCCGCGCTGCTCCTCTCACACCGATTCGCGGCGCCCCGCTCGCCGCCGGCCGCCCGCGACCGCGCGCCGCGCCGACGACCGTCCGCGGCACGCCGTCCGCGCAGGCGTTCAAGCTCGCGAAGCTCGCGCTGGCGCTGGACGTCCGCTCGCACCTCTGCTGGCACGTGTTCGGGCTCCTGCACAAGCTGGACCGCAACTACGCCGAGGCCGTCAAGTGCTACATGAACACTCTGCGCCTGGACAGCGAGAACGGGCCGATTTTGCGCGACCTCGCGAACATCCAGATCCAGACCAGGGACCTGGCGGGGTTCCTGGAAAGTCGACAGAAGATGCTGACGGCGAACCCGAAGATCATGGGCAACTGGGTCGCGCTCGCCGTCGCGCACCACCTCAACGGCAACCACGAGTGCGCCCCCGGCGACCCACGAGCCCCCCGCGCGCGCACCGCCACTCGTTGTTGCCCGTCTCCTCGTCGCCCGCCAACGCCCGTCTGCCGCGCCCCTCGCTTCCGCGCCGCAGCAGCGCCTCCTCCGCGCCCTCCCCGCAATGCGCCCCGAGCGCTCCCCCCTCCCTGCAGCGTGGCGCTGGCGATCCTGGACCGTATGCGCGCGGCGAGTAGCGACGCGGCGGAGGACCCGTACGAGGCGTCGGAGCTGCACATGTACCGCGTGCACGTCCTCGAGGACAAGGGCGACCTCGAGGGCGCGCTCGCGCACCTCGACGCCCACGCCAGCGCCATCACGGACCTCCCCAGCATGCTTGGCGCTCGCGCGAGCCTTCTGCTCCGGCTCGGACGCAAGGACGAGGCCGCGGAGGCGTACCGCGCGCTCCTCGCGCGCAACACAGAGAACTTCGCGTACCACGACGGCCTCCGGCGCGCCATGGGCCTCCCCGGCACGGACGCGCCCGGTCCCGCGTCGGACGCAACCCTCCCGCGGCTGCGCGCGCTCTACGCTGAGCTGGCGGCCGCGCACCCGAAGTCGAACGCGTGCCGGCGCCTCCCGCTCGACTTCCTCGCCGGGAGCGAGTTCCGCGAGGCCGCGAGCGATTACATCGGGGCGTGGGTGCGGCGCGGGGTCCCCAGCTTGTTCTCGGCGCTGCGGCCGCTGTACGCGGACGCCGCGAAGGCGGCCGCGCTCGGGGAGATCGCGGCGGAGCTGCTCGAGAGCGCGGGCGCGAGCGGCGGCGCCGGCGACGACCCGGCGGCGCGGGAGCGCCGCGCGTGGCTGCTGCATTTCTTGAGCCAGCATAGGGGGGTGGTGGGGGACCTGGAGGGGGCGCTGGAGGCGTGCGACGAGGCGCGCGGGCTCGCGCCGGAGGAGCCCGAGCTGCACGCGAACCGCGCGGCGCTGCTCGAGGCGGCGGGCGACCTGCACGGGGCGGCGGCGGCGGCGGAGGAGGCGAGGAGCAAGGACGCGAGTGACCGGTATATGAACTCGGTGGCGGTGGCGCAGCTCCTGCGCGCGGGGCGCGTGGCGAAGGCGGAGTCGGTGGCGGGGGTGTTTACGCGCGAGGGGAACGGTATTAACAATCTGTACGACATGCAGGCGGCGTGGTATGAAATCGAGGCCGCGCGCGCGCACGTGCAGCAGGGGCGCGAGGGCGACGAGACGGGGCACGGGAAGGCGCTGAAGAAGCTGTTCGCGGTGTTCCGGCACTACGAAGGTGCGTGCTCGGCCAAGTTGCCTGCATTATAAGAATCATTACGTATCGATGAATCATTCCTTTTATTATATTATTATAAGCATGCATCCACCGCCCCAAGACCTAAGACCACGTCGCTCTCGACCCGATCCCGGGTGTCGTCTCGACGGCCTAGCGTCACGCGGCGGCGTTTTTTGCGTTTCTCGCCACCACATGCGCTAGTGCCCCAGCGCCGGTCCTAGTGCCGCAGCCCTCCATCATCAGCGCAGTGCCCGCGCACGCCGCCGACCCCGCGCGCCCGCGCTCCCCCGCCGCGGCGCAGACTTCGAGGAGGACCAGTTCGACTTCCACGGCTACTGTATGCGCAAGATGACGTTGCGCAGCTACCTCGACATGCTCGAGGTATCAAACAAGATCTACCGCCACCCGCGGTTCCTCGAGGCCGCGACGCTCGCCGTCGACATCCTCTGCGAGCTCCACGACACCCCCGCGCTGCGCCGGTCCCCCGAAGAGCGCGAAGCAGCGGTGCTGGAGGGCATGGACAAGGCGGAGCGGAAGAAGTACCGCGCGGAGAAGAAGAAGGAGCAAGAGGAGGCGCTGCGGGCCGCGAAGCGCGGGGAGCGGCCGCCGCCGGGCTGGGCGCCCCGCGGGGAGCGCGACGCGGACCCGGACGGGGGTGTTTTGGTCAGCACAATAGACCCCCTGTCGGAGGCCGCGAAGCTCGTGGCGCGGCTGCGGCAGTTCGGGGGGGGGCGGCTGGAGTCGCACAAGGCGGCGTTCGAGGTGCACATGCGGCGTGGGCGGCGGCTGCTCGCGCTGCAGGCGGTGCAGAAGGCGGCGGGGCTGGCGGGGCGCGAGAGCCCGGACGTGGCGCGGATGGCGGCGCGGCTGGCGGCGGCGGGCGCGCAGGGCGAGGAGGACGCGCCGGCGGTGGCGGAGATCCTGAAGAGCGGCACGGAGGCGCTGCTGGGGGCGGAGGGGGCGACGGCGAAGGCGTACGCCGAGGCATGGGCGGCACAGCACGGGAAGGCGTCGGTCGGGCACGCGCTCGCGGCGGCGGAGGCGCGGGCGGTGACGGGGGTGTGTGGCGGAGAGGCGGCTGCGGCGGAGCTCGTGAGTGTGGTGGAGGCGTTGCTGGCAAGCGCAGCCTCCAAGGCGAGGAGCACGCCTGCTGAGGACTTGAGGGGCTGCGAGGCGGTGTACGCGGCGCTGCTGGACAAGCGCTCGCCGCTGCACTGTCCAGGGGAGGCGGAGCGGTTGCGGGGTGTGTGTGCGCGGGCGTTCCCCAGGGCGCTGCGCTTTGGGGGACAAAAGGCGACTCCCCCCCCGGGGGTGGAGGAGGGCGTGGCCGCGCTGACGGTGGCCTGACGGACGGGCGGTCTGGCGCGCGATGTGACGCATGCAGCGATGAGATGAGATGTGCGCGCAACGTCCGGCGCGACGTGCGACGGAGTGCAATGTTCTTTCGCGGGTCGTAGCTTGCCAGAACTGCATGGGGCAGCCACCTGGCGCGGACGAGATGCTGCCAGGACGCAGCCGCGCTCAAACTCGCAGCCGACAGTCGGACCCGCAACGGCAGGGCTCGGACGGGCGGGAAGATGGGTTTCGAGGTCTGGCTGGCGCACCCGACGTTCACGACTCCATAAACCTCGAACCAGGACCGGACCGCACCTCTCCATCACCCACGATCTCAGCTATGCGCATCGCCGTGCGTCGCAACAGTGTGTGGGCGTCACATCGTGCGGGATACATAGCTGCACGCCTGCGCCATCCCGCAGGCGCGCCGCGTCCCGCACAGCGGCCCAGCGGCCCAGGAAGTCCGGACGCTGCCGCTTCCGCGCAAGTGTGCGAGTTCCCCGCCCTGAGCCAGGGGGGGGGGTCTCTCCGCTCGTCAGGAGGTTCCCCGCTGATGACGGGTGTAGTAGGTTCGCGCAGCGGGGTCTGTGGAGCCCCGCGCGGCGCCGTGCGCTCCACGGGGAAGCACACGCGCAGCGCGGCGCCGCGAGGCCGCCGCCAGCGCGGGGGGTCGGCGCAGTGGCCGCTTCAGTCCCCCCGGGGATCTTCAAGCCGGCCGGCTCCCGAGCTCAGCGACGCGGCGCCGGCCGTGGCCCAGCCAGGCCACGGCGCGCCACGTCTTGCTCGCGAGCTCAGGCGCCGTCGCGGCGCGAGGGTGGTGTTGTGCGCCGGCGCCCCTGCCGCAGGCGACAGGTGCGTTCGGGCCGGGGCGCTGGCATCGCCAGCAAGCGCGCACGCACTCACGGCGGGGTCGTGAGATGAGTTGCCGGGTTCTGTTCCGTACTGCGCGTGGTGGCTACCTCGCCCACCTCGCGAGTGCGTTGCGCGGCACCTCCCGGCCCGAAATCGCGGCGCGGCGGGCACCGGTGGTTGGCAGGACGACGTGTGCCTACTGCGGCGGCCCCGCCAACGCGCGCCGGCGACCCCTCGCAGGGGGCGCGTCGCGGCACGCGCGCGGGGGGCCGCCGCAACGCTGTCAACAGAGACAGCTTCGTTACCAAGGCAGAGGCGATGAGAGGCTGCGCAGCGGCGAGCCCGGCGGACCGAAACGATGAGTCCTCCGCCGGGAACGCGCGCGACGCGAGCCCGAGGGTACGGCAAGGAAAGCGGAGGGGGGGAGGGGTGAAGGGGGGGGTCAAGGGGCAACCGCGCGCCCGACGAGGGGAGCGCGTCGCAAGGCTGGTTCGTGGTCGTTGTGGGGCAGCAGGGGCACGAGATTCGCGCGCTCTGCGACGCGGCGCCGCGGCGGTTGGCGCGCTACCTTTCAGGTGAAGCACAACCGAGTTTATTGCGCGGTGTGCCGCCGCGGGCCGCGTGCAGATGCGAAAGCGACCTGCTGCTGTCCGCGGATCGCGCCCCGAACTGGAGTTGCGTTGCGAAGATCAGGGGAGGGTATTCCTCCGTTGCGAGCAATGCAACGTTGGGTGTGGGAGGGGGGTGTCCCGTGGGGTGTTGTGAGTTCGCAGGCTGGCCGACGCGGGGCCGCGCGAGCCGCAAGAGGGAGGCGAGGGCCGGGCCGGCCGCCCGGCCCCACGCACCGAGCCCCGTGTGCCATACACCCCCCTGCAGCCTGCAGTCACCGAGCCCTGCCGGAGGCCGCTTGCGGGGGCGGCGCGAGCCGTGCGAGCGCGTCGGTGCCGGAGCGGCCCGTGCAGCGTACCAGAGCTTCCCTTGAGGGCGCTTGGTTGACGCTGTCGCGCGCATGCCATAGCGGCGGAGACGGCGGTGTCGGCGCGCGGACGGCTGTCCGTGGCCGGGACGCGGGAGCCGTGTGTGGGGACGGTTGTGTGGGTAGTGGGGACCGGGGGCGAGGGAGCAGATAGGGGTGAGGGATTGTAGGGTACATATCATTTAGAGAACGTCGGCTTGCTGCTCGTAGGAGACTGCCGCCGAGGGCCGGTAGAGGGTGAGCCGTGATCGAGCACGGCCCGCATCGACCGGGGCGGGCGGGGGGGTGCGGCACGGCGCCGGTGCGTGGGGAGCCCGCGCACGCGTGCGCCGCTGCCGCGAGAGAGAGCGTGCCTCCCGCGTCCGCCCCGCAGCGGTGCTGAGCGGTGCTAGGAGGGGCGGGGCCGCGCGCCGCCAGCGCGTGGGGGGAGGGGGGGGGAGCGACCGTTGAAAAACAACCGTCGTGAAAAACCTGTGAGAGTGTGTCTGATCTGAGGGCGTGCATCGCAGGGCGCATCAATGTCCGGCGTTGCGCGGGGGGCGCCGTGGCGCCGCGCAGGCAAAAAGGTGCAGGCGGGGTAGAGGCAGGGTAGGGTAGACCGCCAGGTGAGTCAATGTCCTGGCCGGGGGGGGGGGGGTGAAGCGAGGGGGGCTGGTACAGCGGGGCGCCGCGGATCGTCAGCGACAGTACAGGGACTTGTCGATCGCGGGCGGGATGGGCAGGATCTCCGTCCCCAGCTCCTGCTCGATGCGGAAGAGGTTTTGCCGGTCCTCGTTGGTGATGAGGTTGATGGCCAGGCCGAGGTGGCCGAAGCGCCCGGAGCGTCCGACGCGGTGGAGGTACGTCTCCGAGTTCTTCGGGAAGTCGAAGTTCACGACGACGTTGACCGCCTGGATGTCGATGCCGCGCGTGAAGAGGTCGGACGACACCAGGTTGCGGCAGTGGCCGGAGCGGAAGTCGTGGAAGACGCGGTTGCGCTGGTGCTGGGGCATCTTCGCGTGGATGTAGAAGCACGAGTACCCGAGCTCGGTGATCTTGCGCGCCAGCAGCTCCACGCGGTTGACGCTGTTGCAAAAGATAATGCTCTGGTTGATTTGCAGCTTCGAGAAGAGCGTGTTGAGGCAGTGCACCTTCTGCCGCTCCTCCACGTAAGCGTAGAACTGCGAGATCCCGCGCAGCGTGAGCTCCTCCATCAGGTTGATGATGTGCGGCCGGCGCAGGTGCTTTTCTTTGAAGCTCTTCACCGTGACCGGGAACGTGGCGCTGTACAGGAGGACCTGGCGGTCCTCGGGGAGGAAGGAGATCATCTGCTCCACCAGCGGCTGGAACTCCGGGGACAGCAGCTTGTCCGCCTGCGCGGGGGCACGCGGCGGGACCACGCACGGTGGGTGCGGGGCGGGGCGCGCTCGCGCGGCGTGCGGTGCGGGATCCGGGCCGCGGGGGCGCGGTTTGGCATGGCGCGGACCTCGTCCATCACGATGACGCCGCAGTTCTTGAGTTTCGCGACGTCCTTGGACGCCAGGTCGAGCAGCCGGCCGGGCGTGGCTACGATGAGGTGCACCGTCTGGTGCAGGCGCATGATGTCCTCTTTGAGGGAGGTGCCGCCCGTGGTGCTCATGACCTGGATCTTCAAGTGCTTGCCGAGCTCCTTGCACACCGAGGCGGTCTGGAGGGCCAGCTCGCGGGTGGGGACCAGGATGACTCCTGCAACAGAGCGCGCCACGGGCGGCGGGGGCGTCGGCGCGCTGGCTGGTGTGCGCGGGTGGGTGGATCTGGGCGCGAGAGGGCTGTGCGGCGCGGCGCGGGCCCGGGGGCGGCGTGGGGAGGGGGTGGAGGTTGCACAGGCGTGCGTGCGGGCGAGGGGGGGCGCGTGCGCGGGGCGCGGACCTTGAATCTGGTTCTTGGAGGTGTCAATCTTCTCCAGAACGGGAATAGCGAATGCCGCGGTCTTTCCCGTGCCGTTCTTGGCGCGCGCGAGGATGTCGCGGCCGGTTAAAGCGATCGGGATCGACTCCTCTTGAATGGGCGACGGAACCTCGAAGCCCTTCTCGTAGATTCCCATCAGAAGCTCACGCTTCAGGAAGTAATCCTCGAAGCTGTTGCCCTTGGTGTTCGTCACGTCCTGCAGAGCAGCTCGACCGGCGCTGCCGTTCGGACCGCTCCGCCGCGGGCGACCGCGGCCCGCGCACCGGGCCCATGCAAACAGCCTCGCTCGGTGCCGGCGAGCCGCGCGGCCGGGGGCGCGCACCTCGGTCTTGTAACGATCATCCTTGGGCGGCAGCTTCAGCTGCGCCTTCCACTGCTCGCCGCCGGCGCTGGGATCGGGTTTCGCCGACATGCCGCGTGTGAGAGCGTGACTCTTGCCGGGCCCGGCCTCTTGCGGCGAAGCGGGGCGGTGCGGGGACTAGGGGGGCGCAACACTGGTGCTCGCAGCGAGCGTCCAAGGGTGAAGTTGGCCTCAGCTTGCGGGTGTGCAGTGCGACAATCGTCGTCGCGGGACAGATACAATCGCTGCCGGCTAGAGATGCCGTTGCGGGATTCTGGTTTTGCCGCGTGCGCCGCAAAAGCCCGGCCCTTGTGCCAGGGTCCAGCTCGTGGAGCCCAGTCACGTTTCTACGACGTCCCCTGCACCCTCCTCCTATCTCAGCCAACGGACTGCCCCGCCACACCTCGCGACGCCGCGCCCCGAGCCCGCGCGCCGCAAGCGGGCCCCTCGCGCGGCACGCGCGAGCCACCAGATCCACGCGCTCCGCTTGCGTGTTCTTGCTGCCGAAACGAACGTTCGCACGCCAGCAGCGCCGTACGCATCAACACGCCTGCGGCTGCGGTACGTGCGCGCAACCGCTCCGAGTCGCCCCCGGGGGGCGCGCAGCCGCTGCGTCTCGACCAGGTCCGTGTCGACGCGCACGCGAATGGCCCACCGAGCGCGGCGCGATGCACGCCCGACCTTGCGCGACGGCGCTGGCAACGCCGCTATGCCTGACCCCGCTCGTCGGTCGCGCCGCCGCCGGAGACCCCCGGCGGCTGGCTCGCGCGACTGCGAGTCCTCCGGGAAACAGCGGCACCCAAGCTCCGGCGTCGAAATGAATTGGAAATACTAATTATAGCTTTATAATAGGTCCGAGCTTCACACGGCGGCCAGGTCCGACTCGTCGCTGCCGTGCGAGACCGCGGTGCTCTCGGCCCCGCTCGTGCGCTCCAGCACCACGTGGACCCCCCACCCGCCACGCGCCGCGGCCTTCGTCCGCCGCGGAGACGCATCGTCCTGACGCGCGCGCCCCCAGAGCATGGACGGCGACAGCGGCTGCCCCGGGGAGCTGGCGGCGGAGGCCCGCACGGCGCGGAACCCCGCGGCCCCTGGCGCAGCTGCCGCTGCCGGCGGCGACGCCCCCCCCTGCGACAGCGGCGTCGAGAACACTCCCCCCCGCACGCACACGCCCGCCGCTGGCGTCGTCCGCCGCCGCTCCGCCTTCTCCGGCGCCTGCGCCGCCTCGACCAGGCTGTCATCTGCAGCCACGTCCAGCGCGCCGCGCAGGCCCTTCCGGGCATGCGCGCAGTCCGCCGCGCCCCCCACAGCTGTGCTCCGTCGTCCCGGGACGCGCCCGGCAGCGCCGTCGCTCCGGCCGCCCGTCGTCGTCGTCGTGGGCCCCCCGGACGAACCGCCCGTGCGTGCCTCGACCGTCCCCCGGTCCTCCGCGCCCTCCTGGTCTGACGCGTTGCAGCACAGGGTCAGACACCCGCCGCGCCGCGCCCGCGCCCGCGCCCGCGCCCGCGCCCGCGCTCGCGCCCGCGCCCGCGCCGCGCCCGCGCCCGCGCCCGCGCCCGCGCGAGGGCCTGCCGGCAGCCCGCGCGCACGAGGCGCCGCATCGTCGCGCGGCACATGAAGCCGCTCCGAGCCCGCACCTGCTTCCACACCGCGTAGTGCAGCACGCCGTCAGGCAGAGTGTCGGCGGCGTATATGGGCCGTAGGGACACATTGGGGTCCTGCGGCCGCCCGTCCGGCCCCGCCCCGCCCCAGTACTTGCGCCGCGCGTACGCCACGGCGCTGCAGGGATAGAACTCCGCGCCGGCGTTGAACACGATGCGCGAAAAAAGAACCATGGGTTTGCGGTATTTAAACTCCCCCGTGTTCTCGACCATGTAGTGCGGCGCGGGGCCGAGGTTGAGGTCGCGGACGCCCTCGGCGCGGAACACCTCGAGCGCGCGGCTCATGATGAGCACCGACGCGCAGTTCGTCTTCGACGTCTGCCGGACCGTGGACGCGTAGTAGCCGACGACGCGCCCCGCCTCGTACACGGGGTCGAACGCGACGAGCGCCACGAGGCGCCCGCCCTCGCCGCGCTCCCGCGCCGCGAACAGCCGCACGCCTGGCTCGCCGCTCGCGAGAAAGGGCCTGCGCGGCTCAGCAAGTGCAATGTCATATCTGTTTTGGATCCTTTCATATCAAACTTCGCTTGGGCGGACGCGGTGTGATGTGTTTTGCGCGCGGTCGCACCGGATGACGAACCACATCTCGTCCTCCCCGCGCTCGGCCAGCCACTCCTTGCTGACGGTCTCCAGCTCGCCCCGCAGCGTGTCGGTCAGACGCACGCCGGGGGGGGGTCCCACCTCGAGGACCTCGAGCCTCCGGCCCCCGCGCTTCACGTCGCTGCGCAGCGTCTTCTTCGGGCCGCCCTCGAACGTGTAGTCTTGGACAGACAGCACCGTGTCGTACCCCGAGTGGTTGATGTGTGTACGGGGGTCTAATCTGCGCGAGGGGGGGAGTCATTCGGGCCCGGAAGCGCACGCCATTTCGCAGCTCCGCACAACTATCATCACGCTGGCAGATGCACGTGCGTCGCTGCGGAGCCCGGCGCGCACCTGTGCAGCGCGCGGGCGAAGGCGTAGGACGCCACCGCGACAACGAAACGTGGGAACCGCGCCCGGAACGCCCGCATGACCTCGAGCATCGCGTCCTCGGCGGAGCGCTCGCCGTCCGACTGCCGATCCGCGAAACGCAGGACGGGGTCTGCACGGCAGCTGCGAAACAGCGCGTCACGAAACGGAGGCGACGTTCCACGCGACGCCGTGCCGCGATCGCCGGACCGGATTGTCGCTGACGGGGACGAATCGAACCTGTCAGGATGACGGGGACGGTGTGGCGGAACGGGAAGCGGTGCGGGGCCACGACCTTCGTCACCATGTACGCCACGTAGCCGCTTGGGTGGTCGAAGTACTCGAGCCCCTGCGAAATCGGACTCGAGCAACGCATTCTCGCATAAATTCAGCCTCGAGTCGCAAGTACTGGCACTTCCGAGACTCGCGCACGCGCCTCCTGCAGCGTGTGATACCCAAAGGGGTTTCCCCGGTCCTGACGAAGAATCTCGAGACGCCGCTTCATATCTCGTCCCGCGCCGCTCTCTCCTGACTGCTCCACAGCCGTGACGCGCGGGTCAGGGCCTATCGGCGCACTGAGCCGCCGGAAACGGCCTCGATGCAACTTGAACGTCGCCGCAACACTCCGCGCAGGCCGACACGCGCGCTCGTGCACGGCAGCGGCGCCACGGGTCGCATTCGCCGACATCATGCAGCCCGCGCCTGCCCCGCCGCGCCATCGAGCCGCATCGACGCCTGCGTGACGCGTCTTGAGTAACACAGCGCCCCCTGCGCGCCGCCACGTCACGCGACTCTCGCGTCACCGCGACGGGCCAGACCGGCACGCGTATTGGCAGGCTCTGGGCCCGCGCGCGCGTGCGCCGCCCCGCGCGCTCCCCCGCGGCGCCGCGCGGCCACCCCGCAGTTGGAGGCTCAGCGGCCGCCTGAGCTCTGTGGTTGGGATGACTCAAGCTCTCTTGGCCCGGTCGGGCCAGCCTGGGCTGGCCCGGGGCTCTTGGGCGGGCGGGGCGGCTAGGCACGGTTACTCTCGCGTCGCTGGGGTCCTTCGACGCCCCTGTGCGGCCGGAGCGGCCCCCACAGCGACGAACGCCCAGCATGGCAAGTGCATGCAGCCTCGCAGCCGCAGCGCGGCTTCGCCGCGCCTGAGCCGCTGCAGCGGCGCGCGGCGCGTCGTACGCGAGCGCCCTCGCCGCCTCGCGACGTCGGCTGGCCCGGCGACGCCGTCCTGGTACGTTTGCGCGACAGCTAGGCAGGACCGATCTGTGCGCGTTTCGAGCGTTTCCGCGCCGGAACCGGCCGCGACGCGCGCGCGGGCGAATGTGCGTGGCAGGGGCTATCCGGAAACCGCGACGACGGCGCAATGACTGCCCCCGATTGGAGAGCGCATCGCTGAGAATCCTGGCGCGTGTGCTGTGGCCGCAGGCACGAGCCACCGACGCAGGGAACGCGCGGAGGTGTCGACGATTCATCGAGAGAGGACTCAGAGAAGCGTCGTTTACCGCGCCTTCGGCGCCGCAGCGACCGGTCCGAGCGCACGACAGTTGCTGCGAGGCAGCGTCGGGGCCGCGTGCCGTGTTGAAGGGTCCGCGGGCGCGCAACGTGGATGCTTTCGTTCGCTTAGAGCTCGAGATACACACAAGCCCGCATGCGGCGCGCAGAGCTGTCCCTGGTGAGCGGTTTCAGAGCCCGAGGGCCCCCCATCCTAGCCAAGCGTTCCCGCCGTGTTCGCGCAACAGCTCGCGATCTCCGCGCGTAACACGGCCTTTCTCTCGCATAAGAGCAGGAAAATCGCAGATGCGCGGCTCTGCACGTTGCGACACGCCGCTAACCGCCCCTGTACCTGCCAACCAACCAACCCGCTCGCAGGCGACATGGCGGTTCCCAGGGGGTGCAGCGACGCACGTGCACGGATTCTCTCATCTTCGGTCCGAGAATGCCCCTTTCGCTGCACTGCGCGGCCCGTGTCCGCCCTGCGCGGCCGGGGCCGCCCAACTGCAGCCTGCTCCTTGCCTCTCCTCCTCCGACGGGCGAGCGACTCGACCGCGCAGGCCGAATGCAGTGTTCCCGCTTTCAGACCGCTGACAGGTGCACGCGACGCGCGGAGATACCCCTCGCGCGCGCGTCTGGCGCCTCTCGGCGCTTGAGCAGTGTCTTCGCCACCGCAGCCCGCGTGGCACGTCTACGGAACATCCAGAGCCTTTTCCGCCTCGGCCGAGGCAATAACACTCGACGTCAGAACAGCTTGGGCCGTTCCTGCGCCCTCAGGGCGCGCCCTTCCACCCGCGTTGAGGAACGTGAGCAGACCCAGCGCGCCGTGCAAGCGCCTCGCTGCGTTGGGAATCGCGTGGCGCGGCAGCCATTCCGTGCAGAACCACCGCCACTTGCAAGAGCAGATAGTTTGCTAGAACAGGTTTGCCCAGCCGACTGGCACCAACTTGGTGACCCCCCCCCCCCGGCCGCCTTTTGCTCCCCGCCCCTCACTCGCGCGTGACGTGAGCGTCGCAGCCTCGCTCCGCTCGCGTCCGCGCCCGGTCCTCGCTGCTCTTGAACCCCCTCGCTTTCACGCAGCTCGTAGACCTGCTTTCTCGACCCGCGTTGCACCGCCACCATCAGAACCACCCGCCGCCCCGCGACGCGCCCGCCGCCGGCCTTTCGCCCCGGCGGCGCCGTGACCCCGCGGACGGAGCTATTTGACCAGAGTGACCGAAAGATCGTCGCTGATCACAAAACACACCTCTTGCGCCCCGTTTGCGACAGACACCCACAACGACCCCCCCCCTTCCCCAGAACCCCACAGTTTGCCCCCGTGCGTCGCATCCGCGCTGTCCCTGTCCCCCACCCGTTCGTCCGGCCAAATGCGAGTCGACCCGCGGCCCGGCGCGTCATGAGCGTCGGGCTGGGACGACCGGCATCAACACCCCCCGGCGGCGACGGGTGGCGTTCGCACGACCAGAGCATGGCCTCCCTGGCTTGAGGCGCTTTTGTTTCCAGGGTCCGACACGAGGCGACGTTGACACAACGCCCCGTGTGCACTGGCCTACTGCGCAAATACCTCACACACCCCCCCTCCCTCCGTTTCCTGACGCGAGCGCGCCTCTCGACAGCGGCCCCCGGGCGATCGGGACGAAATTTGGCGTTCTGCAACTCAGACACGCATTCAATGTACATTCGCCCCCCGAGCCGTCAAGACGGGTGGACCACCACGTTGCGAGACAGAGGCGCGCCATCGCGTCGCGCAGGTTTTGATCGTTCCCGCGATCGAGCGACAGGACAGCGCGGATTTGTGACACTACCCACACACCGCCTGCGCGTGCCGTCACTGGCACGTGCGTCGCCTGACCGCGTTCCTTGATCGTCGGCGGCGTTGTGCTGGGGTCCCAGAACTGGCGTGTCGTGCGGAGCGCTCGCGGGTGTCCTCGATGTCAGCCCGCGCAGCACCTCGGGGCGTGACTGACCGCCACGGCGCTCGTAACGCGGATTGTCCGAATGTCTGGCTCATGCAGCCACAGAAAGTGCCAGGAAGCAACAAGGAAGATTCGCAGCGGGGCGCTGCGGGGAGGCTCGCGCGACGCAACCCCACGGATACGCTATGACGGAGCCCTGCGCTAAGCTGCATGCAGTCTCACACGCCTGCCCCGCAGCAAGCTGCCGTTGCAGCAACAACGTAGAGAGCCACCTCCGCGTGCCGCCGACAGGCGTCACCCCGCGCCCCGCCTGCGGCGCGTCGAGGGACTGCTTCAGCGCACGCCGGCCGCGGCGAAGAAGTCGGCCAGGACGCTGGCGTCGATCTTGGTGAAGGGGTTGAGCCTCATGTGATGGAAGTTGTACCCGCTGCCGGAGGCGTTGAAGAGGTCGACGCCGAAAAAGAGCTGGTGCTCGTGACACTTGTAGTTCTTGAAGGCGTGTTTCTTCTGCGTGAAGTTGCCCTCGACCTCCCGCACGGCTCCGTCGAGCACCTGGTAGTACTTCGTGGATACGAGCGGCCCGTTGTCGACCTGGCGCTTGACCTCGAACACGATGCTGGGGTGGTGGCCCTTGCCGGCGACGAAGTCGCGGAAGACGCCCTCCGCCGCGAGCTTGCGGGGCTTGTACGGTGTGATGCGGCTGCAGCAGAACGGCGCGTCCTCGCCCGCGGTGCTCGCTCCGTCCGGCGCGTCAGCGTCGAACCCCTCAGGAACCTTGAGCTGCGCTTTGTAGCAGACGAGGAAGTTCCCGACCCGCGTCTCGCTGTACGCATCGAGCATTTCAGCCGGGAAATTAGGGAGGATCGTGCCGCGGTCGAAATCCACGACGACGGCCGAGTACCGCGTCGTCCGGTTCTCTTGTACCGTCAGGACAAGGACGCCGTTGACGGGGATGCTTCTCGCCCCGCAGAACTCCTTGAGCGAGGCGATGATGTCCTCGGTTGACATGGTCGTTTTTCTGCTGTCGCGACGCGGGCAGAAGGTCCCACGGGCGGCTCAGGTCTGCAGCTGATAAGGCCACAGGTACGTCAGGAACAGTTCGCTCGCGAGGGCGTGCTGAGCCGATCTCGTTGCCCGCGCCAGTGTCGCTGTCGCCAGCTCCACGTCGCACCCGTCCACGTCATTGCTGGCAGCAGCTTCCGCGACGTTCGCTCGGGCATCTCGGGCGCTGATGGACGCGCAAATCGTCGTCCTCAGCCGTGCGGCTCGGATGCGCCCGTTTCGACACGCGAACGGTTTGCCCACAGCGATGATGCGGCGAGGGCGTCTTGACGGTTCGATTTCCCGCGCAGGCTCGCACCTCGCACACCTCGCCGTATCAGACAATGACCACCACCAGGATATGCATCAGACTGCGAACAAATCTAAATATGTCAAGAGCAACAATGAAGCAAGGAAAAAGTTTTAAGATTTTTGCAAGATTTTTTTAGCGTGCCGAACATGCCACACGCGCCTCGCTTCCCCCTCGCTCGAGCAGGCCTACCGCTCGACGGCGCATCCAGGCAACGCCCGAACGCCAGGCGCGCTCGTCGCGGGTCACGGCCGCAAGAAGTAATTCTCTTTACTAACCCCCCCCCTCAAATGATCGCTACCACGATCGCGGGCACCACCACCACGGCCACCGTCCCGGCCAGAACCAGCGTGAGCCGCCTCTTATCACCGAGCATCCACCGCACGCAGCGCTCCCACGCCCCAGCAGCACGCACCTGGACCAACCACCCCTGCACCCCCGGCCTCTCCGCTGCCGCCTCGACGTCGGCACGGACGGGATCGACCGCTGGACGACGCTCAGACCCGCGCAGCAGACGCGCCCGCAGCCTCACGGCACTTCGTGTGCCAGTTTGGACGTCCGACGTTCATTCGTCGCACATGGCTCGCACCAGGCCGCTGGGCCGCATGCCCGCGAAGGGCTCGGCACGTTGCCGGCCCCTGTGGCTCAGCAGCGCCGGTACCGAATCCCGTGCGCGTGGCCGGAGAGAAACGTCGCGCGGGGTGTGATTGGTGGGACTGACTGGGGGAGAAACTGGGGGAGGGACTGTCTGAGGGCTAGTTTGCGCCGCGTCAGCGGCACCGCTGGCATGTCTGTGCGTTGAGCACGGGATGGAAGAGCGAGGGCATGCGATGAGGCGGCGGTTCGGCCGCTGCGGGGTGCTTGGGTGCTGAGCGCTGCCGGCGATGTTGCGGGCCGTCGTGGTGCTGCTGGCGGTCGCCGGCGTGGCGGCCGGCGCGACGGTCCCGCACTCGAACGGCAACCAGCGGCGATTCGGCGAGCCGAGTCCGCTCAAGGCGCCGCGGGGCCCTCAAGGCCGTTCGGCGATGCCAGAGGACGAGGTGCGAGGCGGGGCCGCGTTCCAGACATGGCACGGGTGGGCGAGAAGGCGAGAGCGCTCCGGAGCGCCACCGCCGCAGCCTGAGGAGGCGCGATTGGTGCGGAAGATGCTTGTCGAGGGATATGACGCGTATTTACAGGTCAGCACTCTATCAAAGCGCCGCTTCACGCCGTTCGACCATCTAAGCGCGCATCGAAGCGCGCCAGGAGGAGGTCACGTTCGCTTTCCGTCCTCATGTTGCATATAAAAGATCATTGGCGTCGTGTGCTGCGAGGCAGCCGGCAGCGAAGCTCTGTGGCACACTCCGTCGAGCTCTGGCGCGTCAAGCCGCGATTCGCGTCCCACGCCACCCACGTCCCCGTATAACCCTCCGAGTGTCCTTCTATTCAGCTGTCTCAGCGTCCAATTTCCTCGAAGTTCCGCGCCGCACGACCGCTCTGGCACCCCACACACCAAACGCGACCCGCGCCCCTCGGCCGGCCCCGCAGCACGCGTTCCCGGAGGACATGCTCAAGCCGATCACGTGCTCCGGCAAGAGCAACCTCGGCGCGATCGCCACGACCCTCGTTGACACCCTGTCGACCCTCATCATGGTCGGCGACGCAGTGCGGTCGCGCGAGGCCACCGACTTCATCTGCAACCGCCTCTCCTTCGACAAGGACTACTTCGTCTCCATGTTCGAGGCCAACATCCGCGTCGTCGGCGGCCTCCTGTCCGCCCACGCCCTCCTCGCACGACATCCATCATTCATCAACCTCAACACCACGCTCTCGGCCAATGGCGACTGGACCGAGTCCGACGCGGTCACGCTCACGGACCTCTGGCCGCGGCGCTCCGCCGACGGCGCCGGAAACGGAGGCGCGAAGAGCGACGGCGACTGGCCGGACAGCGACAGCGACGACGACGACGACGACGACGACGGTGGCGACCAGGCGGGGCCGTCGGGGCCGCTGGGGCCGGGCTCGCCGCCGTGGGACGCGTCGACGCCGTACTCGGGCTGCCTGCTGTGGCGCGCGGTCGAGCTCGTCGAGCGCATGATGCCGGCGTTCGACACGCCAACGGGAATCCCAAAGACACACGTGCGGCTGTCTGGGCCCGTGCGCGAGGACGCGGCGTACCGGTCGGCGGCGTACCACGAGGAGAAGACGTGGCACAACGAGACGGAGGTGTGCACGGCGTGCGCGGGGACGCTGATCATGGAGTTCGGGGCGCTTTCGCGGATGACGGGCAACCCGCGGTACGAAGAGGCGGCGCTGCGGGCGCTGGTGGCGCTGTACCAGCGGCGGACGAAGCTGGGACTGGTGGGCGGTATGGTGGGCGTGAAGTCCGGGCGGTGGGCGGCCGGGGCGTCGACGATCGGCGCCGGGACTGACAGTTACTTGGAGTACCTGTTGAAAGGGTACTTATTGTTGGGGTATGACGAAATGCTGGAGGCGTTCGCGGACTCGTACGCGTCGGTGATGTACTTCATGCACGACGCGCAGGTGCACGTCAGCAACCCGTTGATGCGGCCGTGGGTGTCGGACGTGGACCCGACGTCAGGCCATCACTCCCCCTCCTTCCTGTCGTCGCTGGCCGCGTTCTGGCCAGGGCTGCAGGCGCTCGTCGGCCAGACGCAGGACGCCGCGAAGCTCCACCGGGAGTTTCGCGGCGTCTGGGCGAAAAACAACGCCATTCCGGAGCAATTTCACCCCGATGGTGCGCGTCCCAGTGTTTCCGTCTCCCATCTCCTCCAACGCACACGCAGCGCCTTCCGCTGCGCTCCAGCGGCAGCTGAGCTCCTCTCGAACGCTCTGAACGCTCCCCCTGACTCCGTCGAGGACAAAATGGAACTAAAACCTCGCCTGAATATATAGCTGTGTGCGTTGGTGCAGGGCGGCCGCACCCGATGATGAAGGCGTACCCGCTGCGGCCGGAGCACATCGAGTCGGGGTTCGTGCTGATGTCGGCTCTGGGCGGTCCGGACTGGCAGGCGCACGCGGCGTCGATCAGAATGACTTTGGAGCCGCGCACGCGCTCGACGTGCGGGTTCGCGCAGATCCAGGACGTGACGAAACACGGCAACAGTGCTCTCGAGGACTCGATGGAGTCCTTCTTCCTGTCCGAGGTTGCCAAATACCTCTACGTCACGCAGGTGCGCCCCTTCTGTCCACACACACAACAAGGCCTTCCAATGTCCATGTGTCGGGCCAAACCCGTCAACGAGCCTCGAACTGTACAGCAACGCTCAGACAGATGCTCGTAGCTTGATTGTGCTCGCGCAGGCGTCGTCCGGGGAGCTCCTGAACCACATTGTGCTAACGACGGAGGGGCACATTCTGCCCCCCGCCCTCGACCTGCCTCTGGGCGGCATCCCGCTGCGCCCCGACGGCCACGGCGCTCCCGGGTGCGGCGACGACGACGTCGACGGCGCCGAACCCGGCCGCACCGCCAACGGCCGCGCGCCGGAGCCTCCCGGGGGAGTCCCGCCGCCGCCGCTGGCGTCAACGCCGCGCTGGCAGGTCTGCCGCGCCGAGGCGGCCGGGCAGCCGCCGCGCCATAACGGCGCGCTGGGACCGGTGTGGCGCCCGACGATGATCCCTCGCTTGCTGCAGAGGATGAGGGACGCGACGGTGGCGACAGGCGGGATGACGCGGTCGTCGCTGTTCGCGTTCCCGGACGACGACTCGGACTGGCGGGCGCCGTCGGCGTCGCGGCGGTTCGCGCGCGCGCTCCCGGGGGTCCGCTCGCGGGACAGCGAGGCGGGGGGGGGGAGTAAATCGTCCATGCCGTGGCACCGCTGTCGGCGCATCTGCGGCGACCTCCCGGCGATCCGCACGGGCGGAGGCGACAGCGAGGTGCCGCCGATGATCATGCCGGACCTCAACGCGTTCCGCGCCCCCGCGGCGGAGGAGTTCGCCGCGACTCCAGCTGACAGCGGCTCGACATGGTTGTCATACCTGCCGGGGCTGTCGGTGGGCGAGGGGGACCGCGAGGTCATGATGCAGCGGCGGTGCCGCGCGTGCGTGGCCGTTGAGAGCGCCGTGGCGCGGATGCGGGGCGGCGGGGAGGGCGCGCGACGCACCTTGGTCCAAATGGAAGCGAACAAGACCCTGGAGGTCTTCCAGGACGCCAGACACGACAGCGAGGTCCTGGGGATCTTCTTCGCGTCCGCGGTGCTCGACGCGCCGCCCGGCATGCCGCCCGCCGGCCCGCAGACCTCCCTTGGAGTCGGCGCGCTGTGGGTGCCGCCGTCGGACGTCGCAAAGCCTCGTAGCGCCTCGAAGGCGCGGTTCGCGGGCGGCGGCATGCACCACGCGAAACGTACTGCGCACGCGCTGCTCGAGGGTCAACCGCCGCACATCATGGCTCTCACGTTACGTGCAAATCGTGCGGAGACGTTTTACGACACGGTGGAAGTCACCATGGTGTCGGTGGACGCGGCGGCGCGCGCGCTCGCGAGGGCGACGGGGCAGCAGGTCGACCGCGCGCGGTCCGGGGAGGGGGAGTGCTACGTCGGGCGGTTCGACGCGCGGGCTGCGGCGTACGGGCCGTCGCTGCAGGGGTTTCGTCAGGGCGGGCGGGCGTTCGCGTACGAGCTGGCGATGAAGGGGGTGATGGAGCGGGGGAAGGACGCGGGACAGGGCAGGCCCGAGCGGGGGATCGCGCAGGCGATGCGGTGGCTGAAGGAGGCGTTTGGCGCGAACGGCGCTGACGACGTAGCGCGGCGGCGGCGACGGGCTGCCAGCGCGCCGTGCGGGCAGTGTCCGTTCGTCGGCGCGGGCGCGGTGCATCCGCCGAGTCCGCCCCTGAGTCTGCACGCTGACGCGTGCCAGGACGACGAGGACGAGGGCGTGTATCCGGCGTTGCAGGGGCCGCTGATTCTTTGTCCGGAACGCGACCGCTGCGGGGGGCCGTGCATCGAAGACGCGCCGCAGGGCAGCGTGCTGGTGCTGGAGCGCGGCGGGTGTCCGTTCCTGCGGAAGTCGTACGCCGCGGCGCACGCGGGGGCCGCTGCGCTGCTGGTGGTCAACGTGGACCCCCCCGGGGACGTTTTCACGATGATGGGCGCCGGGAACCTGCGCGACGAGGCGTTCCTCGTGCCGACGCTGATGGTCTCGGCCGAGACGGGGCAGCGCCTGCGGGACGCGGCGGACGAGGCGCACCTGCACGGCAGCGTCGCGAGCGAGGCGGGGGGGTCTGGCGGCATGCAGGGGGGGCCTTTGCTGTGGGTGCGGCTTCTGCCGGGCATGGGGAAGCGGTCGCAGGACGGCCCGGCGTACGAGGAGCTGCACGCGCGCGGGTGCGGCGGTGCGGCGCCGGACAGGGCGCCACGGAGGATGGGGGCAGCTTACGTGCACGCTGAGGTGCAGAGCGCGGTGCGCCCGGACACGGTGGGCTGGTTGATTCGCAACATCGGAGCTGCTGCGATTCCGAGCATACAGCGGTGGGTGACGGAGGCGTCGGCGCTGCTGATCGACCACGCGGCCCCGCTGCTGATGTCATCCAAGCCCTTGGGGCGTTTTGGTACCCCGGGGGCCTTGTTCCCCGAGTCGATGGTGCTGTGGGACTCGGAGGTGGGGGGGCTGGACTTGACGGCGTTCGACGCGGACATTGAGTGGGACGACGGGGAGGAGGAGTTGGGGGAGTTGGAAGTAGAACACACGCTGATGCCGTGGAGGTGGCACGGGACGGTGCTGGAGGAGGCGCGGAGCGACGGCAACTGGTACTGCTTGCGGCAGCCGAATCCCTACGGGTTCTTTTGACGGCCAAGACATGGAGTGCGAAGGAAAGGGGAGATATCTTTTGTTGAGTGTTTGATGACACGAGGAATGGTGAGTGCGACGCCGGTGGGAACGACACCGACGAAATCCGAATGTACAATACGTGCTGCGCGACGTCGGCAGGACCGCGAAGTCTCGCGCGCCGCGAGCGAGCCCGCACGGGCCGCAACTGTGACGCGCAACCCAGGCATCACCCGCGGCGGACCCTGTCCCACTCCTCCGACGAGCCCCCGGACGACATATACCCAGGCAGCACCTCCCCGCCGCCGTCCACCATCCACACCCCCCCATCCTCCCAGCACCCCTCCCCCGACTCCTCTCCAACTCCCCCCTCCACCAGCGCGCGCTCCGCACGCTTCGACAGCGCCCCCCCGGCCCCCGTGCCTGTCCCGTAGTCGCGACGGGCCTGCAAGCTCCGCATCGCGCTCCCGTCTCCCCGCGCCCGCTTCGCGACATCCCCCCCCTCGACCGGCATCGGTGCGCTGCGTTTGCCCGCACAGTCACCCGACGCCACGAACCCCGTGGCCGCCAGGTTGATCAGCGTCAGACAGAAGTCCCCGGAGTCCCTCAGGCCTGTTCGCAGGACCCCCCCCGCCGCCGCCGCCAGCCGCGTGGCGCGTTCTCCCAGCGCCACTGTGCAATCAACGACGGTGGCGGGCATCGCGGTGCTGGCGCTGGTGCGTTTCTGTCCGCGTCCGCGCAGCCGCCACTTGACCGTCAGCGTCCGCGGCACCCTCCCAGTCTCCTCGCGCTCCTCGTCAATCCTTGAAACCATATCTGGACACAGCACAGAGAGAACCGACTCCACGCCCTGGAACGTCTCGCACGACTTGAACGAGTCCTCCACCGACACGGCCTTTGCGGGCGGTCGCGGCTCCACGGGCGTGTCATCGGCGCCGCACGACATCCGGAAGATCTGATTCGCCTGAGCAAGGAACCGGGGGGGTGTTGTTCCTGACGCCACTCCGGGCTTCGGGGGCGGCGAGGGCGTGTCGGACTGGCCCGGGTCGAGCCGCGGGGGCCCTGCCGCGAGCGCAGCTGCGACGGCGTCGACGCCTGCGCGTCGGATGTCCGCGACGGACGTGACGCCAATCGCGTAGAGGCATTTCGCCGCCCGAGAGCCCACGCCCGGCAGCGCCCTGCGCCACGGAAGATTGCACAGTGCATGAGAAGTCGGTTCGAGGACAGGGAAGTCGGTCGGTGAGCGTCGTCGGCGGCGGCGCAGCGACACGCAACACGCGCAACAGGTGGATGGCGTCGTTCGCGCTTGCAGCGCACCGAAGAGCAGCTGCCCGACGGGCGCCCAAACGGCCTCTCTCGCGTCGTCAGAGCGCAGCCAGCGGCGCTGAATCTGGTCGCGAGCGAGCTGCCGTTGGAGCACGCCGTCCACGGCACGTCTCGCATGCGCAGTGGCGGCCCGCGGCGCCGCCTGGCCGGAACTCACCTGGCCGGAAGCTCCGCCACGAACCGCGACGCCTCGCTCGGCGGCAGCGTCGTCTGTCCGTCCGGTTTGTGCAGTCCTGACGCCAGTTTCGCCAGCATCCTGTTGCACGCGATTCCCGCGCTCGTCCGCAGCCCGCACTCCGCCCGCACCGCGGCGCGCGCCTCCGCGGCCACGCGCGACGCCGCCGCCAGCCCGCGCACCCACCCCTGGCCGTCGTCGGACAGCGCCGACAGCGGGGGGGGGGGGTGGACGTCAGCGCTCCCCTCAGTGTGCGCCGGAGCGGCGCGGACGTCCATCGGGCGGTGCCGGGGGCCCTGCAGGAGGCCGCCGGATGCATCCGCGCGGCGGTGGCGGTAGACGTGCCCCACGAAGGTCGCCCCTGGGTCCTCGGCGCGACAGCGCCGCAGCACCTCGGCTGCGTGTTGACGGGGCGGCACCGTGCGGGACGGTGAGGCGACGGGAGAGCGCGAGGACGTGGCTGGGGGACGGAGCGTGGTGATGCATTCGACGGCGATGGTTCGGGAGTTGGGAATCAATCGATGAACGATGTCAGCGCGTTGACAGTCGTTGTCGTTGCATTGAGGTTTCCGTCAAGTCGGTGCAAGATGGCGCGGAGCCGGTGCTCGGGTGCGAGAAGTCGTCGCAGGCCACCTGAAGCGCCACAGCTTCTACCGGTCCGGCGTTCGGGCCGTCCGCCGTGGCGCCTGTCAGGTTTGAGTTCGCGAGTGCCGTCTGGGAGGGGGGAGTTGCGGCAGCTGCGCGGGAAGCGACCGCACTTCGCGCGCAGAGCCGCTGCGCCAACGGCGCCGCCGAGCGCCTGCCCGACTGCTCGACCGGCAAAGTATGCAGCGCCCTTTTGGCTGGGACGGAATCAGATCTCTCAAGTGGCTCAGAGGCCGCAAGACGAGCTCGACGACGGCTGCGCCGCACCTGTCACGTCGACGAAGACCTCGTCCAGGCCGCCCGCCTGACAGGGTCCGAAGCGACTGAGCACCCGCCTGACCTTGCGGGCCGCCGCCCTGTACGGAGTGAGGTCCTCGCCCGGGACCAGGACGAGCCCCGGACAGCGCTTCTGGGCCTCCTTCGTGTTCATCAGCTTCTCGACGCCCGCGGCGCGGGCCAGGTAGTTCGCAGTCACCTGCAGCCATCAATCAAGAAACATCGTTGCAAAACACGCGCGAAACTCGTGGTTCCGGATGCGCGCGCGCGAGGCAGGCAGCCACGCGCCTGTGCGCGCAGGCACGCGGGGCGCACCACGAGGTACTTCTGTGAGACGCCCATGGGCCTTGTAGCCAGTGAGGGGTCCCGGAGCTCCTCGACCTGGCAGTAAAAGGCGTCCACGTCGACGCACACGATGAACCTGTCCCGGTCGGGAACGAAGCCTTCCGGCAGCCAGCCCTCGTGGTCGACGCCGGGCGCGAGCTGCGCAGTGCCGGGCGCTGGCCATGGGTCTCCGTCGGAGCCGCTTTGCGACATCGTTCCGGAATATGCGGCCCCGCGCGACCCAGAGCCTACTCTATGACGCACGAAGGGGAGTTGCCTAGTGCCCTAGTCATGGCTACGCGTCTCGCCCGGGCAGTTCGCACTCTTTCTCGCTGCAAACGGGACCTGCGTCAACGAAGACCGTGAATTCTACGCAGACCTTCAGGTTCTCGATGACGTCCGCACCCCTCGCGGCGCCTAGGGCGGCCCTCGCGCCCGTCCAGGGCAGCACGGGAGGGAGAAGGTGTGTGGCGAACGCAGAGCTTGTGTGCTGCGCCGGCGCAGACTGCCGCGGTTGTGAGAGCAGCCACGCGCGGACCCCGCTCCGGGGAGCTGTGGCGGTGCGTCGCGGCGCGCAGAGCCCTCGTGCTGCGCCGTCCGGGGGTGTCACACGCAAGGTATTTGCAGCAGGACAGACTGGCCGGGGCGACGCCTCAGGCCGCTAGTCTGGCGGCGCGAGTGCGCTCCCTGGGCAGTTGCGATCTCCCTGGCAGGGCCGGGAGACCGGGAACGGACGGAGCGTCCTGGGGACGCGGCTGCGGGTCACCCACTAGGTACGCAGCGAGAGGTAGGTGGGCCGCGCCGCGGCTGGTCCAGCGAGTTCGCGAGCCTGCCGAGCACGTCTGCGTATCGCAGGGAGCGACGCCGGCAGCTCCGTCGCACCCGCGTCGGCGCCGGCACCTGCGCTCAAACACCGCAAGCGCCTCGTGCACGCGTCGCAACGGAAACGCTCTCTGTTCCGCCGTGCCACGCGTCGCGCGGACGAACGTCCCCGCGGGCTCCTCTCTCCCGCGACACCCTTTGTCGTGCGTTTCGTACGCAAGTGTTTCGCTGCCTGACTGACGCGAGCTTGTCGTCGTTCCGTGCTGGCTCTCTTCGCAGGAATCGTCGCCCTTGCGGCCGTCGAGCGATCCCCGCGGGCCCGCCGAGCCCCGCGAGTACTCTGCACATGTCGGACGGCGGCTCCGAGCCGCTCCCGGGCCACGGGCAGCCCGGGCATGGGCAGGTAGGAGATGGAGCGAAGACTGCATCGTTCGACGGATTCCGGCATGAGGGCGCGCCGTCGCCGTGGGGACCAGGGCACGGAATGCCAGGAAACGCGCCGGGCGGACACGGGGGTGCGTGATCTCCCACACCCGCCCTCCTGCCGGCCGCACAAACGCCACGCCGGGACACCCACGCCGCTCCTGCGCCTCTCAGCCGTTTCGCACAGACGATCTCGCGTTCCAGAGCTCCCCCACTTCGCCCACATCTCCCCTCACTGCGCATCACGCTCACCCACCCGTGCTACGCCAGTCTCCCGCCCCCTGCCAAACGCCTCCGCCGCTCCCTTGCCCCCGCGCCACCTCTCCACCCGCTCACCCACCCCCCACGCCCTTCCTTCTGCAGCACCGCCTCCGCCCGGGTCCCTTCCGCCCCACTTCGCCCCCCACGCGGGGCACTTCTTACAGTGGCCACCGCACCCCGCCGCAGCCCCGCCGCCCGGGCACCCCGGACCGAACTTCATGTTCGCCAGCATGCCGCTCGCCGGGGGCTTCGCCGGCCCCGACGGCCACCACTGGGGCCCCCCGCCCCCCAACATGAGACTCCCCCAGGGGTCTATTCCCCCTGGGTTCCCTCAGCCGCACGCCGGCTTCCCGCCGGACCTCTCCCGCGTCCCCGGCGGGTTCCCGCACGCAGGGCTCCCAGGCGGCCCGCCGCCCGCGCCCCTCGGCGGCTACGGCCCCCTCGGCGGCGCCGCGGCCGACGCCATGCACTCGCGGCCCTCTCTGCTGGAACGGGCGGGCCTCGTCGGCGCCCCGGTCCCGCCGCCTCCAGGCGGCATGCCGCAGCTGTCCGCGTGGCCCCCGAGCGGCACGGGCACGGCGCAGCAGCCCATGACGGTGGAGGAGCTGGAGATGCGGCTGAACGCGCAAGTCGGGCTGGGGGGGGGTGTTTCCGTGGGGGGTGCGGCGGGGAGCAAGGCGGCGGAGGAGGAGGACGCGGAGCGGCGCGAGGAGGAGGCGCAGGCGCAGCGGCGGGCGCAGGCGGCGAAGATGGAGGAGCGGCGGCGGAAGCGGGAGGCGGAGTTTGCGGGGGTGTATCCGGCGAAGAACCTGGGGCAGCTCGACGCGGCGCTGGAGGCGCGCGTGCAGAACTGTGCGTGCCCCGCGCGGTCGACGCGTGCCTGCCTGCCTGCGCGTGCGTGCGTGCCGGCGGGTGCGCAGGGCTGGTGGCGCGACGAGCGGCGCGTCGGGACGCGGGGAACTGTAGCGTGGCTGCTCCCGCGCGCGTTGATGCGGCGTGCTGCCCCGTCTGACTCGTCGCTTTCTGTGTTCTACTCCCCCGTTGCAGACCTCGAGCCCACGGAGGCGGAGAAGGCGCGCATGCGCAAGACGTACGAGGACGTCCGCGCGATCGTGCTCAAGGCGTTCCCGCACGGCCGCCTCGAGGTGTTCGGGTCCGCAGCCACTCCTCTCATGGTGCGCAACAGCAACGATATCGACATGACTCTGCTCATGGACGACCTAATGCAGCTCCCGGACGACCCGGAGTCGGATCCCGAGGACGACGCGTCCACGGACGCCAACCCTCCGGCTCCGGACGGGCAGAAGCCGGGGGGGACGTCCGACGCACCCCCGGGGGGGTCGCGCGTCGTCGTGGTGCCAGTGGGCGGCAAGAGCCCCCCCGGGCCGGGCCGCGGCGCGGCGCAGACAGACGGCGGCCCCGAAGGCGCGACGCCGGCGCGGAAGCGGCGGCCGCCGAAGCGTGGGCAGCGGACGAAGGCGCACGCCAAGGTGGTCGAGGAGGTGGCCGCGGTGATCCGGGAGGCGGGGATGGAGGGCGTGGAGGCGATCACGACGTCGCGGATTCCGCTGCTGAAGTTCAAGCACCGCGAGACGCGCGTGTCGTGCGACATCACCATCAACAATTTACTGGCGCTATACAACACCCGCATGCTCGCGGACTACTGCCGGATCGACGACAGGCTGCGGAGGTGCGCGGTGCTGCGCGGGGCCGTGCCGCGGAGTGCGCGTGGGCCGGCGTTGCGGCTGCGAGCTGCGAGCGGGGCGCGTGCGTGGTGTTTTGCAGCCGTATAGTGTTTGCGTCGTTGCTGGGCTGGTACGAACGCGGTGCGGTGTGTTGGTGCGTGCAGAATCACGATGATCATCAAGCACTGGGCGAAGCAGCGCGCGATCAACGAGGCGTACCGCGGCACGCTGTCGTCGTACTGCTACGCCGTCATGGCAATACACCTCCTGCAGACGCAGGACCCCCCCATCCTGCCGTGCCTGCAAGACCCGCGGAGGAACTTCCCGGAACGGATCGTGAACGGGTACAACACAGGTCAGTCCGCTGCCCAAACACCCCCGGAGTCCTGTTCCATTGCGCGCCAGCGCGGGGACCGGGCCTGGCTTGGCGCTGCGCGCTCGGTGGATCTCCCGCTCGCTGCGGGGCGCTGCGTGGACCTTGCTGCAATGTGCGGGTGTTTGCACAGCAGCTTCAGCGCGATCTGATCTTGCGTTGTGGGGATGGGGGGGGGGGGTTGTGTTTGTCGTTCGTGACTGGCGTGCAGGTGACTGACGGCGGGCTTTCCGGTGCGTGCAGGGTACGACGAGGCGGCGGTGGACAGTCTCACGAACTTCGGGCAGCAGAACCAAATGGGGTTGGGGCTCCTGCTGTGGAACTTCTTCCTGTACTGGCACGTCAGACACGACTACCTGTCTGACGTGGTGTCCATCCGCACGCCGGGCGGGTTCGTCAGCAAGGAGCAGAAAGGTACGTGCTGCGCCACGGCAGCACGCTTCGCGCGCAGGCCGCTGCACGCCAATTGAGCCCAGGCAACGACACAAGCGAATCCTTGATTGTTTTTCCGTCGTTTCATTGGTCCGTGCAGGCTGGACGAAGCGGCAGGGGCTGGACCGGCACTTGATATGCATTGAGGATCCGTTCAACGTGGACCACGACCTCGGGCGCGTGGTCGACAAGGATTCGATGAAGATCCTCGGGAAGGAGTTTCGCGTGGCGGTGGAGACGCTGCGGTACAACGGCGATCACCCGCTCGACACGCTCTTCTTCCGGTTCGCGGGGAACAAGCTCTCGCGCGAGCAGCAGAAGGCCACGATGGGCGGGCGGAGACGGCAGGGCGGCGGCGAGCAGCAGCAGGGCAACGGCGCGCCCGTGCGGCGCGTCGCTTGACGCGCATGCGCACGATTGGAGAAGGGCGTGGGTCGAGGCTCGTGGGTGGTCCGGCGGGCACGAGCGGGGCAGATACTGCGAAACGGTGGGGTCGGGAGATACCGAACGTAGAGTTCCGATGTTTCCGGCCCGCCGTTTCTCGCGCGGCATTCGTGAATTCATCGCGTCATCACAGATCTCGTCCCACTCGCCCGTTCCCCCTTCGCGCCCAAACGCTACACCTCCCTCTGCTCCAACCTGAACTCCCCCCCCACCTGACTCCTGCGCGCCCCACGCGCCCTCCCGCCGCAGCAAGCGCCCGCCTCGCCTCCTGCGACCCCACCACTGCCTCCCGCAAGCCCCGCCCGCGCGCCCGTCCGCCGCAGCCCGGCCTCCTGCCCGGCCACACCCCCGCCCCCCGCCTCGCGCTCCTGGCTGCTGCCGCACTCCAAGAGCGCCGTCGCGGCCTCCAGGCGCGCCCGCTTGCGCTCCCGGCGGCGCTTGCGGCGCGCCTCGGCCTCGGCGGCGAGCGTCGTGGCGTACAGGGGCTTCTTGAGGGTGACGGCGTCGGTTGACTCCAGTTGGACCAGTCGGCCTGACAGGGCGTGCTGCTCGGCGGGGCTGGTGCGCTCGAAGCCGCGCGCGCACCACACGTTGAAGATGCTCTTGTGCCCGGGGACCACCAGGAACCGCACGCGCAGCTCGGTCAGCGTCCTCTGCGCAGAAACAAAAAAAAACAACAAATACGAATTCCCGTCTGCGCGTCACCACGAACGCCCTATCCGCCAACCAACAGCAAGCCGTCGCAGCAAGCGGTCAACGCCGGCGCGCCGACACGCACGCGCACCTCGAGCGCGCGCATCAGAACCGTGTAGTGCCCGCAGCGGCGGAAGCCCTCCTTGGTCGCCACGAACGGGACCTCCGCGAAGGACTCCCCGCTGATGCGGAGCGCCGCGGCGCTGACGACCTTGACGCCGCCCTTGCCGGTGTCGAGCCGCAGCACCGCCACGCGGAAGTCCTCGAAGTCGTATCCGAAACTCCCCCCCCCCGCCTCGCGCACCGCGCCCGTGCACACCGCGCGGATGAGGTCGCCGCCGTCGGCGAGCGGGATCGGGTTGAACGCGTCGCAGAACAGGCCGAACGCCGCCTCGACCGTCGCGCGCGACGCGGCCGTTGCAGTCGGACCCATGTAGCTAGACACCTCCAGGGAGTAGTGCGCTGCGTCCTGGGGGGTGTCCGCGGGGACGTCCTGGGGGTGCACGGGCTGCCGCGCGCCGTCGACGTCGCGCAGGTAGCAGTGGATGGCCTGACAGGCGTCGGTGCAGAACCAGTCGTCGTCGAGGGTGAGCTCGGGGACCTCAGACCCCGGGGGGAGTGACGCCGCGCGGTGGGCCTCCTCGCACTGCTTGTGCGCCGTGCGCGCGCCGCAGCCCGAACACACCCACATCGAACGCGGACCGATACACTGCACGCAGAGAGAGGGGGGGGTTGTTATTCTTGTATTCGTCATACCAGCTGTCAGACCCCCCGGAAACCGCCACACGCCCCCTGCTGACGGGCGACCGTGTGGTCCTGGGGCGATCGTGTCTTGCACGGGGGGGAGGGGGGTGTTGTCCGCACCTTGCCGAGGTGTGCGTTGTCGTCCAAGGTGCAGTACACACACGCCTCCCGCAGCTCGGCCCAGCCCTCGCACGGGTCGTCCCGCAGCCGCCGCTGCTGCCGCCTGAGCTCCTTCTGCCGGAGCTGGTTGCTGCACCGAGCGCGTGGCGAGCTGGCGCGACCGTCAGACATCGATTGGCAACACCAAACTACGGATCCTTGATCAGTACTGAATGTTGGTTCATATCTTGTGCTCGTGAGCACGCGGAAGCGCCGGACCGGCATGGTCTTGGCCTTGCATTCGTCAACCAGTCAGACGACACGGAGGAAAGCCGCCCGAGTCGAACAAACATTGATTGTTGAATCATGTTGATTCGAGGGCACGGCATGACGAGGACCGGGCGTGAAACGCACCGCGTGCAGCGCCCGGCTTGCCACTCGTCATCGCTCTCCGAGTCGCTGTCGCTGCTCTCGTCCGCCGCCACCGCGTTCCTCGCCACTGCGGTCAGGGACAACATGCACCTGCGCCACGTCAGCTCTCCGTCAGACACCGCGCCGCACGGCCGCCAAAGCAAATCGCACGCTCGCACACGGCACTCCGTCACGTACCGTGCTCCTTCTTGGCCGGACGCGCGCGCTTTCGCGACGGTGCAGCTTTGCTGCGCCCAACCCTCTGCTGCGGCCGCATCCGTCGAATCGGGCTCGCGCGGCGGCGCGGTTCGAGCGGCTGCGCCAAGGTCCGAGCGGCTGCGCCTGGCTCCACAGTCGCGAACGTCGCGGAGTGCGGCACTGATCTCAGGCCGTACGTGATGTTTGCCAGCGTGTCGCCCTCGTACACTGGCGTGTCCGTACGAGGCCGGTACCCGAGCAGTTTCCGCCCCGCAGCGTTCACTGCAGGGGCGAACAAGGAGCCCAATTTGACCCTAGCTGCGGCCACGGCGTCGCGCTGCGGCGCCGCTGTCGCGCCGGTTGCGGCATCTCCGCTGCCGGCGGGGTGCAGTTCCGGTGCGGGGGCCGGGGCCGCCTCGCAAGCGGCGGGGAGGTCGCTGTCGCGGTACAGGTTGCGCTTGACTGCGTCGAGGTCCTCCTGGGGCACCCGGGCAGCGCCCTCGGATGGCGCGTGGCGTGGTTTGAAGGACCGCGTCTGGTGCGCGTCTTCACCGCCGGCCGGAGCTTCCGCATCCGCAGGCCGGCCGGTCGTCGTCGGCGCATTTTGAGGTGCGGGGGTTGCAGGAGGAGAAGAACGGCGCCGCTGCGGGACGTCTGCGTCCAGCTGGAGACCGCTCATCGTGAGCGTCGTCGATTCCGGAGCACCGCCCAGCTCCTCGCCGCCGCCGGCCGGCTCCGCATCTTCTTCGAATGTATTCTTGGGCGCGTCGCTGTAGCAAGGGCCGTCGTGTCCCGCGCAGAGCCCGCACGCGGCGCTCTCGTCGCACTTGAGCTCGTCGAGCCAAACGACGTCGTCCGCATCGAGGTCCGGCCCCCGAAGAGCCGCCCCGTCGTCGAAGCGCAAGATATTGTACCCCTTGCCCTTGCGCCTCCTCAAGATGTGCGGGCAGGGCTCGAACCCGACCACGCAGGCCTTGCGCAGCTCCCCGCCCGCAGCGCGGACCCCCACGCGCCTCCCGACCGCGTTCTCGCCCCGCAGCATCACGACTCTAATCGTTATCCAACATCAAGGATACAAAGACGGACTGAGAGCCCGGACACGTCGCGTGCGAGCCCTCGAAAGCACGTCGTTCAAACACCCGTGGTGGTGGTCGCGCCCGGAGCTGCAGTGCGTGTCTCGAGTATCACGCTCGCACGACTCCGCGCCACACTACCGGCATGCCGCACACGTCCACACCAAAGAGTCCCGCGGCACGGCAGGCACCGAGATGTAGCAACAGACCCCCCTCAGTCACTTCTACCACGCACTGAGACACCCCCGGAACGGTCCGGAAGCCGTCACAGCGCGCCCCTCGGGCGCCCAGGCCGCGCGTCCGCGCAACGCTGCGGCCACGATCAGGGCGTTGGAGCGCCCCGCGGTGCACTGGCAGCAGCTACGCTGGCCGCGTCTGCTTGACGAGACCCGCGTCCTTGTCCCACTGGTCCGCCGACTTGACCTGATCGATCAGATCCGCGTCGCCCTGCGCGCAGACTCAGCCGCTCACGCCCCCGCTCACGCCCCGCAGCAACAACAACGCAGCACAGCGCAGCGCAGCGCAGCGCAGGAGGGGACACGGGGCCGCGCCGGGGCGCACCTGGGACTCCACGATGCCGTCGATGATTCCGTAGTTGAGCGCGTCCTTGGGCTGCATGTAGAGCGGCCGCTGCATGTCCTTGTCGAGCTTCTCGGGCGAGTGGCCCGTCGTCTTAGACAGGATCTTCAGGAGCGACTGCTTCTGCGCGAGGACCTCGCGCCACTTGATCTCGACCTCGACGGCCTGGCGCTGCCCCGTCGGCGGCACGCGCGGCTGGTGGAGCATCGCGGTGGCGTGCGGGAGCATGTACCGCTTGCCCTTGGCGCCCGCGGAGAGCAGCATGCACGCCTGGCCGATCGCGACGCCGACGCCGACGGTCTGGACCTCGCACTTGACGTAGCTCATCGTGTCGAAGATCGCGGTGCCCTCGGTCTCGAAGCCCACCGTCTCGCCGTCGGCGCGGGTGCAGCCGGTGGAGTTGATGTACATGTAGAGCGGCTTGGTCGCGTCCTTGTACTGGAGGTAGAGCAGCTCGCTCACGATGAGCTCCGTGACGGCCGGGACGAGCGGCATGCCGAGGTACACGATCCGGGAGTCGAGGAGCAGCGAGGGCAGGTCCGGGGGGGGGGTCTTGGGCTTGTGCTGGTCGCCGCCTGCGGTTCGCGGGCGGGGGGTCGAAGGGAGCGCGTTTGGGGTCGAGGGGGGGGGAATGGGGGCCGGGGGGCGCGCTGGGAGCGTCGGCTGCCCGTGCGAGGGTGCGAGATTGCCCCGGGCCGCAGCAGGGGACGGAGCGCGGTGTTTTCCGTGCGGCCCTGGGGAGGAGCGGGGGCCGTAGAGGGCCCGCGTGGCGGCGGGATGCGCGCGCGGCGCGGTGGGGGCCGGGGGGCGCGGCGGAGGGGGTCGCACCGCTCGCCACAGCTGCTCCGGGCGCGCCAGAGTTCATCATCACGTCCTGCATGCTGACGACCCGCTTGTCCACCCGCTGGAGCTCCTTGTTGGGCATCCACATCTCCACCTTCGGGAGCCCCTCGGCTGCGCTCAGGCCCGGCGAATGCGATGGCTGAGGGTGGCAGATAAGCGACGCGCGCGCGGCGGGATGCGGGGCGCCTCGCCGCGCGTCGTCCGCCGAATTACGGAGCCGGGGCAGCGAGGAAGACGGTGCGGCGGGAACAGACAGCTGGCGTGGCTGTGCGGGGGTAGGAGGTGCGAGCTCAACCTACCTGCTGCCATCACCCGCCCCGTCGCGCGCCGGCGCGCAGCCGCTGCGCACGGCGACCTAACGCGGCACCCTGCGATCGATGCCATCGCGTGGCCCGCCATTTCGCGCCCCGTCGGCCCCGGAAGCGCCCTGAGCAGCCCGAGCTAGCGGTCGTCGCGTGCTAAAGGGAGAGGCGTTCGCGACGCTCGTGGAGGGCACGCGCAGCTCTCAGGGATCCGTGGAGCACAGCGCCGATGCTACTGGTCGTCGGCGCGGGCGCGGGCGGCAATGTCGCCCCTTGCGGAGCGCGCCATGGGCCCCTGCGACCACACCCCCCTACTCGCGGCGCGTTCGCGCTCTACGGGCCGCCGCGCGCGCGGCCGGCGACCGTTACGCACGGAGGCGAATACAGGATGTTGTCGGCGAAGTCGTTCGTGGGCAGCGCGACGCCCCTGCGGGCTGCCGTGCCTTCGGGCGCGTCGCAGGCCGTCAACCGGCGGTGCGTGACGGCGATGGCGAAGAAGAAGGGCATCCGGGTGATCATCACTCTCGAGTGCACGGAGGCGAAGGAGGCCGGCGCCACCCCCTCGCGCTACACGACCCAGAAGGTGCGCAGCGACGACACCCGCCTCCGCTGCCCCCGCGTGCGCCAGCCATTCGCCCGTCCGCCCCGCCCTTTCGCCATCAATCCATTTACCGGATCCGCGACCGCGCCCCCCGGTCGCGCGGACCCCTGGCCGACTACAGCCAACTGGATGGGGGCCGAGCTGCACTGGCACCGTGCCTCCTCGCCCACCCGCGCCACCGCCCCCGCTCCGCCGCGGCCCAACGCCCCGCAAGCACCACCCCCGTATACCCCTCTCCGCCGTGGACCGCGCCGCTGTCCGTAGAGTCCCCCACACGCGTCAGGCTTGCCGGCTAATCGTCTCTCTGGTGCCGCGGCGCCCGTCCTCACGGCCCAGCAACCCGGGACCGCTGGGCGCTCCGGCGCCCTGATCGCCGCTCGGCAGGCCCGAGCCACATCGCACTGGGCGGCTCGATGCCCCCACGCGCCGCCGGAGCCGTCGAGCGCGCGTGGCGGGCGGGGCGCAGGCACTCGGCTGCAGCAGTCGTCGCTGCTCGCGCTCAGCCTGCCTTCCGACGGCGTATTTCGGCTCTGTATCGACGCTAAACAGCACGAATATGACATCGATGGTGCTTGTCGGCCTCTCGCGCCACCTGCCGGCCCGGCACCGTGCTCAGAGTGGGCGCGCTGGCGTCCTCACCGCGTCCTCGCTCCCCCGACGTCCTCGCGCAGTCGCGGAAGAACACCCCGGACAGGCTAGAGATCATGAAGTACAACCCGTACCTGCGCCGCCACACGCTCCACCGGGAGCTCAAGAAGTAAGTGCACGCGGGTGTGCACGGGGTGATGAGGACGCGCGCATAGCTCGCGGACGGCCTGGCTGCGCGGCGCTGCTGGGGCGCGGGAGCGGTGGTGCGGGATCAGGGCGGCCGGTCAGGTGGGGCGCGACCGGCCCGGGGGCTGCCACTGCAGTGTGCGGGTGCGGCGGTGCCGTTGGCGAGCGCCGGTGGGCGGGAGCGCGTCTGCGGAACGTCCCGCGGATGCCCTCGCTCGCCGACCCGACAATATATTCCAGGACTGTGAGCCGGAGTGATGGAACGTGCCCTGACAACGGCACGGTATGATGATGACCGCTTCAACAGTCCCCCCGCGCGGCCCCGTGGCTATGCTCGCTCCGGAGCGCGTCGTCAGTGCAGATCGCGGGCTGCTGGAGCGGCGAGTACGGTTTGTGTCGTCGCGCACACGCTCTCAGTGATGCAGGTTGGAGCGTCTGTGGTGTACGCCCGCGGGCGGGCACGGGCGGGGCGTTTGGAGAGCATTTCGAGGGCCAGGGTCGGCAGCCAGGTACGCTGAGCGCTCGACGAGGTCGCAGAAACCGCAGATGACCCTCTGCGCTGCGGCAGGGCCGCCCGGCGCACTGCGCGTTGGGGCAAGGGTCGCTCACGCGTGGCGCGGTGTGTGCGTCGTGCGGGGTCGATTGCGGGTGCTGTGCGGACGTGCTGTATCCGAGACGACGTGGCCGCGCGGTGGCGCGGTGCCTGGCGGCCGCGGTGACGTTGGTGCGCGCCCACGCGCTGGTTTGGTACGCATGCCTCGTTTCCGGCTGACGGGGCGCGAGTGGGGTCTGACGGCGCTGTGCAGGGGATGATCGCACGGTCGATAACGCTGCGGACCGCGCCGGGTCCCGTGGCGGGCGCCCCTGCACCGCGGTGGGCGGGAGGTCGCATCAGTGTGGAGGTTCGGCGTCCGGTGCTGGTGTGGGCGCGGCGCAAAGGCGCGCGCGGTCGCGGGGACGGTAGCGAGGAGCGTGGCGACGACGAGGAGCTGCGCCCGAAGCCGCGCAGGCCGCCCGCGGGGGAGGACCGCCCGCCCTCAGCACAGGGTGGTGCTGGGAGGGTTGCGGGGGGTTCGCGGTCGAGTGGCAGGGGGGGGCGCGGGGGCCGGGGGGGCAGGCAGCATGGCAGGGGCGGGCGGGGGTCGGGGGAGAGCTCGCGGAGCCGCGACAGGAGTCAGTCTGACCGACAGGAGGCGAAGCGCATCAACAGAGCGATCACAGACGCGGCGAAGCTGCGGACGGCGGACGCGGTGACGGCGCTGCTGGAGGTGCACCGGGAGTATGGAGCGTGGTTTGACGCGATCCACAGGTCGACGTGGATCAACAGGGTGGCGGCGAAGCTGTCGAATGGTAGTTGGAGAGGGTTGAGGGTGGGGCAGACGGTGGAGGCGGTGGGGGTGGCAGGGGAGCTGGCGGGGGAGCTGGTGGGGATGGCAGCGAAGGCGGACACACAGGCGCTGGCGAACACGGTGTGGGGCGTGGCGAAGCTCGCCGACACCGACGCCAGGGCAAAGGAGGTGCTGTGCGGGGCGGGGGGCGCGGTGGAGGCGGTGAGGGCGCTGGCGGTGACACTGAGCGAGCAGCGCGCGGACACGCTGGACCTGGCGAACGCGGTGTGGGCCGTGGCCAAGCTCGCCGACACCGACGCCAGAGCAAAGGAGGTGCTGTGCGGGGATGGGGGTGTTATGGAGGCGGTGGGGGTGATGGCGGCGGCGCTGAGCAAGCGGCGTCGGGACGCAGACATGACCACACAGCACCTGGCGAACGCGGTGTGGGGCGTGGCCAAGCTCGCCGACACCGACGCCAGGGCAAAGGAGGTGCTGTGCGGGCGGAGGGTGTTATGGAGGCGGTGGGGGTGATGGCGGTGGCGCTGGCCAAGCGGCGCGCGGATGCGACTGAGCAGGCGCTGGCGAACGCGGTGTGGGGCGTGGCCAAGCTCGCCGACACCGACGCCAGGGCAAAGGAGGAGCTGTGCGGGCGGGGGCGTGGTGGAGGCGGTAGGGGCGATGGTGGCGGCGCTGAGCGAGCAGCGCACGGACGCGAGCACACAGGACCTGGCGAACGCGGTGTATGGCGTGGCCAAGCTCGCCGACACCGACGCCAGGGCAAAGGAGGTGCTGTGGGGGGGGGGGCGTCGTGGAGGCGGTGCGGGCGATGGCGGCGGCGCTGAGCAAGCGGCGCGCGGACGCGGACATGACCACACAGGCGCTGGCGAACGCGGTGTGGGCCGTGGCGAAGCTCGCCGACACCGACGCCAGGGCAATGGAGGGGCTGTGTGGGGAGGGGGGTGTTATGGAGGCGGTGCGGGCGCTGGCGGCGGCGATGGGCGAGCGGCGCGCGGACGCGACCACACAGGAGCTGGCGAACACCGTGTGGGCCGTGGCGAAGCTCGCCGACACCGACGCCAGAGCAAAGGAGGAGCTGTGCGGGGCGGGGGGTGTGGCGGAGGCGGTGGGGGCGATGGCGGTGACGCTGAGCGAGCGGCGTGTTGACACGAACACACAGGACCTGGCGAACGCGGTGTGGGCCGTGGCCAAGCTCGCCGACACCGACGCCAGGGCAAAGGAGGAGCTGTGTGGGGCGGGGGGCGTCGTGGCGGCGGCGCGGGTGCTGGCGGTGACACTGAGCAAGCGGCGCGCGGATGCGAACATACAGGACCTGGCGAACACGGTGTGGGGCGTGGCCAAGCTGGCGAAACCACGACCCAGCGGTCGCTGTCTGGACTTGGACGACGCCGTGGAGCGGGCAGTGCGCGTCATGATGCGCGAGCTGTACAAGCGCGGCGCGAACGATCGTCTGCGGGCGGTGTGTGTCGCTGTGCGCGAGGTGCCGGAGCTGTCGCACCTGGCGGACGAGTACGACGGGGTGTTTGAGTGACACCAGTGTCTGTCTACGTGCGACACCGAGGGAGGGGTGCGAACGCGCAGGAAGTCGCTTGACGATCGGGCTACGTGCAGTGCGGTGGTGGCATAGCATGACTCCGGCGTTGGGGATCCCGACGAAGCTGGCACACAATATGCAATTGTCAGATGTGAATGTTTCTAATTGTTGCCCTCTCTGCGTCCCCGCGCGGAGCACGCGGCCCGCCGCACAGCACGCGCGACCAAGCGCGACCGTGCGGCCGCGTCTGAGCAACACGCGCGTCCCGCGGCGCCACGGCATGCGCGAAATGCCGTACGACGCTCCTCGGCAGCACCGCGGTGCGTCGCAAGCGGGTGCTGCGGCGATCCGAGCGCCCGAGCAGGTTCTCGCAGCCCGGGCAGCGCCGCTGTGCGCCCCGCGGTCCCGCGACGCTGGATGCGCTCGCAGCGTCGGACCTGAGTCATCGTCGGGCCTCAGTACGACACGGACTGCGCTGCCGTTGGCGAGCGCCGGTGGGCGGGAGCGCGTCTGCGGAACGTGCCGCGGATGCTCTCGCTCGCCGGTCCGACAATATATTCCAGGACTGTGAGCCGGAGTGATGGAACGTGCCCTGACAACGGTTTGGTATGATGATGACCACTTCGACAGTCCCCCCCCGCGGTCCCGTGGCTATGCTCGCTCCGGAGCGCGTCGTCAGTGCAGATCGCGGGCTGCTGGAGCGGCGAGTACGGTTTGTGTCGTTGCGCGAACGCTCTCAGTGATGCAGGTTGGAGCGTCTATGGTGTACGCCCGCGGGCGGGCACGGGCGGGGCGTTTGGAGAGCATTTCGAGGGCCAGGGTCGGCAGCCAGGTACGCTGAGCGCTCGACGAGGTCGCAGAAACCGCAGATGACCCTCTGCGCTGCGGCAGGGCCGCCCGGCGCACTGCGCGTTGGGGCAAGGGTCGCTCACGCGTGGCGCGGTGTGTGCGTCGTGCGGGGTCGATTGCGGGTGCTGTGCGGACGTGCTGTATCCGAGACGACGTGGCCGCGCGGTGGCGCGGTGCCTGGCGGCCGCGGTGACGTTGGTGCGCGCCCACGCGCTGGTTTGGTACGCATGCCTCGTTTCCGGCTGACGGGGCGCGAGTGGGGTCTGACGGCGCTGTGCAGGGGATGATCGCACGGTCGATAACGCTGCGGACCGCGCCGGGTCCCGTGGCGGGCGCCCCTGCACCGCGGTGGGCGGGAGGTCGCATCAGTGTGGAGGTTCGGCGTCCGGTGCTGGTGTGGGCGCGGCGCAAAGGCGCGCGCGGGCGCGGGGACGGTAGCGAGGAGCGTGGCGACGACGAGGAGCTGCGCCCGAAGCCGCGCAGGCCGCCCGCGGGGGAGGACCGCCCGCCCTCAGCACAGGGTGGTGCTGGGAGGGTTGCGGGGGGTTCGCGGTCGAGTGGCAGGGGGGGGCGCGGGGGCCGGGGGGGCAGGCAGCATGGCAGGGGCGGGCGGGGGTCGGGGGAGAGCTCGCGGAGCCGCGACAGGAGTCAGTCTGACCGACAGGAGGCGAAGCGCATCAACAGAGCGATCACAGACGCGGCGAAGCTGCGGACGGCGGACGCGGTGACGGCGCTGCTGGAGGTGCACCGGGAGTATGGAGCGTGGTTTGACGCGATCCACAGGTCGACGTGGATCAACAGGGTGGCGGCGAAGCTGTCGAATGGTAGTTGGAGAGGGTTGAGGGTGGGGCAGATGGTGGAGGCGGTGGGGGTGGCAGGGGAGCTGGCGGGGGAGCTGGTGGGGATGACAGCGAAGGCGAGCCCGTGGGCGCTGGCGAACACGGTGTGGGGCGTGGCCAAGCTCGCCGACACAGACGCCAGGGCAAAGGAGGTGCTGTGTGGGGCGGGGGGTGTTATGGAGGCGGTGGGGGCGCTGGCGGTGACACTGAGCGAGCGGCGCGCGGACACGCTGGACCTGGCGAACGCGGTGTGGGGCGTGGCCAAGCTCGCCGACACCGACGCCAGGGCAAAGGAGGTGCTGTGTGGTGAGGGGGGCGTCGTTGAGGCGGTGGGGGTGATGGCGGCGGCGCTGAGCGAGCGGCGTCGGAACGCGGATACACAGGACCTGGCGAACGCGGTGTGGGGCGTGGCCAAGCTCGCCGACACCGACGCCAGGGCGAAGGAGGAGCTGTGTGGGGAGGGGGGCGCGGTGGAGGCGGTGGGGGTGATGGCGGCGGCGCTGAGCGAGCGGCCTCGGGACGCGGATACACAGCACCTGGCGAACGCGGTGTGGGCCGTGGCCAAGCTCGCCGACACCGACGCCAGAGCAAAGGAGGTGCTGTGCGGGGATGGGGGTGTTATGGAGGCGGTGGGGGTGATGGCGGCGGCGCTGAGCAAGCGGCGTCGGGACGCAGACATGACCACACAGCACCTGGCGAACGCGGTGTGGGGCGTGGCCAAGCTCGCCGACACCGACGCCAGGGCAAAGGAGGTGCTGTGTGGGGCGCGGGGTGTTATGGAGGCGGTGGGGGTGATGGCGGAGGCGCTGAGCAAGCGGCGTCGGGACGCAGACATGACCACACAGCACCTGGCGAACGCGGTGTGGGCCGTGGCGAAGCTTGCTGCCATCGACGCCAGAGCAAAGGAGGAGCTGTGCGGGGCGGGGAGTGTTATGGAGGCGGTGCGGGCGATGGCGGAGGCGCTGGCCAAGCGGCCTCGGGACGCGAGCACACAGGAGCTGGCGAACGCGGTGCATGGCGTGGCGAAGCTCGCCGACACCGACGCCAGGGCCAAGGAGGTGCTGTGCGGGGCGGGGGGTGTGGCGGAGGCGGTGGGGGTGCTGGCGGTGACACTGAGCGAGCGGCCTCGGGACGCGAGCACACAGCACCTGGCGAACGCGGTGTGGGGCGTGGCGAAGCTCGCCGACACCGACGCCAGGGCAAAGGAGGTGCTGTGCGGGGCGGGGGGTGTTATGGAGGCGGTGGGGGTGCTGGCGGCGGCGCTGGGCAAGCGGCCTCGGGACGCGAGCACACAGGAGCTGGTGAACGCGGTGTGGGCCGTGGCCAAGCTGGCGAAGCCACGACCCAGCGGTCGCTGTCTGCACGTCGACGACGCCGTGGAGCGGGCAGTGCGCGTCATGATGCGCGAGCTGTACGAGCGCGGCGCAACCGATGGTCTGCGGGCGACATGTGTCGCTGTGCGCGAGGTGCCGGAGCTGTCGCACCTGGCGGACGAGTACGACAGGGTGTTTGAGTGACATCGGCGTCTTGTGTCTACGTGCGACACCGAGGGAGGGGTGCGGACGCGCAGGAAGTCGGATGACGATCGGGCTACGTGTAGCGCGGTGCTGGCATGACATGACTGCTGCGTTGGGGATCCCGACGAAGCTGGCAGACAATATGCAATTGTCAGATGTGAATGTTTCTAATTGTCGCCCTCGCTGCGTCCCCGCGCGGGCGCGAAGCCCGCCGCACAGCACGCGCGACCGAGCCCGACCACGCGGCCGCGTCTGCGCCACACGTGCGTCCCGCGGCGCCACGTGGCCTGCGCGAAATGCCGTACGACGCTCCTCGGCAGCACCGCGGTGCGTCGCAAGCGGGTGCTGCGGCGATCCGAGCGCCCGAGCAGGTTCTCGCAGCCCGGGCAGCGCCGCTGTGCGCCCCGCGGTCCCTCGCCGCTCGATGCGCTCGCAGCGTCGGACCTGCGTCATCGTCAGGCCTCAGTACGACACGGAGTGCGCTGCCGTGGAGGCCTCATTGGCCCCGCCCGCGGCCCCCGCGGCCCAACAACAAACTACCATCGCCGTCCCGCCGACCCGTCCAGCCTCGAGCGCCCCGCACGACCCGCGCGAACGCCTCTTCTAGACCGGCCGCCTCCGCACCGACCGCGTCCCCCGGGCACCGCGACCTCGCGCGACTCGGCCCCGAACCGGTAGAACACGATGTCAGCTCGCATCTCGGCGCGAATCAGCGCCCCGCAGCGCATTGCTGCGCAGCCACGGGCGCTCCGGGCGCGCCCGGTGGCTCCGCGCAGGCTCTGCGTCACCGCCGGTGCGTTTCCGCGTCCATCCCGTCACGCCACGCCTCCACCCCGCCTACCCGTCGCCACGGCAAGGCGCAGCGGCCGTCGCGCCGGCGCTGGGACGGCTAGCGACGCGCACAGGCAGCGGCGACGCCAGCTGCATTGCTGCAGACGTATCCATCGTGTCTGCGCGCCTGGGGGCTCTGCTGCGAGACACGTCCAGCCCTGAGTGTCACATTGTCCCGCTCCCGCCCACTGCGTCCGTTTGACCGCGCTGAACCGAGCTCCGCGCTCCCCGGGCGCAAGAGCACGCATGCAACCGCCTCTCCGGGGCCGAACGCGGACGCTGGACCAGCAAAACACGGTCCGGCCCACCGGGACAGCGCGCTCACACACAGTCCCACGCAGCGGGCGACCCGTCCCGCCGTCCCCCCCACCGTGCGCGCGCACAACCGCACGTTTTGCCGCACCGCGCTGACTTGCCGCGCGCCGCCGCCCCGGTCGCTGCAGCCAAGACGATCACGACGACGGAGATCCCGAACTTCATCCACCGCGACGACCTGATGGACCAGCTCCGCACGTGGGCGACGATCGAGTGCATGAACCGCGGCGCGCAGAACTTCGGACTGCCGATGACGATCGAGGAGCAGTTCGACCGCCAGGACGACGAGGACGTGCTGTGGGGAATGACGATCAGCATCCTGCGCGAGGGCGAGCGCGCGTGCGACATATCGTTTGGGTTCGATTCGGAGTATACCGAGAAGAGTCAGTACCTGGACATGGACCCGGAGACCGGGATGCCGATCAAGGGCGGGAAGATCACGAAGATCAAGGGGAAGAACTTCGTCATCGAGAAGACCTGCGACCGGCCCGTCGACGACGAGCTGCGCGGCGTGATCCGCTCGCTGTGCGGCGGCGTGGCGGACGCGCTCGGGCGGTTCTACTCGTTCGGGTCGGTGTGGTCGGAGGACATCTGAGCGGCGAGCAGTGGCGGGCGTGTGACGCAGTTGTGCAGGAACGTTGCGGGAGCGACGTGGGCGGTGCAGTTGACGGCAGCGTGCGATGACGTAGCCTGTGGCGGGTGGGGGCGTGTTCGCGGCACGACGGGCACGGTGTCTCGCGCTGGAGGGACTCTGTGGTCCTCACGGTGGATTCGACCTCGGCGTTTCTCGATTCCGTTTTCACCACAAACGATCGCGATGATACGAAGGGCCACGATCGATCGCGCGCGTCACGTCAGCCGCGGCGAGTCCAGCACCGCGAAGCCCGCCGCGACGCCGCCCTCGTTGCTGCTCTCGAGCTTGGTCCGAATCAGCGTCCCCGCAGCGCAATTGACAGCGGGCGCGTCGCTGCCCACACGCACGTACGCGCCGTACACCCCCACCTCCGACAGCGAGTCCCCCTCCGCCCACACCCCCTCCCGCAGGAACAGCGTCTTGTTCACGGGCGGCCTGCATCCACCGCAACACAGACCTCCATCAACCGATGCGTACCAACACCCCCCGCGCACAACGCGCGACACCCCCCGCCTCGTGCTTGACGCACGGCCCGGCGTGCAACCACCGCGCGTGCGCACCTTATCCGCTCCATGAGAATGTACGCGCCCAGCTTCCTCCCGCCCGCCCGCAGCACCTTCGCCGCGTCCTCCCCGTACAGGTTGTTCCCGCCCCCCTCGCGCTGCGGCTTCAGCACGTACGCGTCGGGGTTCTCCAGCGCCTTCGCGATGACCCCGCGCGCCTCGGCCCCGTCGAACTCCTCGAACGACCACTGCCCCGCAAACACGGCGCGAAGTCCCCCCGCGTCCTGGTCAGACAGGAACCGCTCGAGAACGCCGGGGCGCGCGAGGTCCTGCTGGACCTTCTTCGTGCCCGCGAGCTGCTGCGCGAGGTTCGGGACCTTGGGCGCGTCGGACACCTCGAGCACGCGCCGCCCCTGCCAGTCGGACTCGGTGACAAAGTCCGCGGGGGTGTATCCCGCGCGCAGGTACGCCAGCGCGACGCGGCGGCCGCCGAGGGTCAGCGTGCCGTCGGACCCGACTTGCGCCTCGGCCGCGACCTGCGCAGGGCGGCAAGTATCGATCATTTGTGTTAGCAGGCGTTCAAATTGCGCGCTGTCTGTCGTTGCATGCAACGTCGCGACGCTGGCACCGTCAACGCAGTGTTTCGGAAATCCGGCGTCGCGAATCGCACAAATAATTCTGTCGGGATGTCGCAGAGCGGAGAGAGGCGGCACGTCCGTGTGTCGAAACGGCGCGGCGCGCTGTACGACGCACCTCCTTGAACAGCTTGCGGACGGTCCGCACGCCGTGGCGCTCCCAGAGCGTGCTCGCGATCCACTGCTGGTCGAAGGCGTTCCGCTCCCCGGGCTGCACGACCATCAGCACGATCGGCGCGTCCGGCGCGCTGCTCGCGCCCGGCCGCGGCGCCTCCCAGCCCTTGTGTGCGCAGTACCGCCGCACCGCCTCGCCCATGGCGTCCGCGAACCCCGCGAGCGGCTCGTTCTCCGGGAGATTATTCGCGTCGGCGTCCCCGGCGAGGATCCCGGGGTGTCGCAGCGCGAGGTAGCGGTGGAGCCGCGAGACGAGGGTGGACAGGGAGGCGAAGCTCGCCGCGATCATGTTGATCTCGACCTGGAGCATCCGCGTCGACGGTTCGTCGAGCATGTAGTCGGAGCGCGTCATGAGCAGCGTCACGGGGTCCACCATGCGCTCCGGGCCCACCTCGGCCTCGATGTCGTTCATGAGCTTCAGCAGGTCGCCTGTGAACGGGTCCTCCTGCGCGCGGGCCCGACGCCGAGCGACGCCGCTCTTTGTTGTATAAAAAAAAGGATCGCAGGCGCGCCGGGTCCGCCGGGGGCGTTGCGTGCGCTCCGTGCGTTGGCAGCAATCGATCGAGCTCAGGGCGGCGGGCTGCGGCGGGCCTGCGGACCTGCGCCGCGACCTCCAGCGTCTCGCGCAGGTACGCGCGGTCCCGCGAGACCGCGTCCATCAGGCTCGAGATCACGCCCGACAGCGCCAGCGCGCGCTCGTACTCGCGCCGCGGCAGCGCGACGGGCGACAGCGACACGGGCGCGTGCACGGTCGTGATCTGCACGCCCGACCCGGCCAGATCCGGCGCCGTCCCGCCGGACTTGGCGCCCATCACCAGCCCGTGCTGCGTCGCCCACACCACCGCGTCGGCGGCGAGCTCATCTGCGGCGCGGGGCGCGGGGGGCGGGACGGCGGGATCACAAGCGGCCGCGGGCGCTGTGGGGTGCGGGAGTGGCCTGCGGCGGCCAGGGCGCGGCGTGGGGCGGCGTGCAGATGCAGCGTGGGACGGAACGAGGTTGTGAGCACGGGATGGTCGGGGGGGAGACGGAGGTGGGCCGTGGGGCGAGGAAGTGAGCAGGTGGCCCGTGTGGTTGCGCGTTCGGCGCACGTTGCGTGCGGTGGGGCGCGTGCGCGGGCGGCGGAGCTGCCGGCAGCAACAGCCTGGCGACAACTGGGACGGTCCGTACCGATTTCGTCGTTTTTGAGCCCGAGCGCACAGACTGATACCCTCCTTGGTTCCATGGGCGTCCTGTGCGGCCGGTGTGGCCGCGCTGCGCGCCCCGCAGCGGCGGCGCGGAGGGGCACTCGGTGCACGGGCAACGGTGCCGCGCTGGCTCGGCGCGCCAGGCGGGCAACGTGTCCGCAAAGCGGCATCAGCGAGCTCCCCACGTCGCTACCGGCGGCATGCGCCGCCGCAGCCCCACGCCGGGCCCTCGAGGAGCGCCGTCCTACCTAGCCAAGCACCCGACACCACCACCCCGTCGCACCACGCGCGGTCCACGCAGCGCGGGGCAACGAGGCCTCGCACGGACGCAGAGCACAAGCACTCTCGCCTCCAGCAATACGACCGACCTCCCAACACTCCCCCCTACCAAGACAAAGCGAAACCACCCACAATGATGATGTCTCTGGGTGCGAGCCCCCACAGCCCACCTGACGCCGCACCACTCGCCTTCTGCTACCATCCCGTCCCAAGACCGCACCGCGAACGTGCCATCCGCGCCGTTTCACGCGGTATAACACATCAACGAGCGCGTGTGCAGGCTCCAAGGTGGCTGTCCGCCCGCTGTTCCGCTCCGCGATGCGGCCGCGGGCGGCGCGGTCGATGGCGGCGCGCGTGCAGGTAGGCCGGCGTCCCAGCTGCCCGTACACGCCCACTGCGCGGTTCCGCGGCCCGGGGCGACGCGGCGCGCGGCGCTGGCGTGGTCCTGGCTGTGCACTGGCTGAGACTGATCTGAGGGAACGCGGCGGCGTGCGTGGCGCGTGCAGGCGATCGCGGTCGGGGACAAGATGCCGGACGCGAGCTTCGCGTACTTCGACGCCAACGGCGACATGCAGTCCGTCTCCACCTCGGTGCGGCCCTGACCTCGAACACCACCAACCGCCGCCACACACCTCCGGCCCCGCACGCCGTGCGGCCCGCGGCGCGGGCCGATCCCGGCTCTCGGCCCGGAACCCGCCGCGCGGAGCCTCGCCCTCGCGCATGGCCACGCTGTCGCGGATTATCTTTGGAAAGAAACTGTTTTGATCGTCGCAAAACACGCGCTGTGTGCCGTTTGCGGGACAAGCGACGCGCCTCTCCGCATCGAGCGCCCCGGCGGCGACAGCAGCCGCGCCGAGCCCGCGCTTCCGACGGCCCCCGCGCCGCCGCAGGAGCTCTTCGGCGGCAAGAAGGTCGTGCTGTTCGCGGTGCCGGGCGCCTTCACGCCCACGTGCTCGATGCAGCACCTCCCGGGCTTCATCAACTCGGCCGACGACCTGAAGGCCAAGGGCGTGGACACGATCGCGTGCGTGTCCGTGAACGACCCGTTCGTGATGCGCGCGTGGGGCAAGGAGGTGGGCGCCGGCGACAAGGTCATGATGCTCGCCGACGGCTCCGGCCTCTTCGCCAAGGTGAGCGCACGCACGCCGAACGCCGCTGCTCGCTCCTTTCGTCGCAGTTCCAGACACAAATGACGTCTTTGATTCCGTCGTCAAATTGGTTGATTATATCATTTGCTATCTTTTGTTTGTTTGTACACGACGCCCTTTTTTGCGGCACGGTGTGTGTGGAGTCGCGGGCCGCTGCGCGGCCCCGCATCCGCGCGATGCGTGCGCGGCTCTCCGTGTCCATTTCGCGAGCTTGCGGGCTCGCACGACGCGGTGCTGCGAACACCGCTGCTCAACGTGGTTGTGTGGCCTTGGTGGTTGATTCACGTGTGCAGGCGATCGGGTGCGAGCTGGACCTGACCGACAAGGGCCTGGGCATGCGGTCGTGCCGCTACGCGATGCTGGTTGACGACGGCACCGTCAAGGTCGCCAACGTCGAGGACGGCGGCGCGTTCACCATCTCCGGCGCCGAGAAGATCATGGAGGCGCTCTGAGCGACCTGGCGGCGCTGAGGGCCGAGGAGAGGGCCTGGCTGGCCGCGGGTGCGCGGCCCGGGGCCCGCTGACCTTCGCGGCGCCCGGTGGTGCGCGGGGGGGCTGAGAGCTCTGGTCGCGTACCGCGGGTGTGTGAAGACGGAGAGAGTTGAGTTGCGGCGTGGAACTTCGAGCCTGTGGTGTGGGGTGGCCGTGGGCGGGACGTGTGTCGTTGCGCGGGGGCCGGAGGGGGGTGTTTTCGGTGTTGTTGTACCTGGTGGACCTCCTGGGAGAGAATGGCCGCGTACCGGCGCGACTCCGCTTTGTTCCGGGCGAAGTTGGTTTGGCAGGATGCTGCAGTCGCTGAGGCACTCGATCGGGGCGTCGCGCGCGGCGCTGGCGGCCGGTGCGGTCGGCCTCGCGGCAGTTGGGGCCACAGTGTGGGAGACCCCGTTCAGCACCGCGGCGGCGAAGTCACCCGAGGCCGCTCTGAGCCCGAAGGAATGGAGGGTATTCAAGCTCGCGTCGCGCAAGCAGCTGACGCACAACACCCACTTCTACCGGTGCGTGTCCTGCACACCTCTGAGCTCGCGCGGGCTGTGCCGCGCGATGCGCCGCGATGCGAGGCCGGCGTTCGAGCCGCATGGTAGAGCGTGCCGCATCCCCCGAGCAGCGCACAGCGTCGTCGAGTAACCGCGCCCGGAGAGGCCGCGCGACGGAGTTGTGCTGGTCCTCGGTGCAGCACAGCGCTCCACCACGGGCCTCGCTCGGTCATCCAGAATCAGGCAGTGTCCCCGTTCACCGTATTCGCTATCTGTTCGCACACCCCCACCTCCACCGCACGCGCGTTCTTCAGGTTCGAGCTGCCGGAGGGGACGACAGCGGGCCTGACAACAGCCTCCTGCCTGGTGACCAAGGGCACGACGCCCGCCGGCGAGACCGTCATCCGGCCGTACACGCCCACCTCGCTCAACGACGCCGTCGGCCACCTCGACTTCGTGGTCAAGGTGTATGAGAAGGGCAACATGTCGAAGATCTTTGGAGACCTCAAGGCAAGCCCACGCCCGCACGCACGCCCACACGCACGCCTGCGCCCACACGCAGCGCGAGCGCGTCGCGAGCAGCCCCGCGCGCGCTCCCCCGGCCCGCACAGCGGCTCTGTTGCTGTCGATGACGCACCGACGCTAATCGCGACCGCTCTCCGCGCGCCTGGCCCGTCCTCGCGCGAGCGACTCGCGGCACAGCACGCAGAGATGGAAGACGAAGACGCTGATCGCGGATGCTCGGGGCACCCCGCTACGCCGTGCGTTCAAGCATGGCGCCGCGCACCACCCCGACGCGCGCAGGTCGGGGAGTCGATCGAGATGAAGGGGCCGATCCCGAAGCTGCCGTACGAGGCGAACAAGTACAAGGAGGTCGGGATGATCGCGGGCGGGTCGGGCATTACGCCGATGCTGCAGATCATCCAGGAGTCGCTGCGCGACCCGCGCGACAAGACCAGGCTCTCGCTGATCTTCGCCAACGTCGAGGAGAAGGACATCATCATGAAGGACCGCCTCGACGAGCTCGCCGCCAAGCACAGCGACCGGTTCTCGGTGTACTACGTGCTGAACAAGCCGCCCAAGGTGCGCGGGAAAAACAATAAAAATCAAAACACCTCCCGGGGACGCCAGAAGTGTCGAAACGGAGAATCTCGCGTCTCGCATCGCCGCGATAGATCGACGTATGCGTCGTCGGTGCTTGTGCGTCCGTGCAGGGTATTTTCGGGATCGGCGGGTGGAAGGGCGGCGAGGGGCACGTGAGCAAGGAGCACATCAGGGCGCACATGCCCGCGCCCAAGGACGGGTCGATCGTGTGCGTGTGCGGCCCGCCGCCGATGATGAACGCCATCTCCGGGGACAAGAACCCCGACAAGAGCCAGGGCGAGGTCCAGGGCATGCTCAAGGACCTGGGCTACACCAGCGACACTGTGTACAAGTTCTGAGCGCCGCCTCGACGCGCCTAGACTCTCCCTGCGATGCGACGAGCGTGTGACCGTGATGCCGCGTGCGCCGCCGTCACACTCCCGCCGCCTGCGCCTCCCCGCCCTGCGGCGCCCCCGCAACACTCGCGCCCGCCTCCGGTGCCGCCGCCGCGCTCCCCTGCGCGCGCGCGAGCGGCAGGTACCACGTCGGATCGAACCCCGCCTCGGCCCGCGCCGCGTGGTTGAATGGCGGCTTGAGGCTCCCGAAATTCCCGGTCATCAACGCGTGGAAGAAACCGGCGACGTTTTCGTGTTTTCGCGCCTCGAGCGCCCACGCGCCGTCCGCCTCGCCCGCCCGCGCGTGCAGGTGCTTGAGCCACCGCACCCCCGCCGCGCAGTGCGTGATCTCTTCGGGGTACACCGTGCCCTCGAGCAGCGCCGCGGTGTCCTCGTCGCCGCCGCGACGCATGCGCGCGATGGTCTGCGGGAGCACGTCGAGGCCGCGGGCCTCGTGCGCGCAGTGCTCGACGGCGAGCCGCGCCGGGAGGGACCCCGCCGTTCGCTCCGCGGACTCCCACAGGCCGTCGTGCGCGGGCATGGCGCCGTAGTGGGAGCCCATGGCCTCGAGACGGGCGGCGAGGAGCCGGAAGTGCCTGGAGACGCAGGCGGAGAAGGCGAGAAGAACAATCGGCGACGAGTAATTGATAGATGATGAGTATTTGTTGGGTTATAGGCGTGGTTGTACCTGCACTCGTCGTCCGCGACGGTCACGAAGTCGTCGAAGAACTCGCGGGGCATCCCGTAGCCCTCCGGCCCCGCGCCCGCGCTCGCGCCGGGCTGTGCGAACCGGGCAATGATGTCCCACGACAGATCGACCGCCCAGCTCTCGATGTGGCACAGAGAGTGCACGATGCTCCGCCGGCTCTCGAGGGACCCGCCCTTCCCGCGCCTCGGCATCGCGCCGGGCGCCAGCAGTCTGACTTTGTCGCTCCGGGCAGGCTTGTCGGGGACGGGGTGCGTCACGCCCTCCCTGTAGATGGCGCGGACCTCGCCCGACCGCCACAGCTTCACAGCGGCGTCTGCGAGCGTTCGGAAGGCGCCAGACGCGTGAGTGAAGCATCCTCGCGCGAGGAAGCGCTCGCGCGGTGCGTGTTTGATGTGGCGCGAGGCTTGCCTGAGACGTTGGCCTTCTCCCAGGGGTCCGCGACGTGGAGGACCTTGAGCGCGAGCTCGACCAGGGTGTCCTCTGGGCCGGGAGGGGACGTGAGGTCGACCATCTCGGTTCTACAGCGCGCCGCCGGGCGCGCGACTGGCCCACGGTGTGCCCGCAGGCCCCAACGGTCGTTCTGAGGGAGGGGCGCGAGTCGCTGCGGACGCTTGGGATAGCTGTGATCGTATAGAGGACAGCGCGCCCGCGTTGCGAGCTGGCGGTGGGAGCGCAGCCCCAGGCGGCCGCCGCGAAGGAGCACCAGCTACGACAGGGGCGCAGCGGCGACAGCACGGTGAGTTACGCCGAGGGTATCCGGTCTCCTTGCGTGCTCTGAGTCGATGAGGCTGGCGTTGCATCGCGGGTGCGCTGTGCCGGCGCTACGCGCCAATAACGGCGGGCTCCCCCCCCCTGCAGTGCACAAGCGCGGCAGCCCGACCGGTCCGTCTGGACGCGCTTCCGCGATGATCGGGGACGTTTGTGCGGGAACACGCGTCGTTCACGGGCTGTCAACAACGCCATGGCCAGGCAGCACGGCGCCGCCCAGGGCGGCCCTCTTCCCGTGTCACACGGTGTGCGTTCGACGATGTGTCCGTCATGTCGCAGTTCTAACAGTGCGTCGTCGTAACCGCATCACCAGATGACACGAACACGCGCGCGGCCTGGAACGTTCCCGCCGCGCCGCACGTGCGGGACACCCCCCCCTCCACACCCCCCCCGCCCCTCTCATCGCTTGCGGCGCTGTCCTTCTGCCCCCCGTCACCCGCAGCCACAGCGAGCAGGCTCGGCGCCACCGCACCTACTAGCGGCGGCGCTTCTCCCTGGACCCGCGCACCCCTAAGCTCATGCCCCCCACCCCCCCGGGGGCCTCGCCGACGTCCTTCGCACGCACCGCCGCTGCACCCACGCCCGCCGCCGCCGCCTGCCCACCGCACTGCGGCGCCCCACTGGTGCTCACTTCGTCCTCGGAGCCGCTGACGAACCCCATGTTCCGCAGCTCGCCGATGAGAGCCTCCAGCGAGCGGTTCGGCACATACGGCCGCTCCGCCGGGATCCGCTCGCGCGACACCGGGTCCGTCGCCGCCTTCCCGCGCTCCTTGGCGAACTGAAGGAGCTTGTCCGCGCACGCCTTGCAGTAGGAGCGGCCGCTGTTGGTGCACAGCATCACTGGCACGCGCAACACGTCGAGGCAAATCCCGCAGATCGCGTCGTCCAAGGGGTGCGCAGCTTGCGCCGGCTGCACCGGGGGCTCTAGCTGCGCGGCTTCGCCGAACAGGGAGGCCTCTCCGAGCAGGCGCTCGAGGGACGAAACATCTTGCCCAATGTCGCCACTGAACGAAAATGCGCCCGACGTCACGATTTCGAGCTCCGGCCACTTCCCGCACGTGATGAGGCGCCGCACGACGACGCGCACGCGTGCGAAGCGGCCGAGGGCGCTCCCCGGCGGCGGGAACGGCCCCCGCAGCTGCAGGTGCAGCTTGCGCTCCAGCATGGGCAGCAGCTCGTCAGCTTGCTGGGCGATCGCGACGCCCACCTTCTCCATCCGGGCCCGCGCCTGCGCTCGACGTGAAAGTTTTGCACCTGTCAGTGTGTTTGCGGGCCCTGGGAGGCCGCGAGAGGCTCGGAGCGGGCCGTACCTGGTCGTTTAAAGGGGCGGCCATGTCGCGGACGGTGCGCGAGAGGTCCCGCAGCGATCCTGCGAGGCTGGGTGCCGTCTCGACTTCGGGGAGAAACGAGCGCTTTTTCCTCTCAGCGACCTGGCTGGCCAGCACGGCCTTGACCTCGACCAGGATCGAGAGGAGCTCCTCCGCCGCGTTCAGCGTGGCCGCATCTGCCCTTTGGCAGCTACAGCGCATGATCGCAGCACGGAGCTGCTCGCGCAGTCCCCTCAGCGCACGCACTGCCTCGGGCGGCCGCAGAAGCTGCGGTTGGATTGCGACGGGAACGGCGAGCGTGAGCGGCGTATGCGTGTCGATGGAGGCTTTATTTCGCATGAATATCGGCCTCAAAATCATGACGCGGACATATGCGTCGTCGTTGCGTCCAGACACGCTGAACACGCTCCGAAAGCGCGCACTCCTTCTGCTGCAGGAGCTTCCGGCACGATGGTGCGGGGCGCGGTGCAGCACCTCTCGGTCCACGCGGTCGAGTCTCTTGCGCAGCACGCAGTCCAGGGCTTTGACAGTCAGACGTAGAAGCACGACCGCCGACGGGGTCTGCGAGGCCATGTTGAATGACCGCTGAACGGAAGTACGCGAATCTACGCAGTCGGTCCGCCGCAGGGAATGCGTGCGAGGCAGCCCGCACGCGGTGTCGGCGGTCGGCACCGTCGCTCGGCCTCGAGCAGCCCTCCCAAGCGCCGCGGGGGGGGTCTTGACCACCGCCGCGTCCACACCTCGTCCTGACGTCGCGGGGCGCAACACGTGCGCGCGCTCGAAGCGGACGCCCACGTCGGACGCCAGCCACGGGAACGCCTGCGGCTTCCTCGCCGCGGTCGTCCCGTCGGTCCGTGACCCAGCCCACGAAGTGCACCTGACACACAAGTTGCAGGGGCCGCACGCGGCGCCCGGTGCGGCCCGCGGGCGCAGGCGAAGCAGCTGGATGACGGGCGTCTCCCAGGCTGCTCGTGGTGCGAGCCGCGACGCGGTGGCCTGTGTCAGGGCGACCTGACAGCAAGTTGTACCTGCGGCGGTTGGGCCCAGCCTGCATCCGACGAATCCGCGCGTTCCGGCGCACTTCAGACACTTTCGCGCGGCGAGAATACGAGTCGGTTGATACTTGATACCTCTATTGTGAGAGCCTTGGATTTTGACGTCGCACTGCCTTGCATTTCCGGTCGCGGCATCCCAGCGAGCCTGATGGACGTTGCCCAGCTGCAGGACTGGCTGGACCAGGGGCCGAAGAAGGTGCGCGCGCGGCGATTGTCTTCTCCATGGGCTACGCGATGCTTGCCAGTTCCCCACCGGAGGCGCGGCGGGCGCTGCGAACGGGCCGAGCTGGCTTTTGCAGTGGTTTTGGCGGCCGTGCCATCGCTCGAGAACGTCTTGAAAGCCTTGTTTTGCGGACTTATCTTGGCGTCAATTCCTACGACGTGCGATATCGGCGCTCAGAAAGGTCGTATCTTTCCTCGCGCAGGAGCTTGACCTGGAAGGGGGCTTTGTGCACGGCAACGGTCGCGACACAGTCGACGTGACGCGGCCGGACCTCGTGATCCGGAACGCGTACATCCGCGGGGTGCGGATGTACGTCCAGGAGCCCGGGTCGGGCCTCACCATGGAGAACGTCGTCCTGCGCGACTACCACAACAACTCAGAGGGTGCGTTGGTCTTGTGCGGCCGCAGTTTCGCCTTCCAGGGCGCCGCGCGAGCCACAGCGCTCTGCGGTCACGCTGTGCCAGCGTTGCGTGCGCGCTGAGACACCCCCGAGGGACTCTCACTGCGACATCCGTTGGCGGTGCGCCGCGTGTGCAGGGGGGCTCGTGGGGGTGGTGCAGGTGCACGGTGCGACGAACGTGCGCATAAGGAGGTGCAAGATGAGCAACGGGGTCGGGCGGGCGTGCTGCGGGCTGTACGCGACGGACGGAGCGAAGGTGCGGCGTCGGGCGATGCCGTTCTGTGTACCGACAACGACGGCCCCGTGCGGAGCGCTGACGCGCACGCGACGGCTCTGCGCGCGCAGGTGTACGTGGAAGGGAGCGAGTGCTGCAACAACGGGGCGTCGGGCGTGTTCGCGAGCGTCCCCGGCACGGAGGTCCAGTTGAAGGACACGAAGTGCAACTACAACGACAGACGCGGCGTGACGGCGCGGCAGGCCGCCAAGGTGAGCAGCGCTGCATGATTCGATTTTGTTCGGGCGGACTGCGTCGCTCGCAACGACGTCCCGGGCCCGCGCTGCGCCTGCCGGCGCCGGGGGTGTCTGCCTGCAGCGCTGACGGGGTCGTGGCCGCGCGGTCCTCGCAGGTGACGATCGAGAACGGCGAGCTGTGTTACAACTTCGGCGACGCGAAGGAGTCGTCTGCTCTCGGGAAGATCCAGGTCGCGGGCAACGTTCATTTCGAGCACAACATTTGGCAGTAACGCAGCGATTCTGGGGGGGGGAGTGAAGGGCGTGTGAGAGCCGCGCGGAGCGGAGCCACGCCGTCCTCACTCGGCGGCCGGCGCTGCACGATTGAGCCATCTGGCTGCGTGCACTGCAAGGTATGAAAATGCTGTCATCTCGACGGGCTCGGCGCCGTCCGGTGCGGATACACCTCGCGCTTCTCGCGCATGTCTGGCGCTCCGCGAGTCTTCGGGGACGCCTTCGCGTGCCTCGACGCCACAACGCCCGGGGCAGGGGGGAGTATATGTCAGTTACCTTGGACGCACCGAACTCCCCCAGAGTCCGTGCGCCGCCCCTCTAGGCCGCACAGCGCGCACTGCAAGGCCCAGATGTCGTCGGCCAGCACGTCGGTGCACAGGGACGCGGCTTCTGCGACTTGAGGCACGCACAGGAGCTTCGATCACAATGGAGGTCGCTGGCACGGCATCGATGACTCCGGTGGAGCTGCAGGACGAGATTGACGCGAGCGGGAGTAGACAGATGCGCCCCTGGTCCGTTCTGTGCGTGGCGCGTGCCTCGTCGGGGGCTTCGGGCGGTCGCGAGCGGATGTTGTTGCCGTTATTTCTATGCGGGCCTAGCGCTCCGCGCGGTCCTCATTGCGGTGGTACTCTGCCCGTGAAAGAGCACCACAATATATGTTCAGTCACCTGGGGGCATGAAAGCGCGACTTTGCGTCGTCTCGGCCCTCTATCGCCGTGGTTTCCAGGTGCTCGATCTGGGGGGGCGACTGGTGCTCGGCAGCGGTCGCGAAACTGTGGCAGTGACGCGCAGAAACCTGACGCTCCGGAACGCGTACGTCCGCGGGGCGCGGCTGATGGTGCGCGAGGCGGGCTCGGGTCTGCGACTGGAGAACGTTGTCTTCGAAGGCCCCTGCGACGTGACGGACAGCGAAGGTGCGGAGAATCGCCGCGAACCTCGCATCTACGAATACGGAGAGGCCGCCGCGCTCGCCCTTGTCGACCGCTCACTGCGCTGCGGAGCCCGCATCGCCAACGGGAAATGGATCGTCACGACGCGGCCGCGGGAAACGGAGGACGCTCCCAGGCCAGTGCATCGTCGGCGTAGACAACGGCCGGAAGACCATCTCTTGATTTTGCTGTTCCGGCCGTTGTCATCTCCCACGATGCACTGGCCTGGGAGCGTCCTCCGTTTCCCGTCACGGCAACGCTCACCGCGCATGGTGGCGGGTCCGGGGCCGCGTGCGTTCGAGCCAGCGCCGAGACCTCGCCAAGCGCGCGTCCTGCAGGCGGGCTCGTCGGCGTCGTGCAGGTCCACGCGGCCAGGGACGTGCGCGTTCGGAAGTGCAGGCTCAGCGGCGGTGGAACGGCATGCTGCGGGCTGTACGTCGCGGACGGGGCGCAGGTGCGGTCGCCCCCCTGCGCACGAGCTGTCGCGTCGCGGCCTGACGTGAGCAAACGCGACGTGGCGCGCACGGAGAGGGTTGTGTGCAGGTGCTGGTCGCAGAGAGCGAGTGCCGCGACAACCGCGCGTGGGGGGTGTTCGCGACCGGCGCGGGCACGAAGGTCGCGCTGTTGGACTCCAACCTCGACTCCAACGCGACCGGAGCGTCCACCGTCCGGCACGGTGCCAGGGTGCGCCGCGCACACGTACAGGCAGCCCGACGCGCCGTTCCCGCAACTGACGCGCGCAGCTGATCCAGCCTGGCAGCTGCAGATGTCAGAGTCGCAGCGGGGCCTGCTTGCAGCTGTCGGACGCCTCCGCTCACGCGCAGGGGCCCGCGCAACAACAACAACATGAGCTTGGCGTTGGTGCAGGTCGCGTGGGAGAAGGGAGGCGCCGCGACCACGACGCTGACGGGCGCAGGATCGCAGGTGTACCTCGCGTGCGCCTCCTGAGGACTCGACGCGCAGCTGGGAGCCACATGGGAGCAGATCCGCACATCGCGAGAGAGAGTTGGGAGTTGGAGGGTTGCTGGTGATGCGGGCACGTGTGACCGCGGCCGCTATGGCGCACCGTGTACTGCAGGTGCTGATCCCGCTGCCGCAGGGGGCTTGCGTCCGACCGTCGCAACTTTGCTGAGTCATCCCAAACAAACATCCCCCCCTCTGTCAGCCTGGTCGCGCCGTGAATGCCGGCGCGCGCGGGTCGCTCCGGCAGGTCGGCCACATCCCCCGCAGGACGCACAACGGCTGCTCGAGTGCGTCGCCGGCACTGCAGACCATCGCGTGTGCAGTGAGGTGCTCCTCGCCCAGCAGGCATCAGCGCGGCGCTCCGGCGTCTGTTCGGCCGTGTCGGTTCGTCCGGGGATCGCATCGCTCCCGGGCTTCTCGTTTTGACCCTTGGAAGGCAGAACGCGTGGAAAGTGATCCGGTGCGCGCGGTGCGTAGTGGCGTAGCAGCATGGGGAGGCAGCCGCGCGTCGAGGGGATGGGCGAGGCGCTCATCCCCGCCATCAACAAGCTCCAGGATGTGTTCAACCAGGTGCGGGGCGGAACCAGCGGATGTGCGAGGGAGCAGCTGCCAGCGGGGCTACGCGCCCTCAGCTCAGTGCCACACCGTGAGAAGAGCCCGTGCGTAGGGACATCGCGTATTTCTCGAGTCTAGAAGCATGTCTACACCACGTCCTTCTCGGTCATGCGGCAACGGTACCTCTGGAGCCACGGAAACGACGGAGCCGCGTGCTGATGCAGCGCTGGCTGGCGCGATGCGTTTTCAAAGCTAGCGCTCCGCACCGCTCGTCATGAACGTTTTCCTTGCTCTCGCGGACGCCTCGAGACTGTACAAGACGCCCTGGCGCGGATGAAGCGACGCCAGACGCCGCGTGCGGCCGGAGCGCCTCTCAGTGCCTCGCCCTGCCCTCTTGGTGCCGCAGGCGAGCGTCAACCTGCAGCTGGACCTCCCGCAGGTCGTCGTCATCGGGTCGCAGTCCAGCGGGAAGAGCTCCGTCCTCGAGGCGCTCGTCGGCCGGGACTTCCTGCCCCGCGGCCCGGACATTTGCACGCGCCGCCCGCTCGTGCTGCAGCTCGTCAAAACGTCGCCGTCAGAGGTCCGTTCCCGCCCCCATTCGCCGCCCGGACCGCTCCTCCTCAGCCTTCCCTGCTTTTCCAGCGCGTCCGACCTCCCTGCCCGGGCCTCTGGGCGCATGAGACGGGGCCAGCAGCGACGGTTGCGGACGCCCTCACGTGCGCCATTGGCTCCCGGCGCTGACGTGTTCGGCGACGCCCTGCCCTCCGGCGCGTCGACGCAGGGCGGTCCGGAGGGCACGGAGTGGGGGGAGTTCCTTCACTGCCCCGGGAGGCGTTTTTTCGACTTTAAGGAGATCCGCCGCGAAATCGAGGCGGAGACCGACCGCGTCGCCGGCAGCTCCAAAGCCATCTCTGACAAGCCCATTCGGTGCGCCACGGCCCCCCCCGCCCCTGCTTCCCGCGCAGCGCCGCCCGCGCAACGCCCCCCACCGCCACGACCCCCCCCCCCGGCCCCGCCCCCGCAGGCTCAAGATCTGTTCGCCGGAGGTCCTCACGCTCACGCTCGTCGACCTCCCGGGCATCACGCGCATCCCCGTCGGCGACCAGCCCTCGGACATCGAGGCGCAGGTCCGCGCGATGATTGCGTCGTACGTGCGGCACCCCACGTGCCTCATCCTGGCGGTCTCCGCGGCGAACGCGGACCTCTCGAACTCGGACGCGCTCGACGTCGCGCGCGCGGCCGACCCGGGCGGCGTCCGCACCATCGGCGTCCTGACTAAGGTCGACCTCATGGACCGGGGGACTGACGCGGCGGCGGCGCTGCGCAACGAGGTGGTCCCGCTCAAGCTCGGGTACATCGCGGTCGTGAACCGCTCGCAGCACGACGTGCAGAGCGGCACGCCGATCTCGCGGGCGCGGTCGGCGGAGTCGGGGTTCTTCCGGGGGCAGGCGGCGTACGCGGGGCTGCTGGACCGCTGCGGGACCGCGGCGCTCGGGCTGCGGATCAACGCGATCCTCGTGCACCACATCCACGCGCTGATGCCGCAGCTGAAGCAGCAGCTCGAGGCGGCGCTGGCGGAGCGCGTGCGCGAGCTGACGTCGCTGGGCGACGCGCTGACGGAGGGCGACTCCCCCGCCGCGCAGCAGGGGCTGCTGCTCAAGGTGCTCCAGGGGTACAGCGAGCGGTTCGCGAGCATGGTGCGCCGCACCGTTCGATGTCATCGTGTTGCGTGCAGACATCCATGTGGTGGTGGCGCGGCCGCCGCCGAAGCTGTCCGCGCTCGCTGCGCCGGTTTGGCTGATCCGCGGCCGCTGCCACGCCGCAGCGAGCCGTCATGAGTTCGGTGTTGCCACCTGTCGAACAACGATTCGTGTTGGGCACTTTTGAAACGTGGGTCGTTGTGCTTTCTGACAGTCAGCCGAACTCCCGCCCGGCCCCGCGCAGCTCGACGGGCGCTCCGAGGACCTCCCGACGTCGGAGCTCGCCGGCGGCGCGCGCATCCGGCACGTGTTCGAGAAGACCCTGCGTCAGGAGCTGGAGGCCTTGGACCCCCTGTCTGACCTGTCAGACGAGGACATCCGCACCGCCGTGGCCAACTCCGGGGGCGTCAAAGGTGCGCAGGGGCGCCCGCACGCGGCGACCACGCCGGGTGGGAGCGGCGACGAGCGCACAACACGTCGAGCGGGGCCGTTCCGATTCCGCGAGCGACGGACTCGTCGCCGAATCGAAGCTCCTGCCCCGATCCGAGCCCGCTCTGAGCGTGCTCTTCGTTTCTGAAACACCACACGCGCCCAACACGAAACACCCCCCCGGGCATGACATGACGCAGGCACGCTGATGATCCCGACGGCCCCGTTCGAGATCCTCGCGCGCGCCGCCATCCGCCGCCTCCTCCCCGCCGCCCTCCGCTGCAACCACGTCGTCCACGAGGAGCTCCTCCGCATCGCCGCCGCCAGCCAGGGCCCGGAGGTGGCGCGCTTCCCCGCGCTGCAGCGCCGGCTCGACGGCGCGGTCACGGAGCTCATCGCGCTCGGCGCGGGGCCGTCCGAGCGCATGATCCGCAACCTGATGGAGTGCGAGCTCGCGCACATCAACACATCCCACCCTGACTTCGTGGGGGGGTCTCAGGCGGTGGCGCTCGTCATGCAGCGCCGCCGGGCCGTCGGGCCGCGGTCGCACCCGCTCGGGAGCGCGCCGGCGGACTGGGACGCCCCGCGCGGCCGCGGTCCCGCGGACGGCGGCGCCGCCGCGCAGGGGGGGGGTGTTGAGCAGCCCGACGCAGGGCGGCGCGTGTTCGGGCTGCTCGGGCCCCGCGAGCCGCGGCCCGCGGCGGCGAAGGACGGCGCGGACGACGCGCCGCGCTCCGCAGGGTTCGGCGCGGTCCTGCGCAACCACAACGGCGGCCACACCCCTGGGGGGACTCCCGGCACGGCGCCGCACGACGAGCGCGCCGAGGCGAGTCCGGCGCCGGCGCGGGCGCTGGAGACGGAGGGGGACTGCGCGGTCGAGGTCACGCGGATCCTCGTGTCGTCCTACTTCGAGATCGTGCGGGGGAGTTTTGCTGACTCAGTGCCCAAGGCCATCATGTGCTTCCTGGTCAACAAGAGCGTCAAGGAGCTGCACCACCACCTCATCGCGTCGCTGTACCGCGAGGAGCTGCTCCCGGGCCTGCTCGCGGAGCGCGACGACGTCGTCGGGCGCCGGCAGCAGTGCTCGGCGGCGGTGGCGGCGCTGCGGGAGGCGGTGCGGATCCTGGAGCGCGTGCCGCGGGAGCTGCAGAAGACGATGTCGGTGTCGCAGTCGATCAGCATGACGAGCGGGTCGCTGTCTGCGGCCGCGAAGCCGCGGCGGCCTGCGTCGTCGGCGGCGACGAGGATGGTGCGAGGGGGGGGTATTGAAGACGCGCCGCTGGTGGCGATGCAGGCGCGCGCCGCCGCGTCGCGGCGGTGAAGGACGCGGAGCCGGGAGCGGGCGGGGCGTCGCGTCTCGTCGCAGCGACGGGCCAACCAAGGTTGAACATCGACACAACGTTGTTACGGTGTCTGTGTGGCGACACTGGGCATGTGCGCGGCGCGGGGATGCCAGGATCCTGCGTGTGACGTCGTCGCTTCGCGCTGGGTGCCAGAAGCGTTCCGTTCGGTCCAAAAGTAGCAACCTGGTTGCACACCGTGCAATGCACCTGCGCAGGTTCCTGCGAACGCGGCGCTCGCCGCGTCGGCCGGATTCCGCGCGTCGTGGCGGTCTCGTCCGCCAAGGGCAGCGACGCACCAGGCGGCACTGGCACGGCGCGGGAGCCCAGCACGCATACGGCGCCCTGCAGCAACCCGAGTGACCGACGCGACACTGAGCGTCACAGCGCTACGCATGGCCTTTCCAAGGGCATCTCTCTCTACGTGTGCATGCAGTGCGTGCGGGTGCGCCCGCCCCCTACGCTCCCCGGTACGACCGGCGGTACGCCGAGGGCACGTGCGAGCCGAGGTTGCGCCCCAGGCCGCCCTCGTGCGCGTCAGGCGTGCGCTTCGGCCTGCGCATGCTCGGGTCGCGCGACAGCGCCACCCCCGCCGGCTCGGCTCCGACAGCCATCTCTGCACACGCACAACAGCATCGCAACTCATGGTCACGTCCGAGCCGCTCAAGCGCCGCAACGACGCGCGTTCGATCGCGAGGAGCGGGCCCTTGCGAATCCTGAGCCGTCGCGCGGGGTTCTGGGCGGCGGGACGCGTCGCGGCGGCCGCGGTGGTGCGATGAGACGAGGTGGTTGGGCAGGTGAGCGCGGACCTGTGGCGTCGGGGTCGAGGGGCTCGCTGAGGCGGGCGAAGTCGTCGTAGAGGTCGACGGTGCTGCGGAGGTCGTGCACCGCGTACGGGGGCTCGCTGTCGGCGTCGCGCGGCTGCGAGGCGCTGGGGGCCCTGCGCTTTCCCGTCCCTGCGGCGGCGTGGGGGGCGCGTCGTGCGGGTGTGGTGGTCTGGGGGGCGAGGGGGCGGTGTGGAGGGACCCGCGAGGGGGAGTAAGGGCAAGTTGTCGCGGTGCGGCGGCCGGGAGGGGGTCGGAAAGTGGACGGGTGCAGGTGCAGCGAGAGCGGGCCAGCGCGTTTCGTGCGCCGCGTTTCGTGCCCGTTCGGCGCGCTGACGTGGATTGCGGAGCGTGAGAGACGTGGGAGCGGGGTCGAGAGGTCGGGACGCGCGCGTGGGCGCGTCGCTGGGCGCGGAGAAAGTTGAGTGAGGGAGGCGGGGCCTGTTTGTCGCGCACAGCTCGGTTCGACGCGGCCGCGCGCGAGAGGGTGGTGACGGCCTTGTGTGAGCGGGGGGCTGTGTCGGCGCGCGTCGTTCGCGGCGGGTTCGCGCGTCGCGGCGGGAACTGAGGTGGCAGTGGGCGCGTCGCAGCCGAGAGCGGCGCGTACGCGCTTCGCCGTGCGTCGCGCCGCGATGAAATTTGCAGCTGGATGTCTTGTAAAGAGGTTGGGCACGTCGCGTCGCGTGGGCGCGGCCTACGCGCCCCCCCACGAGCGGCAACCTGAAAGTTCGCATCAAGCGTGTGCTGCCACGCGCGGAACGCGGCCGGCCCAAGGGTCCCCGCGCACGCAGGGGGGCGGGCCCGCACCTGGGGAGTCCTCGCCGGGGAAGCTCATGATCTCCTCAGCGATCGGGCGCTGCACCGCCGCAGTCGTGGTGCGGCGCGCCACGGGGCGTGCGAGCCCCGCCGAGGCGCGGCACTGCGAAGCGCGGCAGACGTGCTGCGTGTTCCCGGCCGCCGCCCGCGTGGGCATCGGCGACAGGACGGGCATTCCGGGCCAAGCTGTGCTCTCGCAGAGAGCACTGGGCGGGGGGTGTTCCGAGCGCCGCGAGAGGCTGCGGGGCGGCGTGCTAGCGAGTCTGACCGCAAACTAGCCCGGGGCCGCGCGCACGAGCCGCCTTGGGCGCCGTGGGCTCCGCAACGCCGAGATCCGCTGCGGGGAGGGCTCTTCGTCTGAGACGGTCTGACGCGTCGCGGCCCGCTTCGCGGCGTTTCCTGCGCCGAAAATTGCAGAGAGTATCTTGAAGACGAGTCGATGCATGCGCAAACATCTCGTCTTCTGGGAAATTCTGCGCGCTAGAGCGCGGGAGAATCTCTTGCCTTGTGGACATCAACAGCGCGTCCGGCGGCCCGGGCGCCGCGGCGTCAAGCACGGCAGCGCGCTAGCGCTCCCCGCGCTCGGGCCGGCTCCGCAGGCGTCCACGCTCACGCGCGGGCCGCGCAGCAGCCCACCGTCGCAGTGCGCCGTGTGTTCGTGACCGAGGCAGTGCCGTGGCCCAGCGCGCCGCACACCGCCGCGGCGCGCGCTGCGGATCCCACGGCGCGCGCGTGCGGCCCGCAGCCGCGGCCGTCGCTCGACGCGCGCGCAGAGCACCTATGACCGCGCGACGTCAACGCGCAGACGCGGTTCCCCGGTCGCGGGTGGCTGTCCGGCGGCGCGGCGCTCGCCCGCAGCGAGGCACGCAGCAGCCTGCGCGGATGCGTCCGCCGCTGCGGCCTGGCCGCGCCGGCGACGCCCCGACTGCACTGGCGAGAGCCGCGCAGGTGTGTGCGACGTTGAGGGGCGCGTTGGCGGGCCGATTTCCGGCCGGGATCGCGCCGGCGTGCTCCGGCTGCGCGCTCGAGGCCGGGGGCGCGCCGTGTGGCTCGGCGGGCTGCGGGCGCGCAGTGTGGCGCCAGGCGGGGGGGGTGTGGAGGGCGGAGTTGACTCGGGGGGTGTCACGCGGCGCTGGGGGCATGGCCCGGTGGCGCTGCGGGCGAGGGCACTCTGCTGGAACTGAGCAGCGCACTGGACAGGCGACGGTGACCTCGCATGCCTGAGGTTGGAGGCAAATGCCGAGCAGGTCGTAGCGCAGTGCAGGGCTACTCCTGCGCGCGCGACAGTGGGATTCCGTCGGGCGCGTGACTTGATAAAGCTTTGATAGAGAGGCCGCCCCGGAGGCGCCGCGGAGCGCCAGGATGGCGTCGAACGCGCTCGTTCCGAGGGACGTTCCCGGCAGCGCTCAGAATACGAGGCAGCGCTCCCCGGACGACATCTACCAGGAACTGCTCCAGGAGAATACGACGCACTTTTCGCCCGAAGAGCTCCAGCGCCTGCTCCTCGCCTTCAAGCGCGTCACCACCGACCGCCTGCAGGTCGGTTCCTCTCGCTCCATGCGCTGCCCCGCGCCCGGCCACCCCCGGAGCCCGCCGACCCGCTCCCACGGCGCCGCGCGCACCTCCACCCCTGCTCCTCGCCCGCACACCCCCCCGCCCCGCACGCCGCGACCTGGGCCCCCGTCGAGACCACCACCTGCAGCGCCGCACCCCCGCGCCCGCATTCCTCCGCGAGCGACGCCCGCGACGCCTGCGTCCGCCGCGTCGCACACCCCCCCATCACACGCGACCCCCCGCCCCCCGGAACCCCCCACTTCCCGCGGCCACCGCGCCGGAAGCGCCGCGCCCAGTGCGCGCGAGCATGCTGACGCCGCCCGCCGCCCGGCCCGGGCCTCCGCCGCGCGCGACGCGCCGCGACCGCGCCCCTCCGCCCCCGTCCGTCCACGCAGGGCACCCAGTTTTACCAGATCGTCGAGCAGGAGCTCGGGTGGACGAACCTCCTCCTCAGGAAACAGCTCTTCCGCGCGTTCGACATAGACAACCAGGGCGATGTCGACTTCCGCGAGTTCGCCGAGGCCTACGCCATCATGCTGCGAGGCACCGTCCCGGAGCTCCTCGACTTCGCGTGGCGCGTGTACCACGTCCAGGGCCCCCCGGACCAGCTCTCCCTCACCGACATCTACACCGTGCTGCGGCTCGCGCTCTCCGGCCTCGAGGAGGTCCGCAGGAAGCAGGGCAAGGCCGCGGGCGGCGCCGCGGAGGAGTCGCGGTTCCCTGAGCGCGCCGCGAAGGCGCTCATGGACCAGGTCTTCCCCGTGGGCAGGCCCGCAGTGAGCCGGCGAGAGTTCTCGCTCGCTGTGCTGCGGCACCGCAAGCTGGTCGACTGCCTGGTTCCCGGGTTCGAGCTGATCCCTCAGGACGCGCTGCACCGCGCCGCGGAAGCCGGTACGCCCCGCGCGCGTCGCATGCTGCCAGCTTGCGTCTGCGCTTTGCGCCCCGCCGCGGTCCGACGCGGACGGCGCCGCGCCCGCCCCGCGACCGCTCCCCGCGGCCTCCCCAGTTCCCTGCAAGCCGGCGCCGCGTATCTGGCGGCCGCAGACCGCGCCTGCGCGCCGCGTCGTGCCGCGCGCAGCAACTGCAGTGCCGCGCCGAACCGTGGCGTTCCCGCGCGCGCCCGCCCCGCGCAGGCGAGCTGGAGGAAGTGCAGCACCTGATGAACGTCGACAAGCTCGACGTGGACGGCGAGGACGGCCTGCAGTACCCGACCACGCCGCTGCACCTCGCGAGCCGGTACGGGCACGCGCTCGTCGTGCGCGAGCTCCTCGAGGAGGGCGCGAACCCGCGCATCCGCTCCCGCGAGGGCGCGACCGCGCTGGACCTCGCCGTCGAGCACAACAAGCACCCCGCGCTGGAGGCGATGCTGGAGGCTGGTGCCGACGTGCTGGTGAAGAACGCCCGGGGCGCGACCGCGGTGCACACGGCGGCGCGCTGCGGCAACATCACGGCGCTCAAGAGCCTCATGAGCAAGGTCCCGGACAAGGTCGTGGCCCTCAAGGACGCGAACGGCGACACGCCGCTGCACGCAGCGGCGGCGGGCGACCACCACATCGCGCTGGTGGTGTTCCTGGACTCGGGCGCGCTCGACGCGTCGCTCGGGCAGGACTGCGAGCTCGACGTGCGCAACGCGGCGGGGCAGACGCCGCTGCACGTCGCCGCGGTGCACAGGTCGTACCGCGTGGCGCGGCGGCTCATCGAGCTGGGCGCCGACGCCGGCGCCGTGGACTTCAGCGGGCGGACCGTCCTGCACGCCGCGGCGTCCGTGCCCGGGAACGAGGCCGTGCTCGACATCATCCTCGCCGCGCGGCCCGCCGACGTCGCCGTGCGGGACAACGAGGGCGCCGCCGCGCTCAACCTGGCCGCGCGCGGCCGCGACGTGCGCATGCTCAAGGCGCTCGCGCACGCCGGGTCCGACCCGAACACGCGCGAGATCTCCACCGGCTACACCCCGCTCCACCGCGCGGTCCTCCTGTCGTGGTTCGAGGGCGTCGACGTGCTGCTGTCCATGCCGAACGCGCTCCTCCTGCGCGACGCCGCCGGCTGCACGCCGCTCGACTACGCGCGCACGCCGGACGTCCTCGAGCTGCTCCGCGACTACGTCGACGCGCAGTACCCCGAGGCCGCGGACGACCACCCCGTGGTGTTCGACTTTGGCATGGTCTTCCACGACGGCACGTGGCAGCAGATGGTGACGGGCCCGGACGCGGGGAACATGGTGCTCACGCGGCCGAAGGTGTCGCCCGCGGTGCGGCAGCAGCGCATCCAGGCGGCGCTCATCGACAAGGACTCGGTCGTGCGCCGGATGCGGCGCGCGGGGCTCGTGGTGCACAAGGAGAAGGTGCACATGAAGGGCAACGGGCTGTCGGGGCGCGTGCAGCAGTACGAGCTGGTGCGCATCGGCGTGCCGCTGTACCGGCTGCAGCTGGAGGCGGCGCGGATGCGGCAGCGGCAGATGCGGGTGGAGTCCGGCGCGGAGGAGGACTTCTTCATCGACCACGCGACGTACCCGGAGACGGGGTTCGCGCCGTTCACGCGCGGGCAGCGGCAGCGGATCATCCTGAACATGATCGAGGCCACGCCGGCGGAGAGCCCCGTTACGTCGCTGACGCTCGGCGCGGACGACAAGGCCGCGAGGGGCGTCGGGGGCGTGTCGGCGAGCGCGCTCGCGCGCGACGAGCGCGCCGCGGCGGCCGAGATGGAGCTGGCGGAGTACCGGCCCGCGGGCATCAAGCTTTCCCTGTACATGCGCCTCAAAGTGGTGGACGACTTCTTCGTGCTGCACCACGAGCAGTCCAAGGAGGAGGTCCTCGCGGCGTGGCGCATCGGCCAGCAGGGCTGGTTCGCGCACCTCGCGGCGTCCTTCCGGGAGTTCTTCTCGTCGGCGCGGCGGCGCGCGTCGCTGCCGCTGCTGGCGATCCTGCGGTACTTCGGGACGAAGTTCGCGTTCTACGCCGCGTTCGTCGGGATGCTCGGGCACTGGATGATCGCGCCGGCCGTCACGGGCCTCGTGTCGTTCGGCGTGATCTGGATCCCCGTGCGCAAGAGCGTGGCGGTGAACGACCCGTCGGACACGACGCTCAAGGACACGTACGACCACCCGATCATCTTCGGGTACGGCATCTTCCTCGCGATCTGGGCCAGCCTGCTCGTGCGGTACTGGGTGGTGAAGCAGAAGGAGCTGGCGTTCCGGTGGGGGTGCCACGCGTTGACCGAGTACCCCCGGACGGCGAACCCGTACTCGTCCGCGACGGTGAAGCGCATGTTCGTGAACGGGACGTGGCAGTACCGTCCCGCGACGACGCCCGCGCAGTTCAAGACGCGCCTGACGCGGATCACCTTTGTGTCGACGTTTGCCTTCCTGCTCTTCGTGGCGGCGACGGTGGCCAACTCGTGGGGCTGGCTGTACATCATCGACGTGGTCATCGACGACCGCGAGTCCCTGCACAGCACGTTCCGGCCGTTCCTCGACGACGACGGCAACACGGCGATCGAGAAGGACCGCAACCTCAAGGGCACGCTCGCGCTGTACGCGGCGACGGGCGGGTCGGCGCTGTGCATCTACGTCCTCAACGCGCTGTGGGAGAAGGTCGCGGTGTGGCTGACGAAGATGGAGGACTACGCGACGCTGCGCGAGTCGGACATTTCGCTGGCGGTCAAGGTGGTGCTGTACCAGAGCATCAACACGTACCTCTCGCTGCTGTACTTCGCGTACTGGGACCAGGACATCGACAAGACGGCCGCGCAGCTCGCCGGCATCATCATCGTCGGCTCGCTCGTCGCGCTGGTGCTGGAGTACCTCGTGCCGTACCTGCGCAACAAGACGACGGGCATCAGCCAGCGGCGCGCGGACGAGCTCGCGGACGACGACGACGCGTCGACCTACGACTCCCGCACCGAGTCCGCGGGCTCCGGCTCCGGCTCGCGCGCGGGAGCCGGCGGGCGCCTCAAGACGATGCTGGTGACCAAGCCCAATAAGCGCAAGGTCGCGCCGAACGACACGATCGACGACGGGCTCGCGCAGCGCGCCGCGTCGGGCAAGGGCGTGGAGCTCGCGGCGCCGGGGCAGGCGGGCAAGGCCGAGGCCGTCGTGGTGGACCGCGAGCACCGGTTCGAGGGCGCCAGCGAGGCCACGCGGGCGCAGATCCTGTCGGACAGCGCCGAGTCGAGCACGGAGTTCGCGACGGTGCTGGTGCACTTCGGCCTCATCGTGGGCTTCGGCGCGGTGTTCCCGCTCGCGTCCGTGATGTCGTTCATCCTCCTGCTCGTGGTGTACCGCGCCGACGTGTGGAAGTTCTGCCGGCTGGTGCGGCGGCCGATCTCGGAGACGACGCCGGACATCGGGATCTTCCAGATCATCTTCGAGATGTACGTCGTCGCGGGGATCATCAACCACTGCTTCATGCTCTGCGTGGCGTCCGACGCGCTCCAGGAGTTCATCATCGGGCGCGAGAACCTCCAGCTCGACATCTGGAAGCGCCTGTTCATCGCGTTCTGCGCCGAGCAGGTCCTCGTGCTCATCTTCTTCCTCTTCCGCACCGTCGGCGTCTCCCGGGACCCCGCGGCGCTCGTGGAGTCGCGCTCGGAGCCCCTGCGCTCGGTGCGCGAGGCCTACCAGCTCGGCACGATCCTGCGCGAGAAGCGGTACGCGATGATGGTCGCGAACGAGGTGCCGCTGACCGGCGACGAGGCCGTGCGCGGCGCCGCGGAGGCCCTCGAGGTGGAGACGGAGGCCGCGATCAAGTACCTGCAAGTGGTGCGGTACCTCGATAGTCTGCCTGGGGCGGAGCGGCGGCGCATCCTGGTGGACAACGACGCGGGGATCCAGGCGCTGAATGCGCGGATCGCGCTCGCGAAGCGCACGGGCGCGTGGGAGGACCGGAACGAGGCGCCCACGCTGCCGGGGTTGTTGCAGCAGCTGGTGCCGGTGGTGGACCTGGAGCGGTGCTACGTGCTCGGGAAGCAGTTCCGCGAGGCGGTGTGGCGCGTGTGGCGCGCGAACAGCGTGCGGCTGCTGTCGGACGAGGAGGGCGTCGACCCGGACAGCCCCCCCGTCGTCGCCGCCATCCGCCAGCTCGCCGCGGCCGACGTGGGCATCACGCTCGGCCAGGCGGACCGCTACACGCGCCTGTGCCGCTACGTCGACGCCGCGGCGGCCGTCCAGGGCACCACGTGCTACGTCATCCTCGGCCGCCTCGCCCGCAAGATGCCCACTGGCCTCCTGGGCTTCCTCGAGACCGTGGCGCGCAAGCAACTGAACGACCCGGGCGACCCGCGCCCGTCGTCGATCAGCGTGGTCGTCGAGCCGACGCGGCTGGCGTCGGTCGCGGTCGCGAAGGCCGCGGTCGTCAGGCGCGCCATGTACGAAGCGTGGCTGATCGACCACCACTTGAGCCACGACGAGATCCTGGACATCGTGGCGCGGCAGAAGGGCGTGATGCGCGAGAGCCTCGAGCGGTACCTGCTCGTGAAGCGGTACGTGGACTCGCTGGACGAGACGCGCCGCCGGAGTCTGCTCGAGGTGGTCAAGGCGACGACGCTGGCGCTGGTGGTGGAGGTGGGGCACCTGGTGCGGGAGGGGGCGTGGATGGACGGGGGCGAGCCGGACTTCCGGCGGCCGGAGAACCAGCCGGCGACGGTGCCGGACGCGTTCGCGGAGACCACGGCGACGGAGACCATGCACATCTCGCGGGCGCTGGGGAACGCGCTGGACGACGTCGTGTAGGGGCTGAACGGCGCTGTGTGAGGATGTGCGGGCTCTGGAGCGTCGCTCGGCGGGCCGGCCCCCGTTGCGCGCGTGGGCGGAGGGACGGTGAGGCTGGTGGTGGCGGCGCGTGACAGCGAGTCGTTGAGCGAAGAAGGCGAACGGGCGCGCCTCGCTGGCTACCGCGGCCAGAGCTGGGCGTGGGCATGCTAGACGACAACCCATCGCATCGCATGCCGCTGCCCACCATAGGACGCACGGCGCAGTGTGTGAGAGCATCATATAGGACGTGGCTGCCCGCCCGGGATTCCCCTGTGAGGACTTGTGAGGTGAGGGCGAGCACGCGGCTTCCGAGCGTGGAGGACGCGCCGCGCTGCTTCGCACTGGCGGGCCTGGGGAGAGTGTGTCACCAAGGGGCCAGGGGCGGTTGGCCGCCGGCGGACTGTCCGGGACGGCCCTGAGGCTCTTTGGCTCGTGTGCGCATCTTGGCGCCCACTCACCGCCTGTGACTCAACATCGAGTCGCAGTGCTCGCAGGAGAGCGCGAGAAAGCTCGCAGGCGACAGGTTTGGCGCGAACAGGTGGCTTCCCGTGGTTGCCGTGTCGCTGTGGCAGTCCTGCAGCCGCGTTGCGATATTTGGGGATTTGACGTGCGCTCGGGCCCCTGATGTCGTCACGAGGCGGCCGTCATGGGCCCGTTGCGGATATCCGCGCGTGGAGTAACGTCCCCGTACGGCGTCGTCAGCAGGGCGCCGCAAGTCGATCGGCGCGCGACGAGCGATGCTTCTATCGACGGCCATGCAGGATGTTTGACGAGGACGACAAGCGGCGCACGGCCGAGCTGCCGGCGTCGTCCAATGCGGGCAGGGGGCACGTCGCCTCCGGGGCGCCCGTGCTGCACCCGGCGCAGTCCGTGAACTATGCCAGCGTGCTGGGACGCGACGAGGAGCCCCTGCGCGCGGCACTCGCGGTATTCGACAAGTGAGTAGGATGCCTCATGCCGTTCAGCCTTGCGCTGGTGGTTGGCGCGCTACCGGCCAGCTGGCACAGCTTTTCTGTGTCGCACTTGCACGACACGAAAGTCAGACATCTGAGGATATGTCTGAGCGCATTGTCAGCCTGCTTCCGCCAGCGAGGGCGGCTCACCTCGCGCTGCCACCATACGAGCCAAGCAGCACTTGCTGCATTCGGACTGGACTGGACTGGACGTTCACAGACCCGGAGACCGGGTCACTCGGTCGCATTTCCTCGTTCGCAGGAACGGGGACGGGGAGGTCTGTCCGGCGGAGCTGATCGAGGCCCACCAGGCGTTTGAGCGCATGAAGGCGGAGAAGGTGCTGTTCCGCAAGCTGCTGATCGCGGCGGTGGTGCTGTGCTTCGTGATGGTCGGCGCCACGGTCGGGCTGACGGCTGCCGTGGTCATCACGACGAAGGAGTCGAAGGTGTCGTCGAGCGGGCTGCTGCGCGCGAACGACGGCTCCGAGACGCCCGTGCGCACCGCCGAGCGGCGCGGGACGGTGACCACGACGCCCGCTGCCACCGGGGCACGGCTCGCGAGGCGCTCCCTGCTGCAGACCCCCACCGTGGGCTCCGTGGTCGCGACGGCTCAGTGCGCGACGGCGTCCAAGTGGTTCGAGGTGCGTTTGTCCCGTCTCTGCGATGCCAACTGTCAGGGTGACATCCCCATTGAGCGGTGCCCTGGTCAAACCACGGCTGCGTGGCTCGCCGTGCAGGACATCGCGACCGAGGGCTTCACCGCCGACATCGTCATCCAAGAGCCGGGCGACGGCGTGTCGTCGATCTCGTGCCGCGCAACGAGCGTTTCGCCGCCGAACACAATTGACGGGTACGACCAGGCCAGGCCGTCGGAGACGTACCAGGTCGACTGCTCCGCCGTGGACCTGGACGCCGGTGGTGCGGACTGCTTTTGTCTCATCTACTTGACGGGGTCCGACTTGTTCGTCGACGCGACGCCGGGCAGGCGCCGCAAGCTGGAGGAGCGCAGCAGCGGCAACGGAGTGTCGGCGGGCGAGGTGCTGGCTGCGGCGGCGCGGCACTTGGGCGTCGCTGAGGAGCTGACGCTGGTGGGCAGCGTGCTGCGCGAGCAGGGCGTTGCGATCGCACGCAGCGCGATGATTGCGGCGGCGAAGCGTCACCTAGTGCAGCTGCGCACTGCGACCGGGAGGTCCGTGGCGGCGCAGGCGGTCCTGAGCGGCGGCATGCGGACAGACGACGGCTGGCACCTGGCGGAGTGGACTTCGTACGGCTCCCGCGGGGCGCTGGTGTGTCCGCCCGCCGTGGGCGACGCGCACCTGGAGGGCGGGGACTGCCACGTGCTTGCGAGGGGCACGATGAGGCGCTCGCTGCTGGGAGCAGTGATGGGGGCCGAAGGGCCGCAAGTTGAAGGCCCGAGACCCGACGACCGGGAACTGCACGAGACCTGCAGCGGAGAATGTCTGTTGGAGAGATGTGGACGACCGGACATTACCAGTGAGTCTGCTTGCAAGGCAGCACACGCTGACTGCAACTGGCGTGCGGAGGAAGGCAAGTGTACTGGTGCGTGCTTCAGCGGCGACGCCACACTCACCACCGTCGGCGGCGACGACCTTCGCATCGGAGACGTCCGCGTGGGACAGCGCGTGGCAGTCCTCGCCCCGGACGGCAGGGCGGTGTTCTCGCCGGTGATCGCCGTGTCGCACAACGAGCCGGAGGCCGTGCGGGCGATGGTGACCGTGCAGACGGCCGCGGGCAAGGCGCTGAGCGCGACTCCGGACCACTACATCTTCGTGCGGTGCGACGCGTGCGCGGGCGGGCGCGAGCGCGTGCGCTTCGACGCGGTGCGCGCCGGCGAGCACGAGGTGGCGGCGGTGTCTGGCGGGAAGGCGGCGTGGGTCGTCGTGACGGGCGTGCTCGTGGAGAACAAGGTCGGGCTGCACGTGGTGCACACGGCGTCCGGGTGGCCGCTGGTGGTAAGCGGCGTTGGCGCGAGCGAGTACAGCGACAACGGGCTGGAGCCGATGGGCAAGGTGCTGCTGCCGGTGGCCGCGGTGCTGGCGCGCGTGTGGCCGAGCGGCATGCAGGCGCTGTGCGACGTCCTGATGGCGCTGGCGCACGGGGCGAGCGGCGAGACGGCCGGGTGGGAGGGCACGGTGGTGAGCAAGCTGGCGTGGCGGGTGCTGCGGGCGTCGTCGCGCGCGCTAGGCGGGGCGACCGCCGCGGCGTGAGGACGGTGGGCGATGCGCAGGACGCCTCCGATCACCACCACCTCGCCTGACGTGGGGCGCGCGCTTCCGACGGGCCACCCGTCGACGCGCAGCCGCACCGTTGTGAGACTCTGACCCGCTGATGACGACGGGCTGACGTCCACTAGATCAGTGCCAGGAGAGCGAACACTCCCGCCTTGGCGCGAACAGGCGGCTTCCAGTCATTGTCTGATGGTGCCGGGCGGATGTCCACCTGAGTCAGTCAGACGTGCGACCTGAGCCAGTCGGTTGAGGCGCCGCCGCGGTGGGCCCTGCGACGGGACGCGATTGAGGGCGGCAGACCTTTGCTGAACATGAGCACGGCGCCGTCGACGCGCTGTTCGGCAGCCGCTGCGCTCGACCTTCGCCAGTCGTGGAAGATCGAAATTTTTCCCACTCGTTCGTGCGGCAACACGCTCACCTGGCACTTCCGGCGGGGCGTGCGCAGCACCCTCACCCCCCGAGTGTGCTCGCGTCGCTGGCTGCGCGGGACCGGGGTCCCGGCTCACGGAGCGTTCGTCCGGGGGACCGCCCTGATCTGCCAAGGCGAGCACGGCGTGGCGACCGCGGGCCCGGGCGTCTCCGCGAGCAGACGCTGGTACTTTTGCCTCGAAGGGCAGTCGACGATGCATTGGCCCTCGTGCGCAAGTTTCTTGAGCAGGTCCAGCAGGTACTTGCCGCAGTACTGGCACTGCTGCACGCCCTGATCCGCGCGCTGCCGCTCGGTCAAAGCCGCCAGCTTGTGGTGCTCCTCATCTCTCGCTTGCTCCTTGAGGATTGCAAGCCCCGTCTTGTACTTCTTCGGCATCTTCTCGACGACGCCACGCGCTCCTGCTGGGCTGCTGGCGTCGCGGAACCGCGCGCCGCCCTCGTCCACGGCGCCCGCGTAGCGCCGTGTGCGTGCGCGTAGCTGGCAAGGTCGCGGGCTGTCCAGGCCGGCCGGAAGGTCAGACGGCAGGAGGGCGAGGCGCGAGTCCGGTAGATGCCGGGGGCGCGGCGACCCCCTGTGCCTCGGTGAGCAGCGCGTCCAGAGTCAGCCCGACAAGAATGTGAAAACCCAGGTCGGGCTGGACCGTACGGCTTGCACGGGCTGTATGCTGCGCGGCTGCGCCCCCCGCGCGCATCTCTCGCTCGCCATCGACGAGAATCTCGCGAAAGCGCCGGCCGAGCGCGACCGAGGTGAGCCGAACGAGGCGCCTCCTAGGTGCCCATCCCCCCCCGCTTCGGACCCGTGGGGCCGCGTGTGGCCTGTACTATCGGCTCCCGTGCAACTCCGTAGCATACACGTACCTCATTACAGCAAGGCGAGCGCGCTCGAGCCTCAGCGGCGCGGCTCGGGCAGCCTGCCTGCCCATGTGCCCACCAGGGGAATTCCGCTCCCTTGTCGCAGGTCAACCATCTCAGCGAGATCTGGGCAGTATTCTTGGCACTTTACGGGGATATCTAGTCTATCCTCTGCGATTTGCGACAGGACGAGCACCAGCGGGAGCGCACGGGCGGGAAGTGTCTGCAGGCATTTCTGCCGCACTGTTGGCGCTCGCGGGCGCCCGCCGCCCGCTCCCGACGCGCCCGCGCGTGCCGTAACAAAAGGGATCCACCAGCCGCGCCAAAATGTCCAACACGGCGGACAGCTCGCGCATTCCGGTGCGACGCCCCCGCTCTCTGCATGCCCCCACTCTCCGCCTCCGTGCCCCGTCCTCCGCCCGCCACACCGCCCAGGTCTCCGAGAGCCCCTTCCTCAGATGTCCTCCACATCTCTGGTCCCCGCGTGCGGCCCTGACGCGCCCCCGCGAGCTCCCCGCGGCCCCCCGCAGGCGCTGATGACGTTGATGGGATACCACAGCGACGCGATCACGGCGAAGAACGTCGCGGGAATCCGACAGACGTTCGCCGCGGCACGCACAGCGCAAGCCCAGGCGATCACGCAGCCCCAGGGCGTCGTGCGGGCCACGCTCGCGCCGCCCAGTGAGGCGGTGGCGCCCATCACCAACGCTGCGGCCGCTGCGCCGGCGCCGGGGCCGGGCGCGGCCGCGAGCGCCCCCGTGCGACGGGTTTCGTCGTCAGTGTACCCGTCGTCCGCCCCGAGCCACGCAGTCCCCCCCTCCCGCGCGATGTCGGGCATCCCAGGCAACGTGCGCCTCAACGTCGTCAACGTCGACCGCGCGGTGCGTGACGACACCGTCCCTTCCGCGACCGTGCGCTTGTTGAGACAACGGAGAACGAGCTCGCTGCGTTCTGGCGCGAATGAGCCCTGCGGCGCGCGGGCGTGGGCGTTTGCACAACAGGTGCGCGCGTCTGTGTGTGCCCAACGCCCCGGCCCGCCGTGGCGCTCGCAGGCGGCCAAGGGGGGCATGGCGTCGTCGATGGCGATCGGGACGTCGCGGCTGCGCGCCCAGGAGGACTTCGTCCCGCTGGCGCTGGATCTGCAAGCCATCGCCAACAGCTCCACGGGGGGCAACGGCCTGCCGCGGCCGTACGGGCGCTTCCTCGCGCCGCGCGAAGGCAACGGCCTGGCGATCTGGGAGCGCCTGCCCCCGCACCTCCAGGCGAGTGCCGCCCGCCACGACGACCACGGGCCGCCGCGCACAGGCTGTCGGTGTCGCTGCTCGCTCCGCTGCGGCCGCGAGCGGGGCTCCGCGCTGCCACTGACATCGCGGTGCTGTGTCTGTGGGTTGCAGCGGCCCGATTCGCCGACGGAGACGCCGATGGCGGACGAGGCGGCGATGCAGGCGCGCAACGTCACGCGGTTCAACGTCCAGCGCGGGGCGTACAACGCCCTCAACGCGCGCACGGACCTGTACGAAATCCCCATGGGACACATGCCGGGCGGAAAGGACGTCCTCACAAGTGCGCGCCCCCGCGCACCCACCCTCAACAACCATGCACACACACACACACCGCTCAGCTCGATGCCGCCGCCCCCGGAGTCGACCGCGCACGTGCTGGAACCCCAGCGCGCTGAGTAAGTTCACCCCGCAATCCCCACCCCTCCCCCCCTCGACCCCCCCCGTCGCTACAGAGTGGGAGGGCGACCTGCGCGAACGGGACCGCTTTTCTCGGAAACGTCCGGATCCGTCGCAGCTCGCGAACCCGCGGCAGGGCTACACGTCGGACCTCCTGCGCCGCCCGGGCAAGTCGGCGAGCGATGGGAGCATGGGCGTGCGCACCGCGAAGGACATTGGTGCGGGCGCGACGTTCCTGGTGCAGGTGCCCGAGGAGATGCCGCACTCGGTGCGCGTGGACGACAGCAGGGACTTCGAGCGGGCGTTCCTGCATCCGCTGCGGGGGTTCCAGAAGGGGCGCAAGGTGAAAAAGCAGATACTGATCGAAGACACTCTCAAGAGTGTCAGCTGACAGCTGTCGGGCGCGGAGCGCCGCAGCTAGGCGCGGAGGCGACGCCGCACGGCGCAGCTGTGACTGCGGCGACCGAGCTGCGGCCGCCCGTGTTCGTCGCACCGCTGCTGCGCCCCGCGGAGCTTCCGGCACATGCGCGCAGTGACAGCGGACGGCCCGGCGCGGCTCCCGCATGGTTTGTCGGTGTCGGGTGTGCGTCACATGAAGCTGCAGCACGAGTTGCTTTTGCGGGCCTGTTTGTAGAACATCTGCGACGCCAAGCTGAGGTCTTCGCTTTTCGTGACCAGGTTGTCCAGCTTCTCCCCGCGCTCGAGCATGGACTCGATCGTCCGGTGCAGAATCACCTTGGTCTCGTCCAGGTCCCGCTGGATCTTCATCAGCTTGTCGGCCTGCGCCGGGTCCTGGAACCTCTCCAGCGCTGATGTCAGCATGGGCTCAGCCGCCGTCACGTCCGCCGTCTGCTGCCGCCAGCTCTCCCCGAACTCCCGCAAGAACTGATCCACCACCTGCGGGGAACGCCGCGGCCAGCCCGCGCCTCACACCCCGACAGCGACACGCGCGTTGCCAGTCGCACATGCAGGCGGGCGCGGTTCGCACGAGCAGAGGCCCGCCGCGGTCTCCGCTGCCGCAGCAGCGGCGTCCGCGTTCGCACCTCGTTGATCACGCAGAACGCGCTGCGCGATGGGTAGTCGTGGCTGGTGACGACAATGGCGCCCAGGCCGTCCCGGTTGTGCGCGTGGCACAGGTAGCCCTCGTGCTCGACGGTCTGCCTGCTGCCTGCGGAGCGGGCCGGGGGCGCGCTTGCCGGAGTTTGCCCGCGGACTGCGGCGACGGGCGGCCGCGGCCCTCGCGGCACGTCGAGCAGGGGGTCGCGCCGCCGCTTTGCGCAGGAAACGCGTGTCGCGCACGTCTGACCCGATGCGATCGTTGGTACGTTCAGGGTGGAGGACGCGGCGGAGAGCGCGGTCGCGTCATGGCCGGATTCGTGCAGGGGACGTCGCGAGGGGAGCGTGCTGGAAGAGCGCCGTGCGCTGCGTACCTGGGCGCGTTCGCTGCACGATCGTGCGGCTGACGAACTGCAGCATCTCTCGCACGCTTGTGCGCTGGAAGAAGCCGAAGTCGCTCACATCCGACGCGGTGCCGAAGAACACTGGGGTGTCCTCAGGCCCCTTCCACTTCAAGATGGAAATCGACAGCAGCTTCGGCATCCCGCCCGCTTCCCTTGCTCCTCGTCCTCAGACTCGTACCGTTCGCGCGGCGGGCCCCGGCGCGTGCGTGGCAGGAACGGAGGACAAGCACAGCACCCCCGGCCTCAAACGCGCGAGACAACCCTCCCGCCTCGCTTATACCCACACCGGACTGGCGAGTCGGTCCCCGTTGCACGGCGCGGCGCGGCGACGGGTCTATCCGGCCGCAGGGAGGCCTAGGAGGCGCTCAGCGAGCGGTTCGACTAGGCTCGGTCGAGGCGCGATCTGCGGTCGGAAACGCGAAATCTTGCGTGGAGGGAAGAGCTGTCATCCGCCGTGAGGGGCGGGAGCAATGAGGCGCGACCTGCGGGCCTGACCGGCCCGGTGCGAGCGCAGTGCGACTGGCGCGGGGGGGCGCCCTCAGGGTGTCCGTGCGCGTCCCTGCGACGCGGGCACGTTGGCGCTGGCAGCCGCGCGCGGCCCAAAGTTCTGAGAGCGCACGTGGCTGCGACTGGGCGCACGTGCGGGGGCGGCTGCGTACGCAACGGAGCGTGCTTGGCACCAGGTTCACCGCAGCATTGAGCGACGCCCTGCGCGACGTCACGGTCGCGCGAGCGGCGTGCCGGACGGCCACGCTGATGTCCGGCGCGGGGCACCGTGCTCGGTGGTGATTTGTGTCGCGCTGGAGAGCAGTAGCAGCAGTGGTGGGAGCGCTCCGCCTCGGAGCGGGGCAGACACGAACAGAGCGCGCGTGGCTGCGGATCGCTAGGTAGTCATGGACGCGGAGGTGGCACCCCCGCCGACAAATGTCCAGGTGCGCCCGGGTCAGCGCCTTTGGAAGAACAAGCAGCACACGCCCGTCGCCCCGTGCGGCCCCCGCGCTGCAGCAGACCGCCAGCGAGCCATGCATCTGCAAGATTTCTGCCTAATCTACGTGAAACGCGTGAAAGAAACGCTCGTCACGGCCGTACGCGGCCACGATCTGCCATCCGAGTTGCCCCGCCTGCCCATGCTCCCCACGGGCCTGTGCGGCGGCCTGCAGGTCATGCGGACGCTCCAGAGCCACAGCGGCACGAACGAGGCGTCCGTGGACACTCCGAAGAAGCGGCGCGAGGGCGTGGCCCCGCACGTCGACGACAGCCCCATCAAGGGCGTGGCTTCGCCGGAGGTCAACAGCCTCGCCCGCGCAGACGACTCCGGCGCGAGGGCGCACCAGGACGGCGCCGCTGCGGACGCAACGCAGGCTGCGGACGTCGACGAGCCCGCGCAGCGGGACGGCGCGGCGCCTGCGGGCCCCGGCGAACCCGTCCCGGACCCACCCGCCACGGTCGAGCCTCGCACCGAGGAGCACACGGACCAAGAGCCCGCTCCGGCGCCAGAAACGGACGCAGACGCAACAGAGCCCGACGCAGAACCCGAAAATCCCGCAGCTCCGCGCGACCAGCGCGACGCAGGCACTGATCGTCCTCCCTCGCCTCCCCCCCCGCCGGCCCCCGCGACGGACGCCGGCGCGAGCAGCGCGCCGCCAACGCAGCCCGCGCCCGCGCCGCCGCCCGTCGACCTCCCGGACTCCCCGGCGTCCCCGCACGCCCCGCCGGCCAACCCCGCGCGCACCGCGACGTCGCCCAGCGCCAACGGGTCGCGTAGCTCGCACGCGTCGCGCGGGGAGGGCCTCGTCTTCCCCGTCCTCGACACCGCGAGGCAGCCGATCGACGCAGGCGAGCAGCTCGGCCGCTTCATGCATTCCCGCGAACCGTCCTTTGACCTGTACACCAGCCCGGATGGTGCGCGCAGCGCCGCCGCGGGGCCGCCGCCCGCCGCGGACCTCCAGGCGGCCGGGAGCGGCGGCGGCGCGCAGGAGCGTCTGCGCATCCGCGCGCCGCCGCCGGAGCGCTCCGTGGTGTCGGAGTCGTCGGTGTCGCTCGGGCGGCGGACGCCGCCAGACTACGACCCCGAGGCGGTGGTGGGGACGGGGGGGCTGGAGCCGCCGACGCCCGAGGAGGTGACCGCGCACGCAGAGTACCTCGGGATGACGCCCGGGGCGGACGCGCCGCTGCTGTGGATCGCGGAGCAGTCGCTGTGTGCGCCGGTGCCGGCGGGCTGGGAGGTGCTGGAGGATCACACGGGGAACGCGTATTTCTTCGATACGATCGAGCGGCGGGCGCAGTGGGAGCACCCGCTCGAGGGGGACTACCGGGCGCTGTTCGCGCTGATGGCGACGGCGCTGCGCGGGGGTGCGACGTGCTCGTACCCTGAGGTAACGTCGGTCGCGCGGCACATGGGCGTGGACAGCGCGAGCGAGCCGCTCCTGATGTGGATCGTCGAGCAGGCCGCGCTGGCGCCGCTCCCGGAGGGCTGGGTCGAGGAGGACGACGGAAAGGGGGGGGCGTTTTTCAGAGACACCCTCACCGGGCACGAGCAGCGCGCGCACCCGCTCGACAGCGTCTTCCGGATGCTGCTCTTCGTCGAGCGCGACCGTCTCGCGAAGAACGTGTACTCGATCGTCTGCGCGGGGGGCTCCGGCAGCCCGGACGGCTCGAGCGCATGCATGCGGCTGCACGAGGACACCACGTGCGCACCCGGCCGCCCCTCGCTCGCCCCGCACGCCCACGCACACTACGCGGACCTTCCGTGGGGTTCGCGGCCGCACTCCGATCCGGGCGTCTCGCCGAGTTGCGTGGGGCAGCATGCGTGCGTCGATTGCGTCGTCGTTCCCATGCATGTCGCGCCCCGCCGAGCTGGTCGCGCTCACGGAGGCCGCATTCGACGCGTCTGTGCGCAGGGATGGTCGTGTGTTCTACATATACGACTGGGTGACGCGGCAGAAGGTGAAGGAGGAGCGGCCAGAGCCGCCGCCGCCAGAGCCCGACCCGGGGTCGGAAATCATCGCGATCGCGCCGGAGCTCGCGAAGGACGGAAGCGGCGCCGTGTCTCCCGCCGGCGGCAGCGGCCCCGTCGACCCCATGTCCCCCGGCGTGTCCCCGGTGGGGGGGCGTGTGCCGCTGACGCTGCGTGCGACTCGCGCGGCCGCGAAGCCGTCCCCGGGCGGGCGTGCCGCGGCCCTCGGAGGTCAGTCGCGCCAGCCCCGTCCGAGGCCCCCACGTGTGCGTTGTGGGCGTAGGGAAGGGCGGGGGGAGTATTCATCGCCAGTGCGTTGCACGTGCCAACTTTCTGCCGCATTGTTCGTGCTGCGTGTTGCAGGCACGGTCGGCGGCGTGAAGCGTGGCGGCTGGGGCGTGCGGAAGGGCGAGGAGAAGCCCGAGGCGGCGCTGGCGCGCGCACGTGCGGCGGTGGATGACGTGCGGCCGGAGGGTTGGAACAAACTCAACCCCCTGGCGCTGACGGTGTTCGCGGCGTACGCGCTCTGGAGCTTCGCGCTGGCCATTCCGCTGCTGCGGCGCGTGGTGTCGAAGCCCCGGCCCACCGGGCAGCGATGACAACACCCCCCTTCCAATCTGCCGGAAGAAGAAGATCATGCATGCAAGGCTCGCGAGTGGTGCTTTCAAGATGTCCCGCGGATCTTCGCTGTCTTGAAGCGTACTGGAGCAGAGACGGCGGGGTAACCAGTTCCCCCCCGTTGACGGCACGTTCGGACGTATGTAACGCGACCCACGACGTGTCGACTCGCGCGCGTGCGAGCGAGGCCAGCACAGCACAAACAGGCACCGCGTGCTCCCAGCATCGTGCTCGGCGGAGCTTCCGACCGCCGCGCCTGGCATTCGTCATGCGCGCGCGCACTCCACTGCTGTCGTTGTTTGTACTTCGCAGACCTACAAGCACCCTCGCCGCGAGGACGCTTGAGCGGCCGAGATGCGCTCGGCCGGCGCCTTCCTCGGTCGGTGACGCCCTCAGTCGGCGCGTTTGCCCTGCTGAGCGATTCTCACATCGATCTATCTAGCACCCGCTGCACAGCCACAGCATCTGCACGGGATCCCCCCCAGCGCCGCTCACGCAACGCCCAGAAACAATCCATAAGCTATCGTGGGCCGCGCCATCGCCTACCGCCAGTATCCCCCTTCACTGCCCCCCGTTTTCCCCACACACCCCCTCTCCCCCGTTGCTCCCCAGCCCTACGCAACCAACGCCGCCGCGTTTTCTTTCGAACCAGCAGTCGACGCGCGTACGTCGGGCTGGGCGTGCCCCTAGCGGCCGTACCCGCCGCCCCACGCGCCCCCGGTCCCGTACGTGGGGGTGTTGTTGTTGTACCCGACAGACGCAGTGTTCGAGGCCCCCGGGGGGCGGTACGCCTGCGCGGGCGCCGAGGGGTACCCCCACGCCACGTTCCCGTTGTTCGCGTTGCCGTTGAGCGCCACGGCCGGCTGCATCTGCACGGGGGTGTTCCCGGGGTACCCACTGTCATACCCCCCCGCGGCCGCGGGCCCGAACTTGGACCGCCGCAGCAGGTACAGCACGGCGAACACCAGCGCCGCGAGCACGAGCACGCCGCCGACGGCCCCGACGATGATCCCGATCATCGACACCGTCCGCGTCCCGCCGCCGCCCGAGCCGGCCGACGGCGGCCCCGCCAGCGTGGCCACGATCGTCGCGGCGGCCACCGAGATGCGAGTCCCGCAGTCGCTCCCGCTGAACCCGATGAAGCACTGGCACTGCTCTCCGTTGTCCGCCGTCGCGAGGCACTCCCCGTTCCCGCTGCAGTCGTTGGGGCATCCCGACGACGGGCACGCGGCACGTGCCGAGGGGCACGGGCCCAGGACGCCGGTGGTGATCGACGGGAAGGACGTGTCGGCGCCGAAGTCGATGGTCTGGCCCTCGGGGCACTCGACCGACCGCCCGTCGACCTCGACGATGACCGAGGGGGAGGACTTGGTGCAGGTCATCTTAAAACACCCCGTGGGGCGCGCCGTGGCCTCCGCGGTGCGCCCGTCGGAGAGCGTGAAGCGCGAGCGGAACGGCTCGACCATCGGGACGCACCGCGCGAAGGCCCCGCGGGACTGCAGGAGCGCCTCGAAGGCCAGACGGTTGTCGGTGCTGGCAGCGAAGAACTCGTCGTTGTAGCACTCGCCCTCGGTCGTGGAGATGACCTCGTTGCAGGAGTCCTCGAGCGCGATCACGCCGCACCGGCCGTACGTCTGGTAGTCGTCGTGGCACAGCCAGGCCCGGTCGCGGGCGTCGCGGTCGGAACAGAACCCCGGGAGGTCGTCGCAGTTGTCGGCCACGAACGAGCAGGTGCCGCGGTACCCGATGACGATGTTCTGTGGGCCCGTGAGGTCCGTGTCGTACCACCCGGAGTCCTTCAGGAGCGCCAACGTCGCCTGCGCGCAACAACACAAGGGATGCAGCACGTCACGTCTCCGCGTGCGGCCCTCGCGCGCGCAGTTCCAGAGGCGGTCCGCATCAGTCGTGCTGGCTCCGGGAGGGCGAGCGGGGCGAGAGGGGAGGGGGGGGGGACTGTTGCAAGACGCACCCGGGAGAGGATTTGCCGGCGCCCGTCGTTGGCGCCGTTCATGAGCTCGTTGACGAGCAGCCGCGTCTCCCAGTGGCTGCCCGCCGTCGAGTCCGTCCCGTCGTTCTCCAGCGGCCCGCCGGGCAGCAGCGCGTCGGTCGAGCACGCCAGCTGCTGCTGCGTCGCCGCCTTGACGTTGGGCGTCACGACAAACGTCCGCCCCGGGCGCTCCTCGATCACCTTCTCCCCGCGCGCCTTGTACGTTCGGCCGTCCGCCGGGTTGATGAACAGGTCCAGCAGCTGGAACGTGAAGCCCATCGCGTGCAGCAGCTCGTGCACCACCACGTCGAGCTGCGCGCCGAACAGCGACGGGTCGTTGTTGCCCTGGAGGACGAGGCTGCAGAGGTTGATGTTGCCGGCGAGGGGCCGCAGCGTGACGTCGTCCAGGATGCACGGCGCCGCCACCGCGAGCGTCGACTCCTGGCAGATCCGCGTGCGCCCCGACGGCGTCGACAGCACGTCCTCGGCGCTGACGTACACGATGAAGTCCGCGTCGAGGACCCCCGGGCCCTCCGCGGACTCCGTGCAGCTCACGGTGTCGCACACGCGCTTGGGGCCGAAGTACTCGATGTTGTGAGGTGCGAAGAAGCAGTTGTACTGCGGGTCCGAGATGTCCGCGTAGCGCGTGCACCCCGCGACGCCGCGCTCGAGGCAGCCCTGGGGGAGCTTGAACGGCTGCCCCGGCGGCGTCGGGAACCGCGTCTGCACGAGCTCGGAGATGGTGGCGACGGCGGCAGGCAGGAGCTCTTCCTTGACGTACGCCGATTCCTGGGGCGTGAGGCCGCCGGCGTCGTCCATTCTCGAGAAATCGACTGCGAGCGAGGCGGGCGGGGGGGCGTTCCGGGTGGGGGGGCCGCGGATGACGTGTCGCGGTGCGGGTGGGGACGGAGTGCGTGCACCCGCGCACCTTTGATGCGGAAGGGCCGCGACGAGGACTGCATGCGGCGCCGGCGGCTCGCTGCCTCCTCGCCGTGGATTTCTTCGTGCGAGAACGTCGCGAGCTGCGCGTCGATCAGCTCGCGGGTCCGGAGCTGGATGGTGGGATGGTTGCTAGCGCACTGCCCGTCTGCGTGCGCGGCGCCCGTTGCGCAGAGCGCCGCGAGCGCGCCGAGGAGCAACAGCATCAGGGGAGCCCGGCCCGTGAGCGTGGCGCTGCGGAGCGCCATCGCGCGCCGCACGAGCTCGTCAGGTGCCACCAGGCTAAGAGGCCGCTCTTCCGCCGCGTGCCTGCGCGCAGCGATCGTGATGTCACGCGAATGAGAGGCCAAGAACGCTGGGATCCAGGCGGCGAGCGCGCGCCCGTGACGGACGCAGGCAGGCCGCGCTTAGGCCCCCAGAGCCGAAGCGCGGCACTGCAGTGGACCGCGGCGGCGACTGCGCGGCCAGGCGGGCCCAGGCCATCCGGCGCCGGATGATCTGCAGTCCGGAGTGTTGTCCCGAGCCCGGGACGCAGCGGCGCGCCAATCTGGACGCCTGAGCCGGCGCGGCGACTACCGGAGAGCTTACCTGGGGTTTCAGACCTGCCCGAAACCGCGCGATGAGGTATCGTACGGGCCCCACAATGCGCCCAGCGTGTTTATATCGTGTATAAGAACGCCGATGCGCAATGTCTGGCTCCGAGAGATCGCCACGCGCGTCGCTGTGGCTTACACGTCGACGGGAAACATTGCCAGGAGCCGCGCGTCCGCGGAGTTGCACGAATCAGAGCTTCAACGTGGTCCGCGCATGCACATTCTACGGCGCCTGCGTGCGGCGCGCGCCTCGTCTCCCCGCCGCGGCCCACACGCGCGCAGCCGCGGAAATACCACCCCGCCGCGACTCCACCCTCAGGCCGCGCCACACACGTGTACAGGCGGTCCGACCGTCCGTTCTCGCCGCATCGCGCAGACACGACGCCTCGGGATCGCGATCCTGCGCCCCGTCGACCTTCCAGCGCCGCGGTGCCTCCGGCGGGCGACGCGCTGCGTGACGGGCCCGGAGCACGCGCGACGCGTGCCACGTCACCTGCGTCCAAAGACGGCCGGCTCCCCGCGGCAGACGGGCGCGCCCTCGAGCGCCCACGCGGTGCCGCGCCTCGGCGCCGCACGCGCAACGGCTTGACGGAGCCAGCTCTCGTCTGACACGCGTTGCACCACGCACACGCCCCTCGCCGCCCACGCACGGACGCCGGCGCGGGCGCCCCGCGCCCGCTGCGCCCGCGCCCGCGCAAATCTGTGTCTGTGGACGACCAATCGAGAAACCCCAACTAGCAACATCTCGCTCCCTCCAGGCAGAGCCCGCGAGCAGACAGCGCGCCGCGGCCGCATCACACGCCGCCCGGGACCGGCACCGCGGGCGCGCCGGCCTCCTCGCCGTCCGCGGCGCCCGCCTCCTGCGGGGGGGGTGTCTTCGGCCTGTTGGCCCAACGCTTGCGCAGCTCGCGGAACGCCTTCGCGTCGCAGTACGGCTGGCCCGACAGCGGGTCGCGGTACTTCGCGGGCTTCCCCGTGATCGCGCACTTGGCTTTCTGCGGCTTCGGCGGCGCGACCGACGCCGCCAGCCCAACCTGGTGCAGCCCCTCCTTCGCGTTCCGCGCCTCGATCCACACCTGCGCGTTGCCGTCGATGATCCGCGACACCCGCTGCGAGGGACGCCGGCGGGGGAGCGCGCGCGGTGGGGCGGTGCGTGCGCGGCGGACGCAACGGCCACGCAGGCGGGCGCGGCGGCCAGGGCGCGCGTACCCGCAGGTGCGGTCCCTGCATCTTGTGCTTCTCGACGAAGGCCTTCTTCTTCTGCTCCTCCTCGCGCATGAGCAGGTACTGCAGGCTGGCCTGGTTCTCCAGCTCAGTGAAGGCGGCGTCCGCGAGCACGTCATTCATCGTCAGCGGCTTGTAGTTCGCCTTGGCCTTCTCCATCTGCACGCGCCGCTTCTCCGCCAGCACGCGGTCCTCCACCTCGCGCTTCTCCCGCTGCTCCGCCGCCTGCACACTCTTCTTCATCGTGGTCCGCCGCAGCGACGGACGGTCCCAGTCGACCTCGCCCAGCGCCTGGAGCGCGCGGAAACCCTTGATCTGCGCGGGAGGGGCGCGAGCGGGGCGGTTCGCGGCAGCCCGGGGGTCGTAATTGGGGTAGAACGGTTTTGTTGGGATGGGGGGGGGGAGTGAGGGGGGCGCGGTGGACTGGACGCACCCGACCGGTCTTTGTGTAGCGGTTGGACTTCGGGGCGGACTCGTCGTCGTCGTCGTCGTCGGAGCCGCTGCCGCTCTCGCTCTCGCCGTCGCTGGCTGCGCTAGCCGCCTTGCCGGTGCTACGCGACTGGCCGGACTCGCCCTCCCCGGTGTCCGCAGTGCCCTTGGAAGACTCGTCGTCCGTGTCGCGCTTGCGCTTCTTGCTCCCGGCCGCCTCCTCCGCCACCTGCGAGCGCCGCAGCGCCGCGTGCGTGCTGTTCGCACCGGGCGTGACGGGCCCCGCCGCCCCGGACACGCGCAGCGCAGGCGCTGGCCGTGCAGGACGCGTGCGGCCACTTTAAAGGGACCGTGCGCCCGGGCGGGGCAGCCGTGCAAGTGCATCGAGCCATGGTTGGATGCGGCCGTGCGGGGGCCGGGGGGCACCTCTTGCTTGTAGCGGTTGAGGTTCTTGAACTTCTTGAGCTGGGGCCCTCCTTTCTTCTGCTTCGCCTTGCGTTCGCGCCTCCGGAGCTCCTCCTCCCCCACCTCCGCCTCGCCCGCAGCATCGTCCTCCGACTCCCAGAAATCGCTGTCAACCTCGTACGACTCGCTCCGCTCCTGCTCGCTCTCGTAGTCCTCGTCCAGCTTCTCCTGCGCCAGGCACCGCAGCGCCCCGCACCAGCGCTCACGCGGACCGTGCAGCTCGCACACCACCTCCGCGCCGCTGTCGCGCCGGCGGCGCAGGACCGCGCACACGCGTCGCGCAGGGTGGCTCTCACCTCCTGGAAGAACTCCTGGTCCCAGAACTCCTTGTCCGCCTCGTCCTCCTCCTCCATAGCCGCACCCATCCGCTTTCCCCGCGTGCCTCGCGCGGGCAGCGTCTTCCGACGCTTCTCCGCCCGGCCATAGCTATCGCTCATCTCAGAATCCGACATGGTAGCGAGCCTCGCCGACTTCCGCCGCTAACGCCCCCTGCTCAACGCCGCTGCCCCGCCCCGCCGGCCAGCGTCACGCCCCGTGCACAACCGCCCGGCCCGGGCACCGCGACCCCCGCCGCGCTCGCTGCCACGCCGCCAGCGCCAGCTCCTCGCCCTCTCGCGGCGCGGGATCGTCCTGAGACGCAGCGCCGCGTGTCCGTAGGCCCGACGAACGCACTGCACAACGACACTGCCCGCGGCCGACGTCGTCAAAACGTACGTTGCGCTCGGAGCGTAGATCGGCCCCGGCTGGCGCGTGGGACCGGCCTGCGCGCTGTCGGAGTGCGCGGGCCGCGAGGGGCGGGGCGTTGTCGTGGGCCGGCGGGGGGGGGAATCGGTTGGAGTCCCCCCGTGCGACACCTCCGCCGTTGCGGCGGGTGGTTGCGGGCGCGGGGCGGGCGGGGGCGGCAGAGACGCGCGGCGCCGCGGGTGAGAGCGCGAGAGGCGTGTCACGGCTGCGCGGCGGGCTGGCGTGGGCGCGTGAGCGGACGGGGCTGTGGAGGGACGGCAGTCGAGGAATTCTCGAATGTCAAGCTGGCTGCTAGACATTCTCCGTCACGAGTTCGTCGGCAAGTGCTTCTTCCTAGGTCTAGTCATGCCGCGCTCGCGCCACGCGGGTCGCACGGCGGCGATAGCGATCAGCGTCAGCTTGGGCACGCTCGGCATCGCCGCAGCAGGCGCCATCCTGGCCATCCAGCTCGCGCAGAGCGGCAGGTGCGCAGCGCCCGCAGCGGCTGCCACGCTCCCACCGCGCGTCCTGCGCTGCGCCTGCGGCCTCTGTGGCCGCGCCGGGCGTGAGCGGCGCGTGGCGGACTCGAGGAACGCGCGGGGGCGCGCCCCGCGGGGCCCCTGCGCTGCGGCGCGGAGCGGGCGAGGCCGAGAGAGGAGCGCCTCGTGGGTTGGGTGCGGGCAGCGAGCGTGGTGCCGGGCTGGCGCTTGACGGCGATTTGCGTCACGGCTCGGTCGATCCACGCAGGGAGCTGTTCACGGAGGAGGAATGGGAGTCGTTCTTGGACGAAAGAGGACGCATCACGTCGTATGAGGGGCTCCTGAAGGCTATCGCGGCCTCCCGCGGCGTGCAGGCGTCCCTCCGCGCGCAGGTGAGGCCGCCCCGGGCCGCAGCGTTGCCCTGATTCGCCGTCGGACGCACGTGGGAGGCCGAACAAGCGACGCTCGCGCTCCACCTCCCTCGAACTAGCCTGGGAACTGAAACGGACGCCCGCAAACGCGACGCTCGCTGTTCTACCGAACCCCTTCCGCCGCGGCGCCGCGCTCCGTCCCGTATCCGCGCGTGTCCCGCTCGCCTGCCCTGCCTCGCAGCCCACACGCGCTGCAATCCTCGCCATGACTCGTCGTGTGCACCGCCGCCCCGCCTCCTGCGCCCCTCGCGCGCCGCCCGCGCATCTTCCGCACCGCGCCGCCCCACCGCGCGCCCCCTGACGCCGTCGCTATCTCCCGCAGGTCTGGCCGCGTATCCTGGGCGTCGTCCCGCCCCGCGCGGACACAGAAGAGCAAGCACGCATCACTACGGACCTCGCCCACGCGTTCCAGCGGCTCGGCCACCACGCCCAGCGCATGGAGAACGCCCTCAAGGTCCAACACACCCCAGTCCACCCCTGTCCACCCTCTGCCCCGCCCCCCCCGCCCTTCCTCCTTCAGCTGCACCGCCCCAGTCCGCAGCGCGCACCGACCGCCCACCAACCGCCCCGCAACGCCCCCGCCCCCCACCCCGCTGACCTTCCGCCCCCGTCCGACGCACGCGCAGGACGCGTACGAGGTTTCCCTGGCGGGCGGCGCCGCGGTGGACCTCCCACTGGAGCTGGCGCAGTTCCGGGAGGCGCACGGCATCGTCCTGCACGACGTCATCCGCACGGCCGCCTCGGCGGGGCGGCACGGCGCCGCGGAGACGAAGCCGCCGAAGCAGGGGTCGGTGGTGCGACGCATGGTGTCGGCGGGGCAGGCGGTGATGAACACAATCGGGTCGCCGCACAAGCCCGCGCGGCTCGACGGCGGCGGCGCGAACGCCGACGGCGGCCGCGGCGGCGCGGGCGCGGGCGGGCTCACGGACGCGCGCGCCGTGGAGGTGCAGCCGCCGGCGTGGGTGAGCGCCAACATCCAGGAGGAGGTGCTGGCACGGGAGCACCTGTCGCCGCACGAGAAGCGGCTGGCGGTGCGGATGGCCGCGCTGCTGCTCGCGTACGCGGTGCTGGACCCCGAGATAGGCTACTGTCAGGGGATGTCGGACATAGCGCTGCCGTTCGTGCAGCACATAGAGGACGACGTGCAGGCGTTCTGGTGCTTCCAGCGCGTGATGCTGCGCGCGCGGGACAACTTCCGCATCGACGACATGGGCTTCCGGCGATCGCTGTCGGGTACGACGCCAGAACGCACCGCAACGCAACACACCCCCCGCCCCTGCCGACGGCTGCTCAAGCCGCTGCCGAGAGCGCCTGACACCGGCCGGACCGATCGCGTCCGGTCGGACGCTCGCTCGGCCGCTCCGCGACAGCGGCGGCATGCCGTTCGCATGCATCCCACAACCCCCCCCCCGCCTCCCGCATCCCCCCCGTCCCCGCAGCGGTTGGGAGGATCCTTTCGGAGTGCGACCCCGTCCTGCACCACAAGCTCGGCCAGCTCGGCGCCCAGGACTGCATGTTCGCCTTCCGCATGGTCGTTGTCATGATGCGCCGAGAACTGCCGCTGTCGGGGTGCCTGCGCATCTGGGAGGCCGCGTGGACCGAGGACCAGATCAACGCCATCCAGTCCGCGAAGATGCGCCAGCCCCGCGAGGGCGCCGGCATGTCGTACGGCGCCCTGCAACACATGTTGTCCATTCACAGGAGCGCGAGCAAGCTGCCGGCGTCCGCGATGGCGGACGCGACGCCGCGGGCGCTCGGCGAGACGCCGCGGGACCCCGCGGCGTCGGTCGGCGGGCTGTCGGTGCCGCGCGGGTCGCCGCCGCCGCAGCCGGGCTCGTCGTCACGCCCAGCAACGGCGCGGGCTGCGAGCGTGGAGGCCCGGGACGGCGGCGGGCGGCCGCGCGTGCGTGCGTCGATCGAAGGGGGCGACCCGCTGTCCGCGGAAGCGGCGGCGCGGGAGGCGGGGGACGCGGCCAGCGCACCCAGTGCTGGACCCAGCCCGCTGCAGAGCGCCCGTAGCGACCTGTCGTTCGGGTGGCTGGCGCGGCAGCCGCAGCGGATGACGGTGGGGGATCCGGGCGAGTGGGACAGGGAGCTGGACGGGCTGCTCGAGTTCGATCTTCTGGCGTTCGTGGTCGCGGCAGGTGCGCGGGGGCAGTGGCGCGCGAGTGCCCGCGGTCTGCCTGCTGCTGCTGCGGGATTTCGGGGAAGGCAGCTAGGCTGTTGCCACGTCCATGCAGCGGCGCTCTGAGTTCTACTTTCAGCCCTGTCCCTTTTGACCATCACTTCCCTTTTGATCGTGTACTTGTTTCACGATACGTTTCGGGCGCCCGGCCCGAAGTCACCCCCTCGTCCCCCCTGCCCTCGCACCTCGTCTCACCCCCCGCCGACGACCCCCCTCTGCAGCGGTGCGACATATGAGGCGGAGAATCTTGGACGAGTGCAAGTGCGTGGACGACGTAGCTGCGATGTTCGCCATGCCCGAGGGCCGCGGGCCGTCCTGGGACGCGTCCTCGCTCCTGCGGGACGCGCGCAGGCTGCAGTCGCGCTTCATGGCGCGCGTGGGCGCGGGGGCCAGCGCAACGGTGCGTGCCAGCCTGGAGGGCGCGATGCAGCCGTCCGTGGCGATGGGGGACCCGATCGGACCGGTGCACGCGGCCGCGGCTAGGCAACTGTAGCGCCTGCCTCGCGGTCGCCCGAGCGCGCGTCGTTGCTAGATCGGGGGGGCTCTGCAACCCCCCCCAAGCCTCTGGTCACCTGTTGTGAGCGGGTGCCCGAGACGAAGCGCGAGCGCGGCGGCGTCGCGAAGCTCTAGTATGTGCATCGAGCTATGACTTTCTACGAAGGGATGCCGCCGCTGTCGCAGGCGAACCATACCTGCACAAGTCCTGGTGCGCAGCTGCGACGCCTTGCGATCCGCACACACCCGCCGCGGCCGAGAGATCCGTTCACCGGCGTCCCGGCGCGGTCCGCGAGAGCACTGCGCTGCCTGTTCGTGCAGTCCTGATCCGTGAGGCCCGCGAGACACCCCGCCTTTGTTGCGCACGTCACAGCAAGGTTCCAAGGCCCAGCTACTGCGCCTGGACGCACAGTTTCCGGAGGTGCTCCATGAACACGTCGAGCGACACGTCGTCCGTCATGATCACCTCCGCCGTCATCCCCTGCGCGTTGCTGTACGTGCTGCTCGGGTTGAGCTTCGCCAGCAAGAACCGCGCCTGGCTGCCGTTCTGGTCGCAGTCCACCAGCCGCGGCGCCGGGAACCGGTCGTCGATGATCGCGCGCGCGTCCGCCTTGGGCGCCTCGAGCAGCTGCGCGAACGCAGCGTGCTCTGGCTGCAGGTGATACTCCGCCTTGCGCCACTGCGCGATCGTCGTGCCGTGGAACACCACGACCGTGAAGTACGAGTCCAGCAGCAGGATCCGCTCCGGAAGAATCGACGCCACGTCGAGCATGACCGGCTCGGGCGGCCCCTGGAAGCCGTACGCCATCAGCGGTGGTTGAATCATCGTGATGGCGTCGCCGACCGTCTCCTTGTCCAGCATGAGCCGGAAGTACGCCGTCTCGTCCGGGGAGTGCCCGAACACTTGCACGAACTGCGATCTCCGCAGGTAGAACATGAACTGCGGGTACATGGAGAGTTGCGGCGCCAGCTGGAAGCTCCCGGGGTCGTCGCGGCGGTAGTCCCCGAAGCGGCTGCACAGCGAGATCAGGCTGCGGTCGAGCCACCGCGTCGCGTCGAAGTCCTCCTCGTTCTCCATCTTCCAGCTCGCCAGCCGCGCCATGGCCACCGCCGCCGCCTCCTGGTCGAACCCGGCCACGAGGTCGTTGAGGTTCGAGCCGTCCGTCCAGCGCCGCGTGATCGTCGTCACGCGCACGCGCGCCTGCCCCGACGAGTGGATGTACCGGCAAATGAACTGCAGGAAGAACTGGCAGTTGGCCGCCGCCGCCGCCGCTTGTTCGGCGTGGTCCTTGTACGTCCCCGTGATCTCGAAGAAGACCGCGAGCGTGCTGTGCGCGTCCAGCCCGGGCATCCGCCAAACCGTCGTGCCGCCCTCGCCGATCGGCTTGTCGGACACGGCCGACTGCGCGGTGCCGCGTTTGGGCAGCGCGTGCGCGGGGCCGATGAGGCCCTGCACGCGGATGTCGCGCGAGGTGACGACCTCGAACGTGGCGTCGCTCGAGAGGTGCAGCGCGCCGTCCTGGTCGTCCCGCGCGAACATGCGCTGGAAGGATTCCCGGAACACGGGATTCTGGAACGTGTCAGTCATGACGACAACCCCCCCCGTGGCCTCGACGCACGCCTTCATCTCGGCCAGCCCGACCTGCTCGAGGCTGCACACGAACACGTCGAGCACCTGCGACTCCGCGGCCATCCCGTCGCCGAGCTGCCGGAAGAACGCGCAGGCTTTTGCGTGGTAGGGACACGACCCCGCGCGGAGGTCCTTGTGCGACCGGATCGGGTCCTCGAGCGGCTGCCCGACCATCTTCCCGCCGCCCTCCGTCACGGGCCCGCCCGCCAGGAGCATCACGCGCGCGGCGCCCATCCCGGGCACGACCGAGCCCGACATGACCGCGGACGCCACCTGCACCGCGTTGCCGGTGCACCGCTGCGGGCGGTGGTCCGAGACGACGGGGAACGGGTCCACGGTGAGGTCCTCGAGCACGTTCGCGAGGGTGAACTCGCAGTCGGCGAGGGGGACGAGGAACCTCCCCAGGCCTAGAGGGACCGACGGGCGCTGCTGCGGGGGCTGGTACGTGCCGGGCTGCTGCTGCTGCTGCTGGCGCTGCGGGTCGGTGGGCGGGGGGGCGGCGGTGAGGGCGGGGAGGTGCGGGCGGGGCGGCGAGGGCGCGTTGGGTGGTGCGGCGGGGCGTACCGCGTTGGCGGAGCGGCCGAGGCCGAGACTGTCGCGGATTTTCTGCGTGGTGTACTCCTTGCCGCCCTGGAAGATGTAGGACCGCGGGAGGTCGGACGGGCCGAGCTCGTGCACCTGGACGTGCGTGCCGAAGGTGACGAGTCCGACCAGGGAGCGCTCGTCCATCTCGGAGATGGCCTGCTGGACCGCGATCCTGGCCGCGTTGAGCTCCTCCTCGGTGACGCATGTGTCCATGACGAAGAGGTACGCCGGAGGAGCCACGGACTGCGCGGGCGGGCGCGGGTTCGTAGGGTGCTCAACAAGGGGCCGTGGACGGCACACACGTGGCGCCATCCGCGCCGCTCGCTGCCGTGTGGCGTTGAAGCGGTGGGGATTCGAGCGGGGGGTGGTGCGGGGCGGGACCGCGGAAGTGTGCGCTCGCAGAGGAGGGTTGCGCAGAGGGCGCTTGCCTGTGACTGCGTCGTGTACTCGATCGTCGTGTGTTGCGCGAAAAGCTCGGCCGGGAGGTTGTTCTCCGCGATCTCCGCGTAGTGCGGGGGGAACTGGTTGCGCTGCATGCAGAACGGGCACGTCCACATCTTGCCCTGGAAGTCGACCCGCGCGTACGGGTTCAGGACCGAGCCGCAGCTCCGACAGGGGATGGCGTCGTACGGACAGACCTGCAGCGGCATCCGGACGGCGGGGAAAGGTCAGATCTGCCACGCCGGCGCCGCGCGAGCCGCTAGCTCAGCGCGCGAAGGGGCGCGCTCGCGGATCCCGCCGCGCAGGCCCCGCGCGGCTGTGACGCGGCGCGGATCCGAACGCACGCGTCGTGTACATGCACGGAGCACGCATTTCATCCCGCGACGAGCCATGGATCCAGAGCGAAGAGCTGCTCAGGGTTGACTGGCTGAAGAAGTAGCCCTGGACGCCGCGTCAGGGGCGTTTCCGACGAAGGACGGGAGCCTCCGACGTAGGCTGCGACACAGTGATGCCGCGGCCTGTGTCAGCGAGGCAGGCTGGGGCGCGGTGCGCACCATGAGGTCCTGCTTCTCTTTGTTGGGAGTGTAGAAGCCGACGAACGGCATCTGGCACTTCGCGGCCTCGACCTTGCTGTTGGGCCAGACGTTCCACGTGAGGCGGACGGCGTCCATCGCCTCGAGGTCGTAGAAGTCCGCCATGGTGCCCCACGACGCCGCCAAACCTCGTGCGCCGAACCTTGCCGCCTCCGAGCGTCGCTCTCTGATGCACCCGCCACGGCCGGGGCTGGACTCGTCTTCAATGAACGAAGGAGCGTCTCGCTCACCCCCAGGCAACTCTCCCTTCGCCCCCTGGCCGACGCAGGCACCTACCCAGGGCACAGGAGCACTCTCGCTGGCTCACAGATCTCACGCAGGCCGGAGGCGCACTCGCTCCCCTCGCTGACTGCTCCCCGCAGCTGCCCGCAGCCGCCCATGACCGCCGCTCGCCGCTCAGGCTGACTCAGCTCTTCCGCGAACCACCCGTAGTCCCCCAGGGGGGTCCTACGCGGAAGCGTGGGTCGCTGACAGGCCGTGACGCAACGCCCGCGTTGGATGCATCGCGACTACACCCGTGCGTTGTACGCGGTGCGGAGGTTCCGGCATTCTGAGCACCGCGACGTTGTGCCAGGACTCGCAGCACACATGGAGTTCGTACTTTCGCTGACCTACAAGCACCCTCACCGCGAGGATGCCTGAGCGAAATCACTCGCAGCGGGCGATCACGGCCTCTCGGTCAAGCGGCGACCCCGGCAGGAGTGGTGTGTCACACGTGGGGCTAGTCAGCGCTTCCCTGCGAGCAGCGGCTAGACGCCCACGTCGTTGGGGAACATGCCGCTCGTCGGTAGACGCGCGAGCGAACGGGTGGCAGGGCGGGGCCTCGGAACACGCGGTGGATGGACAGGCCGTCGCGGGGGCGGGCTGCGCGCGACCATCGAGGCAAAGGCAGGCATCATGTGCAAGGGGGGGGGTCGCGCAAGACATGGGCGCGAGGTCGGAACCGTACGGCGCGCGACCTGGCGTCAGTAGTGGCGCAGAGCTAGCTCGAGGGGTGTGTAGGGCGAGCTAACGGGATAGCGACGATCCGGGGCGGGAAGGTGACAGGCAACGACGTGCTCTGCCGCCAACAGCGAGACGTCTGGAGGGACATGGCGGAACCGGGGGGCCCGTGGCGGTGCAGAAAATACGCGGGAAGATGCAGGTTAGGGGAGGGGGGGGGCGGGAGGGGGGGTTTGCTGCTTGTCAGGCTGCACAGCGGGATGTCTTGAGAGGGCAACTGCTGTCCTTGCGACAGTAGCGGCGGGGGGGAGTGGCGGGAAGTGGACGCTACGCTGTGGCAGCGGCAGATGCGGGTCCACCGGCGGAGAAACCATGCACTCATTCCGTCGGCGGCACCTCGGAGCAGCAGGTCGTGCCTCATGCCTTGGTGATGTAGAATGACAGGGCGTGTCGAGTCTTCGTGGGTAGCAAGGGACGGAAGAGGATAGGGGGTAGGGGGGGTCTCGTAGGTGGGGGATTCGGCGAACGAGAGGCGGGGGCTCGCACGCACGGCCATGTGGAGGCCGCGCACGCACTCGCACTTGGCCAGGCGAGGTGTTTCCCGCGACGCAGCGCGTCGGGCCGGGCGCGCGCCGCGCTTTCCGAGCAGCAGCTCCTATGCGCACGCACGCACGTGCGCTCGAGGGCTCGCAGCCAGCGCTCAAAACAGGATAACGCAACACCTGCGTTGCAGGACAGTGTGGGGCGCTGCCTTCCGCCCGCACACCCCGATCACGGCCTCGCGACGGGCGGCGGGCCCGGGGCGCCCATGATCACGGGTGCCGGACTCGGCGCGTGGCCTGAGGTGAACGCCACGCTCGCAGGCCTGCTGCTGTCCTCGTTCCCAGACCCAGCGTCTCCCGCGGCGCTGGATCGCAGCATCCTGCTTTCGAGCTCGCTCTGCCGCACGTCGTCAGTGCGCCCGATGAACGCCGCCGCGCCGCCGCCGAGCGTCGCCGTCGGGAGCAGGATCTGGAGCTTCATGACCAATCCCGCCGGGGGCGCTAGCAACGTGCCCTTCTTGCCGATCGCTCCGGGCTTGGGGGCGCGCGGGATCGGGTTCGTCTTGTCTCCGACGGCCAGGGCGCCGATGTCGAACTCCCCCTGCACGCCCTTGAGGCGGAACCGCCCGATGTGGTCGATGCGCGCATGCACACACTCCGTGGTCCACGTGAGGCCGTTCTTGTCCTGCTTCGCGTCGCGCTGCCCGCGGCGCTGGCGCTTGTCGATCTTGAACGCGCGGCTCGCTCTCAGGTCGGCGCGCGTGGGCGCGGGCCTGCTGCGCGTCATGGAGAACATGCGCCCCGCCCGGCGCACGTCGCGCGTGCTGAAGCTCTTGTTCTTCGCCATCGCGGCGACCTCGAGGACCTCGCGCCGGAGAGCCTCCGCGCCGGCGGTCGGTGCGGTTGCCAGCCCGTGCCCCGAGTCGTCGTCCCCTGACTCGTTGAGCGTCATGGCGGCCGCGAGCTTGACCATCTTCCGCGTCGACGCAGCCGCGACTTGCTCCTTCTTCATCGCCGAGCGCAGCGCCCCGGGCGAAGCCACGCTCGCACGCCGCCCCTCCCTGGACGTTGCGCTGTCCAGCGTCATGCAAGATGCTGCTGCCTCGCGCCCGATGACCTTCGGGATCTCCGTGGCCACGGAGCCTTGCGCGCGCGTGTTGATGCTGTTGTGCGCCCGGGCTATCGTCACCGACCGCATCATGCCGCCCTCGCGGCGCGCGGGGGCCGCATTGAGCGGGCCCGAAGCCACGGCAGCAACGCCCAGACGGCTGGGCTGCGCCGGTGCAGGGTCCATGCGCGGGCGGGGCGGCATTCCGGTAGCGTTCGGAATGCAGTCGATCGTCTTGCCGGACTGCACCGTAGGGAGGGCCCCAACGACGTCGCCCGAGCCAAGCTGCTGCGGCGTACGGGATTGCGACGAGCTGTCCTCCCTTTGCGACTTCGAGAGGCTGCCGGACGTGAGCGCGCCAGACGAGAACGCGCCGGACGCGAGGGCGCCGGACGCGTGTCCAGCGGCAATGACGTTGCCGATCTCCGGGCCCATTTGGAACATAGTTTCGCTGTTTCCAAACACCTCGAAGCACGACGCCTGGTGCTTGCCCTTGCGTCCAGGTCCCGCCGCAGCCAAGTTGCCCGCCAGGGGCCGCGGGGCCGTCAGGCTCCCCGAGCTGCGGACCGCCCCGCCCGTCGAGGCCTGCTGCAGCAGCAGCGCTTGGCCCGGCGCGGCTTCGACCTTGCCCGTGGGAGGCAGGAACGCGTTGGACTCCAGCGCGCTGGTGCGTGCCTGCCCGGTGTCGGACTGTCGATCGGCAGCGCTGCGGAAGAAGCCTCCGCAGTCGGTGGAGGTGGCCATCTCTGCGACTGCGCGTCCGAGCTGGTCGAGCGGGCCGACGACCTGCCCAGGCTGGGCGGACACGAAGCAGAGGCGCGCGGCGCGGTTGACGAGCGGGCCGAAGTAGTCCGCGCGGCCCGTCGCGGGGTGCGGCATCACGCGCAGCGGCCGCCCCTCGCAGACGCCAATCTTGACGCGGAGCCCGCCGCGGATGAACGCGCCGTCTTCGTCCCACGTAGGCGCGCAGTACTTCATGTTCATGAGCTTCGGCGGCCACGGCAGCGTCGGCAGCAGCGACTGGAAAGACACGGCCCAAAGGTAGGCCTGCCGCAGGCTGCTGAAGGCCATCATGAAGGCGCCGTTGAGCTCCTGGCACTCGTAGCCGTCGAAGCGCGGGAGCGTGCTGCGGACGGCGGCGCGGTACGTCGCCATGGCCTTGTTCCCGGTGTTGCGCGCCTCGTCGATGATGTCGTCAATGTCGCATGGCGTGCAGAACACGATCGTCACGTCCGGGAGCGCCGCGCGCACCCAGCACGCCTCGCAGTCGGTGTACGCGGAGAAGTGCGAACACATGCTGATGTCCGGGAGGATCGGCGTGAGCGTGCCCGGCGCGTGGAAGTAGCTGGGCGTGATGGGGTTCTCCACGGGGGGGAAGAACCGCGCGCGCTCCTCGAGGCCCGGAACCAGGATCTGGAACACGTGCACGAGCGTCTTGGCCTTCCCGAGGCTCTGCTCGCCCATGTCCAGCACCACGATGTCGTCGTGCCCCTCGCGCGCGTCCTTGCCCTTTCGCCCGTTGCTGTTCGACAGCGACGCCGCGGGCGGCTCCGCGCCGTGCTCGACCTTGAGGTTCACGGTCGATCCGTGCTCCGAGTCCACGTTGGTCACGTACGTCTTCCGGGACCCGATCGCGGTGTTTTGGCTGGACACGCGGGAGGAGAACGTGTGACGGTGCGGCCGGGCCGCGTCGGGGGGGGTGATCTGGCTGTCCTCGGGCACCACGGCGTTCTTGCTTACGTGGAGAGACAGCCCCCTGCGGCGCGCGGGGCGGAATCGAGGGTGTTCGATCGCCTGTGGAGGGGACAGGAAAAGGGGGGGTGCTGGCAGCGAGCAGGACGTGGTCTTCGGGGACGCACCTCGAGGGGTTGCCCATGGTCGCCGGATCGACCGTTTGGTTGGACACGCGCGCGTTGCGTGCGTCGACCCCGTACTGGACTTGGTTGAGGAACGCATTGAGCATCTTTGCAGGTTTGAAGGAGTTGATCTTCTTCAACAGGTCCTTCACGGGCCCGCGGGAGAGGAGCTCGAAGGTGCGCTCGCACACCAGCACCTGCCCGCCGTGGGCCGAGTCCTGCACGACAGTCACACACAAACACACACGCATCAACACATCGTTCGACAACACAGACCGCGACTCTCGTGCCGCTCGCGCGTCCTGCGGCCACGGACCCGCGACGCACTGGGCGAGGCGTGCGATCTCGCGCACCTGGATGAGATTGACGCGCTGCACCGCCGGCCCCTCGTACTCGATGCGGCGCGTCACGCGGTGCGTCTTCGAGCGCGTCACCGTCGCGGTCGCGACGCCCATGCGCACCAGGAGCCCGCGGAACAGGTGTCCGCCGGCCTCCTCGGGCCCCATCGGGACCAGCACCGGGTCCGGCGGCGCCGACTTTGCGCGGGACATCAGCGACGTGGCGTGGCTGGCGTCCGCATTCGCCGATGGAGCGACGCGCGTCGTCGGCCGGGTCATGACGAGCGTCTCCGACGGGTTCGACGAGCTCGCGGCGCTCTTCTTGTCGCCCTCGCTCCCGCCGCTCACCGCCGTCTTCACCTCCGGGGACGGCTCGTCCGACGAGGCGTCCTCGGGGGTCGTGCGCGGCGAGGACCCCCCCCTGACGTCCGTGAGTGTCGTCACGCGCCTCGACTTGAGGCCCGAGCTCGCCCCGCTCCCCGTGATGATGTCCGCGGACAGCGCCGGCGGCCACTCCGCTGCCTGCAGCTCCTGATGCACCGACAAACACCACCCTACGGCGTCCGCGGGCTCGTGGAACGCGACGAGGAAGGAGTCGCCCTCCGTGAGCACCTCGTACCCGAACCAGCGCGCCAGGTTCCGCCGCATGATCGCGTCGTGCAGCGCGTTGGCGACCGACATCTCCGCGGGCATCGTTTCCCAGATCATCGTGGAGTCCTCGACGTCGGTGAGGACCAGCGTGACCTCGCGCGAGCCCGTCGGGGGCCCCGCGCGCTTCCGGCGCTCGAGCATCGCCACCGCGAACGACCGCCGCAGGAAGTAGAAGAGGATGGCCGCTGTCAGGAGGATGACCACGACGGCCGGGACGAGGCTCGCGACCAGAACGATCATCAGCGAGTCCCCCTGGGCCTTGCAGATGGGCACCGCGGCCGGGAGGTGCTCGCGCTCCCACGCGGCGTCGTTGGCGGGGTAGGACGGGGACTGCTTGATCAGGTTCCAGCGGCTCATGATGGCCTCCGAGTTCGCGATCGGAACGGAGCGGATCTCGGTCCCGACGGGGCAGTGGCAGCCCTCGTAGTGGTAGAAGAACGGCGAGAGCCGGATCGTCACGCGGTTCCGCTGCGACTGACCCACCCACGCCACGCCGGGGCACTGCAGCGGCGCGTCGCCCCCGATGCCCGCGTCGACCGGCTGCACGACGATCTGCTCCGTGAAGCGGATGAACTCCGGGAGCAGCTCGTCGCGGGAGTTGCGCTGCGACTTGGGGTGCGAGACCAGCGCGTCCAGCAGCTCGATCGAATGCAGCATCACCATTTCCCCCATCTTGGCCGGGAGCGGCCCGAAGAGGGAGGTGTTGTCCATGCGGAGGACCTGCAGGCCCGACATGTCCGCGAGCGTCACGGGGATCGTCCCCATGATGCGCTCGTTGCCGGCGATGTCGAGCGTCTGGACGGCCCAGTGCGACAGCGGCTCCGGGAGCGAGCCCTCGAGGTCGTTCTCGTCGAGGTAGAGCCGCCGGAGGTGGTCCTGGCTCCCGAGGAGCGCAGGGAGCGTCCCCGTGAGCCGGTTCTGCCCGAGGTCGAGCTCCTCCATGTCGGCGACAAAGATGGAGGCCGAGAGGGTGCCGGCGAGGTTGTTGCGGCGCGCGTTGACGACGCGCAGGCCGCGCGGGGCGCTCGCGTGGACGAGTCCGAGGTCGGCGTACGTCTCCTCGGAGAAGTACTGGTCGATTCCGGGCGGCTTCGCGGCGTCGATGGTGCTGGGGCTGAAGATGGAGGTGCTGAGGGAGGTGAAGGCGTTGTGCGCGATCTCGATGACGGAGAGCTGCGGCATCAGCGACAGCTGCGCGTTCGTGCTGTCGAGGGAGTTGCCGGACAGCGAGAGGTACGTCAGGCTGAGCATCTGCTCGATGCTGGCGGGCACCACCCCCGTCAGCTGGTTGTCCGAGAAGAACAGGATCGTCATGCGCGCGTGCAGGGGCCTGCGGGGCGGGGGGAGGGACGCGCGGGACGGGGTCGGCACGGGACCGCCGCGCACGGGGTCGCGGGGCGCGGTCGCAGCAACAGCGAGGCAGTGTCGCGGGCCGCGCACCATCCCGGATCGCTGCCGGAGATCCCGGTCGTTCCTTCCGGGATCGTTCCCGTGAACTGGTTGTCCTCGAGGTGCATGTTCCGCAGCATCACCAGCCGCAGCACCTCCCGCGGGATGGTCCCGGACAGACCCAGCCCCGCCAAGCTCAGATACTCCAGCGAGCTGCGGAGCGGCTCGAGCGCCCCGGCCGGCAGCGACCCGCCCGTGCGCGTCACCAGCGAGTCCCCGGCCTCCGTGTCCCTGCCCGCGCGCGACAGGTCCAGCGACGACACCCCCCCCGGCTGCACACACGCCACGGCGCGAATCCGCGAGTCCGTGAGCTTCACGGGGGTCTTGTCGCCCGAGCGCTTGATCACGGGCAGCGTGTTGTCCGCGCTGCAGCACTTCACGCCCGGCCAGCAGCAGTGGTGGACCCCGGAGGTCCAGATCCGGCTCATGCCCGTGTTGGGCCAGCTCGGACCGTTCGTAGCACCGAATATCGCGAGCAGGGCGTCGCGCTGCGCCGCCTGGCACGTGGCGCCGCACGGCGTCGCGGCGTTGCGGAGCCGCGACTCGAGGTCCGCGAGCCCGGCCTCGAGCTGCGACTGGAGCAGGATGTCCTCCATGCCGGGGAACACATGCGTCCCCCACAGCACGTCCGTCTTGCCCTGCGGCCGTGGGGCGGAGCGAACGGCGCGTGCGTCGCGCCGGGGTGGTTTGCCGCAGGGCGCGGCGCTCGCGGCTGGCCGGGGCGGCGCGTGGAGGCGGGGATCGCGCGCCCAGCAGAGGCGGTGCGGGGGGATGCGCGCACCTGGAAGAGCTGCGTCCTCCAGCTCAGAATGACGCTCGACGGGTCCCAAGCTGACGACTGTGGTGTGTCGAGCGCGGGGTTCGCGAGGGCGTTGATCCCGCGGCTCTCCAGGTACGCCTGCGGGACGGTCAGCAGGCACGGTGGCGGTGGGAGAGACGGGGCGGTGCGCGGCGGAGACGCCGCTCCGGCCCCAGGGGGGCGCGCGGCGGCTTGAGACGGCCTCGGACAGCAGCAGGAGGCGACTGTGGGGCGAGAATGACGCTCGATGGGACGCCACAGCCGATGTGGGAGGGGCTGAATGGCAGGGCGCGCTCGCTCGTGGCTGGTGCGCGTAGACGCCTGGGAGGGCCGGCGGCGTACCTGGCACGTCTCTGGGTCGCCCTGGAGGAACTTTTGCGCGAAGTCCGCCTCTTGAGCTGCGGGAACACGGAGGGCCGGGCGACTCTGTGAGCGCGAGTGGCGCGCGCCTTAGGGGTGCGTGCGCATGTGCGCGAGCCGGCTCACGTGAATAGTTGTGAAATTTTGAGCAAGGCCCGCGGCGCACACGGGAGGGTGGACGGTGCGCGACTCGAAAGCGGGCCGAACGAAAGCTCCAGGGTCAATGCCGGCGCGGGGCGCCCGCGTGCGGCTCTACATTAGGGCGCGGCGGCTGTTCACGCACCGTGCGTGGCCCGCAAGCTGGCCAGGATGACGAGCAGCGCCGCGACGAGACCCACACGCCGTCGCAGCTGCATGCTCCGCCGGCCCTCCGACCGTGCTCCAGGCGTGCACATCCTTGCACCGCCACGTCACGCGGCACCGGAGAGTCTATCACTCATCTATGTAATTGCTCCGCAAGAAAGCCTGTGCGCTGCCGAAAGGCGGCAATGCCTCTGCGAACCAGAGGAAGTGCTCGCGCTCGGCTTAGACAACGCGCATTGCACACCGCGGCGAGACGGACGTGTGCACTTTGTCACTGGGCCGCCCTGGGCGACGGCAATCGGCCCCGCGCAGCGTGTCGGGCCGGGGGGCATGCCGCTACTACCTACTGGTCGAAAGCACGCACTCCCTGGGGCCCGCTCGTCGGAGACGGTGCCCAGACCGAGGCCTGTGTGTCCTGTTCGTGAACGGGGAGGATCCTGGCATCGCGGCGGGCGAAGAAAGGGCCGTCGTAGCGCGCGGGCGCCGAGGAAGCGCCCTGGCGTTTCATGCGTGTGGTCCGCGGGCTGCTGGCCACGTCATCTTGGACGCCTAGGCAGGCACAAGGGGGAAATCGGTCGGTCCGCTGCGGCTTTCAGGCCCCGGACACCTCGCCGACCCGACTCTTGCGCGAGCATCGCATCGCTGCCCTCGTCACGGGGGGTGCACACACCACAATGCTTTGCAGCGACTCGGCCTCGCGTGAAAGAGGCGGTCGTCACCCCGGCTCCTCGTGGCCGCATGCGGCGATCACAGCACCAACGTGACGCGGCGCATTCCGTGTCGCGTCGGCGATTCCGTTGCGAGGGGAGCCCGGGCTTGCGCGACGTGCTCGCAGCGCCTCACTCGCCCGCGATCCCCGCCAGGAGGCCCGGACCCGCGTCGCCGACGAGCCACTCCGCACTCGCGCTCGCCTGCCTCCACAGCCCCGGGCTCCTCGCCAGCTCCCGCCCCACGGGCACCCACGCGTGTCCCTCGCACGCCGCGCGCGCCCCAACCGGCAGACCCTCCTCCCCGCGCGACAGCGCGCCGGCCTCGAACGCCCCAACCTCCCACGCGTGCGACGGCAGCGGGCCGCCGCACCGAGGCAGCACCCCCGCCGGGCACCACAGCAAGAACACGACGTCGGTGTGCAGGCGCCTCCGCGTGGTGCCGTTCGGGGCCTCGCCCGCCCAGTCGCGCTGCGTCACGGCGGCAGGGCTCACGTCGGGAGCGGGCAGGTGCACCCCGGCCTCCTCGGCTATCTGCACGGCGCAAAAACCACGCAGCAACCTTCAATCTTCTTCAAGTCTGCGGCGGGCTTCCAAGACGGCGCCGGTGCGCTGGCGGGGCGCGCGGGCGGCTCGCCTCGGATCGTGCGGCGTCGACGGGCGTGCTGGCGTGTTTGACGAACCCGGACGGGAACGCCCACCGCCCTGCGCCCGACAGGTGGTTGGACCGCTTTTGAAGGAGGACCCACGGCCGGGGGCCTTCGACGCTGAGCACCATCACGGCGACGGTGCGCCCGTAGTCGTCGGGGCCGTCCTGGATCTGCGCCGAGAGGGGGGCACCACCATCGACGGGGTCGGAACAGGGACGCGCAGCTGTGCTCGACGCAGCCGCGGCGACGCCGGTGTGCATGCCATCGGCGGTGCTTGCCTGGCCAGCGACTTCGGGACAGTGACGGTCGAGGTGGCACGAGGGCCGCTGGCCGCAGTGACGACACGGGGGATGGTCGGCTCCTAGCAAGCACTCGGAGCAGAGCGGGACGCCGCAGTGCCCGACGAGAACCGCCTGCGACGTGGCGATGGGATCGCTGGGTGAGTGGACTACGCAGATTCGCACTGCGTGGGGCGCGAGCGCGGTACGGCCCGGCGGGAGGGGCCCAGGGGTGGTTGCATGCCTTCTCGGGGTCGACGGTCTTCTTGCGGGACCTCAGCGAGTACGGCATACCCGCGCCTGACAGAAGAGCTTGCGCGATGTTGCGAAGATTCTGCGTCTACTATTGCCTGAAAGAGGGCCCGCGCCCATTCCAGCCCCACGAAGACGGCCCAGTTCGCGGGCCCAGCGGGGCGTTCGCGTGGATGCCGTGCTGTGCGTCGAGCAGCGACGACGTACTCGTGGGCTTCTGCGTCTCAGCGCGCCCTTAGATCCCTGGAAGGAGGAAATTGGGCGTGGACATCAGTCTGCCTGACACCCGCGCCAGCAGCGCAGTGCCGCGCCCGCAGTCGAATCCACGCGGCGCATCCTGCTCGCACGAGACGTGACATCCGCTTTTGCTGTTCTGCCTTCCGACTTCGGCCACACTCCGAGCTCCGAGCGCCGTACACGTTGCTCAGGACCCTCGAGCGCTTGATGCACGGAAGTGATGTCAGCCTTGGCCCGCCGTACGGATAGCTCATGTTACTGTCGATCCGGCGCGTGAGCTGTCAGCCTCGCAAGCATGTCGAGCAGCAGAGGGACGGGGCGTTTCGCCCCTGCTGCAGACGACTGCCGGGAAATCGCGCACTCCGGCTCCGCATCGAGGCGTGGCGTCGCGGCCCTCGCATCGACTGCGAGGGAAACAAGCTGGCGGGCCGCCGTACCGGGCGCCACGGCGTCGCTGCCGGACGCACTGGCCGGCTCGCTGCTGCATGACATCGACCGGGAGGGCACCAGCGCCAATGAGCAGGCCCGCAGGTGCGTACGTTCAACCCAGAGGCCGTCCAGGGCCATGAAAGGGTCAGATTACGCGCCAAATCGTGCTGGTGGGGTCTTGCGCGGCTGGCTCGGCTCGCATCGAATCTTGCACTGAGGCGTCATGCTCGGGCCCTGCCGCGCCGTGCCGTCCGTTCCTCGCGCGCCGGAACGCTCACTCGCGATCCTTGTGTGGCATTGCAGGGCTCTGCTGCGTCGCAGCGATGCAGCGTGCGGCGCGCGCGACCCCATGGCGCCTCTCACACACACGCACTCCACGCTCTCGCGAGACGTCGGACCGCTTGTGCGACCTCAGCAGCCGCATTCGGCCACCGAGTCGACGTGGCCCGCCGCCGCTCGCGCACACTCCGCCACCTCAGGGCCCACGCCCCGCTCCAGGCCGCCCCCGACGCTTCCGTCACACCCGAAACGCGCCCCCGCGACGGCGCGGACGAAAGCGTCCGCGCTCACAGAGTGCCTGCGCAGAGGCGACGCTCCCGAGGGCTCGCCCGGGGCCAAGGTCGCGGCAATGCCGGAGCTGTGGGTGCCTATCCTCAAGCACTTGCGGGCCCCGGCTCGCGACACCACGCGGGCCCCCCGGAGCCGCTCCGTGATGCCGTGCGTCGGCTGCGGCGCCGAGCAGTGCCCGCACGCCGCGGAACCGGGCGGGTGGCCCGCCGGCTGCTTCCCGGAGCCCCGGTCCCTCGCGGCTGTTGCGCTCATGTCGAGTGACGTGCTGTGGGCCGTCCTCGCGGCCAGCGGCGACGACGTGCCGCTCTTCCTGACCCTGGAGCTCCAGGTGGCGGTCGTCGCGGCCGCTGCGAGGGGCCGGCGGGCGTCGCAGTCGTCTGCGTGGGCGGCCCGGTGTCTGCCGCAGGGGGGGTTGTTGGCGCTCGAAGCAGTGCCCGGCGAGGCGGAGCGCGGCGGACCCCGCGCGCTGGCGTGGGCGTGGCTGCGGGGCGTGTTCTCGGCGGGCCAGACGTCGGCGGGCCAGGGCCCCAAGCGCAGGCGCCTGGGGTTGCATGCTGTCGAGGGCGGGCGAGACGACCTTGCGACGCCTGTCCGCGCCCTTGTGGCGCCCGCGGTCCTCGACGGGCCGTGGAACAGCCCTGCGTCGTACGTCGGGGAGGTCGGGGCCGGACGTGGCGTCCGTCTTGGGCAGGACACGACAGCAGCGGCGGTGGCACTTGGAGCCACGATGTCGTCGCTGCACCGGATCGCCGTGCCGGAGTCGGCCATGCTAGCGGCTCTGTCTACCACGGGACTGTGCGGACAGCTCAAGGTCGTGGACCTGCGGCTGACGTGCTGCGTGGACGCTGCGCGAACGCTGCGTGCCGTGCAGGCGCGCGGGTGCGCTGCGGGGCCGGCGCTGCCCACACTCGAGAAGCTGTCTGTCCAGGTGTGGCTACCGCTGGACCCCTGGTCGTGTCTCGAACCCCCCTTCCCCACCATGTTTCGATCCCAACCATCACGGTCGCTCTCTCGTTGCGTCTGTGCAGCTGATTCAGCCCCGAAAGCAGGACCTTGCGGCCGTGCGTCTCCTGGCGCTCGCGGCGCCGTCGCTCCTGACGCTGCGGCTCGATGCACGCGAAGCAGACCCCGGGTGCGGCCCCATGAACGTCGAGGGCCTGACGTCGCTCCGCAGCGTGGCTGTCTCGGGTCCGGTCGCCGTGGACGTCGGTGCAGAACCGATGCCGCGGCTTGTCTCGCTCCGCTTCGACCGCCTGCCGTCCGACAACACCATCGCCGCGCGAATCAACGGGAGGATTCTGACCGCCCTGCACCATCTCGATGCGCGTTGCTTGGTGTCGCCGTTCCAGTCTGTGGACGCCACGCGGCTCCTGCCGGGGCTGTCGACGCTGACCGGACTTACGTCGCTCTCGACGGTGCTGTCCGACGCCTCCGCCGTGGAAGGCCTCACAGGTGAGACGATGAAAACAAGCAGGCCTATCACGGACGCGCCTGCGTGCGCGCAGGTTGCGCACTCACCCACACGTTCCGAACATACGCTCACAGGTCTGGAGCGGCTGTCGGCCTCGGCTGCTCCAGGAGGGGACCTCTCGGGCGTCAGGTGTCTGTCGAGGCTCTCCGCCATGGTCAGCCTGACGCTGTCGTCGTCACGCACGTCTCTCGCCGCAAGGGACGTTGCCGGGCTCCCTGACACGCTGACCAAGCTGCGCGAGCTCACTCTTTGGTGCTCGCTGTCGCCGGGGGCGCTTGCGGCCCTGTCAAAGGCAACGCAGCTAACCGCCCTCAGCATCGACGCAAGCGCGCGCCAGCAGACCGGCGGGGCCGCGCACGACGCAGACCACCCCGAGTCCGTGGGTCGCGGGTGGGACTGGCTGTCGCGGCTCGCAGGGCTCCAGGTGCTCGAAATACACTCCCCCGCTGACCTCGGGGACGACGGGGGGGGTCTTGGGGAACTCCCCTCCCTCCGGGAGCTCCGGCTGCGCGGTGGAGCGCTGCGCTCGGCGCATGTGCGCGCTGCGGGGAGCTGCCGGCGCCTGCGACGGCTCCATATTGGACCAATGACCCTCGAAGACATGGATCCCCTCGTGATGCTGCTCGCGCCAGGCTCTTTCGCAAAGCTGCGGGAGCTAGAGCTGTGCGGGTGAGTGCTGATTGTAGCGAGCGTGCTATGGGAGGGAGGACATTGCGCGGACCCATCCGGAGCTCGAATGATGGGTGCCTTGTCTTGTGTGCTCTCCGCAGTCTGCGAGGTCTGGGGCGAACAGGGGCGGGGCTGGTGCAGAGGCTGTCCCGCGGGACGCGCTCGGTGAAGGACCAGGTGATCGTGGGCTGGGTGCTGCGAAAGCTGTCGAGTGCAGGGGTCGCAGTGACGACAAAAGGCCTAAAGTTTTAGGCTGTCGTAACATCACGTATGCACATTCATACATACATACGTTTCAGTGCACGAGGAGCGCTCAGGTGAACGTTGATCCTTTGCATGTAACCACAGCTGGGAGCGCGTCCCCCCTGTCGCCCCCGTGCTCCACGTGGCATCAAGCAACTGACCCGCGCTTGGTTGCCCCGAACCAACGCTGGACATTATTGCATGCACTCAGCCGGGGCGCTAGGCGCGCTGCGAGGTCTTCTGCGTCAGGTAGCGCTGGTAGCGCGAGCCCTGCTTCGGCCCCGCCTGGCGCGCCTGCGGCGTCCTCCCGATGGTACATGACCGCGCCATCGCTGGCGTGGTGCCCAGCCGCTCGTCGACGATCGCCGGGGTGCTGACGCCCGCGTTGCGCGCCGCGAAGCTCTCGGGGCGCCTCGTGGGCACCGTCGCGCTGTGGGTCAGCTTCCTGTCCACCAAACCAGTTGGCTTTGCACCTTGTCTTCCAGCTACCGAGTCCGCCTCGTCGCCCAGGAACCGCTGTGCCGTGCCTCGCCACGCTGCGAGCCTCTCGTCGAGCGCGTCGGCCGCCCTGTCCAGCCGCCCTGCGTACGCGCCCCGCACGCTCGTCAGGCTGAGGCTCCCCCGCTCCACCGAGAGGCGCTCCTCGCCCGTCAGCGCTCCTCGCGTGCGCCCTTTCGCGGGCGCAAGCTCCCCAGCCTGTCGCCGCGGGGCGAGCGACGCAGTGCGCAGGGTCTTGGAAATGGGCGCCGGGGCCGACGGCTCTCTGACGGCGCCGAATTCGTTGCTCGAGATAGCATCGCTGTAGTGCAGGCGCGACCCCGATGCCCGCTTGGAAGCCGTGCGCAGGTCCTTCTTCGAGGACCAGCGGCGGCCCACGAGCGGCCCAGATCCCCCTTCCTCCATCGCGGACGCCCCGCGTTCGACTGCTGACGCCTGCCGGGCCGCCATCTCGATGGCGGCCCCGTCCTTGCCGAATTTCCCCTGTGCGATCGCGACGACCCCGGACACAATCACGGAGGCAACGTGCTGTCGCTGGATCCGTGGGCGCAGCTCCCCAGAGCGCTCGGAGTACGAAAGAGTCGACGTTCGGTGTTTGTTTTCCTGCCAGTTCTCGATATCTGACCTCGCGCGGCCCGATCTGCGCCTGCGAGCTCCGACCGACGGCCCCTCGCTCGATGCAGAGGTTCCGTGTCGCCGATCGGCCGCCGTCGCCGTCGCCGGGGCTGCCGCGAAGGCCTGCGGTCGCCGCCAGGCGGGCATGCTGTTTGCACTGCGGTCCACGCTCGCGAGCGTGCTCGCGGCGCTCCTGCTCTTCGCACGCCGCGCCGTGATCGACTTGGCCGCCAGCGCGAGCACGTCGTCGACGTTGTCAGCGTGAACTCCCCCGGGGGTGCGCAACGACACCCCCCGCTCCCGCAACGGGGCGCGCCAGGAGACCAGCTCGGTGCGTTTGCCCCGCACGTCCCCGGGCATATCAAGCATCACGTCTTCGAGGTCCGCGAGCAGCTCCTGCTCCGCATCCGCGCAGGAGCTGACACTCTCCAGCACCACGTCTTCGACAGCGCGCACCTCGCTCTCCAGCCTCCCAACGAGCTCCTCTTTCGCCTCCACGCTCTCCTCCACGAGCACGTCCATCATGAGCTCCGTGGCCACCTCCACGTCGATCCCTCGCGTCAGACGCGCGCCCAGCGACGGGGAGGTGGTGCCGGCGCGGGACACCTCTCGGATGCGTGCCTCCTCGCGGATCATACCGAGGAGGAGGTGCGCGAAGGTGTGCGCCGCGTGCAGCGCGCACTCAAAGGCGCCCCACAGCCGGTCCAGGTTGACCACGGCGCTCTCAATGATCCACATTTGTTCTTCGATGTTCAACATGTCGACCTTGATCTCCTCGGTGGTCGGCAGGGCCCCGGCCTCGGCCTCGACCCCGGCCTCGCCGACGTCGACCTCGGGCTCGTGCGCCTCGAGATCGACCGCGCTGGTGTCGACGTCGAACTCGTACGGCTCCACCGGCGTCAGGATCCTGGTGTCGGGCGCGAAGCGGGTCCTCTGGGACCTCTGCGGGGGGAGCTGCTGCGGCACGTCCGTCGCCGCGCCAGGCTCGCCGGTCTTTGGCGCGGAAGCTCCCGCCCCGCTCGTGCTCCCGCGGGTGATGCGCAGGAGCGCGCGGGCCCGATCCAGCACCCTGGGGTCCACCCCGATGTCAGCGAGACTCCCCCGCGTCGTCAGGGGCATGGCGCTGCCCGCCGTCGCGAGCGGCACCTCGACGCTCCCCCTGCTCCCCGCCCTGTCGTTCCCGAGCGACTTGGCGCGGTCCAGCGCCCGCACCGCCCCCCGGCGCAGCGACGCGGCCCGCTCCGCGCCCCCGCTGCTCAGACCCATCAACTTCGACGACTGCGTCACCACCGCGGGATCCGAGCTGCTTCCCGAGGCCGCCGACGGCGCGCCGCGCCGCACCGCGGAGTTCTGCGACTGCGTCCGCGACAGGTGTTTCTGGAGCGCTGGGCCGTCGACGATGGCGTGGAGCCGGCCGAGGCGCTCCTCCTGCGCGCGCTGCAGGGCGCCGCGGTCCACGACGGCCGCGGAACGCCGGATCTTGAGCCCGAGGGAGCGCGTGAGCTTCGGCACCGATGCCTCGTTTCCTGGCGTCTCCTGGAGCGCGCTGCTCGCGGGATCCGCGGGCCCTTGGTGCGCGAAGCGCACGCCGCGCTCCCTCGCCGCAGACGACCGCGAGGAGGTCCCCGCCTCGGACGTCTCGCCTTCTTGCGAGGCCTCTTCGATCAGGTTGTTGGCGGCGTCGTTGGCGTCGCGGAGGGTCGACAGCTCAGCCTGGAGGAACACCATGCGCTCGTCGATGGCCGTCAGCGCCGCGTCGTAGCTCTGGAGGCAGAACCGCGTCGTGACGAGCGCCGCGTGCTTCGCTCTCTTGCGGAAGCGCCGCAGGTTGCGCCGCAGCATGCGCCGCCCGCGCCGGGCCACCTCGGACGTCGCAATCCGCCGGAGCGTGTCGCCCTGCGGGTGGCCCAAGTCCGTCTCGTCGTTCTCCTCCAGGAGCGCCGCCGCGGCCGCCTCCTGCTGCCGAGCCTCCCGCGCTCCCACCTGCAAAGACCCCCCGTCGACCCACATCGCGTCAGCAACCGAGCAGCGTACCGGACGAACAGCACAATACCTCCCCGCTGGTAGCGGGCGCGCACCTCGAGCACTTCGTCGATCTCGGCGAACAAGTCCGACGCCGTGGCTACGTACGACGACATCGTCGGAGTACCGTCGCTCTCCGCGGCGCTCCTGCGCGCCCTGGAGGATCCGGCCTCGTGGTGGCTGACGTTGCTGCGCCGGTCCAGCCCGTACTCGCCCGCGCTCTCCACGCGCGGCGGCCCTCTGCGCGAGCTCCCGGACCGCGCGCGCAGGCACGGCGCGGGCGTGGACTCCACGCGGGCCGTGAGGGCGCGCACGTCGAAGTTCGGGCGCTCGCGGCGGCTCGACCGCCGGGACCCGCTGTCGCCCGGGGAGCGTCCGGCGCGCGGGCCGTCGAAAATGCTCACGCTGTCATTCCAGGACGGGCGCGCCGTGCGACGTACCGTCGAGACCTTTGAAGGCTTGCGGGACTCGATAGGCCTGCGGGCATGATGCGAGGAAACGCGAGGGGCGGTTGGGGGGTGTTGGTTCGCGTCAGGGCGCGTGTGGTCGCGCGTTGAGTCCCGGGGGCACCTCCCACGCGGCCTACGGCGCTGCGCCTGGCCCGAACGTACGCACCGCGAAGCCCTGTCCCCTGGCGGTTCTTGCCGGCTGTGCTCGGCCGACTTCCCCGAGAAGCAGGCGAAGAGGCCCATGGCGGGCGCGCGCGCGCGGGGTGCCCCCTGGTGCAGGTGAAGCGGCTCGAGGCGCCACGGGCGTTGACGGGCGACGAATCGGATCAACTGCACGGGAACCGGTAGTCAGAGATATGAGGAACGACTTGCGAGGAGGACGACGTGACTATGATGGTGTAACCGGCGGTTGCGCGGGCGTTGAAGGAAGGGGCACTAAGCACGGACGCGGCTCACCTGAACGTAATATCTCGCAAACACATCGATATCGATTTGTTCAATCTTCCAACAGTGCGTTTTGACCCAGTCGCCCGGTGAAGGCCCCCTATGACCCGCGGGGGAGTCGTGGACAGAGAGAAGTGGTCCTTTTACGCCCTGGCAGAGTTCCCCCCGGTTGTTTGGCGGCACGCGCTTGCCGCCAAGGGGCCGGGACGGTCCTCGGCGTGGCAACTTTTCCCGAAGGTCGGCCGAACGAAGCACTGTCGCGGCGATGACCTGCGCGGTGCTATAGGCCGTGCTGGCGTGGGGTGCGCTGACGTGCTACGCCGCGCGTTGCTGGGGAATCGAGGCGCCATGGACCCGCGGGGCGAGGAGTGGTCTGCGCGGCTGCCGAGCCCGCATCTGATCGCGAGGAGCGGGCCGGGATGTGGGGCTGCGGTCGCCGTCTGCGTGGGGCGCTTCTTGCCGGCGGAGTGCGGCGCGGGCGACGCACAGCTCGTCGTCGCGCTCGCGGACCGCATCAACGTGTACCAAGGGGACCCGCGGGGGGCCGGTGAGGGCAGCGCGGCCGTGCTGGTCCTCAGCCAGGCGACGTTGGGCCGGGTAGTCGAGGTGGCTCGTCTCAAGTGGAACGAGTGCCACCAGGGCACCGTGGCGCAGGTGAGGGCCCGAGAGCTTCCGAGCCGTCGCCCTCTCGCAAAAGCTGGCGGGCCCTGGCCCCGGGACGGCCGCGAACGAGCCCCAAGGTTGCATGCGGGGGAATCGGCCGACGCAACGGGCGTCCGGGACATATCAGAGGGCATGTCGCGACCCATCACGTGCCTCGCTGTACGAATGGCGCTCTCGGCGACGATGATTCGGAAGCGGGCGCTGTGTGCGCGGTGCGCCCCACGCAAGCTGCTCCCTACCAACCGCCCCGGCCGTTCGCCCGTCGCAGGAGCACGTCGGGCTCGACTTCCTGGCCCTGCTGGCGGAGTCCGGCCACCTGTCCATCCTCTCGTACTCCCGGACCCTCGCGCGCCTCCTCGCAGTGCAAAGAATCGACCTGGGCTCCCCGCAGTCGCGGCGGCACCTCGGCTCGGGCCCGCTCCGCCGCCGCATCGTCCCGCACCCGGACGGGACGGCCTTCGCCACCGCGGCCGCCCACGACCGCGTCGCGATCTTCCCCGCCCGCGCCCTGGCCGCCGAGCCCTCCGCGGTTGGAACCCCCCCGGGGCCCTTTGCGGAAGAACACCGCGCGATCTACGCCCCCGCCGCGCGGCGCGACCCCGGGGCGCCGACGGTGGCGGCGAACGCGGGCCTCGCGGGGACGCCCGCGCCGCCGATGCCCGTTCCGGCGTTTCACCCGACCGGGGCGGACGGCATCTCCGCGGTCAACGTGCTGCGGCTGCTCGGGTCGGGCGTGGGGGAACACTCCCCCCTGGAGTCCTCCCTGCCGTCGGACCGCGCGGAGCCGCAGTGGACGGTGTTGGCCGCGGCGTTCGTGGACGCTGGGGCGGCGGCGGGCGCGGGACTGGCCGTGGTGGCGCTGCTGTACGTGGCGGTGACGCGGCGGTTCGTGGGGCGGCTGCTGCGGCGCGGGGCAGGGCAGACGGCGCTCGAGGCGGCCGGGTCGGCGGAGCTGGGGGGCGCGGTGGGCACCGCGATGGATCTGGTGGCGCTGGAGGGGGTGTGCCGGGGGGGGGTGCTGTGCTGCGGGACGGAGGGGGTCGTGGTGCTGCACGTGACGCAGCGCGGGCTCGAGGTCATGCAGACGCTGCCGTGGGCGTCCTTCTTCGGCCCCCTGGCGCCTCCGCCTGCCTGCGAGGCACTCGCCCACACAGGGACGCTGCACGTGTCCGCGGCGTGCCGGCTGCCGCGCACGGGCGGCGCCGCGGCCGAGGACGCCGAGGACTACGCGTGCGCACTCAGCAACGGGACGTTGTGGGCCGTGCGGGTGGCGGCGGGGACGGCAGCCGTGCCGTGGCGTACCAAGGGACTCGGCCAGGTGGTAAGGCTGCCTGCCGACGCCACGCGGAACGTAGGAGCCACCACAGGGCTCGTGGCGCTCCCCGCGGGGTCGGACTGGCGCGGGGGGGCGCCGTTCGTGCTGCTGCGGGACCCCGGGGAGGTGGTGTCGGGGGAGTTTTTGTACATCACCCCCCCGGAGACGGCGACGAGCGCGCAGCGCGCGGGCGCCACGCACTGGCAGTTCGTCGCGCAGTCCATCGTGGCCGGCGCGCTCGCGGGGGCGACCGACATGGTGCTCGCGGACGGCGGGGAGCGCGGGGGCACGCTGGCGTACGTCACCTGCGCAGGGGGTGGCGTGGGGGAGGGCGGCGGGTCCCTGAGGTCGATTGCGGCGGCGCAGGAGGCCGGGGACGCGGTCACGTTGGCGACGGGCCTGAACTTCCTCACTGGTCTGTTCGCGCTGAGCGCCCAGGCCAGCAACGCAGTGGTGGGAGTGGCGTTTCCTGACGTCACCAAGGTGCTCGCGGTCACGACGAGCGCGACGCCGTCCGGGACGCAAGCGATCGTGCAGGATGCGACGCCGCGGCTGCGGTCGGGGCCGCTCCCGGCGCCGTGTCTCCTTGCTGCGTCAGTGGGGCCGACGGAATGGGGGGTGTCGGCGTTTGTGGGGCCTGAGTCAGCGGCGCTGGTGCGCACGGCGGGCACCGGAGAGGACGGCGCGGTCGAGGTGCGCTTCGCGGAGCGGATCTCGTGCGCGGCGCTCGAGGCGGCGACAGGCACGCTGGTGTTGGTCCGCCAGGGGAGGACTCTCGCGGTGACCCCCCTGCTCGCCGCGGCGCGCGCGCTCGCGGACGGCGCGACGCACGCGGCGCCAACGGCTGCGGTGTCCTCGGACGGGATCCAAGCGTCGGGCGAGATCACGTGCCTGTGCTGCGCGGCGGCGGACGACCGCGGCACACTCCTGGTAGCAGCCGGCACGCACGCACCGTCCGTGGACGTCTTCGTCGGCCACGCGCCCCCGTCAGACGCGTCGCACGCGCGTGCACGTCCGCACGGGCTCCGGCTGCTCACGAAAATCGACCTCGGGCACCCCTCGTGGGCGCTGCATGCAAGCAATGCAGTCGGGGCAGGACCGGCGCCGGCGAGCCAGGACGCGTCCCGGAGACCCAGCTTCGGGACGGCCCAGGGTGACGACGCGCTGAGGAAGGGCCTGGCATGCCTCGGGGCTGCGTGGGAGCCGAACGGAAGCACCCGCAGCGCTGCGCCCGAGTCAGTGCTGCTTCTGCGGGATCGCGGGCACGCGCGGGGCTCTAGCGGCGGCACGAGGAGCCTCATCGTCGGTCTTCGCGACGGGCGCGTCGAGGCCCACAGCCTGTCGCTTCCGCCGGAGCGGGGCGGGGGCGTTGCCGTGGCACTGTCCAAGACGTGGTGGTGCGGGACGACGCCGGTGTCGCTGGTGCGCGACGGCGACGGCGCCGTGGCGCTCGGGAGCCACGCGACGCGCGTCTCGCCGCCGCTGGCCCCCGGCGCCCCCCCCGGCGTGCAGCCAGTGATTCTGCCTGCGAGCATTGGTGCGTCGCCGTACGCACTGGTTGGCGGGCTCTCCGACGCGCTCTCGCGCGACGAGCGCTTCGACGTGGTGCTGATCGCTGCGACGACGGCGGGGGACCTCGTGGCCTGCGGGCTGCCCTTCCGGGGCGCGTGCGGAGCCCGCAGCATGACGTTCGGCAGAGGTGTGCCGTGGTGCCTCGCCGAGTGCCCAAACGTCCACGCCATCGTGGTCGCATCGCGTCCGGACCCTGACGAGCCGACCTTGCTCGCGCCGAGTCCCCCGGGCATCGATAGGCACAACATCAAATCACACCCCATTCAAGGCACCCCGCTGGCGAGCGCCGACGAAGACATGGCGGAGCCCGCGGTGGAGGAGGCCGCGAACGAGTTGCACAGGAGCGAGGTCGGCATCGACGAACCCTTTGTGGACCCCTCGCGTGGGTCTCCACCGTCTCCAACCGGGACCCTGACTCCGGGCCGGATGGGGTACCATTACCATGGGTACGGGGGCGACAGGGCGATGCCGTGGGCGCCGGACGTCTTCGGCCTGGACGGCGAGGAGCCCCGGCGGCCGGATCCGGCGGCGTGGCCGGTGCGGGCGCAGGTGACGATGGGCCACAAGCGGGTTACGCGACAGGTGAGCGCCACGGTGCAGCCGCCCTGCGCTAGCATCGCTGTGCGGAACGCGTTGTCGCTTCACGAAATTGTCGCCTCATCGACCCGGAGAAGGAGCCCGCTCCCTCCGTGCTCGATGCCTCGTTTCCTTCCAGCTTGCACTCACCAGGGCGGCCCGGAACCGTGCGATCGCAGACGTCTCGTCCTCGGCGGTTGATAGAGAGCATCTACACGCCGGAGGCGAAGGGAACGGTCACCCTGCTCTGCCCGCGGACCGCCGCTGAACTCTGCACCTTGAACCTGATGGCGGGGGAGTGCCCCACCGCGGTGGCGCGCTTCGCCAGCCCCGCGCAGCCCGACGCCGACGCGGCCGCGCACGACGCTCCCTCGGACATTCTCGTCGTCGGCACGTCGTTCAGCCAGGACGACCTGCGACGCAAGCCGTTCCAGGGCGTCATCGGGGCCCTGGGGCGCCTGCTGCTCCTCCGAGTGTCCCGAGACGGCGCCGAGTCGCAGGTCGGGGCGATCGAGCTCCTGGACTGCGTCCTGGTCCCCGGCCGCGTCCTCGCGCTCGCGCACGGGCCCATGCTTCCCGGCAGAACGAAGTCGTGGGCGCTGGAGACGTGGGGGGTGATGCACGCGGCGATCGGGCGCCGGGTCGTGACGATGTGGCTCGGGCAGGGCCGCGACCGGCTGTGCGTCATGCGGCAGGAGCCCACGATGCAGCCGTTTGCGTGCCTCGCGGCCTCCCCAACTGGACACCTTGCTCGGGGGTCGCGGCAGGGCGTGGTGTCGCTGGGGCAGCCGATGCCGCTCGGGCACGACGATGCGGACCGTCCGCCGTCCCCGCGCGCGCGCGAGAGGTGCCGGCACTGGGGGTTTGTGCCGGCGGGCGTGGTGGACGTGTTGGTCGAGGGCCGCGGCGGGCGGCTGCTGACGATCGCCGACGGCGCCGGCGTGCTCGTGACGATGTCGCCGGCGGCGGGGCGCTGGTGCTGCCTCGAGAGCCTCGCCGAGGCCGCGCGGCGCGGCTCGGAGGGCGCTGCAGATGGCAGCGGGGGCATCGCCGCGGGCAGCGGGGTCGGCGGGGCGGCCGAGTCGTCCATGGGCGCCGCGCGTGCGTCCACGGAGTTGCGAAACGGGCACGCGGTGCCCCTGCCGGAACGCGGGGTCGCCAAGCTCGAGCTGTCGGACTTTGCGGCGGCAGCGCTGCGGGGCACGTGGGAGGCTGCGCACCCGATTCCGGGCGCGCGGCCCAGCGTCGCGGCGAAGGGTATGACAGCGCCGCTTCTGACGGTGGCGGACATGGACGGGATGGGCGTGGCGGCGGCTGCGTCGTTCCACGAGCAGCTGCAGGTGTTGCAAGCGGTGCGAGCGGCGTTGCGCGCGTCCACGTGCGCGACCACTCCGGTCGACGCCGCGGCGCGCCGTTCTGGGCAGTTCGGTGCCAGGGCGACCGGCGCGGAGGCCAGCGAGACGGCGACGGAGGCGAGTGGAGATGCAGCGCAGGGCCCGGGGGTCGCGGTAGACGCGCGAGTGGCGCCGACGGCGCCCGGGCACGGGCACTTGGTGCCCGATGCGGCCGTGCCGCTGCAGGGGAAGCCACTCCGGCTGTGCGGAGGTACGTCTTCGTTGTTGCTGTCGTTGCCGTTCGCGTTCAGCAGCTCCTGCCCGGTCCGCCGCGCGCAGCGGTGGGCCGCCACCGCGCCCTCGTTGCACCGTATCCCATCGTCACGCCCGCTGGCCATCACGCGGTCAGACGCCACAGCTCGGGCGCGTTGCGTGCAGGGGTGCTGGCGCAGCGGCAGCCGCGGGCGACGCCACACGCGACGGAGGACGCCACGCCCGCGCACCGGCACGGCATCACGGCCCTGTGCGCGGGCGGCCAGCTGCGGTCGCTGCACGTGCTCACGCCCGGGGAGTATGTCTGCCTGCGCGCACTGGAGGTGGCGGCTGCGGAGCACCGCGCGCTCGCGCCGCTCTCCGGGGGCCCGCGGAGCACCCTGCCCGGGCCGCTCCCTTCGCGCCTCGCCCACGCGGCGTCGCAGGGGGGGGTCGAGTGGTCGCTGGCCAAGCTGACGTCAGGGGGGTCTTTTGGGGTCGTGGACGGGGACCTGCTGGGCGAGGCGGCCAAGCTGCCGTCGCACGAGCAACTGCACATCTGCGCGAGCGCGGTCAGGGTCCTCCTCGGCGACGGCGGCGGCGCGGAGGGGGGAAGTTCGTCGAGCGCAACCGCAGGCGACGCACCGCCCCTTGCCGGCACCATGCTCCGCGCCCTGCATCTCATGACGTCCAGCACCGCCTAGCTGCGGCCGCACGGCACGCTCCGCTCCACGGCGCGCCGGCCCCCACTCCAGAGGCGTCTGTGCCATCGCCTAGAGGCGCCGCAGTTGGGCCGTGTGACCACGGGCTGTCGCGCGGGACTCCAAGCCACGTAGATCCGGGGCTGTGTTCCCCAGCGTCTCGTCGCCGCTCTGGCGCCTGCGCGAGCCCCAGGCGCCCCAGGGGGGGGGAGTTCATGAGTTATACTGGTGTCGACTTCACCTCGTCGCATCGTGCGGCGCGGTCGCGCTCCGGGCGCGGGGCTCCAAGGGGGCGCTGCGTGGAGCAAGGGGACCTGTTCGGTACCGTCGACGTACAAGATGAAGCTCGCCGCACTCGCCAAGGTGAGGTCCACCACAGCGCGCTAGAATTCGTGCGCTCGCAATCCCTTCCCGGGGCGAGCGGCGGAGCCGATCGTCCGAGGCGAATAGTTGCCCGGAACTCTGTCCGCTCGCAAGGGTCCACGCACTCCAGATACGCGGGCGGGGCGCCCTGCCGGCGTTCGTCGGGAGGGCCGATCCCGCCTGCTCCTCCCGCGCACGAGACGCGAGGGGACCTCCTCCGTCCCTTCCGAGCGCCCAGTTACGAAACTTAGCATCATTCGACCAGCGCCGGCCCGCGCCGTGCACCGGAAACCCCCGCGTTCGTCCCGCCAATGGCACTGCACGCTCCAAGCACGCTGGGCTCCCGCCCGCGCGCTGCCGGGGGCGACGGGCCGCGGGGCGCGATGGCAGCGCTGCCACAGTTCCAAGCGACAGAGCCAGGCGGCCCCCCGGCTCAGCGCCCCTCGACCAGGGCCAGCCTCCCAAGGCCGCCCAGCGCTCCCTTGCCCCCAGTTCCCGCGCTTCGGTGCCCGATGCGCGACTGCCTGGACGTCCCTGCTCCCTCGCGGCTCGGGTGCCCCATTGAGAGCGTCCCCGTGGACGCTGCAACCAGTGACTGCCCCCCTGCAACCCGGAAAACCCTCCTTCGCCCCACGCCAGCGCTAGGGGCATCCGTGCGCACCCTGGCATCTAGGGGGTCGCTACAGCAGGAAATCCGCGCCCTGGTCGCTAAACCGGGCGCAGAGGGCTCGAATATGTCTGAATCGCACCGCGAGAGCCCACGACGCGTCCGCACCCTTCGCGTTGCACTGTGCAGGCCACCGTGCGCGGTCAAGCCGCGTCCCCCGCGCGCGCGGAGGCCAAGCCCGCCGCGCGCGTGGTCCCACGCTCCGCCGAGGCCCTCATGCTCGCCAGCATCCTCGCGGCGAGCCCCGCCATGGCCCTGGTCCGCGCCCCCTCACCCACCCTGCCTGCTACTTCACCCCGCCGTCCCGCCCGCCAGAACGTCGATCTCTCGCCTCCGCCCGGCCAACACCCCCTTCGAACCAGTCACGGACGCCCGCCGCGCGCAGGACGTGTCGGACTACGAGAAGCTCACCAAGCCGGCCCCTGCGGCCCCCGCGGTCAAGATGGACGCCTCGCCCAAGGCGGACGCGCCCTCCTTCGAGGCGCCCTCGTTCGAGGCGCCCGACGTCGAGATCGACCCCGTCATCCTCGGCGCCGGCGTCGGCGGCGTCGCCGTCATCGGCCTCGCGGCCAGCCTCCTGCGCGGCGAGAAGAAGCCCGTGCCCAAGGGCATCCCGGCGCGCAAGGCCTTCCAGCTGCTCGAGGCCGAGGAGGACGTGCGCGTCTTCGACATCCGCGCCGCGCCGGAGGTCAAGGCGATGGGGTCCCCCGACACGCGCGCGGTGAAGAAGTCGCTCCTCAAGGCGCCGCTCTTCAAGATCGTCAAGGGCGAGCCCGTGCCCGACGGAACCTTCGCCGCCAGCACCGCGAAGAAGATCCCCGAGGGCACCGCCGCGCTCCTGATCGACGCCGACGGCTCCACCGCCAACTCCGCGGCCAAGGTGCGACGACACTGCACGCGGGGTCGCGCCGCTGTGCGGTTCGAGGACGCGCGCGCCCGGACGCCGCCGACCTAGCCGCGTCGCTTGCGTCCGCGAGCAGCGCGCCGCTGAGTCCTGTGCGTGTGCTCAACCACGGACCTGGACTCAAGGAAGGCTGTTCACATCCTCGGTGCTGTTTGTGTCGCCGCGCAGGCTCTGATCGCCCAGGGGTGCGAGAACGTCTTCTTCGTCCAGGGCGGCGCGCGGGCGTGGGAGGCACAGGGTCTCCCGTGGAAGGCCCCCAGCAAGGGCTTCTCGCTGCCGGCGTTCGACCTGCGCAGCGTGACCGAGTCGATCGACAAGCTCGCGGAGGACTTCAGGGAGTCGCCCGACGCGGCCAAGGGCGGCCTCGCCGTCGGGGCGCTCGCCGGCGCCGGTACGCACACCCACACTATCACCCACACGCGGTAACATTTAGCACAACTGCTGCTGTGCCCTCGCGTCGCGACAGGCGCCTCGCGCACGCCCAGCACGCGCTGCGAGCACCCCGCTGTCCGCACGGCCGCCCACAGCGGCGAGCGCGCGCTCCAAGGCCCTCGCCGTCGTCGCTCTTCTAGGTTCTAGTATGTTCTTTTCCGTAGTCCTTCTTCTTTTCCGTTCGTGTTCTTGTTCTCGTTGTCGGCGGGATCCTCGGAAGACACGTCCGCTCTCAGGAACTCCCCGAGCCTGCGCACATGACCGACCCCGGTCCACGCGCGCGACACGACCCCCCCCTCGAACACCCCCCTCGCAGGCTTCCTGCTGTTCAACGAGCTGGAGGTGGTGATGGAGCTGGTCGGTGCGTTCGCGGTGGGCAACCTCGCGGTCAACGGCCTGCTGTTCGCGGACAAGCGCGAGGAGACCCTCGGCACGGTCAAGAAGATCATCAACGAGGACATCAAGCCCACCGAGGCCGGCGACGACCTCAAGGCTGTCGCCCGCGCCCTCTTCAAGGACGAGAAGGCCAAGACCGAGGTCGCCGTCAAGCCGACCGCCGCCCCCGCCAAGACCGAGGCCCCCGCCAAGCCGGCCCCGGCCCCGGCCCCCGCCAAGACGGAGGCCGCCGCCAAGCCGGCGCCGGCGCCGGCGAAGCCGGCCGCCGCGAACGGCGCTGCGGCCAACGGGGCGAACAAGGCCGCCAACGGCGCGGCCAAGGCCGAGCCGGTCGCCAAGGCCACGGCAACGGCGGTCAAGGAGCAGCCGAAGAAGGCCGAGTCGGCCAAGTCCAAGGCGGTCGAGAAGGCCAAGGCGTCGATCAAGGCCAAGGCCGAGGCGCAGCCGGAGCTGAAGAAGCCCGAGCTCAAGGCCAAGCCGGAGCCCGTGGCCGTGGCGGCCGGGGGCAAGTCGGAGGCGCGCGAGTGGATCGAGGAGTGGCGGCGGTCGCAGGACGAGGACTGAGAGGCGCGCGGTGGAGTCGCAGGGGCGGGTGGAGGTGGGGGGCGGTGTTGGGGGGACTGACGCGGGCGCGCGCCGGTGCTGGCCGGACCGCGGGCGCGGTGCGAGGGGCCGGCGAGGTCCCTCGAGCGGTGTAAGTATTCGACGTCGACCATGGTTGTTTTCCGAGTCAACGCTGCTCGTCTCATTCTCACCGCTCCGCCTTCTCCGACTGGATGCCAGTCGCGACCAGCGTTGCGTGTCCTGTCGCGGTGACCAGCCCTCCCCTCTGTGCCGAGGTGCGCAGCTTTTTGCACTTGCTGACCTACAAGCACCCTCGCCGCGAGGATACTCGAGCGACCGAACTGGTACGGCTAGCTTGGGTGTGCCAGCACTGCTCGCGAGTGCTGATCGCGTACGACGCTCGCGCGGCAGTTTTCCGCGGAGAGAGACCTCCTCACGTCACAGGTGGAGCGCGAGACCGTGCTACTGGTGGTCACCCGCGGTTCGCAGGTGCCAGGCGTGCCGCCTCGCGCCCCGCGCGGCCCTCACTTCTTCTTCTGCTCCCCGCGCGACTTGCTCATCAGGTGCTCGCGCCACTCCTTGTTCTCCAGCACGTTGACGGCGGGGGTGCGCTTGAGGAGCTTCGACGTGGCGTACCCGGGCGCGCCGGCGAGCCCCGCGGACGGCGCACACGCGCCCTGCTCAGTGTGGCACACCGGCATCTCCGGCGGGCAGCAGTGCTGCTTGTCGTCGCAGCACACCGCGTCCAGCACCGGGCAACACGCCCACTGCAGGCAGAAGCCCGCCATCTCGTTCTCGCAGCAGCACGTCGACCCGGCGGGGCACGACCGCAGAATGTCGCACTGCACGGGCTCCGGGCCGGGCTCGGGCGTCGGCTCCGGGCCAGGGCCCGGGGGGGGTCCCGGCGGCGACGTTGGCTGCGGCGCCATGGTCGGGTTGGGCGTGCCGTCCTTGTCCGGGTACGCGGCGGCCATCGCGATGCCGCACATGCCCTCGCCCGTCGGCGGCCCGGCCCCGCGCGCCATCTTGATGTACCCCGACTCCCCCCACGAGTCCCCCCACGAGTTCTTCACGAGCCAGTAGTCGGTGCCGTTGAAGGTGCCGTAGCCCGCGACGAGGACGCCGTGGTCGAGCTCCGTGCCGCAGGACGCGTCCGCGAACACGCCCCCGACGTACAGCTGGAAGGACAGCTGGTTGGCCTGGATGGCCACCGAGACGGGCTGGTTGGCGACGGCGCGCTGGAGGCACGTCTCGCAGTTCGCGGGGACGTCCTCGTACCCCTGGATGGTCACCACCTTGTCGTAGTCGCGCTTCGTCAGGTCGCACGGGTCGTCCGCCGCCATGTACTGGTAGTCCGACTCGCTGTCGATGCCCCCGTTCTCGGCGATCCACGCGAACGCGTAGTCGTACAGGCCGCCCTCGCAGCCGGAGTCGGTGTCCGTGTTGCAGTCGACCAGCTCCTGCTCCGAGAGCGACACCAGCGTGCCCGTCTTGATGGCGTTGATGCCCTCCACCGCGCCCGTGGTCGAGAACGCCCAGCACGACCCGCACATGCCCTGGTTCTTCACGGGCGTCACCGCGCCGTGCTCCCGCCAGTCCAGCTCGAACGGCAGGTCGTCGTCGCGCACGTCCGCGTACCTGCGCAGACGACGATGGGAGCGCGCAGCGGCGTTGGACGCGCGGGCGGTGCGCGGCGCGCGGTGCGGGGTGCGCGGGCGGGGCGGGGGCGCGGTTGGGCGGCGCGGGGGGGCGCACTTGAAGCCCGTGGGCTGCGCGCGCGGCGTGGGCTGGTGGGGCCGGAGGAAGGCGCGGTACTCCTCGTTCGTGAGGTCCGCGAAGCGGTTCAGGCCGACGCGGTAGGTGTGGCCCTCGCTGTTGTGCTGCTTGACGAACGCGAGGTTCGCGTTGAAGACCTCCCAGCGGTGCAGGAACACCTGCAAGCAGCAGCACAGGTGGGCGAGGCGGTCGTGAGGTGGCCCTCAGCTCAGCGATCGGTGCGGGCCGCGGAGCGCGCACGCAGCGGCGCGGTGCGGTCGGAGACGCAGGTGAGATCGCGGAGGTGGCGCTCGGCGGAGCTGGGGGCCGCGGGCGCCGTGGCGAGGCGGTGAGCGTCCGTCGAAGCGAGCCCAGGCGTTGACGCCACGCACGGGTGGGCGCGGGCGGGCGGTGGACGGGCGCGCGCGGGCCGAGGCGCGGCCCCGCGGAGGTTGCGGGGCGAGAGGCCGCGGGCGAGGCGCGGGCGGACCTTGACGTCGTCGAGGTAGGTCTTGCCGTGCGCCTTTACCCAGGACAGGAAGAGCTCGTTAGTGTCCGCCAGATCCACCTGCGCGCGGCCTCGTTCGGTCGCGGGCGATGAGAGGGGGGGCAGTGGGGACGCCTCGGGGGGCGGCGCGGGAAGCTGGACGCCGCGGGACCGCACGCGCGTGCCTCGCGGGAGAGGTGGCCTCAGGGTGGGGAGCGGGCGCCGGTGCGTGGCGCTCGTGGCGCAAAATGCGGAACCGGCCGGACGGAATCCGAGGAGAGGATCAGGAGGCGAGGGTGAGGCATGCGAGGTGGCGGTAACGCGGCCGTCGACTGCGCGGGCGCGCGTTCACGGGCGTCGGGAGTATTGCGGTTGACCGCGCCGCGCGGACCGGCGAGCGGCGCGTCGACCGGCCAGGCGCGGGCCGCGAAAGCGGGCACACCGGTTCGCCCGGCGCACGCCGGCGCGCCCGGCGCGGCGAGCGCGGGGTGGCCGGAGACGGGTGGGCTCACCTGGGCGTAATCCATCGACAGGAAGTCCTGCGCCGTCAAGCGGGTCGCGTAGGCGGGAGCGAGCAGCAGCAGCAGTGCTGGCACGACGGCCAGCAGCCGCGTCACCGCCATCATCGCTACGGTGCCTCGCCCTGCTGCACCGCAGTGGAGCGCGCTCGTTGCACTGTCTGGGCGGTCGAGGAGGATGTCTGTGGCCTCTGCGCGACAGTCCGAATGACTGACGAGCGACTTGTGACGCGCGCGGGCGCCTCGACGGACACATGGTGCCGTGTGGGGCGTCGGAGCACCCAGTCTGCCTCAGGACCTGCACTCAGCCCGAGCGCGGCGCCGCCGCACGCTCACAGGGCGCGAGCGGAGCGGCGTGGTGGACACCAGGTGCAGGATCGGCCGGGGGTGGAGAACGTGGCGCGTCGTCCGCTGTGCGAAGCCAGGACGTCCGCGACGCGCTGAGCGTCGTCCTCCGGGGGCGCTGCTGGGCCGCGAAGGCCGCGACGACGGGGGTTGACTACGCGAGATGGACGAGCAGTCAGCCCACGACCTCCAGCGTCGGTGGGCTTCAGCCGACGCGCGAGCGCGGCACCACGTGGTGAGGCGAAACACAAAGAGGACGTTGTGGCTCCGTTTCGTTGGTTCTCGAGTTGCCCTGAGTTGCTTCGCCAACGCTCTCGCTTGTTCATCATCGATGCTTGGCGCAGGGCCTCGGATTCGACGGGGCGGTCGACGTCGGCGGAGGCGACGGCGATCATGCCGCAGCCTATGGTGGCGCCTACTTCGACGACCGCGAGCGGCGGCGCGAGGTCCGGGCCGTCAAGGACAAGCTCGCCGTGCTGACTGGGCAGAGGAGGGAGGCGCGGGCGGGCCCGCACGGGGCGCCTGACTCAGGCACGCACACAAACAAGTAGAATTCACAACCACCCCACTTTTGACTGTGTGGTCGAGCTGCTCACTCCACCGGCGGCATCCCCCGCACGAGGCGTTCGCCCTCACGTGCGCGACCGGGCTCTGAGCGGCCATGTTTCTGGTGCGTGCAGGGGACCGCCGCCAACGGAGCCCATCGCCGCCGCGTCGCGGCAGCCCCACGTACAACCCCGCGCGACGGGACGCGGGGCGTGGCAGCCCCACGTACAGCCCCGAGCGCAACACAGGACGCGGCAGTCCGACGTACAGCCCGGAACGCGGTGCCCAGCGTCAGGCCAGACACTCCCCCCCACGACGTCGCTCGCGCTCGCGCTCGCCGCGTCCGCCGGCGCCCCGGCGCGGCGACCGCGAGGGGCAGGTCAGCGTGGAGGATCAGCGGCGTGCGGAGGTGCGCCGGCGTGCGAAGATGGCCATGGCGGGGCAGTTGCATCGCGCGGATCGGAGCGCGAGCGCCGCGGAGGCGCGCGGTCGGCGATGGACGCGGTTCGAGTTCAACGCTGCTGCGCCGCTCCAGGAGGACGTGGCGGCGGCAGCGGGACCTGCTGCCGGCCCTGACGACGCGGACGGTCTGGGTCCCTCGACGGACGCCGTCGCTGCTGGCGGGATGGGGGGCGGGAGGGTGGCGGAGATCTGGCGGGAGCAGGCGCAGAAGGCGCACGACGACGCGATATTCGGGGCGCCGACGAGGGCCGCGGTGGCGGCCGAGGCCCCTGTCGAGAGGACGCAGGGCGGCGGGGCAGGTCTGGCGGAGAGCGTCGTTGCGGGGCGCGAGCTGTCGTGGCGGGAGCGCGCGAAGCTGAAGAAGGCCGCGCGGGGCAGCGGGCACAAGCCGCCGTGAGGCCTGTGACGCATGATGCAGAACATGCATGGGCACTGGGGGGAGTTCCCCCGACCTAGGAGCGTGTGTTCTCACCGCGAGTGCACGCGGGCGACGTAGCGTCGCGGGTGAGTCTCGAGGACGCACCCGCGTCGCGCACGGTCCTCGCGGCGACCTTTCGTGTGCCACCGGTGCGACGGTTCGCTTGGTCAGTAACACATTGTCAGTAACGCGGCTCACTCGCCCTCGGCGCCCTCCTCGTCGCTCTCCTCCGCCTCGTCGTCGTCGAGGCCCCACTTCGCCGTCACGCTCGACTCGAGCACCCCGAGCGAGTCCACCTCGCGCCCCTCCGCCTCGGCCGCCTTCTGCTCCGCCTCCAGCGCCGCCTTGCTCTTCTCCGCGCGGTCGCGCAGCGCCCGCATGCGCGACCCGCCGTCCAGACGGAAGATCCGCGCGAACAGCCCGGAGACGCCGTCCATGACCACTCGGAAGTTGCCGATCGCGAACAGCACAAAGCCGAGGGTCAACACCGCGCCGAGGGTCTTGCCGGCGCCGGCGGCGAAGGCGGCCATCCCGCGGAGGAGGCCGAGGAAGAAGGCCTTCGGGTTGAAGCTGCCGCCGGAGCCGAACCCGCCGCCGAACCCCCCGAACCCGCCGCGCCCGCCCCCGCCGCCGCCACGCTTGCCCCCGCGCCCGCCGCTGCCGCCATCGTTGTCCGCGAGGATGTCCTTCCCGCGGAACGAGCCCTTCAGCCCCTCCTCGATCGCCTTCCGCGCCGCGTCCTCCTGCGTCGGAAAGGAACGACCGCGGATGTGTGTGAAATGAAAGGCGGAAGAATGTCACCTTCCTCGTGCACTGCCGCGTGCCGGGCGCGAACGTGTGCGTACTGTCGAGCTCGCGGGGTGCTCACCTTCGAGTCAAACACGCGGACGTCGCGCGGGGGACGCGCGCGGAGGGCCCGCCCAGCGCCGCGGCTGAGAGATGGGCTCTGCAGGGAGGGGGCCATCGGAGGCACAGAGTGAGGCGTCGATGGCCCCGTGACGGCCGGCGCAGGATGTGACTCGCAATGATGGAGCCGGTGCGTCGCCGGGACGCATCGGACAGGCCGTCGTAGGCGCGCAAGCGAGGCGTAGCTGCGTCAAGGGTGCAGGGGCCGCACCTTGGCTGCCGTGGGCCGGGCGCTGCCGCCGAGCTTCGCCACCGTGGCCCTGCGATCGGTCAAACCAAATGCGCGTTCGTCGCATCGGAATGGTGCGAGTATTCAGGCAGCTGGAAAGGATGGATCCCAGCTGTGGGTGAAACTCGGGGCGGCGCGTCGTGAAGGACGGAGGACGGCGGCAGTACGGGCGCGGCGGTGGTCTCCATGGTAACGACCAGCTGCCAGGCATCACGGGACCTGCCCTCGGGTCCCGAGCGCGCCCGCACGCACGGGCAAGGTCCTCGTGGGCGACGGGCGTTGCGGCGGCGTCGCGGCGCTCACCCTCGCGCGGTTCCCGTCATCGTGAATGGGCTCATTCTCACTAAGGTAGGCCTCGCGCCGCCGACGAGTCCCGGAAGACCACCTCGCTTGTCGCGAGGGGACGATCTCAGCGCTGCGTCACACACGACAGAGATACCGGACGCACGCTGACGGTCTGACGTCGCCACGACACAGCCGATCCAGTGCAGCGCGGGAGTGACCGCGCGGGCCGCTCATCCGCCCAACATGCCGCGCGACGCTCGCCTCGCACCCGGACCCCCCTCCCCTGCGTCACCGCAACAACCCCCCCGGCACCAGCCGCCAGCGCAGCACGACACGCGCGACGCCCGGCCCCCTCCTCGGCACTTTCTCGCTGTCCGTCCGTCACATCGCCGCCCCCGGCCGCGGCACAATACAATACCCCCCCTAATTGATCCACGTGGACGCCCCCTCCATCGACATCCCCGTGGCCGGCGGCGACGGCCGCGGCGCGCCCCCGCGCGACGGCGCGGCCCTGCGCTGCGGCGACGCGCCGCCCTTGTACGCCGCCATCCCCGCCGACGCGTACTCCGTCAGGAATCGGTCGATCTCCTCCGGGGCCATCCCCGCGACACCCTCCCCGCGGCCCGCGATGCCCGCGAGCGCGTCCAGCGCCTGCCCCTTGGCCTCGTTCCGCGCGAAGATCCCGTCCAGGTCCAGCGGCGACCCCTCCCGCGACATCGGCCGCGTCTTCATGATGCCCGCCAGCGCCGACAGCGACATGTCCGACGCGTTCGGCGGCGCCGCGCCGCCGGTCCGCGGGGGCGCGCGCGCGGGCGGCCGCGCGGCGCCGGCCTCGGCCGCGGCCTCGCGGCTCCGCCGCAGCTCCCGCAGCGGCAGCGCCCCGGAGATGGAGGCCCCCGGGTACAAATACATCGAGTCCGCGGCCATGGACTGGCCCATCGTGCCCGGGCGCGAGCCGGCCTCGGGCGTCGCGCGGTAGGCCGACGGCGGGCGGAACATCTCCGGGTCGAACGGCGCGGCGGGGTCCGTGAGCATGCGGTTGTTGCGCTGCACCTCCATCTGCAGCTCGAACACGTCCGACCGCCCGCGCTCCGCGTCGAGCTCCGCCCGCAGCGCGCGCTCCCGCAGGATCGCGAGCTCCTGCTCCTGCTTCTGGATCGCCCCGCGCAGCTGCCGCTCCATCTGGATGCGCAGGCGCTCCACCTCGGTCTGGGCCTCCATGCGCGCGCGCTCCGCGGCCTGCACGATCGCCTGCTGCGTGCGCGGCCCGGGGCCCTCGGTGCGCAGCGGCGCGCCGACGTCCAGCATCAGCGTGTCCGCGCGCAGCGTGCCCCCGCCGCCCCCCGCCGCCGCGTCGAGGCCCTCGCGGCCCTCGCTGCTCGCCGCGCTCGCGAGGCGCTCCTGCAGCGGCGTCCTCAGCGTCCGCGCGGGCGGCGCGTCCGCGGCGCCGCCCGGCGCGCCGAGCGTGCTCGCGGGGCTCGCGGCGGCGCCCCGCCGCTGGCGCGCAGCCCCTCGCCGCCCTCCTGCGACGCGCGCGCCGCCTCCGCCGCCCGCCGCCGCCGCGCCCCGGCCTTCCCCGCCGACCCCGCCGCGTGCGCCTTCGCCCACGCCTCCTCCACCGCCGCCTGCGCGTCCTCCTTCTTCTTCGCCTTCTCGGCCTTGACCTCCTCCTCCTGCTTGCGCCGCAGCTCCGCCTGCTCCCGCTCCAGCCGCGCGATCTCCTCCGCCTCGCGCTCCGCCTCCTGCCGCTTCGCCCGCGCGTCCCGCTCCTTCTTCTCCGCGATCTGCTGCATCAGCTCCGCCTTCATGTCGTTCTGCTGCTCCTTGCGCGCCCGCAGCTCCGCCTCCGTCTTGTACGCGTTGTCCGTGTTGAACCGCATGTTGAGCCCGTCCGTCGCCCCGGGCTGCGCGACGCCCAGCGACGACGCGCCGCCGGGCGGCTGGTGCGCGCGCCGGTGCCCCGCGCCGTCCAGCGGGGGCCCGGGCGCAAACGCCGCCTTCTGCTTCGCCGGGGACGCGTCGCGCGCCGGCAGGAGGCCCCACCCGCCCCGCGCCTGCGCCTCCGCCTCCTCCTTCTGGTCCCGCCGGTCCGCCTCCGCCTTCTCGCGCTTCACGCGCTCCTCCCGGTCCCGCATCTGTTGCCGCAGCTCCTCCGCATACTGCTCCTTCTTGGACTTCTGCGACGACTGCGCGTTGTCCGCCGCGCCCAACGCCGCGAACATCCCGCCGCCGCCGCCGCCGCCGCCGTCGTTCTGGGCCGGCCGGCCGCGCCCGGGGCGGTCGGCGCGCGCCGGCGCCGGGGCTCGTTAGGAACGCGTCGCCGCGCGCCACGCGGCCGAGGTCGGGCGCCGGGCCGTCGCCGCCGCCGCCGAAGCGCGCGAGGCTCCTCTCGCGCTCGGCCAGCAGCTCGCGCAGGAGCGCGCGCTCGGCGCTGGCGCGCAGGTTGGGCGGGCTGTCTCGCCCGCCGCCGCCGTACCCGCCACCGCTCCCGCTCCCACCGCCGCCGCCGCCCGGGGGGGGGTACGGGTACGGCGGGAGCACGAAGACCGGCGGGGGGTACGGGTACGGTCCTGCGCCGGGGGGCTGGCCCGCCGCGGCCCCGGGCTGTCCGTTGGGGGGGTACTGGTACACGTTGGGCTGACTCCAGTACGGGTCGGGCTGGGGGGGCGCGGGCGCGGGCTGCGGCGGCGGGGCCGCCTGGACCGAGGGCTCGCGGCGCGGCGGCGCGCGGTCGCGGGGTGGAGCGCGGCGGTCGTTGTCGACGGCGAAGGGCGCCTGTGAGGGCGCGGGGCGGCGCGGCGAGGGCGCTCCGCCGAGCGCAGCCACGCCGGACGGCGTGGGCGTGCGGACCTGGTCGCGGCGACGCGCCGCCTCGCGCTGCTGGATCTGCCGCTCCAGCTCGTCCCTGCGCGTCGGCAATCGAGAGGGAAACATACACACATCAAGACAGGATATCATATCTGTGGTGCGGTCGACGCAGACACACCGCCGTACGTGCGGACAGCGAGGTGCCGCCCGTCGCGGCACGGCGCTGGCGAGCCCGTTGCGTGTGCAGGTCTTGCCTGTACTCTTTGCGCCGTGCCTCCTGCTCCCGGAGCCTGTCCTCGGCGTCCTGCCCCTCGAACATGTAGCGGAGACCGACGCCGCGCTTCGGGCTTCCCTGCAGCGGACGTTCCGGGCGCGGGGCGGGCGGTGAGCGACGCCGCGCTGCTGCGCCAGCAGCCCAGGCGACGTCGCGACCTCGGGGGCGCCGCAGCGGGCCGAATCCGCGGCCCAGGATGCGGGCCATGCAGTGTGTCAGCGCGTGGCGGGCGCGCGGCGAGCTCGTCGTCGCTCACGGCGCGCGGGGCGGCACGTGAGCAGGTTCGGCGGAGCGTGGGCCGCGGCCCGGGTTCCGCGCGGCGGGGGGGGCTCACGTCGTGGATGGGGGCGCCCTTCTCCATCTTCTTCGCGAGCTCCGCCTCGTCCACGCGCCACGGGTTGACGACGATGTCGTCCTCGACTCCTGACCGCCGGTGTCGCCCGCGCAGACCCTCCGCCTCTTGCGCCTGCTTGCGCCGCAAGAACGCCTCGTACTCGTCGTGCTTCTCCTTCCTGAGCCGCTCCTTCCTCTCGGCCTGGTCGTCGCGCCCCAGGATGGGGTTCCCTGCGACGTGCGACGCGGGCGCGCCCACCCGTCGGTGTGTTGGCATGGGCAGCAGGAGATGGGCCGAGCGGGCAGCGCGACGCGCCGCAGCGGTCGCGTCCGCGATGGCGCCAGGCGCAGGCCTCGCTCCGGCGCAGCGCGTGCGCGTTTCCCAGGCGCCGGGCTGGCTCGCAGCGGCCCTGTGTGGTGAAAGAGGCTGGCGCGCGCTACCGGGTCGCCGCGGCCCAGCCGTCGCACCTGCAGCGGCCGCCATGGATGATTATATCCTAACCGAGGCTGCGGGTGCAGGATTCGGTCGTGAGGTGCGCTGAGCGGGCCACGCGGACGATGGCGCGGGTCCTCGTCGAGCGCTGCTCTTTTCGAACCACGGCCGCTACGTGGCTGCCGCGAACGTAATGCGTGCCGACGACGGCCGTGCGAGGCCGCCCAGTGCCCCATGCGCCGCGCAGTGGCGCCACAAGAGCCGCACCGGGGACATTCCTGTCACTGTCCCCCGGGCAGACAGAACACGGCCCGCAGCGCGGCAGCAGCGCGAGCACACGGGTGGCTCGCGGCGCCGCGCGCATGCACTTCCCTCGCACGAGCCGCACGAGTGCGCGTGCACCGCGTGCGTGCGCATGATGCCCGGTGCGCGATGAGCTAGCTGGCGGACGCAAACGCAAGGGATGTCGGCGGTGCTGCGCAGGGGCGCTGCGCGGGCCTCGCGGCGCCCGGTGGCGGTCATTTGGCTCCTGCTGGTGGTGTGCGTCGCGGCTCTGGCGCTCATGCACGGCCGCCTGGCCAGCCTGCTGCACGAGAGGGATCCGTTCGCGGCTCGGTGCGTGCCGGGGCCGGCTGCGAGCGGCTCCGGCGCGGTCGACGCGGAGGACGGATGCGCGTACAGCATGTACGCGACGACGAGCGCGCACCTGTGCGGCGCGCTGCTGACGTTTCGGCGGTTGAAGCAACTTGGCGCATCCAGCGCGGCGGCGAACGTGGTGCTGACGACCGCATACACCGACAACGACCCCCTGCGCGACGCCCTGCGCCGGGAGGGAGCGCGCGTCATCCAGGTGCGCGCACGTCCTCAACAGCGGCAACACCAGCACCGCAAGCGCATGCTGTGGGGCCGCGCCCCGTGTGGGGCCGCGCGCGGGTGACCCCTGCGGTCCAGCGCCGCACTTCGCCGCAGGTGCGCGAGCTGGAGACGCACGCCGACGACACGTTCTCGAAGGGCGCCACGAAGCTGCACGCGTTCAACATGACGCAGTACCGCCGCGTGGTGTTCCTCGACGGGGACGGCCTCGTGATGCGGCCGCTGCGGCACCTCTGCGCGCTCGGGCCGGAGGTCCCCGCGGCGTTCGCGACCGCGTATTGGGGCCCCGCCGACGAGCCGGCCAAGCTGTCCGGGGCGCTCTTCTCGGTGGCGCCCGACTCAGGGCGGTTCGAGCGGCTGCTGGCCGCCGTGCGCGCGGCGGGGCACGAGAGCGAGATGGACCTGCTGCAGCGGGAGTTCGGGCCGCAGGCGGCGCTGCTCCCGGCCTCGCACTGCCTGCTGACGGGCACGGTGCGCGCCGCCGACGTGGGGGGGTATTACGGGGGCAGTCGCGGCCGCGCGGGGGAGGGCGAGGGGCGCCGCGGGGCGGGGCTGGATCCGCGCGAGGTGGTGCGGGGCGCGTATTACGTCCACTTCTCGGACTGGCCCCTTCGGAAGCCCTTCCAACTGCGCGGGGTGGCGGACGTCGTGGAGTGGCTCGAGGGGAAGGAGGGGGGGCGCGGGGACCCGAAGGAGGCGTGGAACAAGGCGTGGCTGGGGCTGTACGAGACGTACCTGGCCGAGATGCAGGCGTGCCGGGACGCAGCGGGGTGAGGAGGGTGCGTGCTGGCGTCGGTCGACACATGCATGCAGGGCTCCGTGCGGGCCTCGAAACCAGTGACGAGGACCAGCGGGAGCGCAGTGACAGCAGCGCAGTGACCACAGCGCCCTCGGTCGTCTCGCGTGTCGCATCACAAGGCCGCTGCGCTGCCGCCCCTATCTGTCACGGGGCGCGCCGCCGCCAGGACAGTCTGTCCTGTATCATATCGCGTCGCGCCAGGCCCGCGCGCACCGCCCTAGTTGTCCGCGTCCACCGACGCCTTGCGCGCGTGGCGCTCCTTGGCCTGCTGCGCCACCTCGCGCGCGTGCCCGACGTGCTCGCCCGCCCTGCGCTTCGCCTCCTCGAGGATCTCCCCGCGCTTGGCCTCCGCGGCCTCGAGCTTGGCGCGCAGCTGCTCCGCGGCCGCCTCCTGCTTCTCCTCGGCCTGCGCGCGCGCCGCCTGCGCCTTGGTCTCCCACTCCTTGTTCGCCGCGCGCACCTCCTCCAGCCGCGCCTCGCGCTTGGCCTCCGCGGCCTCCATCTTCGCGCTCAGCCGCTCCGCGGCCTCCGCCTGCTTCTCCTCGCCCGCGGCCTTGGCCGCCTGCGCCTTGCTGTCCTTCTCCTTGTTCGCCGCGCGCACCTCCTCCAGCCGCGCCTCGCGCCGCTGCTCGGCCTCCGTCAGCCGCAGGTCGATCTTGTCGCGCGAGGTCGACGCCAGCTGCTCGCGGCGCTTCGCGGCGCACTCCACGCGCTCCGCCTCCCGCAGGCACGCCGCCCGCCGCGACTCCTCCGCGGCCCTGCGGCGCGCCTCGGCGTCGGCCTGCTTCGCGGCGATGTCCGCGGCGGTCAGCCCGCCGGCGGCGTCGCGGCGCGCGGCGGCCTCGGTCACCTTGGCGAGGTTGGCGGCGGCGGCCTTCTGCACGCGCTCCAGGCGGGCCCTGCGGCGCTCCTCGGCCTCGGCCTGGCGGCGGGCGAGCTCCTCGGGCGACGGAGGGGCGTGCTCGGGGCCGGACTGCTGGAACTTCTCGACCTGCGCGGAGACCCGGGGATGACTGATGGGGTTCGGGGGCGCCGGGCCGCGGGGCGCGAGGAGCGCGCGTGGCGCCGCGCTGGGGTGGACGGCGCGGTGGCTCGCGTCGAGCGGGGCGTGCGCAGGCTGTGCGCGGCGGGAGGAGCGAGGACGCCGCTCGAGCGGGCCGCGCGGGCGCGTGGAGCGCCTTGTGATGGGACTCGAGCAAAGAGCAGCGCGCCGCGGCGCTGAGGGCGCTTGGACGCGCGCGTCGACAGAGCGGTGCGGGACGACCATGCACGAAAATCATCTTCGCGCGCAGGATGCCGGTGGTTACGGGCTCGCGCGTGCAGCACGGAGCTCCAGCACATAGGCTTCGTCGTTGGTCGGAAAACGCACCTTGGAGCGGAAGGAGTGCGACATCGGCACGACGGGCTGCGCGAACTCCGTCTTCATGAACTTGATAACATCGTTGTTCACCGCGGCGGTCATCTGCACAGCGAGGGAGGGCGCTAGGTGAGCCGCGGCGAAGGAATTCGGGCGTAGGGGCCCGCGAAGCGCATTGCCGCGAGATCGCCGTGCGCATTTGTGAAACACTGGCTGTTGCGGTCTGGGGAAACGCGTTCGCGTGCCCGCGGACGGCACCAAGGCCGCGGTTGGGCAGGGCGCGGAGGCGAGCACTTGCCTTGCTGTCCTGTCTTCGAGAGGTGCTTCGGGTGGTGAGAGCGAGGTCGGAGGAGATACCTTGCAAACTCAACTGTAGTGTGGCCGCGCACCGGTCGGCGGGGAGCCCTTGAGCGCGCCGCGGCCCTGATGCGAACCTCCCCCCCTGACATCCAGGCGCGATTTCGTCGCACCGAGCCGCTCCGGACGGATTTTCTTCACCCCAAGTTTCGAAAATCGTCGTGAGCGTGCGGGGAAAGAGCGGACATTCCCGCACGAAGGCCCCATCCTCGCCGGTCGGGAGCCCACTGTAGACTCGTCTGCCTTCACGGCCGACGTGTTCCGGGCGCGGCCTCTCCTCCCCGCGCGACTGCATCGCACCAGCCAGCCGGAGCACAGTCCAGCCCATTTTCCGCGGCGACGCCGTCACCACCCGCTGCGAGACCCGAGTCACACACGGCGCACCCCTCCCGGGCTACTCCTGCTTCCCCGCCGCGCCGCCCCTCGGCGGCGGCCGTCCCGGCGCGGCGGGGTCCTCGGCTCCCCCCGGTATGAGCAGCGTGGCCATGAAGAAGCCCATGTAGAGAATGATGCACATCGGGATGCACAAGAAGCCCCACACGGGCCACGCCGCGACGTGCGCGGCCACGAACGACACCAGCCCCATGACGACGGCCGTCGGGATCGCCCACGGCGCCACGTCCTCGTAGTCCTGCCCCGGCAGGCACTTGCCCGTCCACCGCAGCCTGCGCAGCCAACGCAACACACGCGCAGCGAGCAGTCGCGACGCCGCGCGGCGCACGCGATCCCCCGACGCACGTGCCCGCACGGGAAGCAGCGGGGGCGCGCGGGCGATGCGTCGGGTCCGGCGGGCGGGCTGCGCACCAGTACGCGGTGTAGAGGAAGAGGAGGAAGTTGGCGCCGACGCCGAAACAGAAGATGGACAGCCAGCCCTGGCGGATGCGCGGGTCGTTCGCGAGCACGGCGGGCAGCGGGCGGCGCCCGTCGCCGAAGTACAGTACGAAGGCGGCGCCGAGGATCCACGCCCACTGCTGCAGGTGGTCGAACAGCGTGCGGCGCGTGGCGCGCGCGTGGAGCCGCATCAGGGCCTCGCGCTCCTCGGGGGGGACTGCGGGGGCGGGCGGCGGGGCGCAGGTGGGGGCCGCAGCGACGGGGCGTGCGGAGGGCGTGCGGGCGGCGGGGCGCGGGGTGGGCGCGCACGGTCGGCGTACGGGCCGGTCTCCTGGCCGGGCTTGCGGCGCCGCAGCCCTTGTGGCGGGGCGTCGCGCGACATGTCGGCCATCTGGATCGGCGCCGTCGACGACATCCTCTCCCGTGCCGCCGGGGCGGCCTCGCCTGCTTGCACGGGGGACCGTGCGTGGCGATGGTGACGGGAACGACGAGTGTGAGGGACCTCAGCGTGTTTGCGCGGGCCGGGCCGAGAATTGCGGGACGGTGCAGCCTGGGCAGTGGTCTGCCGCAGCAGGAATCCCGCTGGGAGCGGGGGCGGGGCCCGGCGTCCGTGTGTGCGCAAGGTACACCGACCGTCTCGCTTGCGAACGCCGCGTGCCGGGCGCCCGGAGCGCGCCCGTGGCAGCGCGCGTGGGGCACGCCTTGTGGCGCAGGTTGGTGCCTCGCGCAGGCGGCTCGGTGGGCCAGGGCGGTCGTTTCGGCGCTCGCGGCGTACCTGAGTTGATGCGGTACGAACGCAGCGACTTCAGCGCGAGCCCAGCCGCTCGCGCGCTGCGGCACGGGCGCGACGAGACCTGCCACGCCCTGAGCGGGGGAACGTGCGTGCACGGACGTGGGTGATAAAAAATCTATCCTTCAGGTGATGCTCCGGGCCTAGTTGCTCCACGCAGTGATTGGAATCGACGGCGCGGATCCCCCAGCGCCGCGGGGCCCCGCTCCACTGAACACAGCCACCCGATCGCTGCTCCCGCTGAACACGCGGATCGCAACAATCCACCAACGGTCGCCCGCACGAAGTCACGCACGCGCGAGGCACGCGGCGGCCACGTCGCGCGGCCGTCGCGACCCCCCCGGCGCCACCGCACCGAGGCCCCCACGCACGCTCCGCCCGTGCAGCACTGCGGGCCTTCACGTGCGGTCGGCGCGGCCTCCAGCGCCACTGCGTGGCCTCTCGCGGGGCGAGCGCTTCAGTGAGCCACCATGGACAAGGACAGGGACTACGACCCGAACGCCCCGGACGAGGAGGGCGATGAGGCCTTTGCCGAGGTGAGCACCGGCCAAACCTCGCGTTTCGGCCAATGCGGGCCTGCTCGCCGCGCGCACCTTCCTGTGCGATTATTTGCGGCTGGAAACCACGCCCGGCGGGCCCCGCGAGCAACCGCGCCCGTCACACTGCGCCTCCCGCTCCAGCCCAACCCAGATCGCCATGCGCGCCTTAGACGGCAAGCGGGAGCGTTTCCGCGCTGCCGATACGGCCCTGACGCGAAGCTCCGTCCACAGCAGGGCGTCCCGCGGCCCGGGCGCCCCTCTGAGTGCCGGCGTCAACCTCTGTAGCACGTTTGAGCCTCCCGAGCCCCTCCTAGGCGCCGCCCGCGCGCTCCGAGCCCTGCCGTCGTCCGCGCGCCAGCACGTCCGTGGCCGGGCCCGCCGTTTCGCGGCTGCCCTGCATCGGGCCCGCCCAGCATCCAGGCACGCCGCTGCACAGCGCTGCCGCAAGCACACGCGCCTCGCGCTGCCACGGACGGCACCGTCGGCGCGGGGCCGCGCCCCTGTTGCGTCGGTCACCGAGGATGCGAGCCGCCGCGCCATCGCATCCGCCCCGCCTCCCGCGCGCCGGCCGTGCCCCCCCCACCGGGCCAGTGGCTGCACACGGCCCGCGCGCGCGCCCCTGACCGCCGATCCCCCGGCGCCGGCCCCCGCAGGGAGCCATCGAGGACGACGACGTCCCGGTCCAGGAGTACGAGTCCGCGGACGAGGATGACGAGGGTGCGCCCGCCCCGCCCCACGCCCAGGCTCTCTCTCGCAGACACGCACCCGCGACCTCGCCCCCGCCGAGCGCCCCGCACCCGGCCGCCCTTCGCGCAGAGGACCGCCACCGCGCCGAGGTGGCGCGCAAGGAGCGGGAGCGTCTCAAGAAGATTGAGAACTCGCGCAAGGCCAAGATGGACATGATGCACGCGGCGGCGAACAAGGAGGCGGCCGCGGGGGGCGCGGCGCGCTCGCAGCACCGCCTGCACTTCCTCATGCGCCAGGCGGAGATCTTCCAGCACTTTGCGCCCAACCTCGGCTCGGAGGGCAAGAAGGGCGGCAAGGGCAAGAAGAGCGGCGCGCGCGGGCACCGCGGGGAGCACGGCGAGGCCGACGAGGACGCGGAGCTGCTCGCGGAGGTGGAGATGGACGAGGTGCGCGCCGCCCGGACCGACGCGCGCGCCCGCCCAGTCCTGCGGGACCGTCGCGACGAACACCACGAAACCATGTCTTGCAGCCGTGCGCACACGCAGCTGCCGATGCGCGGCCCCCAGCCAACTCCCCGCGCCCCCGTCCGCGTGCGCCTGCAGGACCGCGCGCAGCACCGGCTGGACGTGCAGCCCAAGTGCATCAAGGGCGGCGAGATGCGGCCGTATCAGATGCAGGGTCTGAACTGGATGATCCACCTGTACGACAACGGCATCAACGGCATCCTGGCGGACGAGATGGGCCTGGGCAAGACGCTCCAGACGATCAGCCTGCTCGGGTACCTGCGGGAGTTCCGCGGCATCAAGGGCCCGCACCTGGTGGTGGTGCCCAAGTCGACGCTGGGCAACTGGATGAACGAGTTCCGGCGGTGGTGCCCGGACATCCGGCCGGTGAAGTTCCACGGGACGCAGGAGCAGCGCGCGGTGATGAAGGAGGAGACGGTCGTGCCGGGGCGGTTCGACGTGTGCGTGACGTCGTACGAGATGGTGATCAAGGAGCGCAACCACTTCAAGCGCTTCCACTGGCGGTACATCATCATCGACGAGGCGCACCGCATCAAGAACGTCAACAGCCGGCTCTCGCAGGTCGTGCGGCTGTTCAAGACGAACTACCGCATGCTCATCACCGGCACGCCGCTGCAGAACAACCTGCGCGAGCTGTGGGCGCTGCTCAACTTCTTGGTGCCCGAGGTGTTCACGAACGCGGAGAAGTTCGAGGAGTGGTTCCAGCTCGGCGACGAGAACGAGTCCGAGGTCGTCCAGCAGCTCCACAAGCTCCTGCGGCCCTTCCTCCTGCGCCGGCTCAAGTCGGACGTGGAGAAGGGACTCCCCCCGAAGAAGGAGCTCATCCTGAAGATCGGGCTGACGGAGATGCAGAAGAAGCAGTACGCCGCGCTGCTGCAGAAGGACATGGACGCCATCACGGGCGGCGCCGAGCGCTCGCGGCTGCTCAACATCGTCATGCAGCTGCGCAAGTGCTGCAACCACCCCTACCTCTTCGAGGGCGCGGAGCCCGGCCCGCCGTACCTCACGGGCGAGCACCTCGTGGAGAACTCGGGCAAGATGGTGCTGCTCGACCGCCTCCTCCCGAAGCTGCAGTCCCGCGGCTCGCGCGTGCTCATCTTCAGCCAGATGACGCGCGTGCTCGACATCCTGGAGGACTACGCGCTGTACCGCGGGTACAAGTACTCGCGGATCGACGGGAACACGTCCGGGGACGACCGCGAGAACGCGATCGACTCGTACAACGCGCCCGGGTCGGAGAAGTTCATCTTCCTGCTGTCGACGCGCGCGGGCGGGCTGGGGATCAACCTGACGACGGCGGACACGGTGGTGCTGTACGACAGCGACTGGAACCCGCAGATGGACCTGCAGGCCATGGACCGCGCGCACCGGATCGGGCAGACGCGCGAGGTGTCGGTGTACCGCTTCTGCACGGAGGGCACCATCGAGGAGAAGGTCATCGAGAAGGCGTACAAGAAGCTGCGGCTGGACGCGATGGTGATCCAGCAGGGGCGGCTGGCGGAGAACACGAAGAGCGTGAACAAGGACGAGCTGCTCTCCATGGTGCGCTACGGCGCGGAGCTCATCTTCAGCAGCAAGGACAGCAGCAGCATCACGGACGAGGACATCGACGCGATCCTGGCGCGCGGGGAGCAGCAGACGAAGGAGCTGAACGACAAGATGGCGCAGTTCACGGAGCAGGCCATGAAGTTCTCCCTCGACGGGGACCTCTCGGTGTACGAGTACAAGGACCCCGACGCGGACGAGGGGCCCAAGGACCTCGGCGTGGACCTGAAGGCGCTGATCGCGGCCAACTGGGTCGAGCCGGCGAAGCGCGAGCGCAAGAAGATGTACAACGAGACGGAGTACTTCCGGCAGGTGATGGGCGCGCCGGCGCCGAAGAAGCGCGAGGTGGTGTGGGTGAAGCGCGTGCCGCTGAACGACTTCCAGTTCTTCGACCGCGAGCGCGCGGAGGCGCTGTACGCCAAGGAGGAGGCCTACCTCAAGCACCGGGCCTTCATGGAGGAGCGCGAGGAGCAGATGCGGCGCGACGACCTCCCGCCGGAGGTGGTCGGCATCGAGCTGGAGCAGATGGTAGCTGAGGCGCCGCCGCAGCTGACGGACGAGGAGCGCGCGGAGCGCGAGGAGATCATCTCGCGCGGGTTCCGCGACTGGACCAAGCGCGACTTCCAGGCCTTCGTGCGCGGGTGCGAGCGGTACGGGCGCAACGAGGTGCGCGACATCGCGCGCGAGGTCGAGGGGAAGAGCGAGGCCGAGGTCCGCGCGTACCACGAGGTCTTCTGGAAGCGCTTCAAGGAGCTGGACGAGTGGGAGCGCATCCTCAAGGCCATCGAGCGCGGGGAGGCGCGCATCCAGCGCCACAGCGACATCGCGCGCCTGCTGCGCCGCAAGGTCGAGGCGTACGGCGACCCGCTCAACGAGCTCCGCATCGCGTACGGCCCGTCCAAGGGCAAGGCCTACACCGAGGAGGAGGACCGCTTCATTCTGTGCGCGGTGAACGAGCTGGGCTACGGCCGCTGGGAGGAGGTCAAGGCGGAGATCCGGCGCTCGTGGCGGTTCCGGTTCGACTGGTTCATCAAGAGCCGCAGCCCGCAGGAGCTCGCGCGGCGGTGCGACACGCTCATCCGCCTGGTCGAGAAGGAGCTGGAGGACGAGGGCGGGAAGAAGCGCGACGCGGGGGACAAGAGCACCGCGCCGAGCGGACCCGCCACCGCCGCGCCCAGCGCCGCGCCGAGCGAGAGCGGGAAGAAGCGCGCCGGGAGCGAGGACGCCGGCGGCGACAGCAAAAAGGTCAAGGTCGCCGCGTGAGGGGGGTGGGCAGCTGCCGTGTGCGGGCGCGGGGGAGCAGGTCGCTCGCGTGTGAGACGAGAATCACAGACGGGGGCGGCGCCGCCGGTGTAGGCAAGCGTTGGCAGTTGCGCGTGTAAGACCGAGGTATGATCCCTTTTCGCATGACAGGCCACGCGCGGGGGACGGCGATGACGAGGAGAGCTGAGTAGCCGTCGGCGCGTCGCCACACAACGCGGACAATGCCGCAGACTCAGTCACCGCTGTCACCCAGCCGGCTGCCGACACCCCCCGGTACAAGCAGCCTAGGACGTGGACCAGCACTTCGGCGCGTCGGCTGGCGGGCGTCGTCCAGTACTCGCGCGGCTCGCCGCGTTGTTGCTGACGACGCCCGCCACTCACTCTAACTGATTGCAGGTCAGAGCCTTCCCTTGGCACATGATGGCACGCTCACATGGCATTTCGCGCGAGTACTCCTAGCACGCTGCCGCCTTGATCAGGACGATAGCACACCCGCATTTCGTTTCGTGCGCGGGTGGTCAATTACTACTCTGTGTGTCGTGTTGTGCTGCGCCGGGCCTCGAACATGGGGCTTTGGCGCAGTGCCAGCTGAGAGCTACCTCCCTACTCCGGCCTTCAACCGTCGGCGTAGACGAGCCTGCCTCCGGCTAACTGACTCCGCCGTCTCACGTCCGTGGCTCACCGCCCGGCGTGCTAGGAACGCGCAACTTAGGTAGAGCTCTCCCCGTCATCGTCGCCCTCCCGTCGTGGCTTGATTACTGCATCCTCGGTCTAGTTCCGCACACCACCCTCTTTTCACCCCCAAAACCTCTCACCATGCGCACTCCAATCGGTCGCCGACGGAGGAAACGGCTCCAAGCAGCGTTGCGTCTCAGCGACCAGGCCGGCACCGCCGAGGCGCGCACGCTGCGTGGCCACCTTTCGAATGGCACCCTGTTCCACCATGTCGCAAATCTAAATGACCACGACCCGAACTTTCGACCCAGCATCACGCACGCACGCCGCATCGCGGCCGCTATTGCTCCGCAGGCATCTCCCCGTGCCTGGCCCCCTCCTAGCCCCCACCACACACCCTCCCACCCCGCCTCCGCACTAGCCCCTCGACCCTACTGGGACTACGTGCCCCGCGACGAACGGGCGCCCGCATACCCGCACCCGTGCCCCCCACCGAGCGCTCCTTTCCCACCGCCCCCGCCGGCGCTCTCGGACCTCGCCGCGCTACCATCGGTCACGGCAAACCCCCCGCTTGCGGCGCGCGGGGTTGTCTATGTCCTCTTGTGCCGGAAATACCCCTTCTTTTACTATGTCGGGGAGACATACCGCACAGCGATCGAACGACTGCAGGAGCACTTTGATGCAGCATTCACGCACCATCCGAACGCCGTGCACACCCCGCTTTACGAGTTTATGCGACGAGTGTGGGCGCAGTCGCCGAACGGCCATGTCCCGTGGCGCGACTTCACCATCGTGCCCCTCTTTCGCATCAATTTCGCACGCCAGGTGCCCATCCCGCCGGCGACTAGCCCGGACGCTTTGAAGGCCTGGTTCCACAAGTTCCGCACCTACTCCCTGGCCTGGGAGCAGACCATGATACGCTGTCTGGGCTCCACATACCCCGGCGGCCTCAATTACTGCAAGGGCATGTGGAATTTCGGCTACGGAGCTGGCCACTCTGATGCTGCCCCATGGCCTCTATCCCCCCTGGCGTTCCAAATCGCCGCTGACCCCCACCCCGTAGCGATCCCCCACAACGACTTCCCCGTCCCGCCCGGCCCGAGTGGGCTCCCAGCGCTGGCGACCCTCTTCCAGCCAACGTTTGCCATCTCCTCCACGCATCAACGTACCATCCACCTCGACGCTGACAACTGCCTCACAACTACGGCACCAGCGTTGTCCCTGCCCCCCGCTATCGCAGGCATGTCTCCGCGCCTCGGTACACGCGAGTATATCTACCAGACTCGCCTCCTTCTTGACGTTGTTTTGTTCCGCCGCGCCGGCGACACAGAGCACGATCATTGGAGACGCGCGGTGAACCATTGCACGGCAGCGAACATCGGAAAATACCTCTTCTCCCTCCATCACTGCGTGTCGCACATGCATCCCGATGCGCTTAACCTGGGTCTCGACGAGCCCTTTTACACACAGCAGATGTTGGACAGTGCCCGCACCGTTTTGCAGGCCGCCATCAACCACCACTACCCTCCCGTCGCAGACATCGACCTCGGGAGCCGTACCCTCATGATCCACGACTTCCCTACCCCCCTGGCTAGCCTCGCCCCCCTCGAAACCCTCGTCAATAATGATGACTTTCTCAACCTCTTACCTGAGCGTATCCGCGAAGGTATGGATGGCTTGTTTCTGGTGGCCCCGCGCTATTCGGTCAGGTTTCCACCGCTGTCGCGCTCGGTGTGCACGCACAGCGGAGTTGCCAAGTTTGCACGCAGTCGCCTGTACGACATCATGGCGACGCAGTGCGACTGTGCGCAACACCAAGGACCGGACCTACGACGCCACTTCACGCTCGAGGACCCCTACTGGCAGATCGACGGCGAGCCTGTGCGGCACCTCTGCACGCTGGACCCTGCTGCGGCGGGCATCCAGAGCACCGCGTACCGCCGTTTGTTCGCCGTCGGCGGTGCCAAGCACCGACACGTCCCGGAGCTGCACCAAGCCACGAGCGCGACCGTAGCTAGCATCGTTGAAGCCTACCAGAAGCCGCTGCTCGGGTGGACGAAACGCGTCAGCAAGGCCGCCGACATGGACGCGGCAGCGTGCATGCCGTACATTGATGCTATACTTGCTGCTACGCAAACGGCACTCCAACCCGCTCTTCAACCCGGGTTCCGCCTTCCATGGCCCCCGCCGCTGGCGGACATTCAGCCCGACGATCGCGTGGCTCTGCGGCGAGACGCGACACGCCTCACCATCACGACCATGGACAAGAACGCCGGGAATTTGGTTTTCGTGTGTCGGCGCGCCTACATCGAGGTCCTCCTGCACGACCTGCACAGCAACGACGCTTTCGCTGTCAACGAGCCGGCAAATGCCAACATCACGCATGCCAGGCACGTGGTGAACGTCGCTAACACGACGGAGGCTATGTTGGACAACCTGCAGCTACCAGGAATACGCACCGAACGCGAGTGCGGTGGTCTACCGCACTACTACGGGACGATGAAGCTTCACAAGGCCAAGGTGGACGTGCGGTACATCTCGGACTGCTCGAGCGACATCACGCGCCCCGCAGCGCAGCTGCTGACGAAGGCCCTCGGCGCGCTCATGTGCCACGCCACCCTCGTGGAGGTCTGGAGCTCCATCTTCGACGGCGTCCCGGAGGACCTCTGCAGCAGCTTCGCGCCCTTCTTGGTGGACTCCAGCCGCGGCATGCGTGACATGGTGACCGCGTATCTACATGACAACCCACCACGCTCAGCGATACATGCTCAACAACCACCTCTGCTGCTGGGCGCCGACATCAAGCGGCTCTACACGCACATCCGGCACGAGACGAGCGCGGACCACGGGACCGGCCTCATCGACTGCGTCATCGAACACATCGACGCTGTTTTTGCACTGCATCCAGGGCAACACCTCCTGATCGACTTGCAACCCGCGTTTGACGCGAGGGAGACGTGGTGGTGGGTGGCGCAGCTGCCGGACGCGGACGGCATGGTTGGGAAATGGGCACCGAGCATCGAGCAACTTCATGGTCTCGTGCACATCCTCGTCAAACGCGCCTACGTGGTGTTCGGGGGCGTCGTATATCACCAGACCTGCGGTGTGCCCATGGGGCTCTCGGCCTCCCCCCACCTCGCGAACTGCTACATGTTCCGGCATGAGCTCGCGTTCCTCTGCCAGTTTCGCGACCGCTGGTTGAGCACTGGCGACGTCGCTTGGCTGAAGGTCTTGGGGTCTTTCCGTTATTCCAGGCGCTACATCGACGACAATTTCTCTCTCGCGAACGCACTGTACCGCTACTTCAACACCCACCCCCGCCCCCCCACCCCGCCCCCCGAAACCCCGTCGTCGATCGTAGATCTCATCTCTGGTATACATAACATGTACCCCCCCTGTCTTGAGGTCGAATTTGACGCCCCAGCGAACCCGCTCGACGGTGTCTCCTTCCTAGACCTCCGCGTGCGTCCGCATCCCGAATATCAGGGCTTCCTCCTGATCTCGCACTATGACAAACGCGGTCTGTTTCCTGAGAACATTCACCTCATACAGTACCCCCACGCTTCGTGTGCGCTGCTGCGACGACACCTTTACAACATCGTCCGCACCGAACACATCCGCGTGTCCAGCGAGGTGACTGACCGCGACAGCTACGTAGCCAAGATGTCGGCCATGATGCGCTACATGCGTACGCATCGAGGTTACTGCATGCGACAGGTCCTGGCGATCCACCGCGCCGCCTGCCGGACGCACCCGAGCCCGCATTTTGGCCCTGCCACGCCGGCGGGCCTGGCTGACCTCGTGCGTCGCCACGTGCAGTTTGCAGACCATACTGGCCAACCTGCTGACAGGGCGTGCCCGGCGCCCTGCAACTCGTCACCCTCATACATGATCCCGGCGCTGCGAAGCTGGCTCGGAACTATCCAGCCATGCCCGCACACATGACGCACTCTGTTACCCCCCCGATGTTGACATGTTGGCCATGCGCGTATTCCGTGGCCGCTAGACCGAGGTATGATCCCTTTTCGCATGACAGGCCACGCGCGGGGACGGCGATGACGAGGAGAGCTGAGTAGCCGTCGGCGCGTCGCCACACAACGCGGACAATGCCGCAGACTCAGTCACCGCTGTCCCCCAGCCGGCTGCCGACACCCCCTGGTACAAGCAGCCTAGGACGTGGACCAGCACTTCGGCGCGTCGGCTGGCGGGCGTCGTCCAGTACTCGCGCGGCTCGCCGCGTTGTTGCTGACGACGCCCGCCACTCCCTCTAACTGATTGCAGGTCAGAGCCTTCCCTTGGCACATGATGGCACGCTCACATGGCATTTCGCGCGAGTACTCCTAGCACGCTGCCGCCTTGATCAGGACGATAGCACACCCGCATTTCGTTTCGTGCGCGGGTGGTCAATTACTACTCTGTGTGGCGCGTGCGCTGGCAGGGGCGTCGCGTCCGGGGTCCCGCGCGGCGGTCAGCGACGCGAGGGCTGACCAAGGGGGACGCGCCAGGCTGCGCGTGGTGTGTTGGCCCTGCAGCGGCCCCGCCTCCGCGTGCGTCCTACCTGGGGCAAGCGCCCCCTGGTCCTAGCTGGTGCTGCGCGCCTGGGGCCCGGGCGACGTTGCGGCACCTGGCGGGCGTCTGAGGTCACATTTCGTGATTCCGTGATATAACTCCGCCTGTTGCGTGTTCTGGCGACGCTACGCTGCGCTGAAGGTGCGCCTCCAGGAGCGCCAGAATGGCGCCGCTCCCGCTCGGGCTGGCGGGCAGGGTTCCCCTCGGAAAGCGCGGAGCTGTGCCCTGAGCCCACGCGCTATCCCGGCCTCCCGCGCCCGTCCGCCGCGACGCCCTGTTCGGCCAGTCGCCGGGCCTGCAAATGCCCACCGCACTCGCCCTCGCCGCACCGGTCACTTCGGCCCCGTCCTCGGCGCACTGTCCTCCCTCGCGAGTCGTCAGATACTCAGGGTGTGTGCGCGGGGCGCTGGTGCGCGCTACGGCGGCGTGGCGGCGGATCCAGGACCCTGGAGTCCACCGCTCAACTGCACCTGGGGCAACTCCGCGTGCCCGCCATAGCGCCTATAAACCGCCCGGTCCCGACCTGCACCGCGTACCTGCGATCATGCTCCGTCGCTGGGCACGCCCGTCAGCCTGCACTGATCGCGGGGCCGCCGCACGCCGCCGGTGCAGATCAGCCTGTGTGCACCCGCGCGCCCATGCACCCGCCCCAGCCAGCGGGTCTGTCCGGGATTCTCGCCGCGTGCACGCCACGAAGTTAGGTTCCGACGCGGGTGAGCGACGGGAGCGGGGACCCACTCGCCTCGCGTTTCGTCGCCTCGCTGTGTGCGCAGGACTGGTGGGTGGTCGGCGCGCGCCAGGAGCTGCTCTGGCGACGAAGGCACGATGGCGGACTGCGCATGCAAGCTCGCCGTCGTTGCGATCGACAAGATCATCAAAGGTGGGCCGCAGGCGCCCCCTGCGCGTTTCAGTTGGTCGTGCAGCCTGCGCGGCGCCCGAGCTCGCCCCGCCGACGCACCGCGCCCGCGCTCTCCGCGCCGCCCCCTGCAGGCATCCGCAACTGCCAGCACATCAACACCGACGTCGCGTTCTTCGTCAAGTTCCTGGAGACGGCGCAGAGCGTCATTGAGAATGTGAAGGAGGAGGACATCCCGGGCGAGGACGCGCCGTCCGCGATGTCGCGCATCCAGGCGCAGCTGGACGACTGTTTGAAGGAGGCGGAGGCGCTGATCGACAAGTGGAAGGACAAGCACGTCTTCGTCAAGTTCCTCAAGTCGGGCGTGGTCAACGTGCAGTGCGAGCGCATCATGAACCGGCTGCAGGCCGCGCTGTCGCTCCTCGCGGGGCACGCGGCCCTGGAGGGCGCCGCGGACGGCAAGGAGGTGAAGGAGTCGGTGCAGGCGGTGCAGCGGCAGCTCGACGAGATGTCGCAGCAGGTGATGGAGGCGCTCAGCGACGTGAAGCGGGACAAGGTCGCGCTGCCGAAGGGCATCCTCCCCATCGACGTGGACCAGCTGCGCGTGGGCAAGGTCCTGAGCGAGGAGGGGTCGTTCGGCGTCGTGCACGAGGGGCTGTGGAACGGGCCCGCGGGGTCGATGCGCGTGGCCGTCAAGGTGATCAAGGCGGCGCACATGAGCGACGAGCAGCAGAAGGTGCTGCAGCGCGAGGTGCAGAACATGGGCCGCGCGGTGCAGATCTCGGACCAGGTGTGCAAGATCTTCGGCGTGGCCATGAGCAACAACCGCGTGCTGATCGTGATGAAGCGGTACGCGACGAGCCTCAAGAAGCACCTCAAGCGGGAGGGCCGCGGCCTCGCGCTCCCCGTGTGGCTCGGGCTCGCCATGGACGTCACGTCGGGCCTCGTGGACCTGCACGCGGCCGGCATCAAGCACTTCGACCTCAAGCCCGACAACATCCTCATCGACAGCGCCGGCCGCGGCGTCATCTCCGACTTCGGCCTCTCGCGCGCCTCCGAGGGCACGCTCGGCGCCACCTTCCGCAACAACGCCTTCGGGACCCTCAACTACGCGCCGCCCGAGCAAATGAACCGCACCGAGGACGGGTACCAGGTGCGCCGCGACGGAGCGCGCGCGCCGCGCCGCGCCCCGCGTGCCGGGCGCCCCGTGCCTCAGCCGGCACCCCGCGTTCCCGTGTTTGCAGCCCGACCTGGGGTCCGACATGTGGAGCCTGGCCGCGACGCTGAGCGAGGCGTACTCGGGGCAGCGCCCGTTCGACGGGTACAAGGAGATGCAGGTCCTGTCCGCGGTGTGCATGGTCGGCGAGACCCCGCAGGTCCCCGACACGCTCCCGGAGGCGGTGCGCAACGTGCTGACGCGGTGCTTCCTGCAGAACCCGGACGAGCGCCCGACGGCGCAGGAGGTCCTCGACGTCCTCCAGAGCATGCGCGGGTCCGGGCGGCGGCTCCTGCGCGCGGTCCCGGCGATGGAGATGGAGGAGGTCGACGGCGAGCTCGACATCCCCGAGGAGGGCGCGGCGGCGTCGATGGCGTCGGGGGGCGCGACGGTCGAGACGCCCAAGTCGCCCGTGACGCACAAGTACACGCGCAAGGGCCGGCCGTCCGCGGGCGAGGACGGCCAGGACGGCGGCTCGAGCAACATCGGCAAGGTGTTGCAGGTGGCGCAGGTGCGCAACTGGGCGGCGGACATGTCGCGGACGACGGTGGACATGGGCGGGGGCCTGCTGAAGCTGATGCCGACGTTCGTGGACCGGCCGGAGAAGTACGTCGACGGCACGAAGGAGATCGAGGTGGAGGTGGACGTGGTGAAAAAGGTGCCGAAGAAGGTGCCGGGGTGCTTCGGTTCGAAGACGGTCATGGTGGACGAGACGTTCAAGGAGAAGCAGAAGCGGACGGTGCCGAACGAGAAGACGCGGTTCTTGAAGTGGGCGGTGCTCCCGGACCGCGTGTTTGTCCCGCCGCGCAACGGGCTGACGCTGCGGAACGGGACGGTCGTGGGGTTCAAGGAGGTGCAGGGGCAGGACATCTCCGTGGACCCGAACGGCGGCTGCGCGATCTACGTCGGGCGCGGGCAGGACCTCACCATCGAGGCCGTGACGTTCAAGTGCTTCTCGCAGGATTACCCCGCGCTGCGCGTGGAGGACGGGGGGCGCGTGACGCTGCGCGACTGCACGTTCCAGGACTGCGTGATCGGCGCCGTGGCCACCTCGGTGGGCTCCGCGCTCGCGTGCCACGCCACGGCGTTCATGGAGTGCGACCAGGGCCTGGTGGTGCAGGAGCACGCGGTGGCGGGGCTGACCGCGTGCGAGGTCGCGGGGTGCCGCGGCGTGGGCGTGACGGTCACGTCCGGCGGCCTCGTGGCGATGGAGGACTGCGAGGTCGTCGAGAACGCCACGCACGGCGTGTCGGCGTCGGGCGCGGAGACCATGGTGTGGATGACGGGCGGCAAGGTCGAGGGGCACGAGGGGACGGCCGTGCTCGCGGCGAGCTCCGCGCAGCTCGTGGGCGGCGCCGTCGCCTTCTCGGACAACGGCATGGGCGCGGACTACCACAGCGACGCCACGATCCGCATCGGCGGGGAGGCGGTCGAGGCGGTGGCGCTGCGGGACGCGGAGGAGGCCGTGCGCGGGCAGCGCAGGGAGATGGCGCGCCGCGCGCACTGCTGCGAGAGCGTCGCGGGCGTGCAGACGCTCCTCGACGACGCCACCGTCGAGGAGATCGACATGGGCGGCAAGACGCTGGCCGTGGACATGGCCGACGACACCACGCTGTTCACCGTGACGCGGCCGTCGGTCGTGCTCAAGAACGGCAAGTTCGAGGTGCGGCAGAAGGGCCGGACCGGCCCGCCGCCGCCCTCGTCCGCGGCCGCGGTGGACCCGTCGGACCCGCTGGGCATCGGCGCCAACGTGCAGCAGCACGGCAGCCTCCCGACGTCGCCGGCCGGGCACCGCGGCTCGCAGTCGGCGCTGCCGGCGATGGGCTCCCTCGCGCCGCCGACGCCGATCGCCGCGAACGCCCCGGCTCCGCGCTGGGCGGTGTTCAACGCGCTGCCGTCGGCGCGGGGCCTGCTGCTGGAGGACGTCGTGATCGCGGGCTCCGCGGGCGACTGCGTGCGCATCGACGGCGCGGCGGACGTGCGGCTGAAGGGCTGCACGATCTCGCACGCGAAGACGGCCGGCGTCCGCGCGCTGAGCGGCGCGCAGGTGGACGTCGAGGACTGCGCGGTGAAGGACTGCTGGGAGGCCGGCGTGGCGGCGCGCGGCGCGGGGACGCGCGTGAAGATGGCGGGGACCGTGGTGGAGGGGGCGGTGAAGGTCGGCGTGGCGGTGTGCGACCGCGCGGAGATGGAGGCGGTCGGCGGGCGCGTCGTGAAGAACGGCGTCGGCATCGCGGTGGGGACGAACGGCGGGATGACGGCGACGAACGTGCACGTGCTGGAGAACCGGACCGCGGGGGTGATGGCGGCGGACGTGGGCAAGGTGACGCTGAGCGGGTGCACGTGCTCGGGCAACGTGCAGGGGCAGGGCATCGTGGCGGAGGGCAAGTCGACGGTCCTGGCCGACGGGGTGTCGTGCAGCGGCAACCGCATCGGCGTCAAGGCCGGCGGCGGGTCCACGGTCGAGGTGACCAAGGGGGAGGTGTTGAACAACACCTCCGGGATGTCGTGCACGGGCAACGGGTCGACGCTCCGCGCCACGGGCACGGCGGTGCGCGACAACCAGGAGAACGGCGTCATCGTGGTCGACGGCGCCACCGCCGAGCTCGCGGACGTCGAGCTGCGCGGGCACAACGTCGCGGGGCTGTACGTGGCCGACTTCGGCACGTCCGCGACGCTGGTCGACGTCCGGGCGTGCAAGAACATGCTCAACGGCGTGTCCGTCCGCAAGGGCGCCAAGGCCGAGATCCGCGGGGGGGAGTTCAACGAGAACGGCTTCCGCATGGCCGTGGACAACGACCGCGCCGACATGGGGCACGGGATCCTGTGCGAGGGCGGGGCGTCGAGCCTGAGCGCGCAGAACGTCAAGTGCACGGCGAACGCGGACGCGGGGCTCGCGGCGGCGAACGGCGCGATGGCGGCGACGCGCGGGGGCGAGTTTGCGCGCAACCAGTTTGGCGTGCTGGCGCTGAACAAGGGCAGCAAGGTGGCGGTGGAGGACGGGGTGTTCCGCGACAACGCGCGCGCGGGGGCGCAGGTGCAGCGCGACGGCGAGATGGACCTGCGGCGGCCCGAGTTCATCAACAACAAGGCCAAGGTGGACAAGCCGCTGTTTGGGTTCAAGCTCAACATCATGGACGAGGTCAACGCCGCGGTGGCCGGGGCCAGCGGGATCGCGTCGAAGATCGGGCACAAGATCAACGCCGTGTCGCAGGCGCTCAAGTCGTGACGCGGCGGGGTCGTTGTGCCGGGGCGACGCTGCATGTGAGGTTTCGTTGTTTACAGGGGTGTTGAGTGAGTGTGAGCTGCACGTGACGCACGCGGCAGATGTCGGGCGTCGCCGCACGTGGATGGCGTCCGGTCGGCGCACAGGTGCGCGGGGTCGAGGTGCGCGTGCTGTGGCTGCCGCGCGCGACGGGCATGCTTGCTGTCGTTGGGCAGCGACTGTCGTCGGAATAGAACGTGGCCTTGCGCGCTCATCGATAGTGTCGATCCGCCCAGGCATCGCCGTAGAACCCGCAGTCTAAGATAGTAGTGAAAGCACCGTACTCCTGAGACTCTAGGAGGTCCATGACGTGAGTTACTGACAGCTCCCCCGCGTGCAGGTTGGTTGTCAGCGACTTCCAGGCATCGCCGTAGAAACCACAGCCCTCGACTCGGAGGTCCTCCAGCGTCGGGTGTCGCTCCGGGACGCGAATGAGTGCAGCTGCTGTCAGGTCACCCGTGTCCGGGTTGTTCCGCAGCGACAAGTGCTGCAGGGCGGTGTTGTGGCACAGCTCGTCCGCAAACTGCGCTCCGAGCTCGTCGCCCAGCCCGGCGCACTCGAGTGCGAAAGATCGGAGGACCGGGTTGGCGCGGAGGGCGCGAGCAAGCGACACGACGCCGTCAACGCCCCAGGAGAAGCCCGAAAAGGACAGGATTCGAAGGGAAGGGTGCGCAGCGAGGTCCCGCGCGAATCTGTCGAGGCCTTGCAGACGAACCATATCTGTTGGCAACCCCCAATGGGCTTCGTGGGTACGTAGACGAAGCGAGCGGAGCTCCAAGTTGGCGAGCACGCTGTGAAGGGACGTGCAGGACGTGACGTCAGTGTGGGCGGATACACGGTGCTGGATGGCGACGTCTTGTAGCTTGCTGCTCCCGACGGCGCGCAGGAGCCTGTCGAATGCACCCTCATCATCCTCCTCGCAAAAACAGCAGCACACATTGAGCGTCCGCAGGGTGTTGTTTCCGGCGACCGCGTCCGCAAGGTGAGAAGCCTTGAAACGTGTGCGCCCCCACATGTGTTGATGGGCCAGCACGCGACCATCTAGGACTAGATCTTCCAGCGACGGTGTCTGGGCCAGCATCGCTGCCAGCGAACCGTCCGCGAATGCGAGCCCGTCCCACCCGTAGCCGCAGCCGCGCAGCCCGAGCCGCCGCAGGGGAAGGACGGAGTTGTCGGCGATCGCCCTGAACAGATCCAGATCCCCCATGGAACAATCTCCCAGTTCGATCGATTCGAGCTTCGAGCTGCGCGCGATCAAGTCCAGCAGGTCCGACGGGCGTTCAGTGAAGTCGATCCAGTACACTCTCAGATGCGTGAGGCGGTCCGCGCATGGAGACAGCGTTGGTGGTATTGCGTTGGCGAAGTGCAAGGCTCGGACAGTGTGCGACGCGCACACTGCCTCACCAATCGCCGCGACGCCGATCTCGTCCCCGTCGTTCATGAAGAGCTCGCGTAGCGTCGATGACTCCCTCACGAGCCGGGCGATCGCCAGCCCCACCTCCTTGGTGACTGTGCCTTGTTCGGCGTCGAGGACTTGCAACTCGCGCAGGTCGCAGAGCGGGAGGTCCCTGACTGAATGAGTGTCCCAGCTCCGGGTGAGGCCGTCCCCGGCCTCCTTGGTGTCGGAGTTCATCTCGATTTCGCTACCCAATGCCAACCTGCTGTTGTCGAATTCGGCGAGCTGGACGTCCCGAACGTGATTGCGGACCGCCGGCGTGCCAAGCAACAGGCTCTGAAACGTCCAGTACGCTTTGTCACTGCCACGAATGTGTCGCGCCAGATTTTGACGACTGCCCCATATCGCGCCACTCAACGACGCAAGCCACAGCTCGTCGACGCGCAGCTCCGGGTCCTGCAGAGCGCGCTGCAGTGCGCAGATCTGCTCCGACGGTGTCGCCACGTCCTCGACGTGCAGCCCCGCACGGCACGCTGCGCGGTACAGCGCGCCCGCTTGGTCCACGCTGAAGTAGGCGCCGGAGAACTCCAGCCGACCGACGTACTGCGAGCCGGCGCTGATGCGACCGGCGAGCCCACGCATGAGCGCTCCGTCCAGGCGGCGCACATGCAGCACCGGAGTCGACCTCGCTTCCTGTCTGAAGATCTCGCGCGAGCCAACGCCGACGATCCCAGACGAAGGGCAGTTCTCCAACGGCCAGAACACGGGACGTCGTTCTCCGTGCCTCAGATACGCTGTCAGCGCCCCCCAGCACGTGAGCGCGACATTCCAGCCGTCGGCGAGGTCGAAGAGGAGCGGCACGGTCTCCAGGACGTCGATGAAGCTCGGCCGCGCCTGCGCGGAGCAACGCCGAGGAGGCGAATACATTGATGACAGGTCTGGGCCGAGCCACGCCGCGCGAGTCCAGCGAGTTCGTGGGCTGGGCCGCGTGACAGGTAGCGAGCGACAGCGCGTGAGCGACGGCGACGGTCGTCATGAAGTGTTGCATTCAAGGTGGGTAGCGGCACGGTGAAACAAGGCGCACGAGGCGTGGTTTGAGCTGTGTGACAGACGCTTGACATCAGTTCTCGTCAGCAGGTGCGGCAGTGTATCGCTTTTGCACGTCATGTTGGCCTCGAGATCGACAGGAGGCTGCACCTGGTTGCGCCGCTCGGGGGCGGCCGAAGCTTCCACTTCGGTGACGTTCATGGTATCTCTGCTGGCTTCGGGGGTCAGCAGTGAGCCAGACTGCGTCTCTGGCCGCTCGTTACGGCTCAATATCCCCTGCACTGCCCGCAACGGCGGACTCCTCGCCCTGACCAGCGCTGTGGTAGAGGTGGCGACTGGGAGCGGTCCAGGTCACTGATTGACATCGAGGCGCGCGGGTTCCGTCATTCGTAATCTAGAGACTCGAACACACAGTCGTGCAGCGGCGCCCCGGTCTCGCACAGGTGAGCCACCCCGGACCTGGGCTGTACAGGGCCGGTGGCGCACAAAGCCGAGCCGCGTCACGTCGTCCAACGACGACCCCGGCATGACCATACGAACACATGGGAGGCCGCGAACCATGCTCGGTCAGGGCGCTCATTGGCGGCATGGGGCCTCCGTCGGTGGTTGGCAACTTGCGCGCGCGGTAACAGTCGCGGGCCCCGTGCGTGCGGCGAACGGTGTTAGGAGCAGACTGGTGGCGCCACAGCGCTCGCCGAAGACTCAGATTTTCACCACGACGTGCATAAGAGCCGCTGCGGCAACAAGCGCCCCTTTGACGCCCCCCAACACTCTGATCGCTGGTGCGCGGGTGCTCGTGGGAGCAGCACAGGCCGCACTGACATCGCTTCGATGCCAGGGCAACTAAACTGCCAAGTACATGCGATCAATGGGCATTCATTCGTGTTTGTGCTAACAAACACGCCTGGGAGCGCCGGGTGGCAGCTGATGTGCCGTTCGAGGCCTCCGCCCCGCGCGAGACACCAGGCGATTCCCTTGCGTTACCATTGCATACTCAGGGCATCACTGGTCCATGACCTCCGTGGGAGCGAGCGAGTGGCGCCAACAGACCGTGTTCGGCGCTGTTCCCGGGCGGCCCGCAGGCACCACGGAACCATGCCGGGACCCGCAGCTGCGCGCGCGCGGTTCGTGTGTGTTCCGAGCGACGAGCTCTCGCTGGCGTTCAGGACCGTCAGAGCGCAGCCTCGTCCCGCGAGCTCCGTCCCCGAGATGGAGACGTTCCTGGTGAGCTGCGTCATCGTGCGGAGCGCTCGGCTGCCCGGCGGGCGCACAGCCCGACCGACTCGCTCCGCTTACCGCCGTGCTGCTGCAGAACACGCCGCCGGACGAGCTCGAGGAGCTCCTCGAGGTCGCGCTCGGCCGCGTCGCCGACTTGCTGGCGACGGCGCGCGGGCCCGACCAGGGGCGTGGGACCGCCTTCGTGCTGACGCGCATCGACGCGGAGAGCTCCACGCGCACCCGCGACATCCAGGCCACCTCGACGTTCCTGCACTGGGACTCGAGCGTCGCCTTGGAGGCGTTTTGCAGCGCCATCAGCGTCGACGACAGGCAGCTGCGCGCCAAGCGGGGCAGCGACGGCGCGTGGCGGGTGGAAGCGACGATCGTGGCCGGCGGTGGAGGGACGTGCGGCCCCGTGGACTGCACGCCCGCCGTCGACCTCGCAGCGGGGGCCCTTCATGCCACAGCGCGCGCGGCCTCAGCGGCACAGAACGCGCACATGAAGAAGAACACGCGCGCCCGGACCGTCTTCTACGAGCCCGTCGACGTCGACCCGGGCCTCTGCGTCGACGTGGCCGGCGGCTGGTCGCCCGACAGGCCCACCGTCATCTCCCTCGCGCGCTACCACACGCCGGTGAGCCCCGCCGGGGACGAGCGACGCGCCCGCCGCACCGCGCAAGAGACTGTGCGGGGTCTGCGCGGCACCGGGGCCCTGCGGTCGCTGAGCGAGGACGCGCTCGTGTCGCCCGATTCGAGTGGCGTCGCCGCGCGTCTGGACGACCAGCGGCGCGCCTGGGGCGCGGCGGGACGGTTCCCGGGGATCGCGATCAACGTGGTGCAGAGCAACGTGGTGCAGATGCCTTGGGTGTTCCTCACGCTGCCGCCAGGCATGCGCTGGCGGACCAAGAGGGCTCGCCGCGGGGCGGTGCAGGGGCACAGGCGCCTCGTCGCGGAGGCCGCCGAGCCCTGCGCGGCGGGCCCGCTGCCTCCGCCCACGGAGCTCACCTGGAAGGCCTGCGTGGACAAGTTCGTCGCGATTCGCGCCAAGCACGGGGACTACGCGGCGTACGGTGTGGGGGCCGCGACGGTGATGCGGTGCGTGATCGAGGCGTACAGCGAGAGCACGGGGTCGCCCAAGGCCATGGCGCGGATCGACGACGCGATCGCGGAGCGGATGGGGGTGGCGTTGGCGCGAGCTGTTGCGCAGGCCTGCGCCGCGCGCCTCCCCGGTTCGGTCGACACGTCGGTGGACGTCTAGCGACGGCGCCGCGGGTGGGAGCCGCAGATCGGGGAGTGACCGCGTCGAGGAGCGCGCGTGCGCGGGTCGAGGGGGCTCTGGCGCGGTTCTGTGAGCTTCAACGCTCGCGAGTGTGGGCGTCGCACGCGGTGCCGAGCAGCGGGGCGCTGCGTTGCGGCAACGCTGAGAAGCGCCCAGCAGCGTCCTGGCGAGGCGTGATGGACCGGAGGGGGGGTTTTGAAGACCTCGGGACTTATGCGTAGTTGTTTTCATCGTTGGCGCGCTAACGTCAGGTACCCGGTGCATCAGAGCTCACACCTGCAGGGACACAAGGACCCAACCCCGCGCGAGACGCTTACACGTCGAAGTGCTCGACGTCCCCGAGCCCGAACTTCGTGGCAGATGATTGCGCATTTGCGTTGATGTGCTCCTGTTCCCACGGAGGCACCGCCAAGGGCTCGGGGGATCCGACCCCCTCGTACGGCCGAGGAAGCCTCTGGAACCGCCGGTCCTTGCAGGCCGCGTCGTCTGCGGCCGCAGGCAGGGGGACGTGTGCCGTACGGCCCCGCAGTGCAAGGTCCTTGAGTGCCTCGCACGTCTCTTGAGACCCGCCAATAGCTTCGAAGATCCGCTGCCAGGTCGTCTTGAACGAGTTCCTCAGCCTGAATTCGGCCTCAGCCTCGGCCTCAGACTCGTACTCATGAATCTGTGGCATCCCCGGCGCGACCATCCTGAGGAGCTCCGCCGGCGGGCACGGGTACGCGCCGTAGAACAGTCGCTCGACGGTCAGGCGCCCGTCGCCGCGGACGTCGTAGTCGACCTGCGCGGGCCCTTCCGCGCGGAACATCGCGAAGAGCACCGACACCGCGAGGCGGTGCAGGCGGTGCACCCAAGAGGAGTGCATCCCCCACACGCCGTTCTCGTCCTCGTACTCGTCGGGACGGAAGCGGATCAGGTGGACCGGCTTGCCGATGAGGCTCTCGGCAGCCGCGAGCGTCAAGACCGTCCGGTCGTCGTCGACCGCCCCCGAATGATCGAAGTTGCCGTGCCTGTCGCACATGACGATGACTCCCCGCTCCTTCCCGACGAAGAAGAGGTCGGGACGATACCGGGTGCCCGGCAATGTCGCCGCTTCACGGCTCGCGAAGCGAGGCAGGCAGGGGCGGATGTGATTCCCCAGCAGCAGCAACAGGTGGTGGGCCGTGTCCGTCCGCGCGGAGTCCATCCACGTGCCCGACGCAAGCACCCGTGCCTTCTCGTCCATCCACCACGACCCGTGGCGGAGGCAGTAGCAGCGCGTCCGCCGCTCAAGCGGTGCAGCCATCCCGAAGAGCGGCGAAACCTTCTCGAAGACCGCCTCCTGCTTGCAGCCCTGCTCGGAGCACTCCCCCAACGGATCTCTCCGAAGCCCTGCGTCGCAGCGAAGAGGTCGACCGGTGTCGACAGATGTCGCTTGCGGCCGTGCAACCAGGGTTGGGAAGCAGCTTGGGAGACAACAAGGCACGCCGCGAGCCCACCGCCGACGTGCAGCGCGACAAACGCGACGGAGACGGATCGCACAAATGATCTCTGCCCGAAAACCGGCCCCACGTCCTCGCGTGGCAGCCACGGGGCGGCACCTATCGCGACGAGGGTGTCGACCACGACTGCACGGCTCTCCCGGCTTCGGGCGTGCCGGGATTCCGTCATCGACACAGCGATCGTGCGTTACTTGTCGATGTGATATCTGCCCAGGGGGCTCGCGGCCGCGGAGGGGCGCGGCGAGCGGGAAATCCGCCTGTGCACTGGCAGAGAAGTCCTACAGTCGCACCGCCCCTGGACAGGAGGATTCTGTGCACGATCGTCCCGGCACGCGGCTCAAGGTGTGACTCATGCGTCCAGGGCATCGTGGAGACCGAAGCACGTCAGTGGCGGGCGAGCCCTCACCTCGGAGCCTCTCCAGCAGCAGCTTCTGTGTGAGAGGCGTCGGCTGGTCGCTCATCGTTGCGAAGGGCGGCAGCGCGCTCACCGATCACTTGCAACTCTGCGCCGCAAGTCGCGCTGGGCGCGCCCTCGTCCGCAGGCGCGTCCTGCCGGCGCCGCGCGTGGCCATCAGTCAGACTGCGCGGGGGAGTGACGCTCGAGGGGGGGTGAGGTTTGCGCGGACGGCGCTGTGTTCTGCGCGCACGGGTGGTCAGCGGGCATGGACAGCGGTCGCGCGAGGCCTCGATCCAAGCCACGCAGCCGTCTCGATCACGCTGCGGCAAGCTCACCGTGCTCAACGGCAGGACGGGCGCCGCCTCGGGCCTCGCGACGCACCGGCGGGGGCGCGACCAGACCAACACGGTCACCGACTACGCGGCTGTCGACGCCGTGGGGCGACACCGGCGGTTGAGCGGTCGGAGGTGCTTCTCAACGTCGGCGACAGGGCATTCGACGCCTTGCCCTGCTGCGGCGACCTCGGACACCGCCCGCTGCTCCTCGACCTCGACGTGCCCCTCGACGACCGCCGGCCGCAGCCCGCAGCCTCGATGGACCTACGCCAGTGGCTCTGGGGGAATGCCGACAACGGGAGTGCACGACGGACGGAAGTGCGATCGCGGCCGCATGGAGGAGATCGTCCACCTGCGCGCGAACATCGTGCACCCGAGCACCTCGGTCGCGACAGACATGCACGAGATCGACGCGTGCATGAGGCGTCAGACGACCTGCTGCAGGAGGAGCACCGCCTGGCGCACAACACCGCGCACACCCCCCGGGGCCTCATGTCCAAGGGCGCGGAGGACTCCAGGGAGACGTACCTGCGCCGGCATCTGCTGGAGCGCGACGGAGCGCCGCGGGGAGTCGCCAGCGCGGCCCGCAGCACCGTGCAGCGCATCGGCGGCACGAGGAGAGCTTCCGCGCGATGATCGCGTCCGACCTCGGCACGCAGGCGTTCGCCGACCTCAACCGTCAGGCCTCGACGCCGGCGCCGCTCCTCGGAGCCCGCACGACGCCCAACGCCCGCGCCCTCCCTCCTGCATGCGCCCGCCGCAAACGCAGCTGCAGCGCCGCCGGCGGAGCCCCCGCTCGACCTCCAGCTGCCCGCGTGCGGGTGGCGCGAAACCGCATGACCGACGACGTCGCCGCGTCGGTGCTCGACAGCTGCAACAACGGTCAGTGGGCCGCACTTGTTCGGGGGGAGTCCCCGTGGAGCTCCACAAGTGCGCGGCGGGGGACCTGGGCAGCGAGGAGCTCGCGGAGCTCGCGGCGGCGTTCGGGGACATCGGCAAAGCGGACCTGGAGGCAAACGCCTGGTGCACCGCGCAGTTTACGTCACCAAAGGTGCTCCGCGCCGAGCACCTGCCCGACAACGTCACCAGCTCGGCGCCCGTGGCGCTGCACAAGCGTGGTGCCCGCGACCGGCCAAGGCGCGTGGCGACGGGGTGTTCGCAGCGTTCCTGGGCATCAAGCAGGCCTGCGACGCAAGTCAACCATGATGTCCTGATTGCTCGCCTGCGTCGCATCCCGGATGAGTTCGTGCAGGTGTGTTGCGACAGGAGCAAGCAGCACCTCCAGCTCGCCGACGGCACGGACGACGTCCTCGACCAAACCGCGGGCGTGAAGCGGGGCTGCCCGCTCAGCCCCCTGCGCTCTGTCGGGCTGTTCCTGGATGGGCTCTCCGAGGAGCTCGACTCGTGCGCATGATCCTGTGCGCGGATGACTCCGTTGTCCTCGCGCGCTCACAGGAACAGCCCCAGCAGCTCCTGGACTGCGCCACTCGCTGGCTACGCGACCGTGGCATGGCCCTCTCAGCGCGAAAGTGCAACGTCATGGTGGCCGACGACAAGCAGGGCCGTACCAGGCCTCGCGTCTTCGCGCACGACGGCCAGCGCCTCCCGGCGGTCGACTCGGTGCAGCACCTGGGCTGCTGGATCCACCGCGAGCTGGGAAGCCGGCACCAGGCCGCCACGGTCGGCTCGCGGGCCCGTCGGAAGGCAGGGAAGGTGCGGCCGAGGACCTCGGCCAGGAGCATCTCGCACCCGGGCACCACGGCGGTCTTCTTCGCGCAGCAGGTCCGGCCGGCGGGGACGCACGGCGCGGGCGTCTGGGGCCCCTACTTCGCGCTCGACCGCGCCGGGACTGTCCTCATCAACGTCGTGAGGCGGTTCAAGGCCGGGAACGCGCGCCCTGTCGGCGACTCCGTCAACTATGTGCGCCCCAGGCTGCGTGGGCAAAAACCACCGCGTGGAAGAACGTCCGCCGCGAGGCCGGCCACTTGAGCCCCCACTGCGTGACCTGGGCGCACACTGCTCGGTTCTGGAGCGAGATGCTGAAGCGCGCGACCGATGTACACGCCGCGGAAGGGCCTGGAGGTGTTGGCGTTCAACGTCACCCTGGAGCTGGCGATGGGGACGGAAGAGTGCTGGGCGGCACGGGCGCGGCTGGGGCTCCAGGCCCTCGGCCTCGCGTGCGGCACGCTCGACGACGCGGCGCCGGTCAGCGAGCGCGTCCTGCGGCAGAAGGTCGACGCGACAGCTCGGTGCACTTCGGTGGGTGAATCTCCGCGGGATGACGACGTCGCCGGGAAGCGCAGCGTGATCGCGTACGCGGTGTACTACGATCACTTCCCCGAGGGCACGTGGGGCAACTTGGACGACGCGCTCCACCACCACAACACGTCGGGCAACGTCCACTGCGCCTCATGTGCAACAAGGCGCCGCCCCACCACGACCTCGAGGCGATGTCTCGCAAGCGAAGCCCTTCGCGACCACGGGCGCCCGGGTCTCGTACGGCAGTCTGCCGTTCCAGCAGCGCACGTGCCGCCTCTGCGGCAGCGCCACATCGCCAGGGGACCAACGCCATCTCCTGCTCGAGCGCGACGCTCCGGAGGTCGTGGCCGCACGCGGAGGCGGCCTGCAGGGGGGGTCGCTGCAGGCCAAGCCGTGGACGCGCTCGATCTCGGGAGATACCGAGGCGGCGCGGGTCAAGGTTTACAGCTCTGAGGTGTTGAACACTCACCTGTCGGTGGCGTCTGAGCTACGTTGCAAGACAATTGTCTTGCAACCTGTTGCGGGCTCACGACGATACCGGTGAGGGCCAAGCAAGGCGGCCAACGGCAGTCGCATCGTCCTCCGGGGAGTCGCATGTATCATGTGTCGCTCACAATGGCCGCTCAACGTGCTACAAATGCCAGGGACCGCATCTCCTCCGGCAGCCTCTGCAGCTGCGAGTCCGTGGCTAACAGCCGCCGCAGCCTCCCGCAGCTCGACGCCGGCAGCCACCCCTCGATCAGCTGCTTGCACTCGCGCACGTCCAGCACCTCCAGCGACGCCATGCCCCCCGGCAGCCTCGCCAGCGACGAGCCATGAGCGTTCAGCTCCCTCACGCTCCCGCAGCTCGACGCCGGCAGCCACCCGTCCTCCGCCAGCTGCTCGCACTGACTCACGTCGAGCTCCTTCAGCGACCCCATGCCCTCCGGCAGCCTCGCCAGCAAGGAGTCCCTGGCACACAACCGCTTCAGGCTCCCGCAGCTCGACGCCGGCAGCCACCCCTCCCCCGCCAGCTGCTTGCACTCGCGCACATTGAGCTCCTCCAGCGCCGCCATGCCCTCCGGCAGCCTCGCCAGCGAGGAGCGCTCAGCTTGCAGCTGCTTCACGCTCCCGCAGCTCGACGCCGGCAGCCACCCGTCCTCCGCCAGCTGCTCGCACCGACTCACGTTGAGGACCTCCAGCGACGCCATGCCCTCCGGCAGCCTCGCCAGCGACGTGCCCTCAACATACAGCTCCGTCAGGCTCCCGCAGCTCGACGCCGGCAGCCACCCGTCCTCCGCCAGCTGCTCGCACTGCATCACGTAGAGCTCCTCCAGCGACGCCATGCCCTCCGGCAGCCTCGCCAGCGAGGAGTTTGTAGCGTGCAGCTCCCTCAGGCTCCCGCAGCTCGACGCCGGCAGCCACCCCTCCTCGTCCAGCTGGCACCACTGCACGTCGAGGACCTCCAGCGCCGCCATGCCCTCCGGCAGCCTCGCCAGCGAGGAGGTTGTAGCGTACAGCTCCCTCACGCTCCCGCAGCTCGACGCCGGCAGCCACCCCTCCCCCGCCAGCTGCTCGCACTCAATCACGTTGAGCTCCTCCAGCGACGTCATGCCCTCCGGCAGCCTCGCCAGCAACGAGAGGCACACAACTTCTTCAGGCTCCCGCCGCTCGACGCCGGCAGCCACCCCTCCCCCGCCAGCTGCTCGCAGACTCACGTTGAGCCCTCCAGCGACGCCATGCCCTCCGGCAGCCTCGCCAGCGAGGAGCTCAGCACGCTTCTTCAGGCTCCCGCCGCTCGACGCCGGCAGCCACCCCTCCCCCGCCAGCTGCTTGCACTCGCTCACGTTGAGGACCTCCAGCGCCGCCATGCCCTCCGGCAGCCTCGCCAGCGAGGAGTTGGTAGCGTTCAGGTCCCTCAGGCTCCCGCAGCTCGACGCCGGCAGCCACCCCTCCGCCAGCTGCTCGCACTCAATCACGTTGAGCTCCTCCAGCGCCGCCATGTCCTCCGGCAGCCTCGCCAGCGAGGACCCAGCAGCGTTCAGCTCCCTCACGCTCCCGCCGCTCGACGCCGGCAGCCACCCCTCCCCGCCAGCTGCTTGCACTCGCTCACGTTGAGGACCTCCAGCGCCGCCATGCCCTCCGGCAGCCTCGCCAGCGAGGAGTTGGTAGCGTTCAGGTCCCTCAGGCTCCCGCAGCTCGACGCCGGCAGCCACCCCTCCCCGCCAGCTGCTCGCACTCAATCACGTTGAGCTCCTCCAGCGCCGCCATGTCCTCCGGCAGCCTCGCCAGCGAGGACCCAGCAGCGTTCAGCTCCCTCACGCTCCCGCCGCTCGACGCCGGCAGCCACCCCTCCCCGCCAGCTGCTTGCAATCCCTCACGTTGAGCCACTCCAGCGCCGCCATGCCCTCCGGCAGCCTCGCCAGCGACGAGAGCTCAGCACGTAGCTTCTTCAGGCTCCCGCCGCTCGACGCCGGCAGCCACCCGTCCC